TTTCCAAAAAAGGTTTGCAAGTGGGTTATACAAATTATAGTGATAATGGGGATAAAAGAATTTCTAAAGGAGACAGCAAATGAGAAGTGAGGCCTTCAGGGTCACAAGGTCATTTTCATTCACAGAGACCCAGGCTCCTAGGACAAAGGGGAGATCCTACTGAGCCCAGCATTCCATAGAGAGGATGCTGTGGGTCCTCACATGGACCAAGACAGAGTGCCACACAGACACAGAGCAGGGGGATGGTGATGGTGATGGCTCTGATCCCAGAGCAAGGCTACAGTGTCCTCATACTGGACTGTATTTGGCAGCAAGGCTGCACCAGAGGCTCCAGTGATGGCTGCAGAGTTACCCTTTGAAGATGCAACTTGAGCTATGTACAGAGCTCTGTGTAGTTCCACGATCGTCCCACTCAAGCTCAGCTACTCAAGAGAGAGAGATAGGGAGGATCACAATTCAAAGCCAGCCCAGGGGAAAAAAAGTTAGCAAGACCTCCAACTCAACAAAAAAAGCTAACATGATGGCACATATCTGTTAACCCAGCTATACAGTTACAGAACAGGTATAGGTGGGAGGATCACGATCCTAGGCCAGCCCCCAACACAAACATGAGATCCTATATGAAAAAAATAACTAAAGCAAAAAATGAACTGGGAGTGTGGCTCAAGTGGTAGAGCATCTGCCTAGCAAGCACAAGGCCCTGAGTTCAAACATTAGTACTGCCAACAAAACAAAAAACAACACTAAGAGCAGGTTGAGGTCACACACATGAACACCAGAGAAGCTGGTGACAAGGATACATGGAGCTGCCAGAGTTCTCTCTAAATAGATAGTTCACCCATCAGGAGAGCCCAAGCTCTGTACTCCAGGGCACAGAGGACACACTTGGGATGGTAGCTACTTAATGTGGGCATCAACCAGCAGGACTTCAGGGGAGAGTTAGAGTGACAACCCTGTGACATTCTGAAGATTCACTCCTGTGGTTGGAGGGGGGCTGTCACACACACCTCTGCATATGCAGATGGCACGGGGAATGAAGGGACTCATCCAGAGACTCATGGAAGACAAGGACAGAGACAAGGGTGGAGCCACCTGAGAAGATTCAGAAGTCCTCAGAAACCAAGGAGAACTGCGGGCCTCCTAAGCTGAGCTCTGAGAATCTTCCCTAACTCCCATCCGGTGCTAGGTGCTGCTCAGTGTCAGGTGCAGGGATGAGTTCTATTACCTTCACAGGCCACTTGCCCTGACCCATCCAATGCTGCTTTCCTGCTTCTGCCTATCTCTTTTCACAAACTGAGACCACACACCCTGAAAGATGGAGCAGAGAGAAGATGCCACACAAGAAAGAGGAGGTAAAAGCAGAGGCAGAGAGAAAAGACCAATTGAGGAAGCCGAGCCTGCTCGGCTCTGTGTGTAGCGCCTGTGGCTGCCTAGCCTCCCAATGGGGAGAAGCCAGGAGATGGCACTCAAGCCTGAACCAGCAGGGCCACTCATAGGGAGAAAGGGGCTGGTCCCCACAGGTATCCACAAGGCAGGTCCAGCCATATGTCATAGACTTTTCAGCTGGGGTCATGAGCACTCAGGCAGGGAGCCTAGCATCGCACCTGTTACTCCAGGAGCTGTTGGGAGGGCTTCTGAGTTCTGCATCTGGGTGGGCTGATTGACTGATAAACTGTACCCTAAATGAGCCTCAGGAAAGAGAGAGTAGAAATACTGTGGTGTTTTGTATCTGCTGTGGTGAAAGTTACCCAGAAAAATCCCAAAAAGGGAAGATATGGCAGGAGAAGTGGAAAGACAGAGCAGGGAAATCGGTGTGGTTGCCACATGGTGACTAAAACGCCATCAGTCCTACTGTCTCACCTGTCTCCCCTGAACCTTGATGTTGCTCCTCTAGCTGCCCTGAGCTCCCTCGTCCGAGGCCCTGCCACCCTGACACACACGTACCCCTATCACAGGGAGAGTGTGGGTTTTCACAGGGCACCCAATGTGGGAGGCATATAGAATAAGGGTCAGAAAGGAATTTTTCTGACTCTAAGGTAAAACAAAATTAGACTTAGAAAATCTTTGGAAGACATTGGAAGCCCCATTGCACACGCACAGCTGAATGTGTTAGGGTGAGCCACGCGAGATAACTGGTGTTCACATTTCCACCCATGAAAACAGCAGCCTCATGTGGCTCTCCCTGAGGTCACTGCAGAAGGGTCCTCTGGAGCCCAGGCTTGTGCTGAGCATGGCCCTGGCACCCGGAGATGGGTGTGAAGTGAAGGTGAACACGAGCAAAGGCATGGGCCCTATCTCACTGTAGGGGAAAGGGGAGATCCCATCCCCCTTCAGTTTGTGGCTTCTCTTGCTGGTTTCCAGGTTTTTCCAGCCTCTTCAGTCAGTTCCACATTACTTTCCCTTCCTCTTTTCATTAGCATCTTCTCTCCCCCTGCCCACCCACCTCACCCCAGCACTGGGACTCGAGGTTCACTTGACAACAGGTAATAGCAGGCGTTTCCTCGTCCTGTGACAGGACATCCTGGCGCCCCGCAGTCTCTCTCTGGCTTTAAAACAGACCCGAGCACAGGAAAAAACCCAGTGCTAAAATTAGCAGTGTGATAGAAGAAAGGCACATAGCTGCTCTCTGTACTGTTTGTCAATGAAACAAGTCTAAACAGGCCAAATGCATTTCCTTTTTGGGCAAAACAGACCTGTCAGGGGTGATGGTCAGAAACCAAGGGGGCGAGTCAGCCTGGGAAAGAGAAGCCACCCGAAATGTCTGCCCAGGGCCACTGCCTGGTGCTCAGGTTTTTTCCGCTGGCCTCCACCTGTCTGAAGGTTTTTGGACAGAGAATGGTCCAACCTTTTCAGAAGTAGTGCTGGCCTAGAATACTCGGGGGGTTCAGTGCCCTGGTATCCCTTGACACACACCAGGACAGGACCTTCAGGAAGCTCTCAAGACTGTTCAAGACAACTCAGTCTTAGCTAACTTGGGGATTTTCCCCCAGTTTTGTTTTTTTTTTAATGTATTATTTGGATGCAACACTGTCTTCTCCTGAAACAGGAGTTTGTAGGAGGCAAGCTATCAGGCCTGACATGACAGACCAACAGTAGTTCTCTAATAACTACATATGAGAGTCTGAAGGAAGACAATGATTAGCCTGCAACCATTTACTTTCAGAATCAAGTACTGTTACTTTTTTTTAATGCCAGTAAAATGCATTTCTTTAAACCCAGCTTTTCCAATCACATTTTCAAAATCTTCCATTTCCTTCTTGAAAAGATGGAATTTCAGACAATCATGAATGACGGAGGCCTGAGGCTTCAGTAAGAGTGAGGAAAACTGTTTTTCTGTTTTATGATCCTCAGGTCAGTAGAGGGCAGAGTGGGTAAATTTCCTAAACATGCCTGAAACATGCCACCTGGAATAAACTTTTTTTTACACCCTCAGTCATGGAGGCAGGAAGGAGGCTGAATTGGTCCTTGATCACATTCACTTAGGTTATTAATTTTTATAACCAGTGGGGAGAGGGGACAGAAGTTACCTTACTTTGCAGTTGGGTAAACTGCATTTGTCTCAGTAATTTGCCCAAGTTCCCATCAATGGTGATGGAGCCAAGATACAATTCCAGGTGTCTTGCCACCAAGCCCTGTGTTTTTCCACTGGGACTTCATGATCCCCCTTTCCTGCCTCTGACCCTGCCGCAGGGAAGTGACTTTCCCAAGACCACACCAGCACGCTATTTATAGCACTCGGGAGAGCCCGGCTTCCTGACTCCCATGGGGCATTGCCAGCACATGAATACCTGTCGGCCTCATTCTGGAAATTGTGTTTCTCGAGAAAGATAAGGGTCTGGGCTCCATTATTCCTAGAATGATTCACTTTCAGACTTCCTGCCACTTCCTCCATTGGAAGTGTACATTTGACACTGGGAAAAGCTGCTGTTCTACACCGTGAAGGAAAGGCAGGCAGGTCGGCTGACAGCACCTTATGCCATGGCCCTGTGCCTAGATGGGCTGCTTGTTTCTGTCTGTCCATAGATCATGGAGCTGGCTCGTCCTCAGTAAATGGCAAGACTCCTAAAGTGCTGAGCTCCCAGGGTGGGATGGGAAGACCTCCTGTCATCGGGGGTCACAGTTGGGCGGCTGCTATGGCTTCTACTACTTGTCCAGAACCTCTCAGGGCATTTCTGCCAATGCCACTACTCTGACCCTTGAAAACAGCAAGGTTTTCTTGTGCCCTGTCCTGTCTTGCCAACAGCGGCCCCAGGTTGGTGGGTGATTGGTAGATCCAGTGTTCAGAGGAAGGTCCGTCTGCTCTCTGATGCTCTGATGACCCAGTGCCACACAAAGCCAGGCTTCCTGGCCTCACTCCAAGACTGTCCTCCTGCCACACTGTATGGTGGCTCAGGGAGGTCAGACTATGGTCTACAATCTGTTGACAGCCAGAACAGGACTGTGTGTAACATGTTAGCATGTTCTCCTTACTTTGTCTTGTACTACTCATGACAAAAGGCCTGTAATGACCCCAGGGCCCTCACCCCCCGACCTCACGGTGTACCTTTGCCTGTTAGCTGGGGAAGTGGGGAGACTGGAGTCAGGCTTGGGCTCTCCCGCTTCTGCCCGGCATAGGCTGACTCTTTTCAGCTGCTTTGGCTCAATGACAGGAATGTGAACCCCAGTCAACCCCACATGGGCTACAGAAGGGCAGACCAGGTGCAGATCCCACCGACTTGGAAAAGCAAAGCACATCACTCAAGCATGCTAGTACCACATTTAAAATTAAAAAAGTTGTGACAGATAAAAAGCTGTCCTGAACCCTGGGTGTGTCTTTCTGACCCACTTTTGTTCATAGCCATGGAGGCTGCTAGTGGCCATGTTCAAAGGTGCATCCTGCAGCACCCCTCTCAGATCACCCAAGCCCCTAGGGTCCCTCTTGTGACATAAGAGGACTCCAACAGATCTGCCAGACTGATGGGAGCCATAGCACAGCCACTGTACCTGCCCAGGATACTTACTTGCCAGCTGGAAAGCAGCGGCCATGGCCTCCTCCCAACACTGGGACTCTGGTGACATCAGGGGCAGGCCTGTGAGTCCCAGGACAAAGGTGAGCTGACCCACAGCAAGCGCCACTGTGGCCACCAGGTTGCAAGCACGCATCATGTCGAACTGCACTGCGGGCCAAGAAGGAGGGAAGGCAGGTAGTCAGCGCAGGCAAGCCCCTCGGGGAAGAGCTGAGTCAGGTGGCCCTGGCCGCACTCATCCTCCATGATGGCCACTCCTTTTCTGTTAGGCCTTTGAAAAGGCAGGAAGCACAGCCAGTGTCTTCTCTGGACAGAACCTTCTGGAAGCACCTCATCCACCCCTGCAAGCCCTCAAGCTGCCCTGTGCCTCTCCCCAGCCAACAAGGGCTCATCATAGCCCCCAGCCTGGCTGCAGTGGTTGTGTCCCCCTGGGCTGGGTCCTACTCTTGAGATGTGTGTCATGTTAGGACAAGGCATTCCACAAAGGTGCTGTCTGGTAGGTTGAAACCAGAAGGAGGCCCTGCCTGCCTCAGCTGTTATCCCTCAGGCTTGATATTTTCATACCTAAGAGCTCAGCATTATTCACCCCTCTTATAGGCAAGGGACATGGGTCTGTGATGTGAAGTGACTTTTCTGAGCCTCTAACAACCAACAAGGAGGATTAGAGCAGTTGTCAAACCTGGGTCTGCTGAGCCCAGGGCCCCTACCCCACTCTTCTTATCTCTGAGGTTCATATTCCTCACTCTGCCTGCAACCAGAGTCCATGTGCCTGCCTCTTCTTTTCCCCACCCCATACCCTGGTCTCAGAAGGGCAGTCAGGATAGATAGTCACTGTGGATGGTCCACACAGGGAGGGGAGCATGTCTGTGGCAGAGACCTTTGTTCTTTCCCAAAGTAACCCCACACTGAAGCCTACACTGCACTTTGGAGGGCCTTGGTCATGCCAGTGTGCCTTTGCTCTTAGGCACCAGTTTACTCCAGACTGGCAGTGAGTTTTTTTGAACATAGTAAGAAAGGAGGGTCTGTATGTGATAGGAACTGGGTGTAGGGACAGCATGGTGTAGCCCCTCTAGTCTCCCTTCATCTCATTATGATCAAGCAGTAGTTAGGAAGCTCAGATCACAGTTAGCTTGTTGCAGATTAACTTGGTTTTTACACTGCGTGTCTTGAAGACTCTTTCCAGGTACTCTTTCCAGCGTTTGAAAGAGAAATAGATAGTTGATTTTCAGAGTTAGGTCACTGAAATGTGTGAACCAGAAAAAAAAAAAAAAGAGAGAATCTTCCAAGAGCCCTGAAGGATCTGTCCTCTGGGGTTACCACTGCTTTGTCACCTCCATGATCAAGATGGGGACAAGGAACGTACAGAGGCTGGCCACCTCGTGTACAGGACAGGTGACCGTTAATGTGAATGAGTAGAGCCAGCAAGTAAGTTCTCATTTCCAGAACTTTTAGATCCTCAGTCCACTCTTCCATGAGAAGCCAGAGGTGGCAGAAACAAGTTGTCAGTGGTCCTCATGAGTACAGGTATATGTACCTCAGCAATGGTTCACAGTACAAGGAAGGGGAAGAACTGGTTCATTTTTGTGGGCTTTTAAATGACTAGAAAGCTACTTTGTGGGTTTTTTTTTTTTTTTTTTTTTGCAGTGCTGAGGTTTGAACTCAGGGCCCCTTGATAGGCAAGCACTTTACCACTTGAGCCACACCTCCAACCTTTAAAGGCATTCCAGTTAGTGTCTTTGTTTTGATTTTTGGTAGTGGGGTTTGAATTCAGAGCCTCACACTTGTGAGGCAGGTGCTATACTCAGCTAGAAGGTTACTTTGAACCACTGTTGCCAATGTCAGCAATTCTGTATGGTTTGATGTAAACATTTATTGAAATGCAATTTAAATTCACAAAATTATTCAAAGTTCTCAGGTTCAGCACCTGCCTCTTCCCACTTCAGGACGGGCTCTGTGTCCTGGGTATATGAAGGGCACCTCTATCCTTAGCCTATGGCATCTGTCACCTGCTTGTTGTCTCTATTCTTCTGCCATCATGCTATTCCTGAAGCCCCACTCTTCTGTTCTCTCACTGCACACCAAAGTCCCCAGGATCCCTCCTCCCACCCCTCTGATGACCCAGGTTGATAGGTGACCATCTAGAGTGAGGTGAAGCTGATGAAGACACGGGGCTCCAGGTGAGAGTCTATAGACCTCAGAAATCTCCAACTAACTAGAGACCTCTGTGCACTTACCAGCCCACTCTGCTCTCAGGGGTTGACTGTTTTCAGGCATTACTTCCATACAGGTAAGAGGTGACTGGTAGTGTCATTGAGAGCCTGGATAAGAAACAATTTCCCAACATCCTGGGCCAGCAGGAGTATGGGGGTGGTACTGAGCACGTGAAGAGAGGCCCCCTTTCCCATAGGCCTTTCTCAGACCATGAAAAGCATCATGAGAAAGGCCAGCTCACCATGCAAGCAAACCATGAACCTGTTCGTGGGTGCTGTGCTGTCCAACCGTCATCCTACCCAGGGCCCCATGTGTGCTCCACCCCATCTGCAGGCAGGATGGTGTCTGTGATTCATGTTCCTTGAGGGTAGTATCTATATTTAGGCTATGGAGTCTCAGAGTCTTCCAGGGGTTGTGTGCCACTTCCCGCCACCAAGGGTCAGCCCGTCCTGCCCATTGTGTTTTGAGCTGCTTCCTCCACGGCAAACCCTCCTGTCATTTGGAGCCTGAGGGGCCCTTCCCAGATCCCAGGCTTTCCAACATGAGAGTGACTTATAGCTTTGAGGCCAGCAGGTCACATGCACAGACCACATACGTAAAGAGCTGCAAAGATGCACAAGGTTCCACATTGCTAGGCAGTCAAAGGAACCTGTGCATGGTGACCTGACCAAGGATGCCACCAAGGAGGGAGCGAGAGAGAGAGAGAGAGAGAGAGAGAGAGAGAGACAGACAGAGAGACTGCTGGATGGACAGCAGGGAGCCTCTGGTGGGCTTTGCAGTTGGTGTTCTTTAATCGTCAGAGTAATCCACAGAACAGAACCCAGACCCCTAGAGACTGTAATGTACCTATGTGATGCTTTACAAAGGGGAGAGGTAAAAGGGGCTGAGCAGAGCCTAACCTGGTGGTTGGAGGCTTCTGGCAGGAGTCAAACCGGCCCATCTTCCATGGTTCAGGCATGGCTTGGAGCGGACATATGTAGCAGTGGACTCCAGAAGAATGTGGAGAGATGAGCAGAGACTGAGAGACTAGAAATGTCAGGGGCAGCAGAAACACTTCATCAGCCATGGCTTGCCAGCCTGTAGCATGGGACTCAAGTGGTATGGATGACTTGCTGAGGCCCAGGGTATAGAGCATCAGGGCCAAGGTGTCCTTGCCCCTCACAGCTGAGGGGACCAAGGCCTTGCAGGTTGGTTGGCAGGTAGGTTTTCCAGGACCTACTTGGCTGTTCATACTGCCTTTGCAGTTGGCCTGTCTGATGACCTCATACTGCATGCAGGAGGCTAAGCCTAATCCTGTGTGTTTCTTCAGGGTTCCCTGTCCACGTGGTAGACTGAGTGTGTACTCCAGAAGGTTCCTTCCAGTTACGATTTGGAAAACCATCTGTGACCATCTGTGGAGGATGACATTCTTCATGATGCTCCCATCATCTGTATACTTTACTTTCTGTGTGGTTATTTTTACCATTTATTTGACTGCTGCTTTAAAAGATGCTAAATTTGAAAGGTGAACTGTGATGAGGAATGGTAACAGTGCAGGAACAGCCCAGCGGGCATTCCAGACTCTGCCTAGAAGGCTAGGAAAGTCCTGAATGAATGGGGAATGGCAGGACTGGCAAGGAGGAGAGTGCCCCCCGTGGCTCTGGGTGGGTATATCAGTGCAGAGAGGCCAGAAGACTAGTTCCCACAGCCAGGAGGAGAGCACAGACCCAAGGGGTGAGGGCTCCCCCTCAGGCAGCACTGGGGTCTGGCTGGTCTGCACCAAGTTTTGATTGCTTGTTCATCTGCTCACAGGCAGCCTAGGTCCAGAAAGAGACTTAGGGTTTCTGACAGAATGCACAAACCAGAATAAATGTGAGAAATGAGGACAGAGAAAATAGAGTGAGACTGAGCCTGGACTCAGGTAGTCAGGTCAACCCCAGGCCTCCAGGCCCTCAATGGGAAGACAGCCTCTGGTCAGTAATAAAGGTTATGGGCACCACAAGAAACAGAATGGCCAGCTAGCAGGAAAATTCCCCATGATCCCCCACATATACTAGGAGGACCCAGTGGACACATGAGGGGCATGAGGGCCTGGACTGGATGAACCTAGGACCAGCCCCTAGCCCTAATCCAGTACACTGAGGACACCCAGTAGTACAGAGAGTCTTGACCAGAGTTCAGAATGTCATGAAGTGGCCACTTGTTTATCCTTTGTTCCTCAGGAGGCCCTCCAATGTTTGCAAGTGAGGAGCACTGACCTCAGGGCATGCAGCCATCAGGAGACGTCCCTGCCAGGTGGCCTGCAGTGATGTCTAGAAATGCTAAGGATGGTCTCAGTATGACCTGTGTGACCAGTCCTATGCTCCTGCTCCTGCCGTCTTTGACTGGTTCTCAGGATGGAGTTGTGAGCAAGCCACAACAGTCAGCCCTGAGACACAGATGGATATGAACATCATGTATGCGGGAGGCTTTATAGAGAATGCCAGATCAGGCTTGAGGGGGGACATAGCACTTGACTGACTGCCCCTCCCCAGAGAGGCTCAGTTCTGGACCCATTTGGGTCATGCAGTGGAGTTTTGCATGAGTGGCTCAAGGTGGGAACTGGGCTTGATTGAAGGCAGCAGCAGATGGTGGATCCTCTGGCCGGCTGGGGACACAGGTGCAAACAGATTGGGACAGTCAGTGTTGCTGGGCTGTGAGAATGAATTGTCCTCCAGTAGTAAAAGCAGCATGGGAGGCTGATTTGGAGCGGTTGGCACTGGGAGGGGAGAAGACAGGAGGAAGAGACCAACTTTGCCACCTCCACCTCCAGGTCACTGGGCCCAGAGCTATGGGCCTGTGTCCCCAGCTGGTGGGTTAGGATCCAGTTTCCACCTTAGGAAATGCTGACTTATGGCTGCTTTGCCCCTATCGTGTTTCAGTCTCAACACGTGTTACGAGTTTTGTTAGCAACCAGAATCACCCTTTCAGCCTACTTTCCTAAATGCAGTCCTGCCAGTCACTCCCAAGAAGCTTCCCGGTGACCTTTCTGTTTAAACAAATAGTTACTGCTTAGATTCATGATGGTCAGCTACCTGCAAAGGTCGTATTAATTGCAGGAGGATGTTTTTAATTGTTCAGGCAGCTTGTCAGGTGATGTAAGCAGAGCATTCTCTGCAGGTGGGAACCTTGAGAACAGGTGGACAGGTGCGCAGGATGTGAGGCACTCAGGATGGAAGTGGCCAAGGCTGCCATGCAGTCACAGTGATGTAGGTAGGGAGAAGGCCACAGGGGCCCTGTGTGTCCTGTTGGCCTGAGGTGACAGGCCTCGGCAGATGGACAGCAGGAGGAAGGTGACTGCACAAAATGCTCCAGGGCTGCACCACCTGCCCTGAGACTCTAGAATGTGTGAGGCAGGAAGAGAAGGCAGTGCCATGCTGCCAGAGACACCTGGGTCATCAGGAGGCCTTGAGGCCCAGGACAGGGGGGCTGGAACTGGTGAGTACTTCCTCCCCACAAGTGATGGGCTAGTACTGGTCCCAGAGCACAGCAAGAGTCACGGGGACAGAAATCGTGCTCACATTTGGCCCCTTCTAGCACCACTTCCCACAAGCTGAAGGCCCAAGCCCCAAGCCCTCCAGGGCTATGCCAAGCTGCACCACACATGAGACGCTCAGCCCAAGCTATGGGTTTACTAGCTGTTCTTTTTAGCCAGAACGATCCTAGCATCCAGAAGGAAGGCTCTCTACCGACACACCACACAGAGACCCAAGTTCAGCATGTGTGCATGTCGCTTCCTACAAGATACCTGAATTCTGAGAGCTTGTAGAAATTTTGAAAGTATTCATTTGCTTTGCTCGTTTTTCCAAGAGAAAGCTGTCACTCCCTGCTTACCAAGGGCAAGGGAGAATACTGACTGATCCCATTTCAAGCCTTAGTTTCTTGGGGATGATGTTCGCTAGCTTAGGCTCCAAGAGCTCTTCCAGCCAGGGACAGGGCTAAAAGCTGGTGGTTGCACACAGTTGTTACTCAGGAATTCCAGGAATAGTTGGGAGCCTGTTTCCAGCCTCTTGAGAACCTGGAGCAAACTAAGCCTCATGCTTTATTTTCATGTAGCTTTTTTTTGTTTTTGTTCTTTTTTGAGTTGGTGGGGTGGGGTGGGGTTTGAACTCAGGGCCTTGTACTTTCTAGGCCCTGAGCCATACCCCTAGCCCTTTTTTGCCTTAGGTACTTTTTTAATAGGGTCTTACATTTATCCTTGGGCCAGCCTGGACCAAGAGCCTCCTATTTATGCTTCCCATGTATCTGGAATGACAAAGGCCCGCTCCCACGCCCAGCTTCTATTGGTTGAGATGGGATCTTGGTAACTTTTTGCCTGGACTGGCCTCCGACTGTGATTCTCCTGGTCTCTGCCTCTTGAGTAGGTAGGATTACAGGTATGAGCCACTGTGCCCAGCCACCTCATGCTTTCTTAAAGACCAGTGTTGTCTTCCAAACAGCAGGAATGATCTGACCTTGAGACTCCATGGTATTTTTCAGTAGAGACTGGGGTGACCGTGAACCAGACCCCTTATCAGCAGTTTTAGAGGATCATCCTCTAGGGAGAATTTGTACATCAGCAGACATGACTATTTAGGTTACACATTAGGTGGCAAGTCTATTTATGCATTCCTTTCCTCCTGTCCCTCAAACCTGACAGCAGAGGGCTCTGCCCATCATGCAGACTCCCCTGGTCTCCTTCCACACATCCCAGCCAGAGTCAGTTCCCAGGGTCTGTCTCAACCCTGCTCACAGCCCTGAAGGCCCTGACCCCTGTGAAAATGAAGTCAGAACTCAACCACATACTATTAAACTTCTGATTTATTGTATTCAATAACATTTGTTTTGAACCAAGGAAAAATGTCTTTCCTTGATATGGTTAGTGTACCTATCCTTCAGCCATGCACAGTGGCAGAGAGAAAGCCCCAAACTGCACGAGGTGAGTTACCTGTGAAAGGAGCCAGACGTAGAGTCTGGGCCAAGCAGGAGAGAGTCCTGTGGCCTTGCTTACCAGGGCAAGGGTGGGCATGGGCCTCAGATTTCCTCTCTTCATAATAGCCTAGGTTTAGCCTCCCCTCACCCAGCCCCTCTAAATATGACAGAAAAATAAGCAGACTCACGTTTGACGGTGCCTCGAGACTCCTGGAAGCCTGCCGACTCAGAGCCCCAGCCCAGCGTCTCGCAGTCCTGTGTGTCCTCCTGCCCGCCTTTGGCTCCGGGGCTTGCACCTCCCCGGCCCCTGTCCACCAGCCAGCAGGACTTCCACAGCCCCACGCTCCGCTTCCGCCCATCCTCTAGTGTCTGGTACACCCAGTTGGGGGTGAAGGCTGCTGCGTTGTTGAGGATGAGGGAGACAAGGGCCACTAGCACGGCTGTGGCCACAAGTTTCTGGACAGTCATAGCTGACTGCCAATGCTGTCCGTTTATCTCAAGAGAAAATCCCAAATCCCAGCCAGCTGCAGTGTATCCAGGAAGCCGAGTGTTGCCAGGGACAGCTAGAGAACATCACCACTCATTCTTGGAGGCAGTGCGGCAGCTAAGCCAGGCACAGAGAGATGTTGGAAGTGTGGGGAGAGGCCCATGGGACAGGTCCAGGGGAGCCGCTCACGACCCTGCTTTATCCTCCCTCCTGCACCTGAAGCAGGGCCAGGCCTGTGATGAAGCCAGGCACTGGGAGGCCCATCCCAGGGAGGAATCCGGGGTACCGGTGAGAATCCAGAGTTGTGAGTGTGCCGTCTTCCTGGGAACCAGAGGCCAAGGAGGCTGCGTCCACAGCACCTCTTCTTTCCTGCAGCAGCAGAAAGTAAAGTTACTCAAGTGGCAAGCACAGCGTGGGAATTGGCTCCTTAAAGCTAGCTGTGGGAGCTGCTCCAAGTGGGGCAGTGGGAGCAGTGCAGGTTCAGCCACCTCTCTGCTGCCTGGGCTCTGTCCTGGTGCGTCCGCCACGAGTGGCAGGTCCTGGAAAGCAGAGTGCCTGCCACAAGAAAGAGTGTGTGTGTGTGCGTGTGTGTGTGTGTGTGTGTGTGTGTGCGCGCGCGCGCTCGAGCTAGTTTCCCCTGTCTCTCAGCAGAGAGGAAATGGTTGTTTTTGAGGCTGTTTTTGGTGAGTAGGAGGGCGTAGCCAACTGCAACAAATAGCGGCCCTGCCACAGAGCCAGACACTAACAGGATGTGTTTCCTGATGGGAAAGGCCTGGGGAGACTTCTGAGGCCTGCTCCAGCCCGCCCTTCCCCACCTGCCTGTCCCAAGGGAGAGGCCAGGGATGCCAGCCAGGACACCCATTGTCTCACCTGTTGCTTCTGAGCCTGGCCAGCTGCAGAAGCAGCTCCTGTGCTGGGCCTGGAGCTTGGGGACACTGCGGGCACCCTGCCATGTAGATGTTCCCTTGCGCAGTAGGTCTCCAGAGCCCATGATGCCTCAGAGCCTGTCCTCCCGTAGGCATTCTGTCCGCAAATGGGACAAGAGTGCAGAGGGAAGGATGGGCCCTCATTTGCCAGCAAAGATGCGCAGGCCTCAAGGGAGCAAGTACGTCTAGACCTGAAGGGGTAGGGGCCCCACTTGGAGAACGTTTGGCTCCGGTTGGTTCTGGACATGGAGGGCAGAGCACTGTGCATGACTGGCACAGAGTGAAGGTGGTTTCTGACCAGCTGTGCTTGCTGCTGATGTGACAATCACCCTCCCAAGGCCAGACAGTAAGTAGGTGGGTGACTCTGGCTGTCTGGCTGGTAGGGAGCCTAGAAGATGCCTCATCTTCTCCTCAGAGCCCTTCATCGCCAGAGGGTACACCCACTGCAGGGTCCCACCCCACCAGGGCTCTGAAGTGTGTGAATGAGCAGACAGACAAAGGTACCATTTCCCATTTCAATGATCCTTGAGTGCATGCACCAGGGACATCATACAGGCACAAAACGTTCTGTTGCCAGCTAGGGCCCTCGGTGGTGACAGCACAGCCTTTTGACCATTACCTGTCTTCACACATTGCCATGCTGGGCCCTGGCCAGTCTTCTGCCCTGAAACTCACGCCCCTCCCCTGCTCCTGGGATTGGTGTCTTCCATCACATGTTTGCTTATAAGGTCAGGCTCCCCACCCCAGCAAGTTCACATTCCCAAAGGGCAGGAACTTCATCTCTGACCAGCTTTTGGACAATCATTGGCCTAAAAATACGTCTGTCAATTTCCTGAGGGGCTTTACCTATATTAGGATTTTCCCCAAATCAGACTTCTTTATATTTTCTTATCAAGGATTTGGGCCTGAGGGAAAGTGGTTCTTGGCCCCTGGATCCAGCCTCTTATCTGGTCAGGTTCTCAGCACCAGGAACCTGATAAGGAATGCAGGACAGAGCAATGTCGTCTGCCCCCAGCTCGTGCCATGGCTCAGGAGACCTGCAGAGGATGGCTACATTTGTTCTTGAACATATCCATTCCCCCAGATTTGGGGCGCAGCATCTTCAGCATTCAGCTTTCCTTTGAAATAGAAGTTTTCCCCAAAGTTTCCATTAGGAGTGAATTGATTTCCCTCCTTAATTGAGGCACTTATCTTTAGATAGTCATTATACGACTGATTTCCAGTGAGGAAGAAGGATACCATAGTTTCAAAACCCAGGGAACTTTCTCTTTCTAGAAATGGGTGGGGTCTCACTATGTTACCCAGGTGGCCTAGAACTCCTGAACTCAAGTGATCCTGACTCAGCCTCCTGAGTGGTGAGGAGTACAAGGCACCTGTCCCTAAGCCTGGCCACAGGACATGTACTGATTGCCTCAGTCATAGCTCTTGGGCTGCATCCATCAGTCCTTTCCTAGGGCTGGGTAAGGAGGAGGCCAAGGCCTGGCTCCTACCACAGAGACAGCCAGAGCAGGAGGGTCAGGCTCTGTCCTAATGCACGGCCTCCAGCACTGGCTTCCCTTGCCCTCTCTGCACCTCTGCGGGCTCCTGCCTGGCCTCTAGGTCACTGTACCCTCAGTCTGCTTTCTGACTGTCATGTTGGTGGACATGTCCGTTAGGGGGCTGGGCCTGGGAGGGTGATGGGTCCAAGAGCAGAATTTAAGTTAGGAGGGACCCCCTCCTGGAATGGGACGCTGTCCTTGGGATCCAAGGATCTCGTGACTGCCTGGAAGGGCTCCCATTCAGGGGAACTGAAGCCAGGCCAGGGGCTCCCATGCCTCCATGAGAGCCCCTTCCTGTTCTGCTGCTGTCTGCTGTCTTTGGCTGCACAATTGCATTCTGAGTCTGTAGCTCCCACATGTGCATCAGCCCCTCCCACACTTGGAAAAATAGGGCACTGCAGCAGAGAAGCCTCACAAGACTGCAGTGATGAGTGTGCCGTGGGCAGGTCAAGATCCTGGATTAGGACAGGTCCAGTGGAGCTTCTGCAGAGCACAGGTCCTCCCAGAAATCAGATCCATCTCAGGGCTGGCTCTTTCCATGACTGCATCTGCTTCTCATTTTAGGCGCCCGGAGCTGATGAAGTACAGATGTGATTGCTCCCCACAGACACTTGGACAACAGGAAATTCTCAAGACTTGGACAGGACTAGGAGGGTGTTTACTTCTTGCCGTTTATGTCAGATGTACAAAGTCCAGAACTCCACACTGGAGTTAGAGTTGTCCCCATCCTCAGTGAGTTGTGCATGGAGAGAATGTTAGGAATTGTGTGGGGGTGTTGAGGCCATCATGGGCTGAGAGGAAGCCTCCGAGATTGCAGTGTGCATTTTGTGGAGGAAGGTTGGCAGCCACCTCTCTGGGTCCAGGCTTCTTCCAGCAGGTCCGGGCTGAGCTGGGGGGTGGGGAGCTACCCACCCTGTGGTTTGTGCACAGTGGCCTTAACCCAGCAGGAACAAGGCCTATCCTGGCCTTCCAGAGCCCTCCCAGCATCTATCAGTCTGGCTGAAGGCTGTACTTCTAGCAGGGAAGAGCCCCGGTTTTGTTGTTGTTGTTTGTTTGTTTGTCGTTTGCAGTCCTGGGGCTTAACTCAGGGCCTTCTCCTTGAGCCATGACACCAGCCCTAATTTTGTGCAGGATTTTTGAGATAGGGTCTCCCAGAACTGTTTGCCTGGGCTGGCTTCAAACCACTATCATCCTGATCTCTGCCTGCTGAGTATAGCTAGGATTACAGGTGTGAGCCACTGGCGCCCAGCTAGCCCATTTTGATGGAGGCTTTATTCTGGGGCCGTAGGACATGAGTAAATTGGAGGGTATTCTAACGGCGTGGTCAGATCTTTGTCATATGCAGGCCAGGGAGGCACAGAGACACCATGTCAAGTCTCCAGGCCTCTGTTTCCTGCCCCTCGGTGGAACAGACACCGGCAAGAGCACAGCCTGCTGGTGGGAGAAGATGGAGCCTCAGACACATGCCAGCCGGCTCTGCCTGCAGACCCCATCACTGCACTTACCTAGGTTGTTTCCCCCGTCATTGGACGTAGACACAACAATTTGCTTTCAAGAAAAGCAGAAGAAAGAAAGCTACCCTAGCAAGTAGAGGCAAAAAAGAGGCCAAGTGTCAACTCCCCCTCAGTCCCCACACTCAGGCCTGAGGAGACCATTAGGATAAGCAGAATATTTTTTTAAAGGTTCCAATCATGTGAAATCACTTGGAATGGGGTGATAACTGGCGTCTTGCCGTTATCATCATGGAAGCAGCAGCCATCCATGCTTCATGCACTCACCTTGCACAGCAGGCCCAGGAGGGTGGCTGCAAACCCTGGCGCCCCCCCAAGACTGTCCGTTGTGAAAGTTCCATAGAACTCACTGGAGTGGTTGATGTCCCAGGCATATCGCCGGTCCCCATGTGCTACCACAGCTGCCTTCTCTAGGGAGGACCCTCATCCACTGGGTTAGTGGACACTGGGTGTCCTCTGGGGTCCTGGATGGGGCCCAGAGCCCCCATGGGGGATGAATTCATCTGGGCCATTTACAGACACCTAGTTTTACACCTACAGTCCTTGCATTTAACCAGCACCTCAGGACAGAGGAGAAAGGCAAATTTGGGGTTTTAAATGCTGAGACTCTTGATTTTCTGCCTGAAGCCCCTGGTAACCAGATGGCAAAACAGCCTCTGATGGCAGGTGTGGAACTGCCTATAGCAGTGGCTCCTGCAGAGAAGGTGCTCCAGGCTGTGGTCAAGTAACATTGAGCATCTGCTGCCTCACAGCTACCATGAGTCGTTTGAATTCTGAAGCCAAAGGATGAATCCTATAGGCCTGACTCCCAGAGAATGAAGGCAACAGTGCTGCTCAGTGATGGGCACTTCTGAGAAGTCCGCCAGCCCAGCCTGGATGCTACCTTCACAGGGACGGCTTTTTTGCATGTCTTGGAAACTGCTGGCCAGCATGTGAAAAGCTCCAGGAGAGGTCATTAAGGACGAGAACCCCTGTGGTGGAGGTGGGGGACCTGGACTGGGGTTCGGTCATACATTGTTTACCTGGCTCCCAGCCCAGTGCCATGGCCGCACACTGCCACCTAACAATGCAGCCTCTGGTCAGGCCTCATCTACCAGCAGTGGCCACCAGGATGTCACTGTGAGAATGTATGCATCTTCCTTACCCTTGCACCAGTCAGTGACATAATCTATTGAACCAACCAGGACCCAAGCAAATCCAAAAACGTGCAGTCAGTATTGGTTGACTTACAGGAAAGAGTGCCTGGATGTGTGGTGTTCCCATTACAGACCCCTACAGTCTCCTGTAGGGGTCAGGAGACAGGACAGCCCCCACCCAAGATGTGCCTGAGCTGACCACTGTTCCTTTCAGCAGCAGCTTTTGCTTTGGTTCCATCTGAGTTGGGTCTCTGAGATGTGAGTTGCCCGTTTATCATCTCCCACAGTGGGACCAGGCCTGACAACTCCCCTCTCAAGGGTCCCCTTCCCCATCCTTCCACCTAGGAAAGGCCAGTGAGAGACACCCAACACATTTGATCCACAGTCCCTAACACCCTCACTCACCAAGACAGCGGCCAGCCTCTTGTGGGCAACTGCCCTCCACGTCCCTTGGTGCTGCCAAGTGTGAGGCTGGGAGGGGACAGATCTGCTCCACCTCCTGGGAGGGGAGGCTGCTGTGTGGCTAGGCTTTATCTGGAGGGAGTGGCTGGAATGTGATAGGAGGGCCTGGGGGGGGGGATGCTCCACCAGATGTTCCTGCTTGCCCATCCCCCACCGCAAGACTACTCCCCAGGGTTTGCTGCATGAGTGAGTGCTGTCTGTGTGTGCTGTACCATTGCTGTGGTCTTAGATTAGGAAGACCCACGTGTGGTAGAAAGGAGACAGTGCAGTGAGTAAATTTGTTCCCTTTGCCTTTCTCTGGTCAGTGTTTGCATCAGCAGTGTCTTTATAAGGGGTCTCTGTGTCTGAGGCCTCAGGACCAGTATCCAGATGTGAAGAGAGGCCAGGCAGAGTCAGAGTCCACAGTGGACCACCTCAGCTGAGATGAGGGACTAGAAAGGGTCTACTGCCCAGCCCCACCTCAAGCACTGGCTGGGAGTGTGACGCCCGACTCTAGACCCCTGGGCTGAGTTGGAGTGTGGACCCCCTACCCTACCTCTCCACTTGACTGTCGAGGGAGGTGGTGTGACACCATTGTGGCCCTTCTCCCTGTAGGCTCTGCAAAGTCTCCTCGGTTGCCATCAGGAGGCTCTGTATTTGACTGGACTTGGTGTGCTCTGATAAAGAGAAACCAGTGTCTGCTGAGCAGACAGAGTAAAGCAGGAAAGAAATAGGAGTTTGGTGACCTACACAGAAGATCATCTGTCTCTTAATGGTACCCCATCCCCTGTCTCACCCCCAAAGGCCTCCAAGAACAGGGAGGCCATGTGAGATGTGCCAGCTGTAGACGAGACACACATTCCCTCCTTCCTTCATTTTAGGTGATGGGCATGTGGTTGAGTGCGTGGAGCACAGTGTCATGGAGGTCCCTCCTGCAGGTCCACCTTCTTGGCAGCCATATGTGTTGATAAATTGCTGAGGAAGGAGCTGGGGGAAGTTGACAGGGCTTCCGCTCTTCTGTCCACAGTGAGGCTGTCTGGGAGAACATGGCACGCATGTGTGTGAAGACCCAGCGGCTGGATGTCGCGAAGGTGTGCCTAGGTAACATGGGCCATGCCCGTGGGGCCCGAGCACTGCGGGAGGCTGAGCGGGAGCCAGAGCCAGAGGCCCGGGTGGCCATGCTGGCCATACAGCTGGGCATGCTGGTGAGTAGGCAAGAGACAGACACTGCCCTTGGAGGCAGAGGAAGGAAGGTGGCCACTGCTGCCACACTTCTGAGCTGAAGCTGCCGTAAAAAGGGCAGAGGTTGCTAAGCATGGACCCTCCCTAGCTAGGGTCCCAGAAAAGCTGAGGAGGCCAACAAGGTGGGCAGGCAGAGGGCCCTGAGTCTTTCAGGGCCCTGTGGTCTGCAGAGGGGAGGCAGTAGGTGTACTTGTTAGGCTGGTTGCAAACAGAAGCCCTGTGACCAGCCTAAGCAGAGGTTGAACCTTGAGAAGACCCTGGAGGCCTCTGGTCTATTCTGGGGCCTCCTCCCTCCTGTACTTCCTTAGCGCTCACTGCACTTGTGGGTAGGGAGACAGACTGCAAAGAAGGAGTGCTGCATGGCAGGAGCACCTCACATGGCCTGCTCATTGGTAAGGGAGCACAGAAGTTCCATGGGGCTCCGTGAGAGGCTGGCTGGGTCAAAGCCTTGGAAATGCCAGGTCTTATTCTCTAGCAGGAAGCAGGAGTGTCACATGGAATATGCTAGCCCTTGGTGTGGTGTCCACATACATCCCAAGTGTCTGTCTGTCCTTGGTGCATGCTGTTCATCTGTCTCATGAGCTTGTGGTGGCAGATGCTGCCCTGTCCGCCCTCTTCTGTTCAGTGAGCATCACAGCTACTGTGACAGCACCTGGTGACATGGCCTTCTCTCATAAAATGTTCTTTCCAAAGCATCAGCACTGTAACTGTGATAACTGCCTTTCTTTATTCCTCAGGAGGAAGCCGAGCAACTGTACAAGAAGTGCAAGCGCTATGACCTCCTAAACAAGTTCTACCAGGCCTCAGACCAGTGGCAGAAAGCCGTGGAGGTTGCCGAGCTCCATGACCGCATCCATCTCCGCACCACCTACTACAACTACGCCAAGCACCTGGAGGCCAGCTCCGACTGCGTCCTGGCCCTCGGCTAGTGAGTAGCCCCAGGCCAGGGGCAGTCGGAGGGTCCTGGGATCCTCTGGGACAGGTCTTGGTTGTCACTACCTTGCTGAGTGGCCCTGGGCAGTTCTTAGAAAACAAATCTATCTCAGAGCAGCTGGTGCACTCCATTCTGGAGTCATCAAGGGGAGCACGAGCTCCATGTTGAACTGTTGACTTGTCAGTCACTGTACCACAGATCAGGCTTGGGACCCCCATGAGAATAAACATGCCATCTCTGGGGGCCTGGCCACAGGAAAACCCTTCCAGAGCAGGAGCTGTGCTTAGATCCTCTTCCCTGATCTGGAATTCATTTGAGGAATCTGAGGTGTGACTGGCCTTGACCCACATAGCACAGGACACGGTGCTGTCCACAACAGAGCACAAGCTGCAGGCCAGGTGCCACACTCCCCACAGGCCACTGCTCTGGCTCGTTTCTGTGACACAGCCTCTGATCACAAGGCTGAAACAGGGGAACAAGGTCCTCTCATCTCCTCTCCACAGCTATGAGAAGTCGGACACCCACTACTTCGAGGTACCCAGGATGCTATCAGAGGACCTGCAGTCCCTGGAGCTCTACATCAATAAGATGAAGGACATGTAAGTGTCCCGTCACCAGGTGTGCTGTGGTGCCTGGCGGGGTGCTGCCTGCCTCCCATGCGAGAGTGGAGGGTTATCCTCCTGGTTCCCAGTGCTGGTCCTCGGAGATGGAGACACCTTGAGCCTCAGGCCTCTCTCCCTTCTAGTCTTACACATCACACTGGCTGGTCTCAGAGTGAGGGGGTTGTCAGTTCTGGTGGAGGTGGGGTCCTGATGGAGACCGCACCATCCCGGGCCTGCTTCATAGGACACTGTGGAGGTGGTGGGCCCAGTACCTGGAGAGTCAGTCAGAGATGAACGCAGCGCTGCACTACTACGAGCTGGCTCGGGACTACTTCTCCCTGGTCCGCATTTACTGCTTCCAGGGCAACATTCAGAAGGTGAGCACAGACTGGGGGAATAGCTCAGCGGGAAAGCACTTGCCTAGCATGTACAGGGCCCTGAATTCCTTCCCCAGCACCACAGAAAAACAAAATACATTTCAGTTTTTAACAAGGCCAGGCACAATGGCTCATAGCTGTAATACTAGCTATGCAGTAGGCGGGGATCAAGATTGTGGTTCGAGGCCAGCCCATCTGAACCAATTACCTGGGTGTGGTGGAATGCACCTGGGCCCCAGGCATTCAGAAGGCCTTGAGTAGGAGTATCATGGTCCAGGCCAGCCCAGGCGTAAACACAAGACCTTACCTGAGAAAAAAGCTGGAGTGGAAAAGGGCCGGGAGTGTGGCTCAAGTGGCAGAGTGCCTGAGGCCCAGAGTTCAAAAAAGTGAGCACACGTCATAGGAACTGGCCCACCTGAGAGGAAGGAGGCTGATGGGTAGAGACAAAGCCTCTTTGGGGCTTTCTAGGCTGCTGAAATAGCCAACGAGACTGGAAACTTGGCTGCATCCTATCACCTCGCCCGGCAGTACGAGAGCCAGGAGGAGGTGAGACAGGCTGTGCACTTCTACACGCGGGCGCAGGCTTTCAACAACGCCATCCGCCTGTGCAAGGTAGGAAGGGACAGGGCAGCCTGGGCGGTCCAGCCGGACAGGGGCAGTGGCACCGTGCTGCTGTCTCCACGGTTCATGGAGAGCATTTCAAACACAAAGGCTGAGAGGACTGTGTTGTGAACACTCGCCGCTCACTACTCCTCACTCCCTGTCCTCCTCCCCCACCCACCGGCCTCCTCCCCACCACCAACCCTGTTTGCAAAGCACTGGATTGTCCCTGGGTGTTCCTAGGATCCGAGTCTCAGCAGTAGGCTGGCTTGTGGCTTATGGCCTTGCACACTGGCGACCCCTAATTGAAAGCTGTTGGACAGTCATGAAAATGTCCCAACCCAGGCTCACTTCTGGAATGTTCCCCAAATGGGTAAATCTTTCAGTACTGTGCAAAATAGAACAAAAAGCGTCTGAAAGTCCTGGCACACAGACAGATGCAGTAGGATCTGATGCTTGGCAATTGTTAAGAACCACAAGGGCAGATTGCCCAGCACCACTAAACAAGTGGAGGGGACTCAGGCCACCCAGCCACATCACAAACCTAAGCAGGCTTGGATAGACCGTGTTCTCCCTGCAGGAGAACGGCCTGGATGACCAGCTCATGAACCTGGCCCTGTTGAGCTCCCCAGAGGACATGATCGAGGCAGCCCGATACTATGAGGAGAAGGGCGAGCAGATGGACAGGGCGGTCATGCTGTACCACAAGGTGAGGGGTTAACCACGGTCGGAGACCCTCAGACAGCTCCTGTCTCTGGCCCTGGGACCTGAGGCTGAGGCATAGGGCAGCCCCTGAGGAGACTGAGGACTCTTGCCTTTGTGGGGCCCCAGGAGACCTTGCTGGATGAGCTCTTGGGGCCCCAGTGCTTGAGCAGCTCCTCAGACTCCTCCACTGTCCACAGGCCGGCCACTTCTCCAAGGCACTGGAGCTGGCCTTCGCCACCCAGCAGTTCGCGGCCCTGCAGCTCATAGCGGAGGACCTGGATGAGAATTCGGACCCCGCCCTCCTGGCCCGCTGCTCGGACTTCTGCGTTGAGCACAAGCAGTTTGAAAAGGCCGTGGAGCTGCTGCTGGCCGCCAGGAAGGTGCGAGGCTGCTGGGGTGGGGAGCGGCGCCACTGAGAGCTCTCCAGAAAGGCGGAGAGGCCCCTGGACGTTCACCGTGCACAGCACTGGGACTGTGCCATGAGGCAGCCTGGCTGCCCACTCCGCACGTCTTCAAATCTAACCCGGCGTACACTCACCTGGGGGCGGAAGGTGTGCACGCGTGAGCAACACACAAATGAGGTTTCCTGCCTTAGCATTTTTTAGCTTTTTTCTGGTTTTTGAGGTGGGGTCTCACCATGTTGCCTAGGCTCAAGTGGTCCTCCCAAGCTTAGCCATTTTTTAAGTGTGCAGTTCGTTAACGTTAGATACGTTCACATTATTACCCAACCGATCTCCCTACCTTTTCTTCTTGCAAACTGAAACTCTGAGCCCACTGAGCAAGCCCCACTCCTCCTCCCGCAACCTGGCAGCCCCACTCCACTTTCCGTGTCTGTGGACTTGGATCCTCTAGGAACCTGTGTACGTGGAGGCAGACAGTGCTCAGGCTCATGTCTGGCTTCTGTCCCTCATTCTCCCACCCTCTGGGTCCGCAAAGCGTAGCAGGTGTCGGCACTCCATCGTTGCGGTGGGTGGATGGACCACAGTGTGGCCGTGAGAACACGGCTGTTGTGAACATGGTGTGCTTGGGACTCCCTTCAGGACCTGCCTTCCATTCATTTCAGCATTTACCCAGGAGGGGATTTCTGGTTCAAGTGGTAACTGTTAAATTTGTTTCGGTGGCACTGGGCTTGCCTTGTACTCGCTAGGCACGGTTCTCCACCACTTGTGTTTAACTTTTTAAAGGAACTGCCAGACCATTTCCTCAGCAGCTGCACCATTTCACATCCCCACCGCAGTACCCGAGGGTTGCTGTCTCTGCACGCTCACCAGTGCGCACTCTGTGTTTTTGATAGCTCATCCATTTTAATGAGAAAAATCTCCTTGATAGAAACACACAGTGCAGATTTAGAAAATGGTTAATCAAACAAAATTAGTTCATCCAAACTGAAAGCTTTCTTCCAGAAGGCACAGTTATATGTGCAGTTTTGTTTTTTGTTACTGAGTGATAAAAGAATTCTTGCATAGCCAAAGCTGTGGCCCCCACCTATAATCCCAACTATCAGGAAGCAGAGACTGGGAGGATTGCAGTTCACGGCCAGCTCAGGCAAAAAGTTACCAAGACCCCATCTCAAGCACTAGGCTGGGCATGGCGATGCCCACCCCCCATCCCAGCCACACAGGACATAGAAAGCATGGACAGGAGGACCACGGTCAGGCCAGTCCTGGCAAAAACATCGGGCCTGTCTGAAAAAGCCTAGGCACAAGGCTGGGGCGTGGCTAAAGACCCAAATTCAAACCTCAGCACTGCTGTGTTCTTGCTCAGAAAGACCTGACAAACACAGGCGAAGGTCCTCCCTGAGGGAAGTCCACAGACTTGATCCGACCCCGGGAAGAAGACCAGAGGGTCTTCCTGACTAGCTACGCAGACTTGTCACAGTAAAAATTTAGTTGCACCACAATTACCAGGAAAAATCTGCAAGGGAGGACTGAGAGGCTGGTGATGCTCCCAGATACTTTAAACATTTTATACAAAATCTCAAACAACTGGGGTTCGGTGCATGAACCCGCATCCAGATCAGGGGACTCCAGACAGTGCGGGTGTCATCACAGCTGAGCAGAGGCTCACAGTGAAGGGACATTCTCGGCAGTGGGCGGGATGGGCCACTCAGCAAGCTGGTTGGTGCAGCAGCACTGGAGTGAATTCTCGACAGGGCAGAGGCTAAAGCTTGGCACGAAACAGCAGAGTCCTCCAGGGAGTCTTGTATGATCTTGAGAGAAAAAAGGCTTTTTCTAAGTAGCTTTCAAACCCAAAAGCTGATCAATTCAACCAAATACAAACGTGAAAATGGCAGATGGAAAAAAACACAACAAGCAAAGATAAGTTGTAAAATGGGAAAACATATTTTTAGTTATAGCCCCAAAAGCTAATTTTCTTAATGTTTGTAAAGTTCCTATAAGCCAAGTAAAAATTTATCAACAACTCAAAAGGAATGGACCAACAATAGAAACAGTTATTACATGTAGCCAGGCGCCAGTGGCTCACACCTGCAATCCCAGCTACTCAGGAGGCAGAGATCAGGAGGATCGTGGTTTGAAGCCAGCCTGGGCAAACAGTTCATGAGACCCTATCTTAAAAAACAAAAAAAACAACCCATCACACAAAAAAGAGCTGGTAGAGTAGCTCAAGGTGCAAGCCTTGAGTTAAAGGAACGTGTGGTGCTTGGTGCGGTAGTACAGACTTTGAGAGGCTGAGGCAGGGTCGCAAGTTTGAGGCTAGCTGGTCTTTTGGGAAAATGTGGTTGATTCCTGAGTGTGAAATGCTTACCCTTTTCCATAACAAGAAACACAGACCAGAGCTCAAGGAGATGCCATTGTCACAAATCAGGCTTCAAGTGACAAGGTTGGAAAAGCCATGCAAGGGTCAAGGGCTGCATGGGACATCATGCAGCACCCATCACAAGCAGGAGGCATCTCCTCCACCCAGCAGTCTGCAAGTGACAGATGCCGAGGGCGCGTGTCACAGAAGTGTTCGGGCAGCGTTAGATGGGCGAGCCGAGTGAATGAGACACGCCCTTGTCCCTTCCATGCCCAGCTCGGCCAGACAGTGGTCACACTGAGCCGTGGGGTCTGGCTTCCCCTGAGGGGCGGCCAGGCCTCGGCCCTGAGCAGCTCGCAGTGATGACCCTTCTTTCTGTGTCCCCCTGGTGAGTGGCTCTTGGTGATGACCCTTCTGTGTCCCCTGGTGCCCACCCGCGCAGTACCACAAGGCCCTGCAGTTGTGCATAGACCAGAACTTGACCATGACCAGGGAGATGGCCGAGAAGATGACTGTGTCCAAGGACTGCAAGGACCTGTCCGAGGAGTCACGGCGCGAGCTGCTGGAGCAGATTGCCAACTGCTGCATGCGACAGGGCAACTACCACCTGGCTACCAAGAAGTACACGCAGGCCGGGAACAAGCTGAAGGTGGGTCTGTGCCTCAGCCAACCCCGCCAGACACCCAACGCGCGTCCTCTGCGTTAGGCTGAGCGGGGGCGTGGCCACCCGGGCCAGAGTCGCGAAGGGCCACACTCAAGGCCTCTCAGCTGAGCCAAGCTCTCGGCTCAGCTAATGGTCTCATCAGCTCACGGAAATTCCACTGCTCTTTCTTTGCCTAGGCCATGAGAGCTCTGCTCAAGTCTGGAGACACAGAGAAGATTGTGTTCTTTGCGGGCGTCTCTAGGCAGAAGGAAATCTACATCATGGCTGCCAACTACCTGCAGTCCCTGGACTGGCGCAAGGAGCCGGAGATCATGAAGAACATCATCAGCTTCTACACCAAGGGCCGGGCGCTGGACCTCCTGGCCGGCTTCTACGACGCCTGTGCCCAGGTGCAGATCCTCGGGGTTCTAGTGGGGCCTGGGGGAGGGCGGCGGAGTCCCAGTCCTGACGGATCTCCTGGGCACAGGTGGAGATCGATGAATACCAGAACTACGACAAGGCCCACGGGGCACTGACTGAGGCCTACAAGTGCCTGTCCAAGGCCAAGGCCAAGAGCCCCCTGGACCAGGAGACCAAGCTGGCCCAGCTGCAGAGCAAGATGACGCTGGTGAAGAGATTCATCCAGGCCCGCAGGTGTGTTCCCCATAGGAGCCAGGGGCAGGGGGAATGGACGCAGGGTGTCCCAGGGACCCTCCTGCACCAGCCCAGGTTCTGTCTGCATCCATGATTCTCCACTCCTTCTCCAGGAGAGTTCAGGCTGACTGCAAGGGACCAGACCAAGCTCTTGCTTCCAACAGATGCTCTTCAAAGGAATTCCTTGGACAACTAGATAGGAATTCAGGATTTACTGATGCCTGAGACACATCTGAGCCCTTCTTAGGGGAACTCCCTCAAGACCTGGGCACCATCTTGGGAAGCTTGTTCCAGAAACACCAGAGACAGTTGAGAGAGAGACTGGGAGGGAGGGGAGGATAACACATTAGATTTGGGTCAGGAGGTATGAGCCTGGAGCCTGTGCAGGGGTCAGACAGGAGGCCCCTCCACAGTGAAGGGCACGGTATGGTCAGGCACCAGGGGCCCTGGGGACCAGAGTGCAGGTGCCTGTCCAGCTGTGCCTGCCTCCAGGCATGTGGAGAGGAGGCCTGGGTGGGTGGGCGGGTGGCACACATTGCCTTTGCTTTCAGCAGTGTCCAGGACTCTCAGTTTTCGTGTGATACTCTCAGTTTTTAATCTATCGACCGATAACTCGACTTTACAAAGATCCTGCTTGTGTGGCCATCATAGCACCTGTGGGCCACCGGGCTCAGCTTCTGCCCAAACAGGACGGTTTTTCTTATCTGAGAACAGCTTTTCAAAGGAAGAGTTCCAAAAACATTGTAAACAATGTTGTACATAGTGGACTCCTTGGAAGGGTGTCCTCCACGTGGCTAAGGTAGCTTCTGGAGTCTGTACCTGACAGTCTGCCAGCCTGAGCTGCAGGAGACAGGGGAGGAGAATAGGCAGGAAGAGGTCATCAGCCACAGGGAAAGACAGGTGGATGAAAGGAGTGGCATGTGAAGAGCAGGGTGGGCAATGCTGCAGAAGGGGTTGGTTGGGGGGCAGGCCAGGTACCTGCCTGGAGTGGCCAAGTCAGCATGGCCAGGTGGGCCCTGAACCCTCCAGAAATAGGAGCCCGAGTCCTTCACAGCTTCAGGCATCCACCCTGGACCAGGTCGCATTCTCCCAGGCCCAGGCCCAGGCTCAGGCTTTCCTCACCAGTCTCACCTGTCACCACCACATCCTCACTCTGCATAGACTCCTGTGCCCAGTCACATGCTGGCCACATGCTGGCCTATGCTCAGCCCAGCTCCTCTGCCTGACTGCCCTGGGCAAAGTTGCACATCCTCTCCACCTGCCCCTTTCCACAGTCCCCCGCTGCACTGCTCCCTGGGTTGGAATGGGATTAGTAGTCTTCAGTCATGGTGTTGAAACGCAGGACCTGGTGCTGCAAGTGATCAATATTTGTTGAAAGAATGATTTATGAATTAGCAAATTAAGGGATTAATTCACGGGAATTACCTTCATAAAAAAATGTCATCTGGCCATTCCTCAGAGCCACTCCTATTGGACAGGAGCCTGTTCTGGGGTCAGGTTCAAGCCTTGTCTGTCCCTGGGCAGGACCTACACAGAGGACCCCAAGGAGTCCCTAAGGCAGTGTGAGCTGCTTCTGGAAGAGCCAGACCTGGACAGCACCGTCCGCACTGGAGACGTCTATGGCTTCCTGGTGGAGCACCACGTGCAGATGGAGGAGTACCAGATGGTGAGGCCGCCCTCTCCTGGTGTCCCCAGGCCTGATGCTTGAGGGTTCAAATCCGCCAGTTACTGTTTCCCTCGATGTGACGGGCTCACTTCGTTCATTCTTGAAGTGCGTGCCACACATCCATGTGTGAACAACCAGGTTATCTCCGTTTTTAAGTATAAAAAAGTATTCACGTAAGTGACTGATTTAGCACACGCCTGACAGCAGTGTTCTGCCTCGTGTTTGCCAGCGTTTGTGTGGTCATCCTGGTGGCAACAGTGGTGGCGTCTGGTGGCTTTCGAGTCTTCATGATGACATGGTGCTGAGCATCTCACGTGCTTAAGTCTTTTCTGAATCTTCTTCTTGAGGTGATCAAACCTTTACTGCCATCTTACTTGGTTCATTTTCTTACTGTCCTTTATATCTCTGTCCCTTCTGAGATACATCTCCTTTGTCAATATATGATCTGCAAATGTCTTCCCCCAGACTGCAAGGAAGCTGCTTCTCTTCCTTCTCTTCTCTCCTTTTGGAGCTCCAACTTCTTGTGCCTGTTGTCATCCAGCTCAGCACACTCTTCTTGCCCAGTATTTTGTTTTCCATGGTGCATAGCTGCTGTTGCTATTGCTTGAAGTTCACAGTCTTTCTGCAGTGTCTACTCTCATGTGTGATCCCATCCAAGTTTCTCATCTTAGACTTTCATTGTTTTCATCGCCAACCCTGACTTGGCATCTTCTCAACTGAGGAGATGCACCTGCTGGGTCCAGGCGTACACAGGTGCTTCCTGACCCCAAGGTCTTCCTGAGAGCAGACCTTGCAGTCTGCTCTTCACTCTGCCCTCTTCCACATGTTGGCCCTTCCCTGAATTCTGCTGCTGCTGGACCTCAGCCAGTACCCTCTGCTCACCCTATCGTAGGCTTGTTCTTTGTGCTTGTGTCCTGGCATCTGTAGGCAACTTAAAAATGCCTAGTGACTCATTTTTCCATCCCTGGAAGCTCACACTCAGCTGCCCACCACCCCTGGTGGAAGTCTCTGAATGTGGGTTGATGGTTTGATGTCATAAAGCCATCCAAAAAGCACATTGTATCTTTATTTTCATCTTTTATGATCCTTACAGACATAGTCATCTTTCTGTTTATTAGTTATAGGGCTGAAAGAATGGCTCAAGTAGTAGAGTGCCTGCCTAGCAAGTACAAGGCCCTGAGTTCAAACCCCACACCACCAAAAAAAATCTGTTTTTTCCAAGATAAAATTGTTCTAAGAGTTTTGCCATCTTTAAGAAATACTAAGATCATGCTAGGCAGGGTGGCTCATGGATATAATCCCAGCTACTCAGGAGATAGAGACAGGAGGATCTTGAGTTCGAGGTCAGCCCTGGCAAAGTTAGCAAGACCCTGTCTCAGAAACAAAATACAAACAAAAGGGCTGGGGTCTTGGCTCAGTGGTAGAGCTCTTGCCTGCCATGTGCGAGGCCCTGGTTTCAATCCCCAGTACCGAAAATAAAATTAAACTAAACTAAAACCTGAGATCTAACCATTATTCCTCATACAATATGAGTCATAAATGTTTAAAGTTGCTAGAAATTTTGGTCACATTCTGAACTCACATTGAGGAAGCCACATGAGGCCCCATTCCCCCCACCTTACGCGTGTGTGGCCCTCAGAGGACGAAGGTGCTCTGCAGGAGGCTAAGCCTGTCCTGCCCCAGGCTGCCCACTCTACGCTGCCATGTGGCAGGACCAGAGGAAGCCTCCCTCACAGGAACTTCCGCAGCCACTGGCCTAGGCTCATGGACCATTCACACAGGAGGCTCAGATTAACCACAGGCCCAGTGGACTGGGGTAAATCGGATGTTTGATGAAAGTAAGACAGACATCAGTGTTGTTGCCAGCCCTCTATTCTGACAAGCACATGCCCTACAGCGGATGAACTGGCCTTTTCTCTGGCAGGCCTCTGTGTCCAGGGTGAGCAGGGGGACACAGCTATAGAATTCAAACCCAACTTTTGTGTCCCAGCTACCAAAGGACTCATGGGGTTCTGGTTTTCAGATGTTCAATACTGATCACAGCTTAGTGTGAGCTATTCAGAGCCCAAAACACATGCCATTCTCAGACCAGTGACCCCAAGTGCCCCTTATAGGGAAGACCTTCTTCTTTGCTGGTGGCCAGAAGCAGGGATGCTTTGCCCTGGCCGCAAGGATGGCGAGCCAGGTACTGTGTGCTTAGGGCACCTCTTTTCTGTGAAGGAATGAGTTGGCGCCCGTGGTTCTCTTGTGGTCTAAACAAGTAAGTGTTGTCACATCCACCTGGCCTTTGAGTGACAGCTGTTATCTCTGCCCTAGGCCTATAAGTATCTCGAAGAGATGCGGAAGAGGCTTCCTTCTGCTAACATGTCATACTACGTGGAGCAGGGCACTGTGGACACTGTGCACCAGAGCCTGGGCCTCCCTCTGCCACGCATGGCGCCCGAGAGGGTCCGCCACAACAGCATGGAGGACCGCAAGGAGGCGGAAGAGGAGGTGGGGGAAGAGGTAGAAAATGACCCCTAATGGGCCTAGGCCCCCAGCAGCTGGCCAGCGTCTTGCTGCTGGGAGAGCTACTGGAATTTGGTTCTATTCAGCAGTAGTAGCAAACGCAGCTCTTTTGTTGGAAGAAAACCATTTCTGTATCGCAGCACGTAAGCAGGCAGTGGGCCACGGGGCCCAGGGGCCCAGCCTCCCTGGGTCTTCCGCACTTCCGTGTTTACAAGACTGCTAGATCTTTAAACACCCCTTCAGCATTCCTGTCTCTGGGGGCTGCTTGGTGGCCCCTGTGGATTGCTGGTTTAGTTCTTTTAAGAGAGAGTTAGATTTGTCTTTCCCAGTGTTCTCCCAGCTATAGACTGTGGTACCTAAGAAACCTGTAGAACTCGGTGAATTGGAGATGCAGCTGGGGCTTGGGGACACCTGTTACTGCTAACTGTGCCCACAGTGACTTGACTACTTGACAGTTCCCAGAGGGGCCTACAGGCGCTGCCTTGAGCAGGTCTGAGCCTTGACAGCTTTGCCTTTCTGCCACCGGTAGGGGGACGCCAGGCCCCACTTACTCATCTGTTGGCTGCTGACACACCTGTGACTCCAATAAAGTCTATTTTCTCAGAGAAAATAAAAGTGTGCCCTTTCCTGCCCCCGCCACTTCACGACTGCCCACTGAGGACCACAAAAGAGGAGTGCAATGCCTGCTGCTGTTTATTCTCCTGGATAGTGCTGACAAGCCCAGTGCTGTGGAGCCAGAAGGCTAAACCTGCTCTTCCATTCTGGCACCCTGCAGGAGTGGTGGAGGGTGAGCAGCTGCCTCCTTTCTTCCCTCCTAAGGTCCCTGACCAGAGCCTGCCGGTCCTGGACTCGGTGCCCCTAGCCCCAAGCTCCAGTCAGCATTCAGGCTGCTCTGTCCTGTGGGGGCAGTTTGGAGTCCTTGCTGTGGGCACACTGTTGCTGGATGCCCCTCCAGATCTGGTGCACTGTGAAGCCCAGGTGTTGCCCAGGCCCGCTCCTGGGGGCCTTACTTTCTTCCAGGAGGGTTGGCCAGGGTCCATCTGGGGCCCTTGAGGCAGGAACCCACGGGACTAGGGAGAAGAGAGGGGGAGGAGCGTGTCTTTGAGTCTCTCCAGAAGCAGCAGAGCCCTCACTGCCAGCTTCCTGCAGTCCTCGTCCGCGTCCTTCTCGGCCACGTCTGCCAAGGTGGAAATGAAAATGGAAACAAGCATCATCACCGGGCTGCAGGTTCTTTCACTTAGCGTCTTCCAGGCCTCTCCCTGAGGTCCCACCTCACACGCCTGGCAAAGGCTCTCTACCAGGCCCTTCCATGGGGGCGGTGGACTGGGCCAGATGACAGACACTTCCACTGCGAGGGACCAGACTCTAGTTCAGTGGCACAGCCCAGCCACCCCTGGCACTGACCTGAGATAAAACCAGCCCCAAGGAGAAAGATGGCTCCCTGAGTCCCTGCAACTCTGCCAGACACCAGGCCTGACACACAGCAGGAATAGGGCTGGGGCCCTCTCACAGGGGCTTAGCAGGCTGCAGCCACAGAGAAGACCCTAGGAGTTCGCAAGGGGTTGCCTGCTGCCTGGTCAGAAATCATGAGCTGCCCCTTGACTCTCAGGATGAGCCTTATCTTGGCTGCAGCTGTCATGCAGGGGCCCTCACCATGGTCTCTTTAAACCCAAGGGCCCTGGCGCACTGCCAGGAAGTTGTGCTGGTGGCGCTAGTCCCCAGGACTGGGAAAACACCGTAGCCAAACCAGGATCCCATATTCTTTGGGAAAAGTCCCTCGGGGAGTCTGTCTGGATGACCATTCCCAGCCTCGGTGCTGCCCTGACCACACGGGAATGAGCCCTCTGCCTGGAACCGCTCCACATTCTGAGTGAAAGTGACCAGCTGAGGTCTGGTGCCTCCAGTGGTCTTGGTACTTCTGACCCCAAGTCCCCAGGGAACTACAATGGGAACCCTTGGGGAAGCAAGACGCCTGGGGCCTGCAAGCAGAGTGGCTTCCTCCCACCCCCCCCAGCCCCTGCCACGGCCCCACTCCTTAGGGGACTTCCTCCTCTGGCTGTGACAGGAAGCCACCACGAGCACCCTGAGCAAGTCAGCGCGAGCGCACTCGTGAGAGGAAACGATGCTGTGGGCAGGGGCTCCGGGCACGCCTCCCTCTCCCTCAAGGGAAGGTGGGCCCCGTTGGAGCCCACCCTGCTGCTCTGACATACAAGCTCTGGCATAAGCACATGCTCGTAAGCCTAGCACCCAAGCCCAGCTACCGGCAAGGGGACAGGGGAGGGCCCAGCCCCACACTGTCCATCAGCCCTCCTCCCTGCTCCTTCCCAGCGGTGGGTAGTTCACCTGCTCCACTTCCCATTCAGACCATGACCATGCCCTGGGGCAGGAACCAGGAGAAGCATGGCTGGGACAGAATGCATACACTGTCCTGCCAAAACCACAGGAAAGACAACTTTCCTCCAGAGATCCTTCCTGGACTCTCTCTCCCCCACACCCCCCCACCGCAGGTGGCTGCAGCCTGTGGCCTGAGGCTCAGCCTTGCGCAGAATGGCTGGCTGACCAGCATGTAGGGCCTTCTATAAGCCAACTGGGAAGCCTCAGACACAAAGAACAGAAGATGCTCAGGGTCCAGGGCCGGCCAGAAGCCCAGAGGCAGAGCAGCCATGCTCACCTGTGGGCCTCAATTGGATCCTGCATCAGGGCCAAACACAAAGAAAAAGATACCACTGGAAAACTGGGCCTCTGTGTCTCGATGTCCTATACCTGTGGTTCCCAGGATGGTCATGGGGTCCTGTTCATAGGTCCACTCAAGAGCCTGGTGAAGGGCCACAGGGTCTACAACTGACTTTTTAGAAAGAATATGTCTGGGGAAGGGTGTGGTGATGCATGCCTGTAATCCCAGCTACTTGGGAGACAGAGGTAGGAGGACTGGGGTCCAAGGCTGGGCCATGCAAAAGCATAAGAACTACCTCAAAAACTAAAGCAGCAAGGGCTGGGGTGTGGCTTAAGTGGTAAAGCACCTGCCCAGTCAGCAGTAGGCCCCAAATTTAAACTCCAGTGCCACAAAAAGAAAAAAAAAAAAAAAAAAACAGTATGTATGGGAGGAAGGGACAAAATGTGGAAAGGCTTTGGTGAGTCTGGGTAAAGAGTCCCAGCATTCGCTCTAGTCCCGCATAACCTGTCTGGATTTGGGATCCTTCTGAAGAACAGACTCCCGTGTGAAGGTGCCTCCGTGGTTCCCCAGAGTGACCATGGCCACTGTCTCCTGTTCCCCACACTGGGGTCACCGTGCGATGCCAACAAGGAGGGACATGCCCACTCAGACTGGCTGGCCTACACCTGGGTTGCTCCAGCCACTCCACACCCCCTGATGACCTCCTGCCCACCTGGCTGATGCAGCCCAGGCCAGGTACTAACCTGCCAGCCAGGACCTGGCTTCCAGGAGCTCATCTGGCAGGTCCCCCAGTAGTCGCTCTGCAGGTACGCTGAGGAGAACAGAGGAGATGGCAGACAGCAAGCCCTGGCGCACGTAGCTACCAAGCAAAAGGGTAGAAAAGTATGAGGCGTGGCTCTTGGTTGGAGTCCCTAATTGACCTGCAGCGACTGTGGGGACGGCACGCCTCCCAGGGAGACCTTCTGCCCCGAGTCCAGCAGACTGACGTGTGGCAAAGCACCCTCCAGCCCTGTCCCCAGTCCCCCACTCAGCACACTTCGTGTTTGAGAAGTGCCAAGCCAGCTACATCAGAAGCCCCATAGGCCACTCACGTGTCAGCGTGGAAGCGAAGAGCCCACACGAACTCCAGCAGGGCCTTGCCCATGGGCACAGCCACCTAGAGACCAGAAGAGGGACAGGTGGGCAGGGATCCCTGCCATGCCCATTTATCACGCTGACACCCAAAGGGGACTTCCATGCTGGGCGCCAAGGTCGGGGCTCATCTGTGCCAAGGGGATATGTATGGTGCACTGTGGAGCTCTGCGTAGGCCTGTCCCCAGGGCCAAGGGAGAGGAGGATGCACCCTAGGTGTGCAGTGCTTCACGTCCATGACCTCGGCCATCCTGTCCTGCACACAGGCAGGGGGATGGACAGGCCACATGGGGCTCAGGCCATCCTAGGAACACTCGAGGTGATCCCCACACTCCACCACCACGAATGCAACATGGAACCCATTTCCCAACTCACTGTGGTATTAACAGCCAAGTACATCAAGGCCCCTAAGGTATGGGTCAGTCTGCCAAGAACCAACTGGTCATGTCCCAAAAGGTCAAAGGTCACCAGAGGTCTACAACACAGAAGGGAGCAAATGGTGCAGCCCTGGCACCTCAGGGGTCTGGCTGCCTAACCTGGGCTACTGAGGGAGTCCCAGGCCTGCCCTCACACAGCGCAGGACAGCCATACAGAGGAGGTACTCCAGATGTCCCAGCACGCTCCAAGTGTAAGCCAGCCCTGGTTCAGAAGTATCCCCCACTGTTGACCGAGAGCTCACAGCCTGAGTGTGGGGCAGGGCCCAGCTCCGGCAGATGTAGAAGGAGGTGCGGTGGCAGGTAGAGGACCAGGCAGCATCTGCTGGCATTCATGGTACCACAGCCCCCCCCACAGACCCAAGAAAGAACAGTGACAGCAACGACTAACCCTCACCACAAAAACTCAACGGCAGAACATTGCATGTCATTTAACATGCTTACAAAGTTCAAAAGCCCCACCTCAGCCCTACCCCGCAACACTTCGCGTCTACAGGGTGTGTTTAGAGCTCTGGGAAACCCACTCACCTGTCGAAGCGTTGAATGAGGGGGAAGAAGAAGCAGCCAGCCACAGAGTTGAAGTCACTGGGGCTGCCTGATAGCTCCCGCCGGGAAGAGCCCTGCCAGACACACGCGGCTCTCATCAAAGGGCGAGGCCATTTCCACCTTGCACAGGACACCTGGGCCAGGAGGCCTTGGAGCCCTGGGGCTGGCCCTGACTCCCTAGGCTCCACCTCAGCCTGGCTCCATGGTCCCACACAGAGGGCAACGGGACTCAGGCTGCTGTGACTGATGCCTGAGAGTCCCAGTCCTGCACACCTAACATTCAGAGCTGACGGTCTTCACAGTGAGGCCACCCTGGGCCCTGCGGCATGCCACTAGCCCCCCTGGCCTCTAGCCCCACCCCCATAACAACTCCTACTGTCTCCAGACATTGCTAAAAGCCCCAGCAGAAGGCAGGACCACCCCTGGTTGAGAGTACTCAGCACCCAGCAGGCCACTGATTTGCTGCTTCTGGCCTGGAACCTTTCCGTCTGCTTCCACCACTTCCACTCATATTCAGTTGTTGGTCTGTGTTTGGTGGCACTGGGGCATGAACTCAGGGCTTGCCCTTGCTAGGCAGGCGCTCCACCACGAGCCATGCCGTGGCCCTTTAAAAGAGCAGGGCTGACTTGCCTTTGTACCATCAAGTCTCACTCCAAGGACACCAGTGCCACAGCCATTCCTTCCCTAGGACTGGGCTGCCCCTCAGTGCAGATAGTGCCTGGAGGAATCTGCTTCTCCTAATGCCCAAAGAACCCCATGCCTGTGAGGACCTGAACAGGGTCCCAGCTGACCTTGGAGAACCGCCGGGTCTTGCTTTTGATCCGCTCCTCCACAACCACCCGCCAGTCAGGAGCTGCGCCACTACCAGACTGAGAGACAGCCGGTACTGGTGAGCTCTGGGGGCCGGGGCCAGGAGAGCCACGCTGCAGAGGCCGCCAGAGGCGCCCTGGGCGAGACAGCTCCTGGGCAGCCAGAGTCAGGACCTAAGGGAGACGAAAGACTTCATGGCTCTGAGGAAGGATGATGTAAAAGTGACCAGTCAAGTACCCAAAGTCCAGACCAGCGATGATCCTCGGTAGCCCTCGGGGTCTACAGGAAAACAGGTAATGTTCTGGTAACCACAAAGTGTCTCCAAGAATCTGTGAAGCTCCGGCTTTGCTTGGGGGTGGAGGGGGCAGACAAAAGTAGGCTGAGTGCTCCTTTGAGATCACAGAGTACCCAGGCCAGTGTGCCACTCTTCCTACAGCTCACCCAGTCCTCCCTTCCCCCAGAAGCTCAGCCTCACGTTAAGATGAAGCCCTGCACAAGCCATGTGTGAAAGAGCTCAAGAACATGCCCAGCAAAGGAAGCCAGCCTCAAGACATCACATCATTTCTCCCTGCGAGGCACCAGTTTAGCTGAATGCGCTAAACACCACTGGATTATTTTAAGACGGTGCATTTTTGGTGTTTTCTTAGTTTTACTGTGGTAAACAGCATAAAATTTAGTTTTAACTACTCTTAAGTAGAGGTCAGTGGTGTGAAGCATGTACACGATTTTGCCCAGTTGTCCCTGTCACCCATGTCCTCAAACAGAAACTCTGTCCTTGCTACACACTGGTCCCCCGGCCCTGTCTCTCCAGCATGCCTACTCCAGACACTGCACGGTCATGCCACATGTACTCTTTTTGTTTGTTTGCTTGGGTGTTTTTTTTTTTTTTTGGTAGTACTGGGGTTGGAACTCAGGGCTGCACTTGCTAGGCAGGTGCTCCGCCATTTGAGCCATGCCTCCAGTCAACATGCACTCCTTTGTGACTGGCTTTAACATTAGGGTTTTTAGGTTCGTAGATGTTGTACCATGTGTCAGAATATCATTCTCTTTTGTTTTTCATATAGCTGGAAGATATTAAGCCTTTGGGAGACCACATTTATCTTTCAGTGGGGATTTTTATAGTGAGAAAAATATATCAATAAAGCTGTTACTTAAAAGACACAAACTGAAGAACAAACTCAGCACTGGAGCCCCTGGCCTCTCACCCGTGAACCTACATAGCAGCTGCACTCAGACCACAGGCAGGGTCAGGAGGGAGACTTAGGGAGACCTTGGTCACTGTCCACATGGGTTTTTGACCTCCCACCGTACGGCAGCTTAGGCCTGTTGGGGGCAGTCCAGGGCACTTACGTCCAGGATGTCCATGCGCTGCCGGATGCTGTAGTTCAGGGCGTAGAACTGCGAGGTCAGATACTCGGCTACCTGAGCCAGGCAAAGGAGATGCCACTGTGGACCAGGCCTCCAGAGGCCCCAGGGCGGGAGGTGAGGGCCATCTCCAGGTTCCGCAGAGCCAGCTTGAGCACAGATCGGGGACCTTCAAGGTGCTTCCCACTGCACCTGCCCTGGCCAGAGCCTCAGTGCTAGGACTCACCTGGGCCGGGTCTGTGACTGTGACAGCTACCAGGGCTCTTTGACGCAGGTTCTCAAATCCTGCTGTGCAGGTCCTCTCCTCCAGATGCAGCAGCACCTTGGCCAGCTCCACACTCACCTGTACGCAGGGGTTAGGTCTCAGAGTGCCTTCAGCCCCGCCAAGCCACCCAACCCAGACAACTGGCCTCGGCTCAGAGAGCCTGGGCCACTCAGCCTAGCAGAGGCTCAAAGGCTTCCTGGGATACTGCTGCCAGCCAGCTGTCTTTCCTCCATGACACAGGATGCAGACAGTACAAGGGCAGCTACCACCATGGGACTTCCCAACCTTCTGCTCTGCCCTGACACTCCCTCCTGCTCACCTCCCTAGTGGCCTCAGGGCTCTTGTAGACCAGGCCCTCAAGGGCCTGCAGGGCCGCCTCCCAGCGCTCCATGTCCTCAGATGTAGTCAGGGCTGCACAGAACCCAGACAGGCCTCAGTCTCAGCTCTGGCCCTGAGCAAGGGGGAGCAGGTGGGCCCACTGTGTTAGGCTGGCAGGTGGCTCCAGGACAAGGAGAGGATGGTCAGGCTCAGGCACAGAGCCAAGAGCTGTGGGGTAAGACCCATGCATGACCCCAGCAAGACTCACCTTCCACACAGTCCCGGACATACAGGGGTGCCTTGCTGCTCTTCAGCTCTTTGTCTACTGACATGTCATAGGGGATGAACTCATCATCACTGTGATGAGACAAAACAGCCCCAGTGAGAGCAGTTTCTGACTCAGGCAGCTCAGGCTGCAGTGAAATAGAGCTGAGGCACATATTTCAGTCTGAAAGCATGACAGCATAGAGTGCTGGGAGCGGGCAAGCCCTTGCAGAGTACCCCTCTTACTACACAAATAACTCATTCAGCTTGCCCTACTGTGTGGCCAAAGTGCCACACTTAGCCACCCTTCAGTCCCACCAGAGGCTGGAGGATCCCTGCCCTACCTGTCCAGCTCTGAATCGGAGCCCTGTGGCTCAGTCGAGGAAACACCACCATCCACAGACGCTGCATGAGTCTCTGCAGGGGTCTCTGTGGCAACAGGAGCCAGGAACGGGCCCCTAGGAATAAGGAGGAGCAAAGCTTTCGGATCACCCATGTAAGTCTGGGCTCCACACGTCCCAGTGATGCTCCTGGCACCCCCACCCACATCTTCCCTAACCTCTGTACTGGCCGCTGGGGTCCAGGACAACTCAGTCTCAAATTGGGGACTAGGGATGTAGGGATCCTCACCCTGCCTCCGAGGAGCTGTCACCCGCAGGTTGGGGGGTGGCCAAGGCCAGCATCTCACGGCTCAGCTCATCATCTTCATACTACAAGTGCAGACACGCTGGAATTGGCGACACCCACAGGCTGCAGGTGCCATCTCACCCAAGGGACAGCCACAATCAGGTCTTGGACAGCCAGTTGCCTTTTTTTAGGCAGTACTAAGGATTGAACTCAGGGCCACGCATTTGCTTGGCAGGTCCACTACCACTCGAGCCACTCTGCCATTGCAACCAGTCACCAAATTTTCTAAAGCAAACTACTTGGGCTGAGGGTAACACTGAGTGTGCTGAAGCCAGAGGGTCACCTCCTGAAGGGGCTGGGGCTGATCCTGGTGGGATGCCCCTGAAGATATCCCAGGGGCTCAGCAGATGAGGGAAGGGGACATCTGCCAGCACACAGCCCAGTCAGGCAGAGCCCAGCACAGTCAGGGACCTGTGCTGACCATGCCAGGTAGGACCCACACTGATCAACAGGAAGCAGAGGGGCTGCTTTGCCAGCCCAGAGCAGACAAGGCTTGTTGCCAGTTTGACTCAGGCCCCCCAGACCCAACAGCCCTTGGCAGAGCAACTCCAAGACAGGGGCTCCTTGTCCTGGACTACATTTAGATCCCTGTCTAGAGGAGTTTATAATGCATGCAGGCAACCTGCCCGGGTTGCCTGAGGTCACGCTCATGCACTGCCCCATCCCTGTGTGAACCCCCAGGAACTGAGGCGACACCTGCCAGCACCTTGAGCCTTGGCCCTCAGCGTGGCCAACATGGGACACTCCCCAAGCCTGAAGTAACAGCCAGGGAGACCCAGACTCCTGCCATAGATAGAGGAGGCCGTCCTGCTTGCCTGGAATTTCAGGGGGGGGCCCTCAGGGTGGATCCGGGAGCTGATGACTTCGGCCACTATCATGCCCAGGTGGCGTATGGCAGGCAGGCTGCTGTCGAGGCGACATTTCACACCTGCCATCATGCTGGCCAGCAACTCTGCAAGCACCAGACATGCACCCTGAGGACTCCTCGGCCACCCAGGGCAGAGGTATACCCATGCCACCTGCTCACCATCCTGGCTGTCTCGCAGCTCTGGCTCCCCCAGGTGCGCCAGGCAGATGAGGATGGCTGTACTGATGTAGCGCTGCTGTGCCAGGGGCGCATGGCGGATGGCACTGCTGCTGCCCCATGTCTCCAGCAGCTCCTTCAGCACCTGGCAGGCAACATAGCCCCAGCCTGGTCAGGCAGCTACTCTGCGATGGCCCAGGACCACACAGATCCATGCCAGTTTGTCACAAAATACCCACAGCCACTCCCGGGGCTCTAGCACGAGCAAACAACCCTTGCCCTCTCCACCAGAAGATGTCCCCTCCACAGTCCTCCAGGGGACACTATGGGCGTTAGAGGGATAGGCAGCACTTACCTGTATGAGGAGCGGACGCCGCTGGCTGTCCATGGCCAGGTACCCCAGCAGGCTCTGCAGCACTGACGTCTACAAGAAAAGCCTGTGTCCTCTCTACCAAGCAGACATCACCCTCTATACGACTGCCCACCCCTCATGGGGGGATCTGGGAACTGACAGCTGTTGTACCCAGGAGCCCAAGATATGAATGGGTCTGGGCTGGAGACAACAGTGAGTCCAGAGGCTATGCTTCACCTCCTACTAAGAGAAGCCACAGGGAAGCACGGATCTCACACACAAAACCAAGAGCACAGGCTTCCTGGGCACCCTCTGCTTCCACACCCGTCAGTCTGGATGTATAATTTTTCTTTCTTTTTGGCAGGGTCTCACTAGATAGCCCAGGCTGGCCTTCTACTTATGATCGTCCTACCTCAGCCTTCCAAGTGCTGCGATTATAGGTATGCGCCACCACACCTGGCTTGAGCATGTAATTTTTCTAAAAAGATTTTCCACTTCATCCAAGTTTGAAAATTGCCTGTCATTGAGTTACTCGCTGTGTTTCAGATTTTCTGTCTCTCACAATAGTCACACTCAGTTCTGGGTCTCTGCATCTCAGCCTGCCTCTAGTTCAACTCACCTGGGTGCGTTTTCCCCATCAGTACGTCCCCCTCTGACATTAGCTTTCTCTACTCTATTTGGGCTTCTCCCTTTGGGTAGATTCAATGTTTGGTTCATATTTCTTTTTACAATTTCCTTCTTTATTCACAGTGTTGGAGGTGGAGAATTTCCCTGTCATGTATTTTTACATGGAACCATATTGCCGGCCCAGCTCTAAGAAGTCATTTTTACTGTGTTTCTTACTCTGTCTGGGTTACTTTATTTCACAACGAATTGTAAAATAGCTAAGATACCCTCTTTTCCTACAATTTCTAATTTGAAAACACTATCATCCAGAAATGACCACAAGACATTCACTGTGTACCCGTAGTATTGCTCTGAGGCCTTTTCCTGTTGCTTTGCTTATGTTCTAGGGCTTGAATCCCTGAAACTGTTGGTTCAAGGACACTGAATGCTGCAAGGACAACCTCCTCCCAATCTTGGCTTCCCAAATAGCTAGGATCACAGATGCAAACCACCAGCACCTGGTTTCTTCCTTAATTATTAATGATCAGTGATTCAGGGCAGTCCTCGCCCTGCCCCAGCATTCTCACCTTGTGTCCATACTGCAAGAACAGAAGCTTCCGGGTCATCACAAACTGGGCTTTTTTGTTCTTCACCACCAGGTTCCCCAGTAGTCGAGACAGGACTTCAGGTCTGCAGGTCAGGGTCAGGAAGGGCCCAAGTTACAAGTCAGCCTTGGACGAGGAGGTATGGGGAAGCACATAATCCAATGATGACAGGCCTGGGTCCTGCCACCTGCTCACTGTGGGAGCTTTGAGTGAGGCCTCCAACAACCTGAATGGTCCTTAGCCTTCCCTTTTCCTAGACCTGAATGTAGAAACCCAGAAAGAGCCTATATCCGATGCTAAGAGGATCAACACAAAATGTTGTCCCTTCATTTTTTTTGGGTAAAAAACCCCCCAAAAATAAAGAAAACCTATATAAACTGATGTACGGCCTCAGAGTAGGGAAGGGTAAGATGGAGACAACCCAAGGATAGGATTCAGAGCCCTAAGTGGTGCTCTGGTATGAAGTGCTCATGACAGCAAGCAGGACATCTTTTTTTTTTTTTTGCTGTACTGGGGCTTAAATTCAGGGCCTATACCTTAAGCCAATCTACCAGCCCTTGTTAGTGTTTTTTTTGTTTTGGTTTGGTTTTTTTGTGATAGGGTCTCATGAACTATTTGCCCAGGCTGGCTTCGAAATTCGATCCTCCTGATCTCTGCCTCCTGAGTAGCTAGGATTATAGGCACAAGCCACCAACACCCAGTTCAAGAAGGCCATCTTTATGAAGTCCAAATCTTCTAGGCAGTGGTGGCTCATGTCTGTAATCCTACTTACTTGGGAGACTGAAATTGGTAGGATCGAGATTTGAGGTCAGCTTGGGTAAATAGTTTGACTCCATCTCCAAAATAAACAAGAGCAAAATGTGCTAGAGGTGTGGCTCAAGCACTAGAGCACCTGCTTTGCAAGTGTGAAGACCTGAGTTCAAATCACAATCCCACAAAAAAAAAAGTCCAAGTCCAGTGACACCTTCAGGAAAGAGTTCAAACCTGTGTGGAAGCTTTAACAAACTAACACCAGGAATCCAATATAAACACAGGCAAAGGATATCAGCAAGAAAGAGAAACACAGACGTCTTAACAGACACCCTCACAAGAACCAAAGAAGGCAAAGTAAATATCAAGGTGCCACTTTGGGGCCAAAAGACAGCACTTGAGAGCATGCCCATCTTAAAGCAGGTGACCTGGTCCAGTCTGCCTTGCCTCCAGGAATGCAACTGGTATGTACACAAAGACCTAGGCAGAAGGAGTCACCACGACCCTGTGTCAGAGACAAAGCCCAGATGGCTCAACAGTCACAGCAGGGAACGCAAGTCCCTGTGTTACAAGGGTGAAGCGGATGTGCTAATGTGTGCAGAAAGGCCACTACAAAAAGAAGACCACACGGCCTGGAAGCCTCTACGGGCTGCTTTTCATTCATACATTCCTGGTGGATCAGCACTTTGTTTTTTTTGCAGTACTGGGGTTTGAACTCAGGACCTACACCTTGAGCCACTCTGCCAGCCCTGTTTTTATTGTGTTGGTTTTTTTCAAGATGGGGTCTCATGAACTATTTGCCTGGGCTGGTTTAAATCAAGATCCTCCTGATCTCTGCCTTCTGAGTAGCTCGGATTACAGGCTTGACAAACCACCACCCAACTGGATCAGAGCTTTTGATAATGTCTATGCCATTCATTTTTCCTTTTTTCTTCTTTTTTTGAGGTTCAAACCCCAGTTCGAACTCAGGGTCTTGCACTTGCTAGGCAGGCGCTCTACCACTTGAACCACACTCTCAGCCTACTGTTCATTTTGGAAAACTAAACAGGACCATCAGACTGCAAAATGCTGTGGCCTTGGCAGTCTGTGGTCTACTTGGGTGTGGACTTGGGGAGCCAACCAGGCTGGAGTTCATTCTGTACCGTGCAAGGGACACACATGGAGGCCCCAGTGGCGATGATAAAGGCAGGAGGCACAGCATGTGCATTTGTGCAACTATGGTCAGTCTGAGACAGCAAAGCTAAGGGAAGACCAGCCACCGGACACTGTAAGCACCTGGGTAGAGGGCACAGAGCTATACTATGGCACCCAGTGAAAGTGGCACAGAGAATGGCAGCAGCAGTGGAGTCTCCCCTGCCCCCGAGAGAAGTGCTGGCTGGGAGGAACACCTTGCTACTTACCCTGGACTGGCCTCCACAAGCCCAGTCAGCACAGCTTCCATGGCCCGGTCAGGTACTTGCTCCACCAGGCGCCAGCAGACACGCTGCCACAGACAGCTGTCCTGGGTGAGCTCTGTCAGCCAGGGCACCAGCACACCCAAGATCTCCTCTGAAGGGACACAGAGGTCCTGAGCTTCAAGATCTGTGCTTGGCAGTGCTGTGGTGTATCCAGCCCCACAGCCTCACACACTCACACTAAGTGCAGTCAACATTCAGACCTGACATCAGCAGGGTCACTCAATGAAACCCCACTGAGGGCTGGAGTCAGCTTGCCTGTCACTGCTGTGGAATGCACAGTGATTCGTGCCTCCCCCCAAGGGAACTTCCCAGGAGTCTGAGGGGGTGGGAAAGTGAACAGGTGCTGCTTTCCCCCCAAGGCAGGCACCACTCACTCTGTCTCCCCTGGATGCAGACCTTCCCCAGAACTCGAGACACGAAGGAGACAGAGCAGTCCTGGCCACCTGGGATAGAAAGCAAGACTGATTGTAAAGGCAGAAAGGACATTAAGGACATCTGACTAAGGAGAGAGACCTCGAGCTGTGAACACAGTGGTTCACGTGAAATGAGTGTGCAAGCACCAACCAGTCTAACACCAGCCTGAATCTACATGGGCTGTTTTTAACTTGAAAATCCAATCATAGTGTGCTTCACACACATTGGCCCAACTCTCGCTATGATCCTACCAGGTCAGGATGAGCATAACATTACCAAGGAGAAGACGGTACTGAGCGGGGTCCCAGTCGAGAGACCAGCTATGAAGAGCAACACGGGGCTCTGGGCCTGGCAGTGGGCACTGAAGCATTGCCACCCATAGGGAACAAAGGACTCAAATGTCAGTGAAGAAGAAGCTGTAAGAAGGTCAACAACAAGGAGAAGGTGGGGCACTCCTGCTGGGATGATGGAACCTTCCAGAAAACAGGCAGGACCCAGGCACGAGAACGGACTTAAGGAGAGGCACTTGAGATCCTGCAAAGATGGAAAACAATGTGCCTCTGAAAAGAGAGGCGGGTGGATTCCAAACAGTCAGGGCTCAAATGAAACTGCCGCAGGCACCAGCCCACAGCTAAGTTTCTAAAAGATCAGACACAGGCTAGAGAGGTCGCTGTGAGGGTCTAAGGGAGACAGTGGGACCAACTTCCTCCTGGGATCTGATGCAGAACATGGTGGTCCTCGCCTCAAGGCTAGTAAGCCAAGGTTGGGGACCAGCACCAATAGTAGATTGAGGGAAGGCAGTGGGGTGGCCCCAGATATGTGGCTCAGACCTGCATGCACCCACCCCAGGCACAAGAAGGAAGAGGTCACACTGCAGGAACAGGTGAAGGTTCTGGCCAGTCCATCCCGCTGACCTACACCTGACAGTCCCTCCCAACCCCCAGGCAACTTACACTGGCCCCTGTCCTTCCTTACTTTTTTTTTTTTTGTAGTACTGGGATTTGAACTCAGAGCCTACACCCTGAGCCACTCCACCAGCCCTTTTTTTGTGATGGGTTTTTTCAAGATAGGGTCTTGTGAACTATTTGCCTGGGGTGGCTTCGAACCTTGATCCTCCAGATTTCTGTCTCCTGAGTAGCTACAATTATAGGCATGAGCCACCAGTGCCCAGCCCTTTCTCAGTCTTGAACACACACCTGTGGAAGCTACACCTTTGATGCCCAGAGGAAGCAGAGCTAACCTTGGACATGCGAAAAATTGTACCTAATCATCTGTGAGCTGCAGGCAGTCCCCACAGCACAGAGCCTCTCCAAGTCAGCGACCAGCATCTGCCTCAAACCCAAAGACTCTCGGCACAGTGGTGGGTGCCCAAAACACTGCTACTAAAGGCACCCAAGATAACCCCAGGTACCAGGGAAGTGGACCTCAGCCGACTAGGACAAGCCCCTTGTGTAGTGTAGTTCAGCTTGAAGATGGCCACGTGACCATCAGGGAATGAGCAGACCCCAGGCTGGTGGCTTTGCCCAGTGTCCAACCTCTTGGACGTAAAGGAACTCAGGGCCAGCACCACCTCCCACAGTCAAAAGCCAAAGAGGAGATGAAACTTCAGCATGCAACCTGCTACTGTCTAAAAACAGGGATGTGATCTGACCTCCCTGACAGTACCAGCTGGACTCCAAAGTCTCCAACCGGTCCCAAGATCCGCAGCGGATGAGGAGAGTAAGGAACAGCCAAGAGAGGGGCACTTACTGAGGCACTCACCTCGAAGGGAGTCTACGACTGTCTGCAGTGCCTGGACAGCCTCCTTGCCAAGCAGAGGGAAGTAGCTCTGGGGGAAGAACTGGGGCAGGTTCTCCTGCTGCAGACAGTTACCCAGACGGTCAGGCAAGCCCACCACCTTGCTGAGCAGCGTCTCCTGGAGCAGGGGGAAGCCAGGCTTCATCTGGGGCCGACACTGCTCCTTCATTAGAGCTGCCACCCTGCCCTTGCTGAGGAATGTCGTCAGCAGTTGTGCCATCTTCATAAGACGGAAGCTGGGGCTGAACAATGAAGGTATATAAGGAGGACCTCCTAAGCCCCTCCATCCCTGTAACCCCCTTCCAGCCCCAAGGTATCCTCACAGCCCCTTATAAGACAGGAAGTCCCAACAACTTCAGTAGCATTTATGTCCTGACTCATCAGCTGAAAAAAAAAAAAGCTTTGAACTCCATTCCTGAATAAGCAGTTAGTCATAGGACGCAACTGCCACTGGGCCCTTTGCAGCTGGACACGACCACTTTCTCCCAGACTCCATCCAGTGCTTACTTTTTAACACAGTAACCTCTAAAACAGCTTCTGAAAGATACGTCTCACAAGTAATGTCATGTGATCTGATGTCCAACCTGGGAACCACCAGAGGCTAGTTCATAGCAGCCATGCCTCAATTAGGCTGTGCTTCCCTGGAAAATCTGAAATATCCCAGAGTGGTCCTGAGAGTGCCAAGGAGTGAAGGTCAGGGCCATAAGAGGACTGCAGGTGCCAACTGTACTGCTGGTGTCAGATGGAAGCGGCAGAGGCTCAGGGTGGAGCTGACTTGCTGCCTGACACCTGTGATGGGATATGAACCCTCCCTCTTACTATCCTTCCACAAAAGGGGGGGGCAAGGTCCTTGCTGAGATGGACCAGATCCTTTCCCCGGGCAGAGACAGACACAACCACTTCAGTTTCCTGTGTTCATCCCTGCACAGGTTCTGTTCTCTCCCCACACCTTTCAGCATGCCCAGTCCTCAGAAAAATGACCCCACCGGTCAGACCCAGCAGCTCACCCCACAGTGCCCTCGATGGCCTCCATCAGCACCAGGAAGGCCTGGTCAGCAGGGCCCTCCAGGAAGAAGCTTTCCCAGAGCTCCTCCAGCTGGCCATCGGGGAACTGCTCCAGCCAGCTGGGGCTCAGTTTGTTGACCAGACATCTGAGAAAGGCTGAAAAGTGGACGGTGGCAAACTCCTCCTTCTCCCCGCAGAGGACTGGATGCTCCGTGTCACCCAGATACCGCTTCAGGGACCCCAAGGTGGACAGGATTTGGTCACTGTCCTCAGAAGAAGAAAGTGTGTGAATGGCTTCTCGGACAGTGAGCCTGACGGCAGAGGGCGCGGGCTCCATCCTGCAGGACAGGCCTGAGGGTCCCAGGAAAATGCAAGATTAAGTAGTCTGTGGCGCGGACGCAGGGGACACGGCCTAAGAGTAAAGAGGCATGTCCCCAACTCTCGGGAGCTCCTAGTGTGCTCCCCCTGGACGCACGGTCCTCGCTTCTCCTGTCCCTGCCTCCCTCCCGGCTCTGATCCGCTCCAGTCCCGCACGGTGCCCGTCCGCAGGGCAGGAACCCTAACCCGAACCCTAACCCTTCCCAACCGCGGCCCCCGGGGGACAGTCTGCTGTGTCCCGCTGGGGGCTACGCCGGGAAACCCCGGGACCCCGGCCCGGCGTCTGCACCACGGGCGGACCCGGGCCCAAGGTCAGGCCACCACGGTCTGAGGGCTACCAAGGCGATCCAGCCCCGGACCCCAGTCCGGCCCCTACCGCGACCCGGCTGCTGCGGGCAGCCGCTGCGCGCACGGTTCCCGACTGCCGCCGATTCGCCACGGCGCCGCGGCCCCGGCCCCGGCCCCTGCCCTGGTTCAGTCGCGATGGTTCAGTCGCAGCCAGCAGGCGGTCTCGAGCTCGAGTCTTCGGGCGTCTGCGGGGCTGCGGCGGGTTTTTAGTCTCTGGGGTCGGTGCCGACCGCTCGTGACGAATCTGTGCAGCGCGCCGGCGGCCGCTGGAGCTGCACCTACGCGGGAAAGGGACGGGGTGGGGGCGTGGGCGTGGCCTGGTGTGGGCGAGTCTGAATGATGTGGGCGTGGCTTGTGGTGTGTGGGCGTGGCTTGGTATTGGTGTTGGGCGCGGTCTGGTAGATGTGAAAGACTAGTGTGGGCGTGGCCTGGGCCTGGCGTGGGCGGTGTGGGGGCGGCCTCAAGGCTATGTGGGCGTGGTCTAGTGTTTGTGGGGCGTGGTTTGGTTCTGGTGTGGGGGAGGTGTGCGGAGGATGCTAGTCAGCTGTGGGCGTGGCCTTAAGCTGGTGTGGGCGCGGGTTGAGGGCTAGAGTGGGCCGAGGGGTTTGGGGTGGGCTGGACATGTGGTGTGGACGGTGCGGGTGTGGCCTCAAGGCCGATGTGGGTGTGGTTTGTTCGATGTAGGCGGAGCCGCGGCCCCGCGTCAGCGACTTCTGCTTTCTCCGGTCCTCTGTCGAGGGGTCAGCTGGTGTCCCGAAGTCCCCCGAATGCCGTCGTTCGCCATTCGACCACGTGGTGGGCTGACTCGCCTTCGCCGGGGGAAGTCTCAAAAGAATTTAAAAGGTCTGCTGTGGGTGCAATCCGGAGAGCGGCCAATAGAGGGCAGCCGCGGGTGCAGTCGTAAGGACCCGCTTGGGAAAGCATAGACTACCCGCACAAAGCCACGTTTAGTCCCAGTCCTGGTTGCACAATTTTCCACGGAAATCTTCCTCATCGGAGAGTGTAAGGCGTAAGACTACGCTGACCTAGCAAGTTCAAGGCCCTCACTTCAATCCCCAGGACCACCAAAAAAAAAAAAAAAGAGAGGAAAGTGTAAGGTGTGCTCCTCTGTCCTCAGTCCTCACCTGGCCCTTCCATGAGCCAGGTTTTTCTCCCTGGATGCTGTTGGGATCCTTGCCTCTGTGATGTTCTGACTGTTGACAAGATGGGTGGTGGGGTCAGTGACTGTCACCTGACCTGGCGCTCTGGGGACATGCATCGGTGAGGGACACCTTCCTGGGTTAATTTGTTACCATAAACTGGGGAGTTTCAAACAATGGGATGTTTTCCTCCCACAGCTCTGGAGGCTGGAAGTCTGAAAACAAGGTGTCACACTCCTCCAAAGGCTCTGGCTAACCCTTCTTTGTCTCTTCCAGTTTCTTGGCTGCCATCTTTGTGGGAATTTACCCTCTGGTGGCATCTCATCTTCTGTTTCTAATAGGAAGAGTTGTTGGATTTAGGGCCCACCTGGATAATCCAGGATTACCTCATCTTGAGATCTGCAAAGACCCTTTTTCTACCTGAGGTCGTATTCACAGATCCTTGGGTCAGGACCTGGACAGATCTCATCAGAAGCATCATTGATCCCACTGCACAGCCTGTATTCAAAAATAAGTCAGTAGTATACCACATTACTACCAGGTGATGGTGGTTCATACCTATAATCCTACCTACTTGGGAGGCTGAGATCAGTAGAATCATAGTTCAAGGCCAACCTGGCAAATAGTTCACAAGACCCCATCTCCAAAAGAACCACAGCAAAATGGACTGGAGGTGTGGCTCAAGTGGTAGAGCACCTGCTTTGCAAGTGGAAAGTCTTACTTTTAAACCCTGGTCCCACAAAAAAAAAAAATCACATTACATCATTAATATGTGTAATTTATGTTTTTGTGTATCAGTCCACACTTGTAGACTGAGGCTGAGGCAGGTAGATTTCTTGAGCCCAGGAAGTCAAGACCAACCTGGGCAATATAACAAGAGCCCATGTTAAGCCAGGCACTGGTGCCTCACACTTGTAATCCTAGCTACTTGGGAAGCAGAGATCAGGAGAACTGTGGTTCAAAACCAGCCTGGGAAAATAGTTCTTGAGACCCCCATCTTGAAAATATCTTTTATGAAAAAGAGTTGGCGGAGTGGCTCAAATGGTAGAGTTCCTGCCTAACAAGGGTGAGGCCCTGAGGTCAATCCCCACCTCAGAAACAAATAATAAATAAATTTCATTAAAGGTATTCAATTCTGGGAAATAAATAAATTAAGTGACTCCCAATCACATTTTTTTTTCTCTCTTTCTAAGGGAGAGAGACAGGCCTCATAGGATGCGGCAGGCACAGTGGATGCTAGAAGCCCATGCAGACCTGGCTCTGACGACTTCCAGGCCCCAGTCAGGTCCCCTGTCCTCTTTCGACTTCTTGGTGGGATCACAAGTCTGTGTGCTCCTGTTATAGCCATCAGCTCCCGTCTGCCTTGGAGCCAACCAGACAAAGCCTTACATGCACCCAGTAGAATGATTTTCCAAAGAGACTGTTTGCTTTTGTTTTAAGCTTGTTTCCTTGGGAACTTCAGACTCTCCTAGCCCATTGGCTTGAAGGCAGATGCCTTTCATTAAGGTGAAAGGAAGAACCTGACATCCAGCCAGGGCCAAAGAAGGAAAGTCACCTAATTGCACAGCTTCGTGCAAGGAGCAAGGACAAGACAGGCTCGTGGGACTGACTCCACCTCCTGTGTCTGGCCTGGTAGAGACTACTGGAGCCCCTCATCTCGGCATGGGTTGCTCAGGGAACAGGAAGAAGACCCTGTCTTTCCTCCTTGTTTTTGTGCCCCTATGTCTACCTGGGGCTTCACTGCAGGAAGCCAGCCCAGGAGGGCAAAGAAAACCGTTTTTTGAGAGGCTCCGTAGAATAGAAGAGCAGGTAGGTGTACCAAATTTGGGATAGTTGGGTTTTTTTTAATTGGCAACAGATGGGGGATGGATGTTACAGAAACAGATATGCAATCTTGGTGCACCTTACTACAAGCATGTGCTTTGTCATTCTTGCTACCAGATAATGGTTTTCTTAGCTGTAGCTGGAAACCAGGAAAGGGTGAGCCGGTCTGTGGTCTGTGCTCCAACGTATAGCCAGATGATGTGCGGATGGGGGCACAGAAGACTGGAACAGGTTCTGGAAGGCCTGAAGAGCACAGCCAGAGGGATCTGGGGGCCCACAGTGCTGGGCAGTGTCCCTGGGTGTGAGAGCTGAGAGTACTCACACTTTGAAGTCCCGGGTATAGACAAAGGCTCTGGTGTTGGATCTGTTCCCCAGCACCTTTGAACCTAGTAAAACACTCATGAAGCCCATCTTGTCAATCTCTCTGTTCACAGGGACAATGATGAGGGCCACAGAAGTAAAACACCTGGCTGTGGTCATCAGAGAATGGGGTGTGGGGGAAGGACAGAGCCTGGCTGTGTGCCTGGAGCCCACATCCTATGCTGTGCAGCTATGAAATGTGAGACCATCGCCCTTTCTATAGTCAGGCCCATGGGACTGTTTGTGGTAATCACACATCTCCTAGCGTTGTGCCAAGGATCAAATCAGCCAATTCATATTCAGTACCAACCATGGGCCTGGCACACAGTAGGCACTTATGAAGTGTGAGCAGGAAAGCCTTGTCCCTACCCCCACAACTGCTATGTCCTCTTTGCAGTTCCGGAGATTCCAAGAGGTGACTTTAACACACCTGCAAGCCATTGCCAACAACTACAATGTGTCCTACAACATCGATGCCCGGTTCCAGAGTCTGGTGGAAGAGAGCCAGGCTATGGCTCTAGGGGTTAACCGGTCACAGACCACCATGCAGGGGGACCTGGCCCACCTGAAGACCTGGATGAGGAAGATCCGGCGCAGAAGCCGGAAGGTGGATGTGCGGCTCCAGGCCTTGGACCTGGCCCTGAGCACAAACAGCAGGCAACAGGTACAGGAGAGGAAGGGGCAAAGGGAAGCCATGGCAAGACTGGCCCTGGACATGCAGGCCTTGCAGGACACACTGGCTGGCCTGACACATCAAGTCCACAGCCAGGGCGTCAGGCTGGCTGCTCTTGAGGGGCAGCTGCAGATGGCCAGCCCTGGCACTGCAGCTCCAGGGCTGACCCCTGTCCCAACCCCCACATGGCCTGCATGGCCAGGCCCAGGCTCCCTGCAGCTGCAGAGGGACAGGCAGGTGTTCGGCCCTTCGCCCAAACTCCAGAATCTGCCCCAGGACTTCACCACTCGTCTCCAGGTGACACAGAAGCCCCCACCCCCAAGCATCCATTGGGCACATGGTGGAGCTATTGAAGACCCAAAGGACTCTCCTCAGCTGGCAAAGCCCCACCACGGACCAGGACACAGTAAGTGCCAGAGGCTTGTCCCATCTCCCCCATTGATTTCCAGGTTTCCCTCTAGCTCTTCCTGAGCCATAGTGTCCCACCACCATCACCCCCACGACCTTTCTCTCCAAGGGCCATGAGGACTTTGTGGTCCAGATATCCTGCCCTAGAAGAGCAAATGGCCTATCCTTATCACCTCACCCAAGTGTGGCAGCCTGTCTGCAGGTCTCCAGCAGGTCAGGTTACTCATGTTCTGAACATGGCAGAAGGGCCTCTACTGAGACAGTTGCCAGGGGCCTCCAGATGAGTGATGATTCCCTGACTATCCAGAGGGCCCCTTGTAGCCACCAGAAGGAGGGAAGGAGGTAGGAGGATCAGAGCTGGAGAAGACCTGAGGATAGAGGCAGAGGTTGGAGGGATGCACAGGAAGACAGAGTGAAGGCCACAAGCCAAGGACTGCAGGCCCCTTGCTCAGCCAAAGGCTGGGTTTCCACTGGAGCCTCCAGAAGAAACTAGCCCTGCCAATACCTTGACTTGAGGCCTGTAAGATTCATATCAGACTTCTGACCTCCAGAAACAGAAAATTATGGGCCTGAATTATATTTTTTATTTTGTTGTTTTTCTTTTTTTTTTTTTTTTTTTCTTGCAGCACGGGAGATTGAACCCAAACCTAACCTTGCCTAGCCTCAAGCATGCTAGGCAAGCATTCTATTACTTGAGTCACACCTGCAGACTTTTTTTTTTTCAGCTGCTTTGAACTTGAGATGCTCCTGCTTCTGTAGTTGCTGTGACTATAGTTGTGCATTACTGGGCCCTGCAGCCTGGGTTGTTTTAAGTCAGTAAATTTGTGGTGATGTCATCCCAGCTGCAGGAAACTTGGGAGCTTTGGATATGCTTCCTAGACAGACAGCTTAGGCTCAGCCACTCCCTGGAAGGCTGCCCTTATTCCTAGCTCCTGCTGGGGAAGCAGGTGATCATATTGTGAAGGTAAATGAGACAGGGCAAGGCAACTTCCTCTGTAGACCCTCAGCATTGCCTGCACAGAGCTAGAGCTCAAGGAAGCATGGCCCCTGTGAGCATCGGGTTCACCCCTCCTAGAGCGAGGAGCACACCTGCAGCAGGATGCCTCTGGATTGCCACATGGTGCCCTCTGTTTCCAGTTTGTCACGTGGGCCCTGTGCTCATCTTTCCGAATGTCTCCACGAAGAATGTGATCTCCCTCAGCCCTGGCTTTGTCACATCCCTACGAGCCCTGTCCTTCTGCAGCTGGGTCCGCACGGCCTCTGCTTACCTGGGGACCCTCCTCTCCTACGCCACTGAAGAAAATGACAACAAGCTGGTACTGCACGGCCGAGACTCCCTGGTCCCCGGCTCCATCCACTTTGTGATTGGAGACCCTGCCTTCAGGGAGCTGCCTCTGCAGTTGCTGCTGGATGGCCAGTGGCACCACATCTGTGTCATCTGGACAGCCATCGAGGGTAGGTATTGGCTCCATGTGGACCGCAGGCTAGTGGCTACTGGCTCCCGCTTCAGAGAGGGCTATGAGATCCCTCCTGGAGGGTCCCTTGTGCTGGGCCAGGAGCAAGACAGTGTGGGGGGTGGATTTGACAGCTCTGAGGCCTTTGTGGGGAGCATTTCTGGCTTGGCCATCTGGGACCGGGTGCTGGTCCCTGGGGAAGTTGCAAATCTTGCCACTGGGAAAGAGCTCCCTACAGGTGCCATCCTGACACTAGCCAATACTACATCGGTGGGTGGATTTGTGCAGAGGGTCACTTGCACCTGCCTGGAGCCCTGTCCATGAGGCCATACCATGCAGGCGCTGGTGTCATGCTGTGGGCCAGTGAGAGGAGCAAGGCCCCACCCCGACATATGCCATTAGGGCCCCCCTGCTGTTGGTACTGGGCTGTGAGCACTCTAACATAGGATGTGGGCCCTGTGGTGGGGAGAGTGACGGGGAGGGCAAGGAAATGTCCAGCAGGGAGAGATGGGCCCCCGTGCATCTTTCCATTTCCGCACATTCTCACATGCTGTACCTCCAAACCCTCGGCTGCCTCATTCCATGTAGCATATTTCACCCTGACCTGAGCCGCCTGGCAGGAGCACTGGGCTCAGGCATGGTCTTGTCTCAGAGGCGTCTTTGCAGTGATGACAGAGGCTAGCAGATCAAAGGCCAGTTCTGGGGGGAATCCCCCCCACGTTTCCTTGAACTGCAGAGATGGCATTTGTACTACTATTGCCTACTCGTGCAGGGACTTAGCAAAGTCTTCCTCTGAGTGATGGCTGTCTCAACATCTCTCATGGAGTTTTCTGGTCATCAAAATGACAGCCTCCTTTGCCAAGAGTCCTGGAGGTTCCCTCAAGGTCAACTGGTCAGGCTTGTTCTTTTGTCCTGTGGTGGGTGGTCAGGCTGCCAGAGCTGCCATTAAAGACAGACTGGCAATGCTTTTAAATCTATTTTATGAGGTATAATTTTCATATAATGAAACATTCCCTTTTGTAAGTCTATAGTTCAAAGATTTTTAGTAAATGTACTGACTTGTACAACCATCACCACAATCGAGTTTTAGAGCATTCCAGTTGCCCTGGCCTAAAAATATTGGTGATCACTTCTGCCTCCCAGTCCCTTGCAACCCCAAATCTGCCTATGAATTTACCCATTCTGGACATTTCAAATAAATGGATTCATACAATATGTGGCCTTTCTGTCTTTCTGCATACTGTTTTTCATGTTCATCCATGCTGTAGTGTGTATAAGTACCTACTTTTTATGGCTAAGTGATAGTCCTTGTATAGATGGGCCATATTTTATTTACCCATTCATCGGCGTGATGGACATTTGGGTGTTGCTAGTTTTTTGTTATTGTGAATAAAGCTGCTATGCACATTCCCATAAGAGCCATTTGGTGGACATGTTTTTATTAATCTTGGGCAGATACTTCAGAGCAAATAGGTCATATGGTAAATCCATGTGTATACGTTCAAAGAAACTGGCACACTATTTCCAAATTTGCTGCATGGTTTTACATTCCCACCATTAACATAAAAAGGCTTCCTTTTCTCTTTGTTTTATTTTTGGTTTTTTGAGTCATGGTTTCACTACATAGTACAAGCTATCCTTGAACTTATGATCCTCCTGCCTTCACCTCCTCAGTATGGGGAGTACAGGTATGTACCACCATTTCTGGCAAAGTTTTCTGTTTTTCATCATCACTGGTATTTACCAACTTTTTAAAAAATATTTCCAAATTGTGGTAAATAAAAAGACACATGCATTGACAACAAAAATCAGCATTTTTACTTCAAGTTCAGTGTGATAGAAAATTATAATACCCAAAAATAAGATCAGAAGATTAGAATCAACTGGTGGCAGACAGGAGCAGAAGGTAGTCTTGGGAGAGTAGGGGAGTTCTGGAGTTGCAATAGCCTTACTGAGCCTGGAAACAGGCCCAGTTCTCAGAATTCACCTACTCCACCCCCTGCCATTTTAAAAGTGAGAGCGCAGCCTGGAGAAGGCCTGTTCTAGCACTAGAAACACAGGGGGCCAGAGGCCCTCTGTCCCCTGTGCGTGTATGCGTCCATGACTTCAGCTCTGCAGAGCCTGGGCCAATGTCTGACCACGCTTCACCTACAAGCATCTGGTACGCACGGCACTGTCCAGCTGTTCTGGGGGTGGGTGCCCTAAATTAGGCTCTAGAATCTCTTGGCAGCCTCTCTCCCATCTCCCAGCACTCCAGGCTTTCAGTTCAAGTCAGCCCAGCCTGCCTCCCCCATGTCGCCTGTCCCTGAGTCACAGTCAGGAGGGTATTTTGGAAATGGAAACCCCGTGGACGCCTTGTGATGTGGGCCTGGATCACTCACTGGCTTCTGCTTCACCAAGCTGTGGAACTTGATGGAAGTCTCTTCTCTTCTCTCTCTCCCCCATTTGTTTACATTTTTTTTTTTTTGTGCACTGGGGTTTGAACTCATGGCCTCACAGTTGCTAGGCAGGTGTTCTTACTGCTTGAGCCACTCCACTTTTAGCCCTTTTGTGTGATGGGTTTTTCTTTTCTTTCTTATTTTCCTGGGGTACATTGTTGTGACAGGTGTTTTCAAGATAGGGTCTCGTGAACTATTTGCCTGGGGCTGGCTTCAAACTGCGATCCTTCTAATCTCTGCCTCCTGAGTAGCTAAGATTACAGGCGTGAGCCACCAGCGCCCAGGTATTTACATATTTATTTATTTGAGGCAGCATCTCTCCATGCCCAGACTGGTCTCAAACTCCTAGACCTAACCACACCTGGCTAAGAGCCCACCTTCTCAAGCATCTTCTCTCCCTCTCCTCCTCTGATGTTTGCTGGAGCTCTTGCTCCATCTCTTTCTGCAGTTAAGGTAGGAGCAATCTGTCATCTTTCTTTTGGAAAGACTGGTGACCTGATAAGTATTTCTAGAGGAACGGTGAGGACTCTAGAAGCAGGCAGGGGTTGAACTTCAATGGTTTGATTTCAGAGGTGTTGCTCTCAATGTTGAACCTTGAGTTGGAGGTAAATGCAACAGAGAATTCCCGTCCATCCCTCACCAAGGGTTTGGATTCAGGACAGGCAAAGACCATGCAGGGCATGGTTTCTACCCTTCCCCAGCTTTCAGGTGCTCACGATGCCCCCCCTTCCAGGGGTGGGGAGGAACCAAGCTGTTCCAGTGGTCCCTGCAGCATTTGGCTGTGTGTCTGCAGACTGTAAAGATTGGGGAATTCAGCAGACATGGCATCACTACACTGAGGGCTACTGCATTCAGGATGCTTTGTGCAGGGAAGGGCACTCCAGGTGGGCAGAACACTGGAGCAGGGCTTGGGTGGGGGTCACTTAGCAGCTCTGGGGGCAACAGCCAGACAGCTTGGTAGGAACCCAGGCATATTGGGAATTTGGGACAGATAGGTACAGGAAGCCTGTTGGGTTTGGGAGCCAGGCTGCTTGCATGTGTGTCTGACATGATGCGCTGTCCTCATTGGGGTCAGGGGTCAGCAACACAGTCACATGTACACTTTGAAGCATGAGACACTTCTCTGTCTAATGCCAGCAATTCTTCTTCCTGGGTGGGGAAAACAAAATGACCTGGAGTGGCTCTCCAGGGTGTCTTTCCTGCCAAGGAGTCATAGTCTTGCAGGAATCTCAAGCTGAGATGAGACATGAGGCAGGAATCTCAAGCTGATACGGGACACTGAGGCAGTTTAGCAGGAAGCAACGTTTTATTGTGCTGGCACAGACCCAGTGGACTCCTGTCCAAAGGCTGAGCCCCAAGAACAAAGGGGTCTCACCTTACGTACCCTTGCAAGCAGGTTACAGGAGCAAAAAGCAAGGTTTAATCTATATGTGGTAATATACAATTTTATAGGCTACTTTACCCTAATGCTATGTGACTTTCCCTCTCCTCAGTGCTATGTGACCCTCTCCATTTCAGATTCCTCAGGTTTTATCTCTCTGCTATGTCATCCCTACCTCTCAGGACTCAGGCCTAGTCTGTTTTCTTCTGCTCCTCCTCCCTGCTATAAAAGGATGGCTTGTCCCCTATCCATCGCCTCCCAGCTCATTCTTCTTCCATGTGTGGCTCAGTGGTAGAGCACTTACCTGGCATGCATGAGGCCTGGGTTCCATCCCCAGCAGGGGCAGAGGAAGAGGACAAGTAACTTGATGCCTCTTACCAGACACTGCCTTCTGAAAAGGGCTCCACCCTGCTATGCCATGGAGATTGTGGCTCAAGTGGCAGAGTGCAAGCATGAGGCCCTGTGTTCAATCCTCAGTACTGGGAAAAAAAAAAACAGAAAAAGAAGAGGAAGAGTTTTGTACACAAACTGATCCAAGTGCAGTTCAACTGTCTTGTCCTAGGAGCCTTAGGCAAGCCAGGTTCGCTTCTCAACTTCAGTGCCCGCCTGCAAGAGGTCACAATGCCCATGTCACAGTCCCTCCAAAGAGCAAAACCATCATGCCCCAGTGAGAAAAACACCTTTTGTGGAAAGAATGTTGTTCTTGGTAGTTCACAAAAAGCATTGAGAGTAATCAAAGGGAAAATTCAAAACTCTGTTGGACTTACTTCCTCTTTTTCTGGGTTTAGTTTTGGTTTTATTTTGAACTATATTAGGAATGAGGTGTTGTGTTTTCCTCTTAGTGTTAGGAGCTCAGAAGAACTTTTAAAACTTTGATTTGGAGAATTTCAAACCTAAAAAAGCATTACAAGACAAAATAGATTGCATATCAAATAGGTATTCTACAATCATCACTATTAACTTTTTTATACATAAGACTTTTGTCACCATTTAAAGTCTGAATTTTATTTCATTATTATTTTTTGAGATGGGGGGTCTTGACATGTCACCCAGGCTGGGTTTGAACTCACATCTTTCTGCCTCAGTCTCCTGAGTAGCTGGGATTAAAGGTGTGAACCATCATACCCAGCTTAAAAATCTAGATTTTCCTTTTTTTTTTTTTGCAGTACTGGATTTGAACTCAGGGCCTTATGCTTGCTAGGCAGGCACCCCTACTATTTGAGCCACTCTGCCAGTGCTGTTTTGGGTTGTATATTTTCAAGATAGGTTCTTGCAAACTATTTGCCCAGGCTGGTTTGGAACCATGATCCTCCTGATCTCTGCCTCCTGTGTAGCTAGGATTAAAGGTATGAGTCACCAGTGTCCAGTTAAAAAAGTCTGGATTTTAAATAGATTCTTGGATGGGGGACTCATATTCCCCAGCCTGTTCAAGTTTAGCATCTGTCTCATCACAGATGGATTTTCCAGGACCATTATATTCACCATGAGCTCCCTGAGTTTTCCCAATTCAAACTTGGACTTTTTCAGCCTATTCATTTTTCTACACAGACATCATGGATGTCTCTAGATATCCATGATAACTAGACTGATGAGCTTTTCTATGTCTTTCTCAGTGCTGTCTGGGATCAGTTTATTGACCATGATCTTCATCATCTTCTGGACTTAACAGATCTGTTGCTGTCAAGTATAAGAGGTCTTTACAATCTGATGCTACATTTTTTAGTAGAAGTAACAGAGAACAAATGAAACAAATAACCACCTTTTTTTTTTTTTTTTTTAGTGCTGGGGATGAAAACCCAGACTTGCACATGCTAGACAAGTGCTCTGCCACTGAGCTACACCCCTGGCTCCTCAACTATTTCTATGTGGAACATGGTTGGTGCTTTCTCATCACACCAGTCTCCCTCAGAAAGTGATCAACCACTTTCTTTCTTTTTTGGTGGGACTGGGGTTTGAACTTAGAGCTTTGAGCTTACAAAGCAGGTGCTCTACCACTTGCGCCACACATCCAGTCCATTTTGCTCTGGTTATTTTGAAGATGGGGTCTTGTAAGCTACTTCCTCCGGGCTGGCCTTGAACTGTGATCCTCCAGACCTCACAGGTAGCTGGGATTATTTGCATGAGTCAATGAATCACTGGCACTTGGCCATCAACCACTTTTTTTTTTTAATGGAAGCACTGGGGTTTGAACTCAGGGCCTCATGCTTTCTAGGCAGGCACTCTACCACTTGAGCCACTCCACCAGTTCCTTTCTTTTTGACTCCCTTTCTGCACCTTTTTTTTGTTGTTGTTGTTGTTGTGCTGGGGCTTGAACTAGGGCCTTCACCTTGAGCCACTCCACCAGCCTGTTTTTGTGATGGTTTTTTTTCAAGATAGGGTCTTGTGAACTATTTGCCTGGGCTGGCTTCCAACCGCCATCCTTCTGCTCTCTGCCTCCTGAGTAGCTAGGATTACAGACGTGAGCCACTGGCGTCTGGCCTTTTCTTCACTTTTTGTAAGGCATTTGCTTTTGCCAGCTGCCCAATATGCTGCAGAAGCCAAGGTCAATTATTAACATTGTAGCACATTTTCCTTGAAGATTTTGGGGTTTTTGTTTCTGGCAGTACCAGAGTTTGGATTCAGGACCTTGCCACACTCTATTACTTGAGCCATGCCCCCCAGTCCTTACTTAGTTAGATTTTAAGTCATTGGAGAGTAGAATCCCCAGTGCAATCATCACACTCGGGAGATTTAACCTCGTTATAATACTATTGTCTAATTAATACAGCCTAGGTCCTTCTTTGCCAGTTGTCCTAATAATGCCTTCACGTTGTCTCCTCTAGTTGAGGGCATTTCCTCAGTCGTTGTCTTTGATGACACCGACACCGTGGAAAAGGCCCGCCTGGATTTCGGTTTCCCCTACATTCTGGGACTCAGGACTGGCGCCTGACGTCAAGGGGCACCTGATGCCAGCCTACGCCCGTAGTTAAGACAGCCCTCGCAAAGTTTCCTTTTCCCTTCATCACTTTTGGGGTACCCCAGTACTTTGGGGGGCTGGGGGTGTCGCTCAGGGTAGGTGCAGTCCTTCCAGCAGCCGTCCCTAGGTCGGCCTCGCGCTTGTCCTTCTCTGAGTCGCAGTCCCTTCATTGTACTCAGCCTCGAGGCCATGCCCTGAGGCGACTTTGCGATGGCTCGGGAGAACAAATCCCCCCGGCACGTCTCCCACGCCTGGCAGAGGCGGACGCGCAGACTACAGCTCCCAGAAGACCACGCGCGCGGGAGTGGGCACGTGTCCCTCGCCGGCCGCCGTCGGCGGTCACGTGGCCGTTGGCACGAGTCACGTGAGTGCCGGCGCCGTCACGAGAACTCACCCGGGGTTGCTGTTGCTTCCCGGCTGGTTGGTCCGCTGCCGGCCATGGCCAACGTCTCCAAGAAGGTGTCATGGTCCGGCCGCGATCGCGACGACGAGGAGGCGGCGCCGCTGCTGCGGAGGACGGCGCGGCCCGGCGAGGGGTCGCCGCTGCTGAACGGGGCCGGGCCGGCCGCGCGCCAGGTGAGGCTGCCGCGGGTGTGGGCGACGTGGTGCGCTGGGCCCGGCAGCCGGCGGGGTCCGAGGAGAGGGGTGCGTCGCGTGCCCTGTCCTTGACGGCCACGACGCCGGGGTGGTTATATTCCCTGCCGGTGTACCGTAAGATGGAGTCCCCCAACGGGAGGCCGGTGGCTTTCTGCTCCCTTTTTAAATTGTAATTTCATTTATGGTTCTTTGAATCCCAGGAGATTTTAGCAGGTTAGATGGCAGCGGAGGACCTCGGTCCGCCCCCTTTCTCGGTGGGGGTCAGCGCGGACACCCAAGGCCATCTTAGCAATGACAAGAATCTACCCGGTTTCTCTTAGCACCGAATTGATAGTAAGCAACAGGGGACTCGGCTGTCAAAGCGGTTTGTGTCTTTAAATGCAGAAAGCTTTGGAAGAGGATTAGGGTTTCACTACCCCCCTCTCCCCCGATCCCCATCTGTCTCCCTGTGTGCATTGTGTTAATTTTGAGTCGGTGAATTATTTGTGTTGAAAAAGCTCTTCTCTACCTTCTCTCCTGGTTTAGACTCGTCTGTAAGACATTTGTATGGCGTTTGAAGGTTAGTAAGGCCACAAAAATCAGGCTATTTCTGTAAAACTTACATTTTGGTTTTTCCAGTCTCATGAAGCTGTATCCACAATGAAGGTCACAGTCTTCTCTTTGCTGTTAGGAAGTAGCTCAGCTCTCTTTGAAGTAACATCTGCTTGCACCCTGTGGTCTGCAGAAGTGAACTGAAGTGGGCAATTTAGAGTGGTGGGGCTGTGTGAATAGTTCTTTTGTTCTTGGGATGTTTTTAGAAGAAATTAGTCTGGAAGTCCCTAAGACAGAAAAGGAAAACTGACTTTGAGAGCTGACAGAAAATGATACTGGAACCTTGACAGAGATTGAGTTTGGGTTTATCTTAAGCAACTGAGTAGGCGTGAGGTTTTCTTCTTTTCTTTGCAAGTAGATACAGGAGTTGGCTTGCTTTAAAAAAAAAAAAAAAAAGACTGCTGATTTCTTCCCTTAAATATCATTGTAGGCTTTTTTGTTTATTTGCAGTTAAAAAATTGATTGCTCTTAAACAACTTACAGAAATAATTGGCCTTGCACCTGTCCTGAGGTGGGCTCTGATGCTTGCTTAGGGTACTGAGGTGCGTAACACAGCTTCTTTCTCAGGAGAAAAAGGCCCTGCACCCTGTGAGGACTGCATGAGGGGCTCCAGGGGAGGTCACATTGGTGCTCAGTTTGAAAAGTGCAAGATCCTGAATCAGGCAGAGCAGCAGCAGAGGGCAAAGAGAGTGTGTATTTGGGTCTCTGCCATAGTTTTGGAATGTGATGCGGGATGTGGAGATTAGACCTGTTGGCTCATGAACTGACTTTGAGTTTGGCTTGGCTTTGAGGGAGCCCAGCAGGAAGCTGGGGGCTGCAATATTAAGGGATCCTTAGGCTGCCTCAGCAGATGGACAGGCACAGTCTGGAGGCTGGGAGTTCTTGGAGGCCTTTGCAGAAGAGCACAGGCCCAGCTGAGGATCTCGGTCAAGGTCCAAAGCCTGCCTGTGGCAGTTTTCTCATCTGCAGAAAAGTTAATACAGCACAGCACTGAGCATGGTGCCTGTTAGCAAACACACTCTTAATAAGTATTAGTTGTTTCCAGTGGTGTTAAAAGCAGCAACCCAAAAGTGACTCGACTTCACACTTGGCAGTCCTGCATGGCTCCCTTAGCAGCTTCTTCCAAGTCCTTCCAAGTTTCTTTGAAGACTGTCTTGGGGGGAGGTCCGCTATGTCCCCTGGGCAAGCTGCTGCAGCACAGGGGCCTTTGTTTGGTTCCAGGGCCCTTTTGAACTAAAACACCAAACTCAGGCCAACAACCTCTGTGGGAGTGTTCTGGTGAGCCAAATACGAACTTGTCTTTGCTGCTTCCTGATCCTCTAGGGTTTGTTTCAGGATTTCTGGGGTTAGACATCATTGCCACCTGGACAGAGGCACAGCTAGCTGAGCACCATGAAGTAGCGACTGTAGACGGGGAAGACTGGAGAGTAGTTTGTTTGAGGCTGGACCTCTATTTAAATCTCAGGCCCTCACAGCCTATGATCCCTGGTCCTGTTCTTAGGCCCACTGTGCCAAGCACAGGGGGATGGTAGGACAGGGAGAGAGTGAGGTCAGCCTACCAGTCACGGTCATGTGTGTGGGCAGTGGAAAGCAGAGTGTTAGAGAACTTACCAAGAAGTCTGCTTGAACCAGGATTGGATGGTGGCTGGTGAGGTGGGGGCACTGTGCATTTGCAGTATCTGTAAACGCAGAACACTCCTGCAAAGCCACTTTGGGGAGCACTACTGGAAACCTCCAGCACAGGAGGGGTCTCAGGTTGTTGTGGGACCATGTGCTACCCTAGTAACTTGAAGCCACAGGCCATAGCTTGAAGGTGCTGTTTGGAGCTACCGGAGACCTGGTGGTACAGTAAAGCTGCAGGGGAAGGTCTTTAGTCATCCTAGTGACCCTGGAGCCCTGCTTTCTTCGCATGAGCATCCATAGGAGGTTGCCTGCCCCCTCCCTTGCTGCCACCCCTCCCCAGCTCTACTCTCTGTAGGGCCAGCAAATCTTCCCCAGAAGGGTGGGTGGGATAAAGTCAGCCGAGTATACTGATACAGCCCCTGGCCCAACAGGGTGCAGAGAGCTGAGGAATGCAGCTGAGACTGAGCTGGGTCAGAGGACCCTGGGAGGTCACAGTGCACAAAATAAGGTGACATGAACCATCTCCATCCCAGGCCTGTTCCTGCTGTCTCATACCACTCCTTACAGATCTCACCCCTGCTCATCCATCAGATCTCAGCCTAAACGTCACCTGCTCCCAGAAGCCCTCTGGCTACTGCATCTAAAACAGGTCTCTCCTTGGTTTGTGTATAACTTTTTGTTTTTGTTTTTCTAAGTAGGCCCTGCTAGGGCAGCCTACGTGTCCTAAGTGCTTAGCAAGGAGGCTGGTACCAGACTGCTGTTTGCAATGTTGAGGTGCGGAGCAGGAAATGTGGAACAGCAAACATTTTTAAATTTTTCAAAAAATATTTTTAAAATTATGATAAAAAAACACATAGCATAAAATTTACCATCTTAAGTTTTTTCCTTTGTTTTTTGAAACAGACTCTCATGATATATCCCAGACAAGCCTCAAACTTGTAATCTTCCTGCTCAGCCTCCCCAGTGCTAGGATGGCAAGCCTGCACCACCATGCCTGGCACCATCTTTTTTTGTTTGTTTGTTTGTTTTTGTTTTTGCAGTACTGGGATTTGAACTCAAGGCCTACACCTTCAGCACTCCACCAGCTCTTTTTTTTGTGATGGGTTCTTTTGAGATAGGGTCTCATGAACTATTTGCCCTGGCTGCCTTTGAACTTGCGATTCTCCTGATCTCTGGCTCCTGAGTAGTTAGGATTATAGGCGAGAACCACCATCGCCCAGCCATCATCACATTTTTAAGTGCACAGTTCAGAAAGTATATCCCTGTTGTTTTGCTGGTGCTTTTGCAGTGCTGAGGATTGAACCCAGGGCCTTGTGCGTGCTCGACAAGCTCTCTACTACTAAGCTACCCCCTACCATTTAATGTTTTATTTTGAGACAGGGTCTCTCTGAGTTACTTAGGCTGGCTACTCCCCATGTAGCCCTAGCTAATGTCAAACCTGAGATGCTCCTCCCACAACCTCCTAAGTGCTGGGATTACAGATGTGAGCCACCGCACCTAATTAGTGTGTTATTACTGTTGTGCAACCAATTTCTTTCTTTTTTTCTTTTCCTTTGGTGGTACTGGGGCTTGAACTCAGGGCCTCACGCTTGCTAGGCAGGCACTCTACCACTTGAGCCCTTTTTTGTGTTAGATATTTTTGAAATAGGGTCTTGCAAACTATTTGTCCAGACTGGCTTCTTCTGATCTTTGCCTTACAAGTAGCTAGGATTATAGGTATAAGCCATCAGTACCCAGCTGTTGTGCAACCAATTTCCAGAACATTTTCATCTTGCAGAACTGAAACTCTACCCACTAAATAACTTCTTTTCTCTCTTCCCCAACCCATGGCAACCACTGCTTTATATATAAGAAGATCTCTTTGGATAGAGGATAGTTGCATAAGTGTCTCTTCTGCTTGGCCTGCCTCCCCTTGACTAGGTAGGGTGGGCCCAGCTAGGAGGTGCTCCTGAGTAAATCAGGGCTCACAGAGCCAAGGGAGTGTCCCAACAAGGGGATCTTGCACCTGTCCCATGCTGTACTGCCACAGAGACCTCCAAGTCCAAAACCCACCCAGCTCTACATTATGGCCACCTATCCTGTTGGGAGCATACTTGAAGTCAGATGTAGCACAGAGAGGAAACTAGAGAGCCTGCACTAAACATGGCATTGTGGAGGTAGTAGACAGCTGAGACCCTCTCAGTGGACAGGGAGGGGCCAGGGCTCAGGGACAGGGAACATTGGCTTGTTTGGCTGCTGCCCACTCCAGCCTATGTCTTGGTGTGTGGCAGGCATTCCATCTCAGTCTAGAACACGAGGGTGGGGTGTGGGTTGAGGAGAGCCCTGGCACTTCTTTCTTTTTTTTTTGGCGGGACTGGGGTTTGAACCTCAGGGTTTGAGCTTACAAAGTAGGCACTCTACTGCTTGAACCACACCTCCAGTCCATTTTGTGCTGGTTATTTTGGATATGGGGGTCTTGAGCTGTTTGCCTGGGTTGGTATGGAATCTCGATCTTCCCAATCTCAGTCTCCAAAGTAGCTAGGATTACGGTGCCTGGCTAAGCCTGGGTTTTCTGTTCCATGCTGCTCCTCTCAGTGATGGGTTGCAGTTCTGGGAGCAGGCCTGGACTCCAGCGCCTAGGGAGGCCAGGACATGGGGTGGAGTTAGAGTCCATTGCATGCCATGTTGCCATGTCTGGGTGCCTCATGACCTCTCTTCTGCTTTTAGTCACCTCATCCTGCATTTTTCCGGGTTGGACAGATGAACAACGTGGAGCCGGATGACGAGCTCCTGGACCCGGTGAGTGATGTGGTAGCCCCTTCTGAGCTATGTTCCAGCTGAGGGCAGATAGTCCCCAGCCTGAGGGTAGTGGACAGTGAGCAGTTCTGGGCGGGGGCACCTGGACAAAGACCACAGGGCTCCCAGAGACAGTGCACAGGGAAGGCTGCTGGGAGGGTGGGGGAACATGGTTCCTGTGTGCCCAGCAGCAGCCTGAAGAGCACATATGGCAGAAGTGCTGTCAGGAGGAGTAGTACAGAGCACAGAAGCCCTGGGCAGGAGTGAGCATGGTGTGAGGGGCTCCAGGTGGGTAGGGCTAGGCTAGGAGGGGTTTCAGGGGTGAGGGGTCCTTGGAGAGTTTGAAGGATGACCATGTCCTCTGACCTTAGGATGGGTTCTGGCATCTCCCAAAAGTGACCTCTTCCATCCTCTGTTGTTGTGCAGGTTCCCTGTCCAGCAGTTGCCACAGGGACCTTTTTTTTGAGCCCCCTCACCCCTCACCTGAATTTGGGTCCTCTTGATGGCCTGTTCTATAGTCCTGACTTGTCTCCATGACCAGTGTTGACAAACGCACTCACTTGCTCTTGGACATTTGTGTTTTTCTGTGTCTAAGAGATGGCCTATGGATTCTGTCCTTTGCTCTTGGCATAGCAACTGCATTAGATTTGGGGTCTTAAGATAACCTTGTGCTCCTGGGACAAACCCACCTCATGGGTTGCTAGATCCCTTTGCTCATATCTTACGGTCGACTTTTGTGTCTATTCCAGGGGATATTGGTTTGTAGCTTTCTCATGACTTCCAGGCCTGCCTTTGGTGTTGGGATAATGCTGGCCTCTGGGATGAGTTGGGAGGTGGCCCATCCTCTGTCCCTTGTTCCTCCTTCCTAATGAGAGCATGTAAGCTGGACATGGTGGCACACGTCTGTAATCTCAGCACTCAGGAAGCTGAAGCAGGAGGATCTAGAGTTCATACCAGCCTGACCTATACAATGAGACCCTGTCTCAAAAAAAAAAAAAAAAAACTAGACTAAAAGAACAACAAAGAGAGAGAGAGAGAAAGAATATTTGATTTTGTGTTTTCTTTCCACAGGAGGTGGACCCTCCCCACCCCTTTCCCAAGGAGATCCCACACAATGAGAAGCTCTTGTCCCTCAAGTATGAGGTTGGTCCCTCTCCGCCCTGCACCCGGGCCCTGCCCTCTCAGTCCCTCACCGTCCCTGGCTGCACTTGCACCCAGATTCCTAGCCAGGGTGGTAATCATCCCTGCACTTGATCTGCAGAGCTTGGATTATGACAACAGTGAGAACCAGTTGTTCCTGGAGGAGGAGAGGCGAATCAACCATACGGTGAGCTGGGGACTTGGGGTGCTGGCTGCACTGCTGTCCTGTGGGCCTGGCAGTGGGGGACTTGGGGTGCTGGCTGCACTGCTGTCCTGTGGGCCTGGCAGTGTGGGACTTGGGGTGCTGGCTGTGCTGCTGTCCTGTGGGCCCAGCAGCGGGGGACTTGGTACACTTGCCACAGGCTGCTGTCCTGTGGTCTCCCTCTGCTGCTCTGTCCTGAGCCTCCAGGCTCTGGAGCCACTGTTCATTCCTCTGACTGTGACTCTTGGTCCTAAGTGTCACATGATACCTGGCCTTGGGTGCTGGAAACAGTAGGACGGTGTTGTGCTCATTGCAAACAAGAGGCTGTTCCTGCAGATGTCAGACACAGTTCTTGGAATGTCAGCAATTGTTTGTGGATTTGTCAGGAACCTCACCCACCTCTCTCTAGCTTGTCTACTCAGGCCTCTCCATGTCATTGAAACTTTGGCAGGACTTGGACCCAAGTGTCACCCACTGTTTACTATGTGTGGTGGTGGTCTTCAAAGTATAGAGACACTCTTGCTGATGCCAGAGCAGCCTATAGCAAGGCCTTGGCCATTGCTATATGGCCATATATCTGATTGTACCTCTCCCCACAGGCCTTCAGGACAGTGGAGATCAAGCGCTGGGTCATCTGTGCCCTCATTGGGATCCTCACAGGCCTTGTGGCCTGCTTCATTGACATTGTCGTGGAGAACTTAGCTGGCCTCAAGTACAGGGTCATCAAGGACAGTATCCTTTCCAGCTGCCTAGCATAGAGCGAGAGTGGGGGGAGGGACTCAGCAGCCAAGTCTGAGCCTGAGCCCTCACAAGCAAGCAGTGCAGAAAGGGCCTGGCCCTGTAGGGGCTTTGCAGCGTACTCATCCCAGCATGTGCTAGTCCAGTTGGGGGAGACCCTGGTGGGTGGGCTGTGTCTCCATCACAGTAAGACTGAGATGTCTCAGACATCAAGTTAACCCATGGTTTTTCTGGGTAGTGGTGGCATCTGTAGTAGACCATGCTTTGAAGCAGATGTGAGCCCAGGACATGCAAGCTGTCCTTAACGAGCCTCCAGATATCGACAAGTTCACAGAAAAGGGCGGGCTGTCCTTCTCCCTCCTGCTGTGGGCTACACTGAACTCTGCCTTTGTGCTTGTGGGCTCTGTGATCGTTGCTTTCATAGAGGTACAGGGGCCAGGTGCAGGAGGTCCAGGTGTTTCAGACCCAGGATGGGCTGGAGGGTCTCAGCAAATGGTTGTGGCCCCTCCAGTTCACCATCTGTGTGCTCTGTTGGCCAGTGACTGGATGCTTTCTGCCAGTGAGAATTACAAGTTAGATTCAGCTCAAAACTGATGGAATTCATTGAGTAAAAGCACAAAACACACCAGGGCCTTCTTGCCCCAGAACCCCGCTGGTGCTGCTCCTGACCCAGTAGCACTGGCCTTCAGAGGTCCAGGCAGAGCAGCTTCTCCCCAGAGGAACTCACTCCAGGGGATGGACCCTTCAGGCTGCTCCTTTATCCTGGGGTGTCCAGGAGTCTCCCCTTTTCATAGGCTCCTCTTCTCCCCATCCTTGACATGGGGTGATAGAAGAAAGAAGAGGCAACATCTAGAACCTTCTATTTGAGTGCAGTGTAGTGGCCCCATACACAAGAAGCTCTGGTTCTTCTTGGTGCCTGATGGGTGCCCTGTCTATCCTGGGGTTCCCCGCCTGCCCTACCCCTCCGCAGTCCATTCCGTGGGCCTTTTGTCTCCACCCATGACTCCTTGCAAATCCGTAGCGTTTACTCTCTCAGAGGTTGATCCATTTTGGGGTAGGGGTATGTGAGGTTATCCCCCAGATATGAATCCTGTTCTCCAGGCCAGGCTCTCCTTGTCTCCTGGGGCCATGGGGCTGTACCCACTCATTCTACCTGCTCAGAGGTGCCTTCCTCTTCTTCCAGCCAGTTGCTGCTGGCAGCGGGATCCCCCAGATCAAGTGCTTCCTCAACGGGGTGAAGATCCCCCATGTGGTACGGCTCAAGGTGAGGTTATAGTAACCCCAGGTAGAACACAGTGCAATTTGGGGTGTCTGTGATTGGAAAATACATCTCTTGTCTGCTTGCCCTCCACACCTTGCCCAGGACCTCTGTGTACTGATGCTGATGTGTGCAGATGTGCTGACAGGCTGGGCTTTACATATTAAGCAGCACAGAAACAGTTAGCCAGTGTACACCCTATGACTGCAGCTGGGTAGAGCCTGTCATAACTAAGGACTGTGTGGCCATTAGTGTTTCAGAACCAGAGTGGCTGCATTAGATGGGAAACTTGGGCTGTTTTCTTTCCATTTTTCAAAATTTTCTATAATACTCATGCTTAATATCAGCAGCATTGTAATTCCATAGAGGCTGGGCAGTCATGACCACAGTACACCCACTGCCATTTTTGTCTGTATAGTCAGCTTTCCTAACCCAAGACTGGCCAGAGGCTGCTTCTTGTCACCATCTTAGGATGGGGTGGGGATTGGCCTCCCCTGGGCTGCTCCTGGGCCTGGTGCTCTACAGACCCCCATTTGACTCACATGTCTTTGGGTCCCATCACTGTGCAGTTTTGTTGCTCAGGCTTATGGACAGGTTTCTGCACTCACTGTTTTCCCTGTATACAGACGTTGGTGATCAAAGTGTCCGGCGTGATTCTGTCCGTGGTGGGGGGACTGGCCGTGGGAAAGGTAACTAAATGTGTGTGATGCTGTCCCAGCCTGTCTGAGTCCTCATCCCTGGGAGGATACCAAGGCCCATGGATGACCTGTGCGTGCTGTTTGCTCTGTGCTTCCAGGAAGGACCAATGATCCACTCTGGGTCGGTGATCGCTGCTGGCATCTCCCAGGGAAGGTCGACGTCACTCAAACGAGATTTCAAGGTGAGCCCTCTCCTCCATGGATGTGGACTGGGGGTTTTTGGACATGAACATCCCCCAGAGCTGGGCTCTGCCCCATTCAGAGTCCCCACCTGGACCTGTGGACCTCCCTTAGCATCCCAGTCAGGGTGAGCCCCATCCCTGTCCTTCTTCTGTCCCCATCCTGGTTCCCATCTCTATCCAAGAGGTGGCCTGGCCCATTTCCAGCCCAGTCAGGCACAGGTCCTTTGTTTCTTTCTGCTTCAAATGGCCTTTCTGTGGCCAGTTCCCACAATTCCTGTGTAGTGTGTAGGTCTGTTTTTCTGTGGATGGGTGTGTAGCTTTTGCTAGCTTTTAGAGGGATGTATTACCTGAGGGAAGTCAGAGCTTTACATGGATTCTCTGATGTTTGCTTTCAAGATACACTTCAGGTCAGTTGTGGTGGTACACCCCTGTAATCCCTTTCAGGAGGCTGAGGCTGGAGGATCTCGAGTTCAAGGCCAGCCTGGGCTACTAAGTGAGACCCTGTCTTAAAGAAAAACAACAACAGAAAAATGCACTTTGGCAATTTTGCCCTCTTTCCCCACCGTCACCAGCATTTTTTTTTTCCTCCTTTGGTCATAACTGGGGTATGAACTCAAGGCCTTGTGCTAGCTAGGCAAGTGCTCTACCATTTGAGTCATGCCCTCCAGCCTTTTTTTGTTGATGATGTTGTGTTTTTTAGGGTTTTTTTGTTGTTGTTGTTTTTGTGGCACTAGGGTTTGAATTCAGGGCCTACACCTTGAGCCACTTCACTAGCCCTTTTTTGTGAAGGGTTTTTCGAGATAGGGTCTCCTGAACTATTTGCTTAGGCTGGCTTCGAACCACCACTCTTCTGATCTCTGCCTCCTGAGTAGCTAGGATTATAGATGTGAGCCACAGATGGCCAGCTATTGTTAATTTTTTGAGACAAGGTCTCATTCTGTAGCCCAGGCTGGCCTCAAACTCGAGATCCCCCATCTTCCTGAGAGTTGGGATTACAGGCATGAACCACCACATCTAACCAGACAGTCCTTTTTAAAAGCAAGAACAGATTCAGATTTTCCACATTCGGTTGTCTTCAGGTCTCACAGTAGAGCTGTGAGGTTTGATAGACTTCTTGCACATGTGGAGAAGTTGTATTTATCTTCTCAGCTGTGGGCACGTAGGTGCTTCTAGCTGTGTTCTGTGAATCCAGTGGCTGATGATGTGATTGTCAAGAAGACCCTTCCCCATTCCTCTTGTCTCTTTGTTGGTCCCTCTCGTGGTGACCTGTCACCGGCCTCCTTTCCTGCAAGACGTGATCCTGCAAAGCTGCCCACAACACCCTCTGTCTCTTCCTGTTTCAGATCTTTGAGTACTTCCGCAGAGACACAGAGAAGCGGGACTTTGTCTCAGCAGGAGCTGCTGCTGGAGTGTCTGCTGCATTTGGAGCCCCTGTGGGTGAGGAGAGGCCAGTTTTGCCTGGTCTATGGCTTCACCCTTGGGGGCTTCATAACTGACCAGGCTGGGAGAGCTGGGGTCTCTCAGCTTGGTTGAAGGAATAGACTTGATGTTTGAAGATGAGAACTGGTCAGGGTGTAGCCAGTGACTCACCTCGAGGGAATTTAGAAGAGGCCAATGGCATCGTTAGTGTGCCTGGCCCTGGCCCTTAGACCTTCTGAGAGCCCCTCTCCTTGGGATCTGGCCCCACCTAGTGGCTTTCTTGTGACGTGTGTGTGTGTGTGTGTGTGTGTGTGTGTGTGTGTGCGCGCCCACACGTTACTGGGACTTGAATTTGGCTTCACGCTTGCAAAGCAAGTGCCCTACTGTTTGAACCACACTTCCAGTCCATTTTGTTCTGGTTACTTTGGAGGTGAGGTCTTGCAAAGTAATTCACCCTGGCTGGCCTCATACTGTGATCCTCCTGATGTCAGCCTCCCGAGTAGTTAGGATTACAGGCGTGAGCCTCTGGCACCTGGATTTGTGATGTTGTTTTACTTCCCTGGGGTCTTAGGGTGGGTGTTGGCAGTGTGTGCAACTGCCATGTAGCCAGGGTGACACTTCAGGCCTGTTTGCTGCCTTCCAGGTGGGGTTCTGTTCAGCTTGGAGGAGGGTGCCTCCTTCTGGAACCAGTTCCTGACATGGAGGATCGTAAGTGCCTACTGATGGCATCTCTTGGTTAGGGCTCCAACATCCTCCTCCCCTGAGGTCAGGCATCACTGATAGTCATCTCCTGGTCAGAGTGGACACGTTGCACTCAGCCCACCCTTTCGTGTTGTGGAGTCATGTCCTCCCATGGATCGGTTAACTCTTCGCTCTGTCCTGGGTGTCCTTGCCAGCTCTGAGTGGCTCTGGGCAACCTCAGACCCACTGCCTTCCCTCATGTCCTTCATTCGCTTATCCGTAGCACTTGTCCACAGGGCTATGGCCCCATCTTTGCCTGGTTATGCAGTGGAGCCCTCTTGACTCCTGTGCCCTCCCTTCTGTCTTGGGTGGGGTCTCTATAGACTTGCAGCCTCCTGAATGACAGGTGCCTCCACCCTCTGCCTGGTTCTAGACTTTGAGTTTGGTGGGCTCTGCATGCAACTCTGAGGGTACTGGATGGGTTCTGACATAGCTTGGAGGGCCTGGGTGGGCCAGGTGCAGCTCTGAGGCTTTGACCTCCTTCTTTCTGTCACAGTTCTTTGCTTCCATGATTTCCACCTTTACTCTGAATTTTGTTCTGAGCATCTACCATGGAAACATGTGGGACCTGTCCAGTCCAGGGCTCATCAATTTTGGAAGATTTGACTCTGAGGTAACCTGCCAGCCCATCCCATCTCACTCTTTATGGTGCCGGACAGGACCTTGTTTACTAAGGCCAGACTTGAACTTGGTCTTTGGGAAATTCTAGCTCTTGGTTGTGGAATTGAACTCTTATGTGCAGGCTCCAGGGGCCTGTGGGGCACCAGGGTTGTGCACAGAGACCTGCCAGTCAGGCTTCTTGTGTCCCACAGCTGTGTGGGATAGCCCACGTGCCAAGCACCAGGGCCAGGCTACATGAGCTGTCCAAAGCAGCTGGACTATGAAGAGGACCAAAGTCTGCTCAAATCACCTGTTTCTCCCACCCTGTACACAAGTACTATCAGGTTCCATGCACAAGGGCAGAGCTCTTGTTCATCCTGGGGTTTGAACAGCAGGAGCTGAGGACATAGTCCCTTCTCTTTCTCTCCTCTGCACAGAAAATGGCCTACACCATCCATGAGATTCCTGTTTTCATTGCCATGGGGGTGGTGGGTAAGTACCCCTCCCCTCAGGACAGGCTGTAATGAAAACTAATCTGTGATGATGGGTGCCCCAACTCCCAACACTCCAGATACGGCTAGGCTTTGCAGTGGGCAGAGAATAGGGCCTCCACACCCTGCCCCTAACACTGGATGGGGGGCAGGGGGAGACTCAGGAAGAACCTCAAGCTTTGTGTTCTACTGCTACTTCCCCTTTGGCAAAGTTCCAGGGTGGGAACAGGGTCCCTGAGGGGTAAAGCGGGATCATGGCATCAACCAGGTGAGATCTCTATCTGAAATGCATGGAACTGAAGTGGCTCAGATTTTGAAACATTTGCATATGCATAATGAGATATTTTGGGGAAGGGACCTAAGTCTAAACACAAAACTCATCTGACCATGTGTACATACATGATCTGGACTGTACTTGTCATGGACATTCAGGTGCAGGGTTCTCCACTTGTGAGTCATATCTGTGCTCAAGGAGTTTTGGGTTTTGGATATTAGATTAGGAATGCTTGTCCTTGTATTGCTCTGGGAGAATCTTTGCCTCTGAAAGGAAGGCAGAGCTCCCAGAGTGGTGGTGTCTGGGAAGTGTTTCTGCAGGCCCCTCTACCTCCTGCAGAGGAAGGGGATTCCACCTTCCCATATAACTGACATGAGCATTTTTCCTGGTCGTAGGTGGCATTCTGGGAGCTGTGTTCAATGCCCTGAATTATTGGCTGACAATGTTTCGAATTAGGTGAGAAAGAGCCTGTGTTTTGTGGACTGAGTTGATAGATGTGGCCATTCAGAAAATGGAATTTGGGATCCATGCCCAGCCAGAGCTGAGAGGACTTGCACATGTGGTCCTTCCCTGATGGCTTATACCCAACTGAGCTTCACAGACAGACATCTTTGGGAGGTGCATGGTCTGGGGAGGGAGGACAGGCAAGCCCTATGCTGGAGGATCCCCCAAAGAGAGCATGGGACTTAACTGTGAGGGACAGTGCCCTGGGCAGGAGGCCAAGGCCTGGGGAAAATTAGATACCACTCCAGCCTCTGCTGGGATGCTAGTCTCATTGTCCACCCTGCACTGTCAGCCATCTTGTTAGGAGGGCAGCAGTTGAGTTCTGGAACCTTTGGAAGGGTCCTGGGCTTGCAGAAGCTTCTTCCTCATTCTTGCACAGTTTTGACCCCTGTGGGAGTGGTGGGGGTTCACTGCTGGGAAGTTTGTCACCACAGGAAGATAACCCCAGAATGTCCTGGAGTCTGGGTGGATTGATCATTAAGCCTGTGCTGTGTCACCTTCTGAGCTGTGGCCTCTGGTTCAGGTTGCCATGGCAACCACTGGGGCTGTCTCTGGCCTCCCTGCAGCAAGGTCCATTCTGGCTTTGGGCTCTAGGTACATCCACCGGCCCTGCCTCCAGGTGATCGAGGCCATACTGGTTGCCGCTGTCACGGCTACAGTAGCCTTTGTGCTGATTTACTCATCCCGGGACTGCCAGCCCCTGCAGGGGAGTTCCATGTCCTATCCCCTCCAGGTAGGCCTGGGCTGTGGGGCGGGCTCAGTGAACATGGCCAGCCCCCAAGGAGCCCTTGCCTAGACTGTTGACCTGACCAAGCTGCAGAAGTGAACAGCTGGTGCATGTCAGTCTCAGGCCTGTCCACATGTCCTTTTAGTCTGAGACCAGCTAATGGGTGGTCAGGAACGGGTGGCAGGACCAGGGCTGTTCTCAGTGCGGTCCTCTTCCCAGAAGGGAACCTGGTGAGAGCTTCCAAAGGGGGCTTATGGGTATGAAGTTGAGAAGTGCACGGCTGTGTCCACATAAAAACCTCCTATAGATGTTTGTTTCAGTTCATTCATGATAACTTCTGAAATGGGAACTGCTCACGCATCCAGTCTGTCCACAGGCAAACAAATGAGGTTTCCCTCCATATAGTAGACAGTAGGCAGCCATGGGAAGGGCAGAAACAACAACACGTGCTGTACAGTGAGGATGGGTCTTAGAAACAGCTTGCTCTGAGAAAGAAGCCCAGACTACATGAGCATGCAGTTGCTGGTGGTGACACCAAGTCTGCATCACCCTTCCCACTGTGCTCTCTCCCGACCCTCCAGCTCTTCTGTGCAGACGGTGAGTACAACTCCATGGCTGCAGCCTTCTTCAACACCCCCGAGAAGAGTGTGGTCAGCCTTTTCCATGACCCACCAGGTGAGTGCAGATAGTGCTGCTGGGCAATGCTGGAGACTCTGGGACAGGTTATTGGTTCAGAGGTTGCTGCCCTGGGCTGGGGGGCCAGCCATGGCATGGTGGAGAGTGCTGGAGGATGGGGGCCAGTAGTTTGGAGTCAAGGCAGCAGGGCTTCAAGGGGCTGTCTGGTCCCGTGTGCACCTGGTGGCTGATCACCTGAAGTAGGGCTGGCCATATTCCCACCCTACCATCTTCCTCTCTGGGGATGGTACCTCAGGGTACCTCCATCTCACCTCTCAGCTGGAGTCACTGTCCATCAAAAAACCCAGTCCAGTGACTATACCCAGGGCCTGCCCTCACCTAGCCACACTTGTGACATAGAAACAACAGTGCTTCCAGATCAGAGCTGCCGGTGCACTGCTGTGACTCTCTTCTGCCTAGTTCTGGAGCTCCTCTCCTGCCTAACTCATGGGGACAGTTATTTCTAATTGTTTCCTGCCACAAGGCCACTGGGGACTTATGAAATGCTTATGAAATGTTGCAGATAAACATGGCATGGAATGTGCCAGTGGTCTTCCACATGTGGATCTCTGCCCTCCTTGACCTACGCTTTGCTTTGGTGGTCTGTGCCATAGTGCTCTCAGCATACAGACAGACAGCACCTTACTGGAGCTTACCTTTCCTCTCAGCTGTATTAACACTTTTTTTTCCCCCTTTTTTGGTGGTGCTGGGGTTTGAACTCAAAGCCTCACTCTTGCTAGGCAGGTGCTCTACCACTTGAGCCACTCTGCCAGCCCTAGCCTTATTAGCATGGTTTCTTGTTCATAAATGTGACCTCTTCCCTCATCTGGGAGAATAAGGCCCCTAGGACTTGGAGTTCGCCCACTGGCAGTCACAGTGGCTAGGAGTGGCCATCGCCAGGCCTACCTGTCCTTTCTCAGATGTGACATCTCTGTGTCCTGCAGCTTTGGGGCCCAAGAAGGACTCCCCTGAGTCGTCCACAACTTCCAGGAGGGTGTTTTCCCCAAACCACTGCCCTATTAAACCTGGACCCTGCTCAGGCTCAGGGAAGTCCTTTCTTTGTTCAGTTGGTTGATTTGAGGTCAGGCTGATGATGAGTTGCAGAGTTGGGAGCCTGGTTGCTGCCCACAGGGCATGTGCTGCACCCCCAGGGAGGGTCCTTAAGACTGGGCATGGCACCTTTGCTCCATGGTGTTGGTTATCCTGAGAGTCTGAATACATCACTGATATGGGACCTGGGCTGCAACCCCTGACTTGAGGTCACCCTGTTGAACCTCTTCCCCACAGCTTCCCCATCCAGTTCTCGGGGCCAATCCTTCCCCTGGGGAGGCTGAGAATGCAGACCCTTCTTGGGGAACCACTGGGGTTGGGGCTTGGGTGACCTGGCTCCCGATAGGGACCATGTAGGCTTGACAGAACAGCCATGTATGGGTCAGGACAGCCTAGCAGCCCTCCTCTCCCCTAGGCTCGTACAACCCCATGACCCTGGGCCTGTTCACCCTTGTCTACTTCTTCCTGGCCTGCTGGACCTATGGACTCACAGTGTCTGCTGGCGTCTTCATCCCGTCCCTGCTCATTGGGGCTGCCTGGGGTCGTCTCTTTGGTATCTCCCTGTCCTACCTCACAGGAGCAGCGGTAAGTAGGGGAAGCAGGAGGAGGGAGGCTGGCCCCCACAGTTCAAGTGTTCTGGTGACTCCAAGTCTCTTGGGGCCAAGACCAGGGCAGATGAAAGTAGTGGGGCTGTGGTGCAGCTGTATCTGTGCACTCTGCAAAGACTTGTGTAGGAAGGTTTTGAGTTTTTTTGGTTTTTTTTAAGAAAGGGTCCCAACTATGTACCCAGACTGGCCTCGAACTCATGAACCTCCTGCCTCAGCCTCCTGAGTGCTGGATTTACAGGCATGCATATCATGCCCAGCTCAATCTTTTGTTAGTAAGAGAATATCATAAACAAATGAGAAGAGCCTGAGGCCATCCTGGCCTACCCAGGGGCTGCTTTCCAGGAGCCCATAGGCTGGAATGGGCTAACCACCAGGCTTCACCAGTCAGGGTGGTCTTCCCAGCCCATCCATCTCAGCTTTTCTTTATAATCTTTTCTTTTCTTTTTTTTTTTTTTTTTTGAGTTTAAGTATGATATATTTCATACATTGTAAGAACTTTTGCAAATACTCCAACGTACCCTAACCAGCACAATAATAATTTTAAAAGATGGTCGTTTGTTACTCAGCAATAAAAACTAATAGAGATAACAGTGTGTCACATTTTTTTTTCTTTTATTTGTATGTGCATACAATGTTTGTATTATCTTTTCTTATTTTTAGTTTGGTCATTCAAATAAGATTGAAAAATTATAGAAGGGGCTACAGCAAGAAGCCTGCTGCCTGCCCTACTTCTGCTCACCAGGCCATGGGCTTGGCTTTCCAGGTTTCCTTCCAGGCACCACTTTGGTTTTGTTTTATTTTCTGACCTGAGATGTGATTCCTGTTCTGTAAAATTCTCATTTGCAGAGTGAATAGTTCAGTGGCGCTTAGACTTACAACACCATGCAGCATCACTGCTGTACCAAAGTGTTTTCTTCACCCTCAAGGACCCCTGTTAGCAGTCTCTCCCCACTCCCCCATCCAGCTCTGGCAATCCCTCATCTCCTTGCATCTCTGGATTGCCTGTCATACACATTTCCCATGAATGTACACATGCTGTGTGGCCCTTGTGCCTGGACTGTCCCACAAGTGTTCATCTGTGTTAAGCATGTGTTGGAATCTCTGATGTTCCCTGGTAGTCTGGACATGGTGCCCTGCACACACTCATGCCCCAGCTTTCCTCATGTCACACATCTGCCACTCTGCCTCCCGACATACAGGGTCATCCTTTCAAGTTCTCCAGAGTGTATTAGGTGGTGTGATTTGTGCACCCTGTTTCTGAATGAGGCACATCTAGGGTGTTTCCACATTGTTTGTACCAGAGGGTGCTGTAGTAAAACGTTTTTGCATGTGTGTCTGTGAGCTGTCATCTTCCCTCCTGTGGGTGGATGGTTGGGCCCAAGCATGGTGTCCTTACTGCTCTATCCTGTGGATGTGAGCAGGGTCCTGCCATCTTATGCTGTCTTCTCCCCATGTTGCCTCCCGTAGATCTGGGCAGACCCTGGCAAATATGCCTTGATGGGAGCTGCAGCCCAGCTCGGTAAGTCCTGGCTCTTAGCCAGGTGGTGCTAGGCTCTACAGGGCACAGGGTCACCTGCCTCGCCAGACTGGGGCTGTGCCTGTCCATCATGGGAAGCTCAGCTAAGGCTGATTGTTCTTGCAGGGGGTATCAGCTTCATTCAAATGAGCAAAACAGGAAGAGGGTACAATGCTGGGGTGGTCATAGTCCCCCACCACATGGCCAGGTGGTAGCAGTCAAGCCAGGCAGTCACGGTCCTTGCAGTTGGAGTCTGGAGGGGTCGGAGGGTGAGTTCCAGCATGGTACAGAGAATGCAGTCACACAGTGGGGCTCACGGCCACCCCCACAGGTGGGATCGTGAGGATGACCCTGAGCCTGACGGTTATTATGATGGAAGCCACCAGCAATGTGACCTATGGCTTCCCCATCATGCTGGTTCTGATGACTGCCAAGATCGTGGGTGATGTCTTCATCGAGGTGTGTAGAACCCCACACACTGGCCTCAGAGCCTGTGGTGGGAGGTGCTGTCGTCTGGGGCCTGTAGCAATGCAGAGGGAAGAGGGTCTCGAGAAGCCATCCTGCAAATGCTGTTACTCAGGCGTGGTGGGGCTCTTGTGGAGCCCTGTGGAGCAGTGCTAAGCGTCCTGGTGCTGCCCCCAGGGTCTGTACGACATGCACATCCAGCTGCAGAGTGTGCCCTTCCTGCACTGGGAAGCCCCGGTCACCTCACACTCGCTGACTGCCAGGTATGGCCACAGGCTGCTGCTCTCCTCCTCCCTACCCTGGGCTGAGGGGCCACACTGGACCTCCTTCCTTCCTCAAGCAGGCGTATGCTAGGCTATGCTGGATGCTTTGGGGGTGGGAGGGAAATGGCAGGAAAGAGGCCGCTTTACCTTTAGGAGGGATACTGCCCAGGCACTGGCCCCCCGTGGCCAGTCTGGTCTCCCAGCTCTTGGCTAAGCCTGCAGAACAGGGAGGTGGGGCATTCTGGGGACCCTATTTCCTAGTCCAGCAGTTTTGTGTCAGCAATACAAAAAGAGGCTCTTTAGGAAGTGCCTTGCTAGTGTGAGGTAAGAACTGTCAGAAGCGGTGATGTGATGATGATCATCGGGTGGGGCTTTTTGGCAGGGAAGTGATGAGCACACCAGTGACCTGCCTGAGGAGGAGAGAAAAGGTTGGTGTCATCGTGGACGTCCTGAGTGACACAGCATCTAATCACAACGGGTTTCCCGTGGTGGAGGACGCAGGTGACACCCAGGTACCACAGCCTTCCCTATGTACAAGGTTGTTTCCTAGAGCGTGTTGTCAGGAAGCATTTTGTGAAGTTTGCGTGGACAGGAAACCCTGTGCTGGGTGTAGAGTAAAACCCTGCCACCTGCAAAAGGCAGAGTCTGCGGCTGTGGATGTGCTTGGCTGTGGGAGGGCCATCCCCACAGGCTACCAGCTGACCAAACTGGGCCAGTCAGCATGGTGGTTGCTGTGACCATCAGGAGGTGCTAACAGAACATGAGCCTAGCTGTTTCTGGAACCCCTAACCCAGGTCTTGTCAGGCTGGGTCATGTGGGATGTTGTGTTGTGGTTTGGGAATACTTTAGGGCATACTGAGAGCTGCACCTCACCACCATCCGATACTACCGTCCTGGAACCTTGTTTCCATGGTTGGTGTGGTCAGGGCCATGCTGCGCCAGCCCAGGGACGTGAGATTGATGGGATTGGCTGCATGAAATGCCTGCTACAAGGCACGTGCTCAGAAGTGACCATTAAACAGTGACCGTGGACCAGAGCAGAGTCAGCTGGGATTCCTGCGCAGATGTCCAGGGCTGCTGCCCAGGCACTACCCACCACCCTCTGCAGCAGTCACAGGCCACCTCTGACCCTCTCTCTCCCACAGCCAGCCAGGCTCCAGGGCTTGGTCCTGCGCTCCCAACTCATTGTGCTCCTGAAACACAAGGTGCGCCAGCAGGCTGGGGTGGGGGCATAGGTCCTGGGTGTGTCCTTTGTAGGCACTGACTGTGTAGGTGCTGCCCGCAGGTGTTTGTGGAGAGATCCAACATGGGGCTGGTGCAGCGGCGGCTGAGGCTGAAGGACTTCCGCGACGCCTACCCACGCTTCCCCCCAATCCAGTCTATCCATGTCTCCCAGGACGAGCGCGAGTGTACAATGGACCTCTCCGAATTCATGAACCCCTCCCCATACACTGTGCCCCAGGTACCTAGGGGGACCAGGTGGGGTGAGGCATGGTCACCCTCATACCTGATAGAGAGTAACCAGGTGATAAGGATCCTTCTAGAACATCTTGGAGGGGCCACAGGTGGGCTTCAGCAACAGGACAAGTAGGCTGTGGCCACCTGGATGGGGAGGCTTCATCCCCTGGGAGTCACACAGTGGACGTAGAGACCCACACAGCTATGGAGGGAAAGGGACAGCTTAGAACTCATCTTGCCCATCTGGAGCTGGGAGACACTGCCCAGGCTTGAGGGTCCAGTCTCTTCCAGGGTGTGGGAAGGATGGGCTGAGGGCTGCACTCACCTTGTAGGAGGCATCTCTCCCTCGTGTGTTCAAGCTGTTCAGGGCTCTGGGCCTGAGGCATCTGGTGGTGGTGGACAACCGCAATCAGGTAGGACCAACGTCCCTGTCCCGTGTGTGGCGCCTGGAACCAGGGTGCCAGGCTTCTCTGCTTCCTGCGCCCCAGCAGGTTGTGGTAGTGCTTGTTCTGTGCTCCCTTGGGGACTTTGAGGTGTGGTACCCAGCCTGGCCCTGTAGCCCTCTGTGTTAACGCTGGCACACAGGCTGTGCCCCTTGTCCTGGCCACATGTCTGCCTTAGAACCTGTACCAAAACCCTGGGCTCCCATCCCCAGCTACATGTGGGGCAGGGGTTCCACAGGCAGGTGGGGTGCTGACCCCATTAGAGCTCTGTGACCTGGTGTTGCTCCTGTAGGTGGTTGGACTGGTGACCAGGAAGGACTTGGCCAGGTACCGCCTGGGGAAAGGAGGACTGGAGGAGCTCTCACTGGCCCAGACGTGAGGCCCCACCCTCAGCGGGCAGCGGCACCATGGCCCTTTTGTGCCTTGTCCTGTGTTCCCTGGTCTCCTGGCCAAAGCCTCGCTTTGGGCAGCACAGCAGCAGGAGCAAGCATCCTCCATCCTTGGACCTGGCTGTCATGTAGGCCTGGCCCTTGTCATGGGCAGTTGGTTTACATCCTCAGCACTCCCCATGTGCCCGGCCCCTCAGACTTTCTCCTTCTTGGGTTCCTTCCCCTTCAGGGATCAAGTGTGTGTGCAGTTGCACCCCTGGCAGCTGGCTTCCTAAAAGCCAGCAGGGACTGACGTGTGAGTGAGATGGGCAAGCTGCGCCCTGTTGCTGCTTCTGTGTTGTTTCTGTGGAGGGGTCCCCTCTGATTGCCATGCTGCCTGCATCTTCAGGCACCTCCACTGTAAGGGCTCAAAGGAGCAGGCTCCATGGGGGAGCCCCATGTGTGGCCTGTTCTGGGTCTGTGCCTGACTTGGGAGACTCCAGGTCCAGAAGATGGAGAGATGGGGTCCGTTCCAGGGTCTTAACTGCTGAGACTCCCCTGAGAGCCTGAGTCCTCCTCCAGAGGGTCCCTGCACTTGAGGACAGCAGCCAGGGAGGCAGGTTTCCTCAGCACCAGGTGGCCCTGGTATCAGCAGTGACTCACTTCTCCTGGCTGCAACAGCCAGAAAGTGCAAGACCACTGGAGGTGTCCTCCCGAAGGCCTCAGAGGACCCCAGCCCAGCCCATGGTGACCCTAGGCTGGGGTGACCCTAGGCTCCAAGGGACACTTGGTGAAGGTAATTTCAGTGTTGTGTTGCTAGCGTGTTTCTGTCCTGTGGAGCACTGGCAGGTCTGTAATGCTCCCTCCCAGGGATTGGCCCCTTTTCTGCCCTCCATGGGGCATTGAGTGTATCTGGGTCTGGGTGCAAGAAATAAGGGACTCTACCCAGAGAGCCAGTGCCAGCTTCCTTTTCCTCTCTCCTCTGCTGGGGTTGTACTGAGCCTATGGGTCAGGGTGCTTACCGTGGTGATAACAGGCATACCACAGCCACCTAGGGTCCCTGTGGGAAGGTAAGCTGCAGACCCAGTCAGGTCTTGGTAAATAGTCTGGCACCATCACCTGGGACCCTGGCCTCCTCATCTTGTCCCCACAGCCTTGCTTTTGGGGATGCACCATAGAGCCTGGCTTCTGCCACCATATCTGAGTGATGTTCCCCCAAGCCTGGGCATGAACACTGGTGGGAGGCTCTTCCCCAGGGAGCCCTCTGTTTACACAAAGCTCGGCACAGCCAGGTCTTGTCCCTGACCCACCTTGCCTGCTCCACTGGGCCCTGGTGGGTGGGTCTGAGTGATCAGGGCCTGAGGTGTTCTGGGTCCTGGAAGGGGGCATTTGAGTTGAACCCAAGGGAATGAAAAACACTGCATAGGGCCTCAAAGACTTGGTACCAAAAAAAGCACGTGCAATCTTGTTCACAGTCGTTTTATGTTAATTATATGTTGAAATGATATTTTGGATATATCAAGTTAAATAAAATGAACTATCAAAACTCACTTCACCCGTCTCTCCTGACTCAATGAGGCTGCTAGGAAAGCTGAAGTCTCCAACCAGCCCTGTATGCCCTGGGCATGTGCCTCCCCACTCTTTGTGACCCAAGGACCAGTGATGGCTCCTTGTGTCCTCCCTGTCTATATAGGCCACAGGCCACCCACCTTGAAAGATAAACCCTTTGCAAGAAGGATCCTTCTCTGTGCCCTTTGGATCCTATTGGGAACCGGCAGTTGGGAGGCCACACGGGATAGGCCGGGTGAGGACTCAGGTTCCACTGGCAGTTGAGCCGTGAAGTCACAAGGTTCTTGTGAGGAAAAGAAGGTTCCAGAATAGCCCTGCTACCCAGTTGCGCTTGCCTCTCTTGGGATTCTCTGGGAAGGAGGCAAGGTGTGAGGGCAGGAGCTTATTTCCTCACACCTCACCCACTCCCTGAGGCTCCCAAGCTTCCCACCGGACCCTCACTCTCTTCCTGAGACCCCCCCCCAGCCTTCCTGTCCAACTTCCCTTCTTCCCTTTAGCCAAACCCCCATCCGCCCTGGCCTGGTTTCCACTTCTAGGTAGCCACAAGGGCACTGGGCCCAGGGCCAAAGCTGCAGGTGGGGGCTGCTGGTGAAGCCATGTCAGGTGAGCCAGAAGGAACAAAGTCCAGGGGAGGGCCACACAGGTCAGCTCTGCTTCCAGACCCCCACAGGATCCTGACAGCTGGCCAGGTGCACTGTCCTGTTTCTGCAGTCCAATTCTGTGTCATCAGGCAGGTCCCAAAACTTCTCTGAGCTGAACCTCTACCTGGGCCAGGCTGCGTGACTCATTGAGAGGAGATCCTCAGGGTGTTGTGTGTCTGCTGTGATTTGAGTCTCTAATCTCCAAGGAAGCCAGTCCCCTGAGGAATGGCCAGTTCCCAAGGTGCCGCCTTAGGGCTGATGGAGTGGCTCAAGTGGTAGAGCTCCTGCCTTGCAAATATGAGGCCTTTAGTTCAAACCCCAGTACCCCCCCACCAAAGAAAAATAACAGCTCAGCCAGGTGCCTTCTTGCAGAGCTGGCTGGCAGCATCTTGTCAGGGGTGTCACCCCCCTCACAGCCGAGCACCATCACACTGGAGGACCTGGAGCTCCTCCTGACTGAAGGCCTGGCCAGCCCTGATCCCTTGAGTCTGGGGACCTCCGAGAGGTATGAGTCCAGTGGCCTGGCATCCAGTTCCTCTGTCCCCGAGCAGGATAATTCCAAGTGCCAGAAGCAACTGGAGCAGCGGTGAGCCCCACAGGGCACAGAGGGTGGGAGGATCCCGAGGGTGCCGCTCCCATGGTGCATACGACCTGACCCCGCTCACTGTGGCCCTGGCCAGGGTGGCCGACCTGCAGGCCGAGGTGACATGCCTGCGAGGACATAAGGAGCGCTGTGAGCACGCCACGCTGGGCCTGCTGCGGGAGCTGTTGCAGGTGCGTGCTCGCGTGCAGCTGCAGGCCTCGGAGCTCCGGCAGCTGAGGCAGGAAGTGCAACAGTTGGCCCGGGCTTCCGAGGAGCCACTGGAGGTAAGACAGCAACAGCAGCATCCCCACCCACAAGTCAGCTTCCCCTTTCCTGGACCCTCAACCCAGCTGGGTCCTTGCTGCCCAGGCCCAGAGCCCCCAAATCCCAGCTCCCATGTGGCCCTGGGTCTGTGCTTCAGGGGCTTGGCAGACAGCAGACCTGGCCTGTCCAACCCCACACTCTCCTCCTTGCAGTTCCCTAGGCCACAGAACCAAAACCAGATGCAGTCCCTGGATAAAAGGTACCCCCCACCCACCCGTGGTTGTTCTCAGGTAAACAATTCCCACACATAAGAAAGAAAAAACCAACCAACCAACCAAAACCAAACCACATACACACAAAGAACAACTCCCACACATGGTACAATTTGCAACCTGGCTCTCACTCCCTGGGGTACCCTGAGCAGGTTGTGGGAGGCTGGTGATGAGGCCCCACAGCCAGACCTCCAGCATCCACAAGGCTGCCTAGCCTGCCCTGGGCCTTGCAGAGCTTGCTCCTTGTGTGCCAGGCTGGTGGAGGTCCGGGAAGCCTTGACCCAAATCAGGAAGACCCAGGCGCTGCAGGACTCGGAGCGGAAGGGCACTGAACAGGAGGCAAACCTAAGGTGGGTTGCAGCCTCCCAGCACTGGCTCTGAACCCATCTTGCATGTGCATCTGAGAGTCGCAGGCCTAATCAAAAGGCTGGGGTCTCACCTGCCCTGTACTCCCAGCACTTCCCAGGGCATCTTCTGCCCTCTGTGGTGAGCTGCTGGGGATCTCAGACCCACAGTGGAGCCTCACAGGGCCACACCCCCCCTCCTAGCACTTGACGCTCACCGGGCACCCCAAAGTCTGTTTCAATTTCCGTGTGTTACCTGGGCAGCTTGTTTTCTCTATATTCCCTGAGCCTGAGAAGGGCTCAGTATCCCACAGCCTGCCTACCTCCCTGTGGCTCCCCAAGCTAGCTCTCTGGCCAGCTTAGCTTGTGTGACTGCCCCTAGGCTGACCAAGCTGACAGGCTTGCTGAGACAAGAGGAGCAGGGCCGGGAAGCGGCCTGCAGTGCCCTGCAGAAGAGCCAGGAGGACACCAGCCAGAAGGTGGACCATGAGGTGGCCAAGATGCAGGTACCATTCAGGAGGCTGGCCCAGGCAGGGTCAGGGAGGAGACCCTGACATATCTAGCCTGAGACCTTGCCATCAATGGTGCCTCCCTCCCCCTGTTCCCCCTGTAACTTTTTTTCTTTTCTCTCTCTGTCTCTGTCTCTTTTGTGTGTGTGTGTGCTTGTTAGACAGGCATTCTACTTGAGCCACACCCCCAGCCCTTTTATACTTTAGGTGTTTTTCTAATAGGGTCTCATGTTTATGCCTAGGCAGCATGGACCTCAATCTTCCTAGTTACACTTCCTGTGACAGATGTGTGTCACCATGACACTCAGTTTTTATTGGTTGAGATGGGGGTCTCACGAACTCCCTGCCTGGCCTGGCCTCAAACTGTGATCCTCCTGATCTCTGTCTCCTGAGTAGCTAGGATTACAGGTGTGAGCCACCCCACCCGCTTCCACCCAGATGATAAAACTTGAGGAGGACCTGCCCTGTCCAATGGTGGCCTCTTACCGTAAGAGGTGCTGTTCATTAACGTTAGTTATGATTTTAGACAATTTAAAACAATTCCACCATCATACAAGCCACATTTAAAGTGCTCAGCAGCCACGTGAGGCCAGTGGCTTCAGTTTAGGGATGCCTCGCCACGGAAGGTGCCCAGGTACATGCCATTTGCTGCTGCTGTGTCTTCCTCCTTTCCCAGTTCATGTGTACAAGTTCAGGAAAAGGAACCTTTGGCCCCAGAGCCCCTTCCACAGCTGTTTTCAGCTTCCATCTTTCCCTCCAAATAGGAGTCACAAATGCCCAAGACCCTGTGTTCCCTTCCACTGGTGACCCCTAAGAGGAGCCTCTGCTGCACCATGGGGCTAGAAAAGGGGGTGCCACACACCTCAGTGACCCAGCTCCTCAAATCTGCAAACAGAGACCAGGAGCTGCAGGGGTTCCACTGTGTGTCCAGGTCCTCACAGGGCGGGCTGGGTGCTCCCAGCTGCTCCCACATAGCTCCGCTTCCTGGAGTTGGTGGCAATCCCTTCTCACCACCCACTGGGAAGTTGAGATATTGACTCCATCAAGGTGGCAGGGATATTGGGTTGAGGAGTCCTGACCTGCTCAGCACAGGGTAAGCTGCTACTCACAGGGCCTGACTTTTATTTTGTTTTTTAATTTCTTAGCAGGACTGGGGTTTGAACTCAGGGCTTCACACTTGCTAGGCAGGCGTTCTGCTGCTTGAGCCATGCCTCTAACCCAACACCCGACTTTTCCCGGAGCGCAGGGGGCATCTGAGTCCTTCTAGGACTGGAATCAGCACTCTATGACCCTCTGCTTGCTTTTATAAGTAAAGTTTTATTGGCACAGAACCATGAACATTTGTTTACATACTGTCAGTGGCTACTCTCGGGCTACAACCAGAGTTGGGAGGCTTAAAGAGAGACCTTTGCAAGTCTGAAACAATTGTAGTCTGGCTCTAGAGAAAAAGTTACTGACCCTGCTCTAGGGCACCCTCCTTGTGGGCAGGGAGGCCAGCAGGAGCTCAGATGGAGTGAGGCCTTACCTGGGGACCATCTGCTCATGGACTGTGGCAGCTCTCCTAGTTCCCACCTGGCCCTGGGCAGAGCCTGAGCACTGTAGCTAGCAGCAGGAGAGCTCTGTGCTGTGGAGACTCAGTGCTTAAGACAGCCAGGAAGTTAGATGGAGGAATGGAGGGATAGGCTGAGCCTCATACCCCTCTCCTGCACCTTCAGACCCCCATGCAGTAGGAGAGCAACTGTGGAGAGGAGGCCCCAAGGGTCTGCTCAGTTCCCCTTCCTACCCTCACAATGGGTCCATGCATGTCCTCATGTGTGTCTAGACCCCATCTCAGAATGGGATTTGGTAAACACTGTGCAGCCTTTCCTGGGTACAGCCTTTATGGGCACTGAAGCTTTCTGGATTCCTGTGAGACTGACCTGTAGATCAGTTCTGGCCTACAAGCCTGATCCTCTGGGGGACAATGTTCCCTGCCTCCCTGCCCAGGGTGTGGCAGGTTTGGCTCTGCTGGGCTCAGGGACATAGGAGGAGGTGTGACTTGGGCTAAGAAAATGACTAAGCAGGGCCAGGCAGGCTCTCCAGCAGGGAGGCTGAAGGTGACAATGTATCCCTCCCCAGGCCCAAGTGACCAAGCTTGGCGAGGAGATGAGCCTCCGGTTCCTGAAGAGGGAGGCCAAGCTGTGCAGCTTCCTGCAGAAGAGCTTCCTGGTCCTGGAGCAGGTGGGATCCTGGGCTGGGCCTGCTGTCCTTCTGCTTACACCCCGGGCCAGGGGGCAAACTCACAGCAGACAGCCATGTTCCTGCAGAGGATGAAAGCTTTGGAGAGTATGCGGCTGAGGGCAGAGGGCAGTCTGCGGGAGGAGCTGGATGGCCGCTGGCAGAAGCTGAAGGAGCTGACTGAGGAGCGCATGCGAACCCTCTGGGCACAACACGAGGTGAGGTGGGCCTGGGCTAGTGCACAGGTGGGCAGGTGGAGGCTAGGGTGAGCACGGGGGCTCAGGACCACTTCTGCTGCAGCAGGGGGAGGAGGACCACCTATTGGAGCAGTGCCGGGGTTTGGATGCAGCCGTGGTCCAGCTGACCAAGTTCGTGCGGCAGAACCAGGTGTCACTGAACCGTGTCCTGCTGGCTGAACAGAAGGCCCGGTGGGTATCCTGTTGGGCTGGTGCACTACCTAGTCCCTTGCTCAGGAATTGACCCAGGCTCAGCAGGGGATTGGTCCTGACTTCCTCACTCCCCAGCAGTCCCGAGCAGAGCAGTAGGCCCACTAGACACACGGAGGCCAAGTAGCAACCCTCATCTCTCCCTCATCCTGCCCTTCCCTGAGGGAGGAAGCCCTTCTTGGTGGCATCTGTGACAACACCCTGTCCTCTGGTCCATGGGATCTCCTGGAAGGTTCCAGAGCTAGCAACCAGGACCCCTCCCTGGCTGCAACTGCGGGACCAGCCAGCCTTACTAAAAGACAGTCTTGGTGACACTAACATGCAGGGAGGCCAAGGTGAGCTTGGAGGAGAGCCAGGCTGGGGAGCTGGCCTCGTACGTGCAGGAGAATCTGGAAGCTGTGCAGCTGGCTGGCAAGCTGGCTCAGCAGAAGACGCAAGGCACACTGGAGATGGTGAGGGGGCTGGTGGGGCAGGTGTCAGCAGGGATCTCCCCCATAAACACAGACACAGGTATCCGAATGGAGCCTCCCTGACCTCTCTGCCTGTCCCCCCCGCAGCTCCTAGAGAAGAGCCAGTCCCTTGAAGGTTTGGTGGCTGAGCTGGCTCGGCAGCTGCAGGACCTGAGTGACCACTGCCTGGCCCTGAGCTGGAGACTGGACCTGCAGGAGCAGACACTTGGCCTAAAGCTGTCCCAGGTGAGCACAGGCAGACCTAGAAGGAAGGACCCTTGAGAAGAATGGGGATGAGGGCAGGGTGGCCTTCCTCCACCAGCAACTGACTCCAGGCATGGGTAGCCCCCGCCCTGAGACCCCTGTACCAGGCAGGATGGCTCCTTCAGCAGCCTCAGCCAGTGTCAGCTGCTGAGGTCAGAGAACCTGACACTGCTGCTGTGGCCTTCAGTTGCCCCCTGGGGCACAGAGGGTCAGTGGGCCAGTGAAGCAGCCTCTGCCCATGGCGTTCTGTTTGTTTTTTGTCATAGCTTTATTGAGGTAATAGCTCACACTTTAAGATGTACAATTCAGTGTTTGTAGACATCCGTAATGCTGTGTAGCCATCACCCCAGTCAGTCACCCCAGATGGAAACCCAGACCCATTAGCGGTCTGTCCCCTTCCCCTGCCCAGTGCCTGGTCACCACAAATTCTCTTTCTGCCTCTCTGATCTGCCTGTGCCTGATGCTTCCGTGTGGATTCACACAGTCTGTGGCCTTTTGTTTCTGGCTTTGCTCCCTGACCACATTTTGTGGACCGTCCCTGTAGTAGCGTAGATCAGAGCCTCAGTCCTTTATGGCTGGATAATGTCCCTTCATGGACAGACCTCATTTTGCTGACCCACTCACCTGTTGATGGATATGTGAGCTGTTTCTTTTTGTGATTTTTGTGAACAGTGCTGCGTTGGCCATGGTCTGGGGGCTGGATTCCCTTGGATGGCCCTGCATCTCCCTGGCACACGTGTGGTTAGCACATCTCCCAGTGGTACCCTATGACCCCACCTCTGTCCCTCTCATACAGTGTTCTCTGTCCCTTTCATTATCTCAGTGGGCAGCAGAGCTGGCCTTCCTTTTGAGGATATGGCTCTGTTCAGCCAAGTGACCTTTTTTGAAAAGGCTCTGGGGTTTTCTTGGCCCTTCTGGAATGTCTGTTCCCTGAGGTGCCTGGGCCAGGCCATCCCAGGCTGGGTGCAGGTTTGTGTACAAACATGCTTGGAGCCAGTCGTGGTGGCACACACCGGTCATCAACGAGGTGAAGAGGATGAGGCAGGAGGATCACGAGTTCGAGGCCAGCCTGGGCTACACTTGAAAAAAAAAAATGCTTGGAATCAGGGTGAACTTGGAGACTGCCTGCCCTCTTCGAGCTCCCCATCTCACCTCCTGAGGCCTCGTTATATGCTGGCTACAGTTGCCCTCTTCCATCCATCTGTCCACCCTTCCTTCCTGGGCTCCAGCCTCACTAGGTGTCTGAATCCTAGGCAAAGACTGAGTGGGAAGGTACAGAGAGGAAGTCCTTGGAGGACCTGGCCAGGTTGCTAAAGGAGATTGCAACCCAGCTGCGGACAGTGCAGGAGAAGGTGGACAGCCTTCCCCGGCAGGTGGGTGAGAGCTGGGGTGCAGGCCTCACCTGTGTGGGCACAGCCCACTTTCAGGGTCAGAGACCCCCCGCTTCCCTTCTCCCCATGCCTGCCCTGAACTGGGCCTGGACTGGCCTGGGGCTGCTTAGCTGTCTATGTGAAGTCAACCTGGGCTCCTGCCCACTCCACTTTTCAGATAGAAGGTGTTTCAGACAAGTGCATCCTCCGCAAGAGCGATGCGGACCTGAAGATCTCAGCTGAAAGCAAGGCTAGGTGAGGGCCCCAGTGGCCTCGCGGACTCCTGGGAGTGGGCAGGAGCTTCACTGACTGTCCCCAGGCTACACTGGTCCTCACGGTGCCCCTCAATCCCCCATGTACCTGTGGCAGCTCTGTCCCCTCCCTAGCCAGCCAGTCTCAATCTGGACTCTCCTCCTCTCTGTTAACACCCTGCATTGACCCCTCTTCCACCATCCCTATTAGAGGATTGGCAAAGCTGAGCTCCTTTGACATCCAGAGATGTCCCTTCTCTGGCCCAAGCCTGCTCCCCCCCCACTTCCCACCCCCCAACTTCCCACCCTCCATAGCCAGCCCTTGGTTCCCACAGAGAGTTCGCTGTTGGTGCCATGAAGCAGGAGCTGACCACCCTGCTGTCATCTGTGCAGCTGCTGAAGGAGGACAACCCCGGGCGGAAGATTGCCGAGATCCAGGGCAAACTGGCCACGGTACCCCTCAGGCCCGGGAAGCTGCCTGTGCCCAGCCACTTGCCTGAGCTTAGTGAGGGTGGGGACAGCTGGTGGCCTGTATCTGCTCATGACTGGGACTGTGTTTAGTTTCAGAAGCAAATTATAAAATTGGAAAATAACATCCAAGCCAACAAGACCATCCAGAACCTGAAGTTTAATACAGAGACCAAGCTGGTGAGCGGAAGCCCTTGGGTGGGCCACTTGTGCCACGTGGAGCCCTCCCACTCCCCCACCTCAGTCCCTCCCACTCAGCAGTCCCCCTGGAGGCTCCAGGCAGCTCACCAGCCGTCTTGTCTGTCTGCCTAGCTGGAGCAGAGCAGTGTTTCCCCGAAGATAAGGGCCTCCAGCCAGGCTTCCCCAGTGGAAGATAAGCCCCCGGTTTGCTGCATGCACGCGCACGCACACACACGGCTTAACTCCCACGATCCTGTGGTCGTCCTGTCTCCCAGGGCTCCCGGTAACACTGGCGATCCTGTGCCCCACAGCGCACAGAGGAGATCGCGACCCTAAGGGAGAGTGTGCTGCGCCTGTGGAGCGAGGAGGGCCCCTGGCCGCTGACGCTGGGCAGCAAGCGGGTGCTGATGTCCCTGGTGAGGCAGCGGTTCTTTGTCAAGGGCGTGGCCCCTGGAGAGCTGATTCCTGTCAACTGCTGGGGTGTTTATCAGGCTGTGAGGTGGGCAGCAGGGAGCCTGGGTCCTCAGGGCAGTGGCCATGCCACAGGAGGTAGGTGGAAGGTCCTGGAATGAGCTGTATCTCTGGGCAGGTGGCTGCAGTGGAAAGCTGTCTTCATGAATCTGGTGGCCCGGCGGAGGCCCAGTGTCATCTCCCACCTAGAGTCTGCACCCCAGCTTGCATCTCTGACCCCTTCCCAGAAATAAACATGCTAACTCTTGTGCCTGTGAAGCCAGAGTCCTCCCCGGGCCCTGTGGGGCTGACAAGGGGATAGAGCAGTAAGAGGAGCCAAAACCAAAGGCTCAGTCCCTGGACCTCCCTCCCAGGACCCTTCCTGTCCCACCCAGCCCAGCACCAGGTTGTTGCTTTCCACGGTATGGGAGCCCCACTTCCCAGAAGGGGCTTAGGCCCATACTTGTCAGAACCACCCCAGCCGCCAGTGAGGACCCGGGGAAGCTGCAGGCTTCAGCCAGGCCCGCCTCAGGTCATCTCTGTCCTGGCCCAGCCTTCCATCACATGCAGTGCCAGCAGAGGAAGCAGCTTCTCACCACTAATCTGGGGAGTAAACAGCCATGTTTACTCATTCCATCAGCGGTGCCCCCTTCCTGCCACTCAGGGAAAGCTGGGTTCAGCCTATAGCTCCAAGTCATAGCCTCTGGGAGCCACAGTTCCTGCCCAAGTTTATCCTCCTGTGGGCAGAGGGGCCCGTGTATAGTGGGAGGTTCTGAGGGCCAAGGGCCAGGTATGGCTGGGTCTTGATGCCCCATCACTCCTTCTCCCTCCCAGCCCTGGTGGCTCCTGGTGATAGCAGTTCTGGGGCACAAGACAAATCCAGACCCTTTTCTTGGTCCTGAAGAGGCCTCACCTGATTGGGGGGAGCTGGGATGGAGGGGCCTGGGCAGTGGGAAGAAAAGTCTAGGATCCTGGGAAGGGCAGCCCCATTGCCCCAGTACATTCTGATACTGCCCAGTTCCTATGCCTCGGCTAGCTGTGCTCCCTCCAGGGCCTGGGCACCCACACCTTGCAGTTCAGGGTCAGTCTCAGCTGACCAACTGGCCAGCAGATCACTGAAGTCTGGTGTGCCAGGATGGAGCAGGCCCAGAGGGCTGGGTGCTGGCTCCTTCCAGAAAGATGGAGGTAGCTTCCTCTGGGTCATAGGGATGATGTGACTGTACTTCCGCTCTAGCCTCAGTCTGTGGCCAGCTGACGTGCTGGGCTCTGAGAACTGCCGTAGCCCGTAGTCAAAGAGCTCGGCTAGGGGCCCCAGTGGTGGTGCCCCATCCCCACCAAGGCCCGGCCTCCACACCTGCCCCTCAGGCGAGTGGACCCCAGGCTCTGTGGCCTCCTCATCCTCCAGTGGCCCAGCCTGGGCCAGGCATACCAGGTCAGCATAGTACAGCTCCCGGGCAGAATGGCTGGCCTGGCGGCTGTCACCATAGATATCGCAAGCATCTGGGTCCTGTCCCTTGTCCTTGCTGCCAAAGTACCGCTGGATGTCACCACTGATGAGCTCCGAGAAACGTAGCAGCTGGAGTGGAGTCTCAGGGCTGCTGGGACTCTGGGGGACTGGGCTGCGGCCCTGTGGCCTTTTGTCCTCCAGTTCCTCATCCCCATCCTCCTCTTCTTCGTCTTCCTCCTCCTCTTCCTCCTCAGAAGTTTCTGGAGGTTCTGGGTCTGAGGACAAGAAGGGTTGGTGGGTTGGTAGGGGCAGCCGGAAGTCACAGAGAGGCCGTATCACACCTGCCGCCATCTCCTCACTGTTCTTGAACCTCTGGGGCCTGTGGACAGCAGGTGCTGGCTAGGAGAAGATAGAGGGGCAGGTTAGTGGTCAGGGTTAGCAGTACCTCGCTGGACTCAGAGCCCATAGGTGCCACAGGAAGGCTGCTTTGGCTCCTTACTCCCTGGAGCCTCCAGCCCTTCTTGTGCTTAGGTAGGACACTGGCTCAGCAGGGAGTGATAGGGGCAGACTAAGTGAACACATGGCTGATCTGGGCAGGGGGAGATTTCTGGGGTGCAGGAACAGGGTCCAGGAGCTGGCTCCAGGAGGTGGCTGGCCACTGGCAGGAGTAGCTGGATCCTGCCTTGGAGGGTGGGGCATCATGAGTGCAGGGGAGCTGGTGCTGTTAGCAGCATTAAAATTGTGGTCACTCAGACCAAGAGGGCAGTGCAGGAAGGAGAAGTCCCAGGGGTTCACTCTGCCAAGCAAAGCCAGGGACGAGGCTGAGTACGGTGTCTGTCCCAACATAGCATGGGGCTGCTGTGGCTGCCGAACCAGCAGCCTGGTGCCTTCTTTGCACAGCCAAGAATCCTTGCAGCCACGGTGGGTAACACTGGGGCTGCCAGGTCCTGCCTGCCCTGGGTGAGGATAAGCAGGGCCATCCCATCTCAGTAAGTCAGCCACACAGCTGCAGGGACTTGAGATTTTTTGCTTGTTTGTTTTTATTATGTTTTAGCTTTATTTTTTTAAGGACAGGGTTTCCTATGTGCCCCTCAATTCTCCTGCCTCAACCTCCCAAGGGCTGGGATCACAGGCGTGCACCACTATACCTAGCTAGCCCCAAGTTTTAATCTGACAAAAGTGTCACAATGTGAAGAGGGGACACCTGAGTCTCCCAACCCAGGCACCTTCCGGTAGGTGGAGGACCCTGGGAGGAAGTGGAGCACCAGGGGCCTCCATGCTGGTCTAGAGAAGCCAAGGAAAGTGACTAGACCTAGGGCTCAGTGGAGGGTCTGGGGAGGTGACTGAGGGGGTGGCATGTACTCCTCTGGCCAGCTGCCAAAGTGGGGCTGGTTCTGAATCCTGGAGCCTGCCTCCAGGAGCAAATGCCACCAGGCCCCTCTATGGTATAGAGGCAGGTGAGCACCCCAGTAGGAGAGAATAAGAAAGGGGAGCAGATGCCCAGTTCCCGTGTTCAGAAACCAGTCTATCTCTGAGGGGCCTCAAGTGGCCAAGGTCCTTGGACAGGTCTTCTTGGGGTCAAGCTGACCCAGGCAGCTGCCCCTCCCTTGTTTCCTGAGGCCCTGATGTGGGAAAGCTGAGGTGAGCTCTGGGGGGCCTCCTGCCTCCTCCTCCTCCCTGGCTGGCCACTCCGTGGTCCACACCATGCTCATCACACTTGGTCCCCTGTCATAGGAGGCATCCAGTGGCCCTAGCTCTGGCTTTTGGAGATGGCTGCTCCTGGAAAGCAAGGCACAGGCACCCTCCCTAGGGGAAGGGTCCCTGCAGTGCACCAGAACACGGGCTTGCAGCCCTCCCCACCCACCACCAGGCCCTGGCTCCTACCTGACTGGAGTGCAGCTCTCGCTCAGCAGGCCCACCTCCACCTGGGCGCAAGCATTTATAGCTGGGCTCCGTAGCCGCCCGCGGCTGGCAAATATTTGGCGACGGCATTGTCATCGCAGACTGGGCAAATAGAGCCCGTTTGCTTTAGCGCCCAGCAACCAGGGCCCCGCGGGGGGAGCACCTGCAGACCAGCCTCACCTGCACGCGGTCTGCTGGGGGACCGTGGAGTGTTTGCCTCAGGCCCAGCTGGCCCACACCCTGGACCCGAGGACCCTTATCTCTGCTGCTGATTGGGGCCTGGTCCAAGCCTTGTCAAATAGGCGGAAAATTAAATTTCATGCTATTTTGAGTTCTGGAGTACACCTCTCTAGAAGACATCCTGCCTGTGCAGCACAGGTTGTAAACCATACTTCCCAGCAGCAGTACCCCGGGCAAGGAGAGGAAGCAGAGCCCATGAGACCGCCAGCCAGCTCAGGGTGTGGGGTCTAATGTAGGTGGCCCCTGAAACCCCTGCCCAGGCCCTACAGTCATCAGGGCCATTTTAGGCAGCTGAGATCAGCTGCAGCCATCACTACCGGTCCAGTCAGGACTGTGAGGAGGAAGACCCCTACCTGGCTGCTGCTTCCCACCTGTCTAGTGCTACAGAGGTGTTTGCAGTCAGTCTGATTGAACAGGAGGGCCAGGCTGACAGGGCACCTCCATTCCCTGGTCCCCAGCCTTCCTCTAACTACTGCCATTCTGAGTGGAGTTGGGGGACTCTGACTCCTGCTGACTACCTTGAGTCCTCCCAGGGCCAGGGCCCCCAGGTTTTTCTTTGTTTTATTTTTTTTTTCCAGCAGTACTGGGGTTTGAATTCAGGGCCTTGCATTTGCTAGGCAGGTGTTCTACCATGTGAGCCACACCCCCAGCCCTTTTTGCTTTACTTATTTTTCAAATAGGGTCTCTCATCTATGCCTGGGCCAGCCTGGACCTCAGTCCTCCTGTTTATGCTTACCATGGAACTGCAATGACAGGCACACCCCCCACATCCAGCTTTTTTTAGTTGAGGCAGGGTCTTGAGAACTTTTTACCTAGGTTGGCCTCAAATCTCAATTCTCTTTTTTTTTTTTTTTTTTCAGTACTGGGGTTTGAACTCAGGGCCTTCACCTTGAGCCACTACACCAGCCCTATTTTTGTGAAGGGTTTTTCCAAATAGGGTCTCATAAACTATTTGCCTGAGCTGGCTTCAAACCACGATCCTCCTGATCTCTGCCTCCTGAGTCACTAGGATTATAGATGTGAGCCACAAGTGGCTGGCAAAATAAAGTCTGATCCAATTTTTTTTTTTTTTTGGTGGGACTGGGTCGATTCTCTTGATCTCTACCTCCCAAATACCTGGGATTACAGGTGTGAGCCACTGTGCCTGGTGTCTCTCAGGCTTTCTGCCACGTAGTTCTGTGTTAGATTCCTGGGACTGCCATAACCAATGATCACAAGCTAGACGGCTTTAAAACAGCAGAAATGGGGGCTGGTAGAGAGGCTCAAGTGGTAGAATACCTGCCAAAAAGCCTGCAGCCCTGAGTTCACACTCCAGTACCACAAAGAAACAAAACAAAATAAAAAGCCAGAAGTGGATTTGCTCTCACTCTGGAGGCCAGAGTCCATATCAAGGTGTCACCAGGGCTGGTCCTTTCCAGAAGATTCTGGGGTTCTGTCCCAGTACCTGGTATTGCTGACAATCCTTGGCTTGTGGCTACACTGACCTGTCTCTGCTCTTGTGTCCACATGGTGTGCTTGCTCAGAAGGATGCCTACCATTGGATGGAGGGCCACTATCCAAGCTTGTCCTCAGCTTCACTGCTTACATCTGCAATGACCCTATTTCAAATAAGGTCACACATTCTGCGGTTCCAAGTAGACATGCGTTTCTGAAGATCCCATTCTGTGCAGTCCAGGCACCCTCCATATGTGATGTGGCCCCACGGTACTCACGTGGCATCAGCTATGGCTCCCGCTGTCACTGGTGGGATTGGATCTGAGGACAGTACTTTAGCTCCTCTGGCTTGGCTTGTGCCCGTCAAGGGTTCCAATCACTTGCTGTCCTGAAACTCCAGCTTCTGTGTCTCCACCATGGGGTCTAGAGGGACGGGTACCACTTTACTCTTTCTTGGGCCTTTGCTCCTCAGCTCCAGGTGCCACCCCCTTAGGCAGAGACGACACATCCTACCAACTCTGTGACATCCCAACACACTGAGCTCTGGTCCTTTCAGACAAGTTTTTTTGTTTGTTTTCTTGCAGTGCTGCAGGTGGAGCCCAGGGCCTTGTGCATGGAAGGCAAGCGCTCTGCCCCTGCGCTGCACCCACCCCTGGCTCTGGCCCTTGCGACCACTGCAGTCATTTCCCAGCTTGTGGGTAGCAGGAGCTTTCAGTGACCCTGAAGTCATTTAGTGCTTGGAGAGGCAGGACCTCTGGTCCTGAGGGAAGCTGCAGGGAAATGAAAAGTTTCCCCCAATGACAAGAACCTCCAAGGGCCGGGCTCATGCCCTGGTCTGAGGGATCTGGGAAGCCATGCATATTTTAGGATGAGGTGTGTGCCTGGAGTTGTCACTTAGAGAGGGGACGTCACCTGTAGGTCCCAGGGAGGGACTTGAGGGCATAGGGAAGGTGACCACATTGTCACAGCCAGTCATCTATGATTTACCAGCAGTACCTCTTCCCAGGAAGGAATCCCAAGCCATGCCCCAGGTGAGTCATATCCCAGGTGAGACCATGTCCCAGATGAAGCTTATGCCCTGGGTGAAGTATGTCTGGCTAGACTCAGTCTGAGAGTCCAGTCTGAGTCTGATCTCAGGCTTGACCAGATCAGAGACTCCAGAGTCCAAAGCCACTTGCCCAGTCCTGGCTGTGGGTGGCCCTGCTTCTGAGGGTTCTCCTCTGACCCAGTGTAGCAGCCCAGCTGTCACCCTAGACCTATGGGAAGCTTAGGGTTCCAGGCAGCGCCCTGGCTGTGGGAGCAGGTAGCCCCCCTCCCCCGCCCAACTACATACAGCCCTGTTCTCCTGCCAGCTCAGGCAGCTTCGGGTGTGGGGCCCTGGGCACCCCCCAACCCATCTACCCAGGACCCCAGAGTTTGGGGCTGTAGCTGATCCCTGCTGAAGCCACAGCGCCCTCTGCTGCCTGCTCCATGTAGGAAGGATGGGCCGGCCCAGGGAAGGGGCTAGAAACAGGTGGAGGGCAACACTGGCCTGCCAGCCTGGGGTCTGTGTGCTGCACACACACCTCCACCTTGCTAGGTGCACAGGGGAGGGAGTTTGGAAACTAGGGAGCCGGGAGGAGGACACGGGAGGGCATGTGGACTGTGGCATATGTGTCCTACCCTGACCAGCACAGGAGACTGTGGACAGGCTGAGGTTGTGGGTGCAGGCAGCCACCTGCTCCCTCAGTACAGCCCCATCTGTGTGGACCCCAAACTGGGTACTGTGGGGTGAGGAGATGGGACACTGCCTTGCCTTCAAGAAGGTCCCATCCATGTCACCGTGGGAGGGGTTTGGTGTGAACGCAGCAAGCAAATCCCAGTGAAGGAGAGACTGAAAAGCCCCAAAATGCTGCTGCAGAATGCAAATCTCTGAGTTATCAAATGACCTGAGATCATCACAGCACAAGGTCCCTGAAAGACGGAGGCAGGAAGTCAGAAACACAGACACTGACCTGTATCTGTGGCTTTGAACATGGGAGAAAGAGCCATAAGCCAAGGGATGCCACTGTTCCAGGGATGCCTCCAGTGTGACCTGCTGACACCTCCATTTCAGGGCAGTGAGACCTTCTTGGGACCACTGCCTCCAGAACTGAGTGTCATTCAAGCCACTCAGCTGTGGTATCTGCTTCAGCCTAATAGGAAAGCCATAGCAGGAGATTTGGCCAGAGGTTGGGCTGGGGGAACATAAAGGGCCTCCCCCAAACCACAGGGAGCACCCGCACTCATGCCTGGTGAGCGCCCCACCACTGCAGCCTCTGTATGTGGGACCCTGTCCCTGAGGGAGGAGGACACAGGATTCTTATGCTTCCCAGGGCTGCTCCCCCCATACATCTTTTCCCCTAGCTTACGACTCAGGCATCTGGACAGGGCTGTGATAGGGCTTTGGGTACTGCAATGACCAAGGGCAGAGATGCCCACTCATGCTGCCTGGTAGCAGATTGTCCCCTGACAGCCTGACCTTATATTTGTCCTGAAGTAATCTGGTGTTCTTCCTTGTCTGGCAAGAGACCTGGGAGAGAACTCCAACCTAGGACAGAAAATTCTCGAGTGAGGAAAAAAACAGAGCAGATAGGTGTCTGGGAAGAAGATCCTCATTAGGGCCTGAGGCAGGAGACTAGGGAGGGTTACTACTGTACCAGTCAGACCAAGCTGTGAGTGTCCCACAGGGGCAGGCTCATAAGAGGAAACAGGCCTGAGATCAATTTTAGAGGCAGGCCTGAGGACCTAGTATGGGGAGGTCAGTATCTCACCCCCTTCCTTGTCCCTTCTGAGTTTTGAGCCTTGCTCAGGTAGACCAGCTGCCTGGCAGGTAGATGCTGAATTCAGACTTTTGTCTTTGGTGAGGCTAGGTTGGGGGATGACAGCCTGAGGGTCCTTTGGATCAGCAGAGAGACCTACGTTCCCAGAAGTTGCATATGTCTAGGTGGTGTTGGGTGGGTGGCCAGGGCCTGGCCAAGCAGCTTGGTGTCCCCAAGGTTCCTGGCACCCATCTGGGGCCCTGGGGGGGGCTGGGCCCAAGCATATGTCCTAGCATCTGCTCCCAGCCTGGCTCTCACTGCAGTCTGGGCCCAGCAGGGCTCTCTGCCCACTGCCCCCACCAGCCTCCACCCCATTGTCAGGCCTCAGGTCCTAGAGAGTGGCTCTGCTCTTTGGAGGCAGCAGTCCTGCCTGTCCTACGCACCCTATATTGATCTTCCCGAGAAAATCAATAGCTCCAATATGTCAGCTCTCAAGTGGCGCTACAATAAATTACCCTGCCATTAAGCACACAAGGACTGCAGCCTCCACACCCCCCCCACCACCATTAGCAGGACATTAGGCCTCCCGTGAAATTTCTCTGTGTGCTTTGAGATAATGAGGGCTGAGGTGTTGGTTTATGTCCAGGGGAGGGGAACGGGTGGGTCCACACACGGCCCCTGCACATCACACCGGCTGTGGGTTTTCCCTCTTCGGTTTCCTGGCCAGGCAGGAACATACCAGGGTATTAGCGAAGCTGGGTGACTGCAGGAGGGCCCAGGATGTGGGCTTTGCCCTGGGTGGAGCTGTTAGGAGCTATTGGGATTCAGGTGACAGGAAGGTTGCTATCTGTCAGCTTCCTGGGGCTGCTGTGTCTGACTGAACACCACAAACTGGGCAACTTAAAACAAGGTTTATCTCTCATGACCTGGAGGCCAGAGATCCAAAATCAAGGCATCAGCAGGACCGGGTTCCCCACAGATCATGGGGAGATCCGTAGTCCTTGGGGTTCTTGGGCTGACAGCTTCATCACTTCCTCTGCCTGTTTTTTTTTTTTTTTTTTTAATGTATGTGATACTGAGGTTTGAACTCAAGGCCTTATGCTAACACTCTATAACTCTACCATGCCTCCAACCCTTTTTTGTTTTAGTTATTGTTCAGGTAGGGGCTTTCATTTTTGCTTGGGGCCAGCCTGGAACCAAGATCCTCCTACTTACATCTCACACAACTGACAACTGAGAGTACAGATGAGCACTACCACAACCCAATTTATTAGTTATTGAGATGGAGTCTCACAATTTTTTTTTTGTCCCAGACTTCTATCCTTGAACCATGATCCTCCTGAGTGTAGCTAGGATCACAGGCATAAGCCATCATGCCTGGCTCAGCTTATCACATTTTTTTCTCCCTCTGTGCCCTAGCTCTTCTTGTAAGGATGCCTGTCATTGGATCACAGTGTGATGTCAGGTTAACTAACACCATCTGTAAAGCCCCTGTTTCCAAATCAGATCATGTTCTTGTTTTCTGGGGTGGAGGGCGGGACACCACTCACCCCAGTACAGCATCTTCCAGTCTCACAACAGCCTGAGCAGGGTGTGTGGTGCCCATTTACAGCTGAGCAAGCTGAGACTAGAGGGGTCAAGTTGCCCACCGAGGTGTCTCATTTCTGCCCCTGCTCTGTCATCAAGACTGAGTTGAAAGCTGGGTGCCAGTGGCTCACGCCTATAATCCTAGCTACTCAGGAAGCAGAGATCAGAAGGATTGTGGTTCAAAGCCAGGCTAGGGAAATAGTTTGTGAGACCCTATCTCGAAAAAACCATCATATAAAAGGGTTGGTGGAGTGCTTCAAGTTGTAGGCCCTGAGTTCAAGCCCCAGTACCTCGAAGAAGGCTGAGATGGGTGCACTGGTTGTCAGAGGCTGGCCTGCCACAGTGTGAAGCCCCAGTCCGGTTGCAACTTTTCACTCTGGACCCATGAGCTGTCCTGGGCAGCTTGTGCCCTGCTACCCTAAACATCCCAAATGGGTCATCCTGCATGTGGTTCCCTACCTAGGGAACCCTTGATCTGCACCTCTTCTAGGTTCTGCACCACCCACAATGGAGACCCTTCCCCCACACACAGTGGGCGTTGCCAGGTCCCTGCCAGGAGGGTTGTGTGGCAGTGACTTTCTGGGGTGGAACAGGTGAGGTGGGTCCAGGGAGGAGGATCTGGGCAAACAGGTGCCTGTGTTGACACAGCAACTCTGAACAGGGTCCTGGGCTGGCCTCTAGGGTGGGGAAGACTCAGGTGTGGGTGAACTCAAACACATTCAGCCCTTGGCTCCTGCTGATGCCCGGTAGGAGTGTGATGATTTCCCTGTCAGGAAGCTACCAGCTAATCTGTTTTTGTGGCATGCCTAGAGCAAATTATGGCTCAGAGGAAAAGGCTTGTTCAGGACACCTGACTACACACAAAGCCATGGACAGCCAAAAGCAATGATCCCTATCAGGACCCTGAGCACAATGAAGGCAGAACCAGGTGACCAGGCTTTTCTGAGGGGAAAGAAGCACCACCCAGTAGAAAGGGTGAAAAGCAGGTTTCCAGACCTCAGACTATCTGCAATTGGAATGGGTGTGAATTTCTCTCCAAGACTGGAGCTAAAATGACATGCTTTATGTTTCAAATCAAATTAAACTTACTGCAGGTCCCTGTTTCCCAGAGTGGGGAGAAATTCAAGTCCAACCTTCCTGCCTTCCTGAGAGACCTCAGGACAATGGAGCTGTGGAGCTAATGAAGGTGGGCTCCAGGTCTTTAGAGGCCCATCAACTGTTCTGTGAGGAGCCGTATGTCCCTCTCTGTGGCCTGGTGATGGCACCCCAGCTCTGAGAGTTGTTCTGAGGGCCTCCAGAGACACTGTCTAGCTGCGGTGCTGTAAGAGTGAGGCAAGTCTCCATTGCTAGCAGAAATGCCCACATCACCACCAGTTACCATGGGGAGGGTCACCTCTGTAGAGACAGAAGTCCCTTCCTTCTCACTCTCTAGGACCCTTAGGTTCCAACCCCTAGGATTGGAACAAAACAAACAAAAGCATGAGGATTCCATCTGGCGAGAAAGGAGCCCAAGGTTTCTGGGACTTGAAGTTGTTTGCCCCATGAAACGGAGAAGGGGATTTTCAGTTTTTGTGATTGGCTCACGACCTCAGGAACAAGCCCAGAGTAACGGTATTGGCCTGTCTGGGATTAAGTCCACGTGTACCTGCTTTATATCTGGCACACTGCAACAGTTTCTATGTGGCGTAGGTACTGTAAGGTAATTAAGTCCGAAGACGAGCACAGCACACCACGAGCAGTGCGAGGCGCAATCCCACGAACCTCTCCCCGGAGGCGGTCAGGTGTCTGACGCCCCTGTGGGTCTGCAGTCACCCCCAGGGGAAAGGTGGCTCCTTGGGGACTGGGACAACCCAAGTGGACGTGAAGTCCCCTCCTGTGTACCGGGCCCTCCCACCGCGCGGCTTGCGTCGGGCTGAGGTTCGACGACTCCGACCCGGCCCCGCCGGCTGAGGCAGCTTGAAGTGGACGCAGCCGGTAGCCGAGCTTCTCCGAGGAGCGCGGCCAGTCTTCGTCGCCATTGCAGGGCCCACAGGCTCGACCCCACCCCGGGCGGGAATGGAGACCACACTTCCCGGCATGCAGCGCGGCCTCCGGGAGCCGGCCCTGAGACGGAAGAGGCAGGCAGAGGAAGCGCGTCATTTCCGTTGCGCCACTGCACTCACGTTCTGTAGTCGTGAGTGGAGGCCTGGTATGGCGTCCGGTTTCCGCTTTTGTGCGACGGAAATGACGCAAGTGCCGCGCGCCGCGGCGCGGAGTGCAGAGCCGAGGTCGCGATGTGCGGTCTCCTGTGTACACCGGCTGCTGGGTGAGCGCCTCGAGGTCTCGGCGAGCAAGGCCGCGAGCTGACGGGCGGGCGGAGTGCTCATTGGTCTCTCTTTTCCAGGGCCGTCCGGGTGTTGCGGTTCGTGGGCTGGGCTTCGCGAAGCCTGCATCTGCCGCCCGGTAGCCGGGCTCTGTCCCAGCCCGCGACTGACGGGGAGGAAGAGGAAGATCCCAGCCGTCCCATTCAGTTTTCATCCAGTAGAGCCAATCCGTCCCGCTGGACGGTGGAGCACTCCCTGGGAAAACAGCAGCAGCGGCCCTGGTGGAAAGTGCTGCCCTTCAGCCTCTCTCTCATGGTTCTGATCATCTGGTGTTACCTGAGGCGAGAGACCAAGTCGGACAGTTGGTTGAGACGGGTGTTGGACGAAGAGGGGCCGGAGCCCAGTGAGCGAGCCTAGGAGCCTGGAGCTCTTGCCGCCTACGGGGCGTGAACTTGACGGGGTGCCCGCTGGGGCTGGCAGGGAGGAAACAGCCCTTCGGAGTCGATGTCGCGGCCCCGAAGGACTCGGTGGCGCCTTTGGCGCTGACACACGTGCGGGCGGGCAGGGCAGAAGCCGCAGTCCCGGATCTGCGCTTGACTGATACCGATGCCCACTGATTGCGTCCAAGACATTTCAGTCCGTAGAAGAGGTTTAGGCTGTATTGTGTGCTTTTGGGTTCGTGGGGTCTGTACAGCCTAATCGTGTTTCCGAAGCAAGTTCGGCGACACTTGTAATGTTGTGTTGCAGGTCATTTGCTTTACGAGTTAGAATCACTGGCAGAAGTGTTAATTTACAGTGCGCCATGATGTGTATAAATAACATCTATTGGTGTTTACATACTAACATACTGAAATACATTTGAATTTGATAACGCCGAGTTAGGGCGATTCTTTTTTTTTTTTTTCCCCATTTAGTTTTAAAAAAAAGATGATAGACCAAAAGCCACGTGTTTCAATTTATTTTTTTCACCCCCCGCCCCCCACTTAAGAAATATAGATGCATATTGTGGCATATATTACCAAATGATGTCAGAAATAAGGACCTTTTTCAGCTTTCTGCAAAACCTTATTTTTAGCACAGCAGCAACTTTATCTGAGTAGAGTAAAACTCAGTAGAACACGATTGAGCAGAAGACAATTCTGAGGCAAATACAACTGACAAATAGTTCTCACAAATAAAGGACACTCTTGGGACTAGAGGCATAGTTCAAGTGGTAGGGCACCTGCCTAACAAACATGAAGCCCTGAGTTCAAACCACAGTGCCACAAATAAACAAGGGCACTATTTTGGTTTATCTACCTTATATATGTGTTTTCCAGGTACTACTTAGGAAAACTTGCTGAAGTCTGAAATAAATAGAAGATGCATAAAAGGAAGCTTTTAGTTTATTTAAACTTGTAGTCAAAGGTTTTATTTTAGTATGTTTCTGGAAAATGTTTAAAGGGAATTTTTCTTTTAATCTGATGCACGTTTGAAGAACATGCTCTTGGCTGCTCTGGCTGTGTGGCATACAGTGGGCATTGAGAAGTGCAGTGCATGCAGTATGCTCAGTTCTTAAACACGATGAGATGGACTGTTGGAAAGGTTGACCTACTCTTAGCTCTGAGTACCTGGGTCCAGATTATTTTCTGACCTGGTATAGCCATGACTAGCTTGGCTGTGAGCCATTTTGGTTGCAGTCATTCAAACTACAACCCTTACCTTTACTCTTACTTGCTCCTGTACAGAATTAAAAAAGAAAAAGAAAACTTTCCTGTTAATTTACAAGTGCTTTTCTCCTAGGAGTGGTGGTGCACATCTGTAATCCCAGCTGTTCAGCATGTGGAGGCAGGAGGATTGTGAGTTCAAGGTCAGCCCAGGAAAAGTTAGCATAACCCTGTGTCAAAAAACAAAGAGGGGGGGATGGGCTTATAGCTCAAGTGGCAGAGTACTTGCCTAGCACGTGTGAGGCCCTGGATGTGATCCCTAAGTTTTTTTTTTGTGTGTGTGTGTTTTTGTGGGTTTTTTTTTTTTTTTTGGGTGGGAGTGGGGTTTGAACCCAGGGCTTCATGCTTGCAAGCAGGTGCTCTACCACTTGAGCCACACCTCCAGTCCATTTTGCTCTGGTTATTTTGGAGATGGGGGTCTCTTGAACTGTTTACCTCGGTTGCCCTTAAACTGGAATCATCCTTATCTCAGATTCCCAAGTAGCTAGGATTACAGCTGTGAGCCACCTGGGCCTGGCCCCCACTCCTAAGTAATTCTTACAGGACAAAGGCATTATGTGAAAGAATTAAGAATTAGGCAGAAGAAAACTAGAAGTGTCAGACATAATCACTGTGAACACCTTGTCATTCATTGAACCTGGGCCTCTGACACGATCGGCAGGTGCTCCACCACTGCGCTACACTCCCAGTCCTTTTGTTTTTGAGATAGGGCCTCACTAACTTTGTCTTGACTGATCTTGAATTCCTGATCCTCCTGCCTCTTCTTCTCTCCCAGTAGTTGGGATGCAGGCATGTACCACCATGATACTTCATGTGGGATGCAGCAGATTCTGAGTGGATCTATGCTGGTGATTTAACAGTGAGGTGGATAACTGTTGTCAAGAGTAAAAGGAGGACCCTTGGTCAGCTGGGGACAGTGGGCAAACCTTCTCTACACTTGGGCTTTTGAAGGGGTAACAGAGCAGGTTGATACGTGAGCAACTACTAATCAAATCTTTTTTTGGGGGGTAGGCCAGTACTGGGGTTTGAACTCAGATCCTCATCCTTATAGGTAGATGCTCTACTTCTTGAGCTGCTCTGCCATCCCTTTTTGCATTGGTTACTTTTAAGATAAAGTATGCTTTATTGCCTGACTGGGCCCCATCCTCCTATTTATGCTTCCTCAAGTGGCTAGGATGACAGGCACATGCCATCACATTCAGCCAAAGTTGGTTGAGAGGGAGTTTTGTGAATGTTTGCCCCAGCCGACCTTGAACTGTAATCCTCCCAGTCTCCACCTCCCAAGTAGCTAGAATTACAGGCTTGACCCACGCGTGGCCTCCAATCAAGTCTTTTTTTTTTTTTTTTTTTTGCAAAAGCAACAGTAAAGCTTATAAAGAAAGAAATTTAGTATAACAGGATAAAAATGGGGGAGATGGGGGAAAAAAAGGGAGAAACTTTTTTGCTCCCCATGCAGGAAGTGGGAGCAGAGATTCCCTAATCAAATCTTTTTGTGTATGTTGTGTATTTTTGAGATAGGGTCTCGCTTTTTGCCCAGGCCGACTTGTAGCTAGGATTACAGGCCATGAGCCACTGGTGCCCAGCCGGATCAAAACTTTTAATTAACTTTTTAATAGAGTGCTTGTTGTAGTTCCCCAACTGGGCTGTGTTGGTTTTTTTGTTTTGTTTTTTTTGCTAGGGTTGTTGGGTTGTCTTAACTCCCCCAGGTAGGTGCCCCATATGCATTGGAGAGGGCATTGCAAGTATGAGAGAACACAGGCAATGTCTGTGATTCATTGGGTAGGAGGAAATTGTTTTTTTAAAAACAAATATTTCAAGGAAGAGGTTAAATGGCCACTTCGTGGTAGTGTTGTGCATTGCATTCCCTCTCCAAAAAAGGTGAAAAATTGATACAGTGATACCCCAGTGTTACTTTATGTACATCTGGTCCTGCCCCAGCCTTCAAGAACGTTTTTCCAGAGCATGAAAAAAGGACACTTCTAGTCCTCTTATAGCTCCTCACAGTTTCCCTTGATGTCTTCTGGGTGTGGACAAAAATGAGGTGCCTTCTCTGCAAACTGTTGTTCGGGAGCAGCTTTCTTATTTATGCTCCCCGTGGCTCCCACCCAGCTCTGCTGTCTCAGGTTCCTCACGCTGTCCTTCTGCATCCCTCCAACTACAGTGACCACTCCTTTTTTATTCAACACACCTTAGCAGTCGTCAAGATTTGTTTATTCCTTTGGAGAATGCATGGGACCTGTCCTAACCTGCTACGCTGTCCAGCTTGATTTAAAATGAAAATTTGTCATTGCTTGGCATGGTGGTACATGCTATCATCCCAGCACTTGGGAGGCTGAGGCTGGAGGATTGGAAGTTGAGCACAACCTGGTCTACATAGTGTGACCCTGTCTCACACACAAAAAAAGATGGCTGGAGCCAGGTGCTGGTGACTCATACCTGTAATCCTAGTGACTGGGGAGGCAGAGAGCAGGAGGATCATGGTTGGAAGCCAAACAGTTCAAGAGACCCTATCTCAAAAACATCTATCACAACAAAAGGGCTAGTGGGGTGACTCAAGGTGTAGCCTGTTCAACCCCTTAAAGTACTAAAAAAAAAAAAAAAAAACCTGAGTTTTTAATTTTAATTTTTTAATTTCAAGATTTAAATGCAATGTTTGTAGAGGTGATTCATAATAGTTCATGTAGAAAAGTGAACATATGAAGAAGTCATTCACCTACCAGCAAGTCATAATTTTTATTTTACTCTACTAGTGACTCAAAAAATTTACATGCTGGGACCATATTACCTTTGTACGTAAATCGTTGTGTGAAGCTAGTATTTTTTAAACTGGCATTCCTAGAAATGGAGCAAGAAAGTTATTTTCGGTAAATGCCTGGGCCCTTTGCCCACCAGCCCTTCCTTCAGGACAGGTCTCTGGCATCCCAGGCGACTGCCCAGAACAGAAATCTTAAGAGCACTCATCTTCCAATTCCAGGGGGGGTTCTTTATTTCACATTTAAAATGTTTCATGCCAGTCATTTACACATCAATGAGCTCCTGAGTTCTTTTTCTTAATTTTTTTAAGACCAGTGCTGGTCTGGAGCCCCACCCCTCCTGCCTCTCCTGCCTGATCCTCCTGAGTGCTGGGATTATGGAGGTCCGCCATCACTCCTGGCCGGGTTCTCACTCTTAACCCCCCCACCCTGTGTGTGCAGGGTGTGCACCCCTGCCTACCCTGTGCTCCTGGCATTCGTATTTTTAAAAGCAGTTCAACGGAGGTACAGTTCACGTGTTACCCAGTTCATCCATCTTAAGCACACAATTCAAACATTTTAAGACCACAGTCTGAAACCTTTTCGTGCCAAGGCAGCCCGTGTCTACGAGCGGACTCCGCGTCTCCGTCCCCGTCCCCGTCCCCGTCCCAAGCCCTGGGCAGCGGCGGGCGCACGCGCTGGAACCCTGCACGCACCCGCATGTCCCTGCTCGCGCGCGTGTGGCCTTGGGGCTCGCGTGGGCGTGACAGGGGCGTGGCCGGCGCCGCACGGCGGGGGGCGTGGTCGGCGCGACGGGGGGCGCGGGGGGCTCCGCGCGCGGGGGGAGATCCGGGGGCGGGGGCGCCGGCGCGGCGCATGCGCGCTGCATTGTTTTGACTGAAAATGCCGTCGGTTTCGAAAGCGGCGGCGGCGGCGCTGAGCGGGTCCCCCCCGCAGACCGAGAAGCCGACCCACTACAGGTCAGTGCCCGGGCCGCCGCCTGGACGCCGGCGCGCGGCCGAGGCGCAGGGGAGAGGCTCGCGCGCACCCGGGGCCCGGGCCCGGGGTGTCGCCGCGCGCGGAGGGTGCGCCCCGCCCGCCGCCCGGCCCCGCGCAGGCTGGGCTCGTGAGGGGTCACGCCGTCCGGACGCGAGCGGCCGCCGCCTGAACTCGGGGGCGGTGTCCCTGTTGGAGAGGTCTGGGGAGCGCGCCCCGGCCAGGGGGGTCCTCGCGCCTGTGGCTGGGGATGGGGGAACAGCGCCTGGGTTTGGGTGTCAGGCCGCGCCGGGGCTCGAGCTAGACGCACCGCCATCTGGACTCAGGCTGCCGCCGCCCGAGATTGAGAGGCGACGCCCAGGGACTGGGGTGTCTGCTGGGTTGGGGGCTGGATCGGGGGTCACAGTGGCTTCTTAGACTCCGAGGTTGTGATGTCGTGTCGGAGGTGGGGGGGTCGCGTGTGCCATGAGGATGGGGGTCGGCTGCGCCTGGTGTCCATCTGGAATCGGAGTGGGGAGTCGTGGCTGGGGTCGGGGGACCGCGTCTGGGGACTGGAGGTCGAGTCGGGGGTTCGGCGAATGCACTCGGGCGGGACAAGGCGGTCTGGAGTTACCTAGGTTCCGAGTGGCATGGAGGGCCGCACTTGGGGTCAGGGGTCTGTGCTTGGCGTCCCGGGAACGCGCCCGGGGTAAGGGGGTGGGGGAGGGGTATGGCGGGTCATCTGGGCTCCTAGTGGGGGGCGTCGCGCCTGGGGACCCGGCCCCGCCCACGAGTCCCCGGGGCCGCCCCAAGGCGGCGGTGGCGGCGGAAGCGACCCGCAACGTGTTTGTCTTTTTAGGTATCTAAAGGAGTTTAGGACAGAGCAGTGCTCCCTGTTTTTGCAGCACAAGTGCAGCCAGCACAGACCATTTACCTGTTTCCATTGGCATTTCCTAAATCAGCGTCGGCGCAGACCGCTCCGCAGGCGCGATGGCACCTTCAACTACAGCCCCGACGTGTACTGCTCCAAGTACGACGAGGCCACCGGCCTGTGTCCCGACGGTGACGAGTAAGTGGGGCTTCCCGGTGGGCAGCTGCGGGGGCCTCTCCCTCGGACACGGCTTTGACTGTCAGGAGGTTCTTAATGTCCCTGGTTCTTTTCAACACATCACACCCATACAGGGGATCATATTTTCACTCCCAGGTTTTGCAGGGATAGGGATAGGGTGGAGGGCACGTCTCCATTTTTAGGGGAAGATTCTGTGAGTTTCAGTGAAAGCCTCACTTCCCACTAATTTTTTTTTTTTTTTTGGTGGGACTGGGATTTGAACTCAGGGCTTCAAGCTTGCAAAGTAGGTGCTCTACCACTTGAGCTGTGTGTCCGGTACATTTTGCCATATTTATTTTGGAGATGGGGTGGCCCGAACTGTTTTCCTGGGCTGACCTCAAACTGCTATTCTCTGGGTGTCAGCCTCCCAAGTAGGATTGTAGGTATGAGCCACCCACCACCCCTGGCTGGTATTGGGGTTTAAGCTCAGGGCCTTGTGCTTGCCAGGTGGGCACTTTGCCACTTGAGTCACGCCCCCACCTTTCACTTCCCACTCCTGGTCCCCAACCAGTTCTCCAAATTTCCACCTTAGAATGGATGTTGATGACATGCAGTACCGGTATAGGACCATTTTTAAGTGATCTGTTGCTCTTCAGAGCTTGTCAGTGTTTGCTCACACCATGGAAGATGTCTGCTTTCTTGTTTTTTTTTGGGCATATTGGGGTTAGAACTCAGGGTTTATGTCTTGAGCCACTCCACCAGCCCTTTTTTTGTGGTGTGTGTTTTCAGGATAGGGTCTCATGCTCTATTTGCCTGGGCTGGCTTTGAACCTCGATCCTTCTGATCTCTCCGTCCTGAGTTGCTAGGATTACAGGAGTGAGCCACCAGCATCCGGCTCCTTTCTCGGAGCCGGATTTAAATTAAAAAAATATATATATGATAGGAGGACTGGAGGTGTGGATCAAGCCTCAGAGCATCTGCCTGGTAAGCGGGAAGCCCTAATACCTCCAAAAAAAAAAAAAGATAAAGTTTTATTTGCAGACTGTCATTTATGTAACACTTTCAAAATTTAAGAAATCAGGGTTTTGTTTGGGTTGATTTTTTTTTTTTTAACGAGTTTCTGAATGGTGTTATGAACAGATGTCTTTATTTTGAAATAGGAAGACAGGAAAAGTCCAAGTTACTGGATGTGCTTTACAGGAAGGTGGAATGTAGTAGCAGGAGATTTTATCTTCTTCCTGCAGGCTGCTTGGGGATGAAGGAGGTGGCCCCTTTCTACCTAAAGGTGAAGTGGCAGTTATCAATCTTAAAGTCTCCTGACACTTGGAAGGGCTTTGGTTCCCCATGTGCCCTCCCTTTTAAAAACACCTCTCACCCTGCCATACATGGAGACCCATATGAAGACTGTTTTCCTCTATTTTTCAGAAATGCTTTGAAAAATAGTAAACTTTTGATCTGTGACCATCATTTTATAAATTCTGAACACTCACTGGAAGGTTTGTAGTAGTATACCAGATAGTTACATAGTTGCTTTTATTGCAGGTTAAATTTGACATAATGTACCCAGCTCCACTTCCTGTTTGGTTAAGATGGTGTTCTACTTGGCCTGTACTATTTAATTGCTTTTGAGCCATTTCTTGCAGAGGTGTCTTGAAGACAGGTGAGCCAGGTGTGAGTGGCTCATACCTGTTATCCTAGCTACTTGGGAGACTTGAGATCAGGAGGATCAATGTTTAAGGCAAATAGTCTCCAGAGAATTCATCTTTCCAAAATAACCGAAGCAAGATGGACTAGAAGTGTGGTTCAAGCAGTACAGTGTCTGCTTTGCAAGCACAAAGTCCTAAGATCAAACCCCAGTCCCACCAAAAAAACAAACAAGAAAACAAAAACATGTGACTAACTAGCTGAGGCCTGGCCTCAGTTCTTAATTTCTCATGATCTCTCAGGTATCTTGGAGCTGCTGATGCCTGAGTTGGGAATAGGGATCCATGGAGAGAAGACTGGGCTTGTCTAACCCCACCCCAGAGTCAGGCATAGGGACTCTTTGGCAGTGTTCACTGGCAATGGTTTTAATGAAGAAAAAAGCATCTTAATAGCTGTTTTGGGTTCCAGAGCTCAGATGTCCTGCTATTGACTCATCCCCACTACTGGGCATCCAGGTGGTATTCCAGTCTTGATAGGATGAGACTGTGGCAAGGAATGTATAGCTAGAGGTGGTCATGTTTAGCTATGCTTAAATAGTAATTAGATCACATGCAGTTATTACAGACACGTTAACATGCAGCCTGAAAAGCTTGCGCGATTTGTCACTGGGAAGGAAGCGGGACTAGCATGCTCAGTAGTTCAGTTTGGGATGCGTTGTGTGTACATCTGCAGGGAGGAAGAAACTCACATGTGTATTATGAAAGCTTTTGTAACTTTTATTGAGGACATGAAATGCCTTGCTTCAGCCCTTCAGGAAGCATTTGCAGGCTGCCTCCCCTGGGAATCATCTTAGTAATTACCGCTCCTTCCACGAGAGAGGGACTTTCCTTTCACTGTACATGTGGAATAGCCCGTTTGTCCCACTGAACTGCATATTCTGGTTCAATTCAGGATTACCAGGGAAATTGTAAACAGTTCCTTTTGAGCAAGAAAGAAACCTTCCTTTGATCTCAGTTCAGTGGTTCTTGAAATTTCCTTTCTGGGCATATATACTACCAACTAACTTTTTATTTTTTGTGGAGATCAAACCCAGGGCCTCAAGAATGCTAGAAGCTCTACCTGAGCCACACCCCCAGCCGCCCCACCAACCTGTTAATAAAACGTAAATTTGTATCAAGAGCAAAGACCCTTCAGCCAGGGTTGGGCAGAATGAGCATCCAGACATTGTTCTTAACGCTGGGCAATTATCCCCTCCTGTGGGCAGCCCTCTTCCCCCTTCCTTGTCCATCTCCCATCATCACCAACCCTGCATGGTACCTCTACCCTTACCCTCTTTCTTCAGTGTCACCCTTCTACCTCCTGCTCTGTGGTCACGCCTTCCTCCCTCCCATGGTGACCCTGGTGTCTTTTCACTTCTCCTTGGTGGGCACCCCTCCCCTTGGCTTACTGTTATTAGTCCCCGTGGGCGCCTTGCTACTACCTCTTAACTGGGTGGGCGGTCACCCCCTCGCTGTCTCCATTTTCTTTTCACCGGGGACCCCACTTCCTGGGCACTCCCGCGGTCAGTACCCTACCCAGACTCTTGGCTGGGAGACCCCCTCTGCGCCCCATCCCACCTTCGCTCGCGAAATGCCCTTTGTTCTGGCGGACACGCCCCTTTCCCAGAGCGGGCTTCTATTGGCCACCTGGGTCACGTGCTACGGCGCCCCGCCCCCGTGGGAACCGGCCTACCCACGGCGCTCCAGGCCGCGTGGGCTGCCGGGTGCGCGGAACTGGGCCCGCTGACCGGCGTCCCGCGCCAGGGCAGGCATGCGGGTCGCGTTCCCACCTGGGCGCGCCCAGCGCAGGTGTTTCGCGGGAACGCACGGCTCTTTTGCAGAGGTTTCTGGAGCCAGCCACAGCCTGAAAGCTGCTCCGGGACCGGGGCTCTGTTCCCCCGGTCCAGACCTGCTAATGCGCCCCACGCCGGCCTTCGCCCGGGATCCCAGGTGTGGCTGGCACCTTCCGCCTGCATGAGCCACTCGCCCGCCTCTTTAGTGTTTCGTTCAGCGTATGTCCGCTTTTATCTACGAAGGAACAAGGCTCCTGGGCAGGGAAATGAAGGCCCCTCCCCAAGGGTTTTCTTGGAGAAGTGTCAAGTAGCCCCCAGCTATATAGTGTGTGAGGTGCCCATCTGTGGTGTTCTGCCCTAGACGGTGCCCTTGAGGTGTTGCCGTGTGAACCCTTCAGTATTTGTTGTTTTCACTAAAAAGGGGTTTACCCCAGTAATGCCCACTTGCCACATTTTTTTTGCTCCTTTTTAGGGCTCCTGTGGTGGGGGTGGGGGGGCGTTTGGGTAGGCCTAGCTTGGCATTTGCTCCTCAGGCTCCCGTGTTCGTCAGGAACTGACAGGAGGGTGTGGGGAAATTCCTGAGTTTCCATTTCTAAGAACAATTTAAATGTGGTGGCTTGTGTCACTTATATCTTGTATGTGACGGCTCTTTGGAAAGGTCCTTTTGCAGTATTTCATGTAAAAACTCATGGGATTCATGGCTTAGGTGGAAGCTGTGCTGTGCAAACCACCCTTACGAGGGGACGGGGGAGCCAGGGCAGGCAGTGTCGCGCTGAGAGTCAGGCTGCCGGGGCTGAGAAGGGAATGTGCTCTTTGGTGGCTCCAAGTTACTCCACTTACTGGGAGTACAATCAGGTGACTGAGCTGGAACCCTTAAGGGACACTTAGACATAAAAAATGCTCCTGGGGCTAAAGTGACTAGCTCTGAGTGAGTGCAGTACTTCAGCTCCTCTTGCCTTGGGGTGGAGCGGGGACCAGGAGGAACCTCCCAGCAGATGAACTGAGGCCTCAGCTTAGAGGCCAGGGCAGAGAGGATCTTGGGGAGAGGGAGGCCAGATTGGCATTCAGTTGATAATTTCACGCTGAAGTCACTTGGGCAACTAAGTGAAAAGGGCCATTTGGCCTGTCTTTGGCTGCATGGGCCCAGCTATGAAGATTCTTTGGGGAGCGATGTCTCTCCTGTAAGGTGGAAAATAGCCTTGCTCACGGGAGACCAGGCATGGGGGCTGCAGTGATTTTGAATGAGCAAGCCCTGGAACAGGTCTTACCTTCCACAGGAATGTACTCTCCCCTGTGTCTCTTACTGACATCCTAGAGTTCACCAGCCTAGGTTAGAGATCCAGTTGGCTTCTCATGCCTTGACAGATTTGTTGTCCTTGGTCTGAAACCACCATGCTATGGTCATTTCTCAGTCTTCCCTCTCTGGGGACAATCCCACATACATGTACGTTTAATAAAACTCTAATGTTTTTCTTTGTGTTCATCAGGTTCCTAAATCTAACTGAAGATCCCACACAAGAACTAAGGCGGGGGGGAGTCTTTCCAGCCCTACTCAACTTTGCCAGAACCAGGAGCTGTGGCAGAGCTGGACTTGTTGACAGGCCATGTGCTTATGTCAGGGCTGTGGTGGAATTGTCACTGACCTACTGAGGGTCCAAGAGCTCCTGGAAGCCCGAGGTTGAGGGAGTGTGGGTGACCCCACTCCTGGTGTCAAAAGAAGGGAAGACCTGAGACAGGTTGTCCAGTTTGTGTCCCCAAGCCTCCCCTCCCCCTGCAGCCTTTTGTTTTCCTGCCTCGATGCCCAAACTCACTTTAGTGTGGGTTGCCCCTTAGTGCTGCTGTGCTGTGTCCTGGCTCCATCTATGCTAGAGCTTCTCAGAGCTGGAGGGAGTCATGTTACACTATCCAATACTGTCCTTTTTTTTGGTTGGGGGGGTGGTGGGGATAACGTTCAAACTCAGGACTTTGCACTTGCAAAGCAAGTGCTCTACTGCTTGAGCCCCACCTCCAGTCCATTTTGCTCTGGTTATTTTGGAGATGGGGTCTCATGAATTATTTGCCTAGACTGGTTCCAAATCTCGATCCTCTCTGTCTCAGCCTCCCAAGTAGCTAGGATTACAGGCATGAGTCTCTGGTGCCAAGCTGTGTCCCTTTAAGCCTGGTGGTTCTCATACTTTGACCCTCAGATCAGCATTCTCAGCACCCCCTGGTGACATACTGGGACCTACCTGGTCAGTGTGAAGTGACAGGCCCTAGGGATCCTCACAGACTCATCTGATGCGTCTGGGGCCCCCCCTTTGGATTGAGTGAGAGCTGCCTGTGGGAGGGCGACAGTTTCCTGCACTCCTAGAGACCTGGTCATAGTTTTGAGCCCCTGGCAGATTCCTCCTGTTCTTTCATGCTGGGCTCCATGGTCCTACACCATCATGGCCAAGTTGTGTTCAAGCATGCCATTGTACCATACTGTCAGTGGAGCTGTGCCGTCTTCATGTTGTGGTCACTCATTGGGGACATTTAGGACCCTCCCCCCAGCAGTCCAGGGAGCAAGAGGCCACTCTGCCTTCTCCGCTCTTAGGGTCCCTAAGGTCACAGGACCTTCATTCCCTTAAACCTCAAGCTTTGAGGTCATGGAGTAAGTGGAAGGTGGGCTGAGCAAAACACATAGCCCAGTAGTGGGAATGGGTCTGCCCTGGGGAATGGGGCGCCTCATCCAGGTTCTGGTTGCCATGGGAATGGTGGTGGCACAGAACAAGGTGCTGTTCAGCGCTAACTCAGAACCACAGGGGAATTGGCGTGAATTCAGATTGAAGGGCAGGAAGATGGAGAATAGTGCACTGGCTAATTTCTGCTGAGTAGTGCTGCATAGTAGAGTACATTCGTGTATCTACCTCTCCATGCCTGCAGTGATACTCTGCCAGCTCCGCGTCTCCTTCTGCTAGGATAAGGGTTTGATCTGAGCCTTAGGGGAGGGTCCTAAATTAGGGATCAGGTGTGACATCCTCTGGCCAGAGCAGACCTCTGTGTGCAGGAAGTGGAAGCAGCTGCTCCCTGGTTCTAATGGGGGATGGGCAAAGGTCAGGGTCAGCTCCAAGTCCACAAGGGCCAGACAGTGTGTTTGAACCTCTACTTCCCAGGTGCCCCTACCTGCACCGAACAACTGGGGACACAGAACGCAAGTACCACCTGCGCTACTACAAGACGGGCACGTGCATCCACGAGACAGATGCAAGGGGCCACTGTGTGAAGAACGGGCTGCACTGTGCCTTTGCTCATGGCCCCCTGGACCTGCGGCCACCCGTGTGTGACATCAGGTGAGTGTGGTGTCCTTGGGGAGCCAGCTCACCTCCCTGCTGCTGCCAGCATTACTTGTCCAAAGCATCTCTTTTTTCTGAGCCCCAATATTACGTCTTTTTTTCTTTCCTCCCCCCAGCCCCTTTTTTCTCTTTCTTGACAGTTTCTTGTTACATAGCACAGGCTGGCCTTGAACTCAAGATCCTTCTATCTCTACCTCCTGAGTGCTGGTTCTCACAGGCATGCTCTATGCACCTGATTTCCTTCCTTTTTTTTCCTTTCCCCTTTCCCTTTTCCTTTTTTTGGTGGGACCAGAGTTTGAACTCAGGGCTTTGCACTTGCAAAGCAGGCGCTCTACCCTCAAGCCACGCCTCCAGTTCGTTTCACTCTGGTTCTTTTGAAGATTGGGGGGGGGGGTCTCTCAAACTGTCTTGCCCAGGCTGGCTTCGAACCTTGATCCTCCACCCGATCTCAGCCTCCCAAGTAATGATTATAGGCATGAGCGACTGTCCCCAGCTTCCTAGTTTTATTTTATTTGTAATGAGAAAATTGCTCATTTTTTCCTAACTGGTGTTTCCTTCCTGTGTCCACTGGCCACTCATGAGGATGGGGGTGTGAAGTGACACCTTCTAGAAGGACGAAGCAGGATGTGCCCAGCTGCTTTAGAAAAGCAAATCTATCCTAAGGAAAACCCAGCTCTGAAGTTGTTGGGGTTCAGGTCAGGACTATGATCCCAGACCAGGGCTGCATCCAGGCCTGTAGGCGGCAGCTGTGACTATCAGAGCGGTTCTGGAGGCACAACTTTGCCTTTAGAAGGGATTTGGCTTGGCCCTGGGCCATAACGGCTGTGTTGTTGGTTGCAGGGAGCTGCAGGCCCAGGAAGCCTTGCAGAACGGCCAGCTCAGCAGTGGGGATGGCCTGCCTGATCTGCAGCCTGGGGTCCTGGCCAGCCAGGCCATGATTGAGAAGATCCTGGGCGAGGATCCGAGGTGGCAAGGTGAGCTGAGGCAGCTGCTGAGAGTCCAGGGGAGCACATGGCCTTCACATGGACGCTTCTTCATTTCTGTGCTTTCGTTCTTCAGGCTCATGGTCAAAATCATTTATTAATGCCTTCTAGTACTTTTTTTGTAGTGCTGGGATTTGAATTCAGGGCCTCATGCTTGGTAAGAGGACACTCTGGCACTTGAGCCACTCTGCCAGCCCTTCATTTCTGTCCTTAACATTGCCTACAGGTTGATCATATAGGAAACTGGGCGGCCTCTGTCCAGTACCACCCTGGTCTCTCAGCTGACAGGCGGTTGAGTGGAATCGAATCAGGTGTTTTTCTCCCAGACTGCTCTGAACTTCACCCGCTGGTGTCCCAGGCTGGCACTAGCTGACTGTAGGGTGAGGAGTATGTGCAGCCCCACAGTGTCTTCCGGGCATCCTGTTCCTGCTGGTCAGTGTTTGCCACTACCTGTCCACTGATGGAGGGCAGTTCCACCTTATCTTGGTCCTGGGCCTCTTTGTGTGTGGTGCTCAGGTCAGCAGCTTTTGGGTGCCTGGGCCTGACATTCAGAGCTGTAGGACCCATGTTCCTAGCAGGCTCTACACACAGTGGTTACAAGCAATGAAGAGGTGCTTTTTTTTTAAATTATAAAATTCACCATTTTAAAATGAGCAATTCAGTGACATTTAGTGAATTCACAGTGTTGTGCAACCACCACCTCTGTCTAGTTCCAGAACATTCTCATCACCCATATGGAAACCCCACGAGCAGCAGGCCCCCCAGCCCCTGCACCACTTGCTTGCATCTGTCTGTGGATTTCTGTTCCACACATGTCATGTGGGCAGCAAAGTTTTAAGAAAAACACAATAAGTCATGATGCATCTTGTCTACCCAGGACTTTCCCCTGTGAAAGAATGCTTTGAGACTGGGCACGGTGGCTCGTGCCTGTAATACCACCTCCAGGGGAGGCTGAGGAGGATCAAGGTTTGAAGCTAGCCTGGGCACAAAGTTAACAAGACCCGGTCCCAACCAATAATCTGGACATTGTGGCATAGGCACGTGGTCTCACCTGTGGGGAGGCATAGGTAAGATGATGGTCCAAGGTTGACCCTGGTGCAGAAAATAAGAGACCGGTGCTGGCAGAATAGCTCAAGTAGTAAAGTGCCTGCACAGCAAGCATGAGGTCCTGAGTTCAAACCCCAGTACTGCTAAGAAAAGGGAAAGAAAAAACAAAAACGAGATCCTATCTGAAAAAAATAACAATAGCAAAACAAACAAAAAGCTTTAAAATTGCAGGTATTTCAGCCATGCGTTCTTTTGGTCTGTATGTCTTTCCTCCACTGGATGGAGGTGAAGTGTGATAGGGCCTTGGGTCCCTAGCAGGGATAAATTAATAAGCATGGTTGTGGGAGCTGTTTCTGATTAACTCTCCCACCTCCACCCCCTCCCCGTGGCTCCTTCCCCATTGTACTGGGACTGAGCTCAGAAACCCTCTGACCTGACAGGTGCCCTGGGACTCTCGCCAGGCCCTCTTCGCAGTCCCGGGCCCCCAGCCAATGGCAGTGCTGACAAGTGAGGCATCTGGTTTCATTGTGGGTGTTGGAAGGGGCAGGGCCCCTCCTGAGTTAGAGAGACTGACGTGCACCAGCTGTCACGAGTCAAGGAGAAGACCTGGGTGTTCAACCTCGGGGTGGAGGCTGGCAGCCTTTTGCTTACCCCTGCTGAGAATGGTGCCTAACTGCTTGTTTTTGTCATTCTTTCGTTCCAACCATCCACCGTCCTGTTGGACAGGTCCTGACATCCACCTCATGGGGACCCATTCCAGTGCCACAGGTGGGAGGTTCCATGAAGCTGTCAAGTAGACTCCACTCAGTGGGAGACTGGAGCTAAGCAGGAAGAGAGAAGGAAGGGTGTGGCTTTTTGGGATCCGCTCCCATCCATGACTGCTTTTATTCATTTATTTTTGAGCCAGTGTTGGATTATGTGGTTCAGGCTGGCCTTGAACTCACTATCCTCGCACCTCAATCTCTAGTGCTGCAGTTATAGTCATATGCCACCATGCCCAGTGGTTTGATGATTGCCTTTAAATGACTGCTGCCTTTTTGAGTTAAAAGTCACATGACATAAAGTTAACCTTTTTTTAAAGCTGAGGCTGATGTTTCACAACTGTAATCCCAGCACTTGGAAGGCTGAGGCAGGAGGATCTAGAGTTAAACACAGCACAAGCTACATAGCAAGACCCTGTTTCAGAAAAGTAAAAACAAAATGTTAACCATTTTTAAAAAGTAGATGTTTATAGACCAATTTTAGGTTCACAGCAAACTGAGCAGAAAATCCAGAGACTTCCCATATATTCCCCTCCCATCCCCAGCTTCCTTGCTACCAGCACCCATCGCAGAGGGGGACATCTGCTGTAGTGGGGACCTACCCTGGCTTGTCATTGTCACCTAAGCCTGCTGTTGGTACTGGGGTTGGAATAAGCCATCTTAACCTGGTGTGATGGCTCATGCCTGTAATCCCAGCACTTGGGAGGCTGAGGCAGGAAGATTATGAGTTAGAGACCAGCGTGGACTACATACCAAGATCCTGTCTGAAAAAAGAAAAAAGTCATGTTAAAGTGCACATTTCATTGTTTTTATGCATTCACAAAGTTGTGCAACCATCTCTTCTCTTGAGTTTTAACTTTTTTTTTTTTTTGGTTATACTGAGGTTTGAACTTGGGGTCTTGTACTTAGTAGGCGAGCCCTCTGACACTTGAGGAACACCCCCAACCCCTTTTGCTTTAGGTTATTTTTAGATAGGGTGTTGCTTTTTGCCCGAGGGGGTTTCTCAATAACTTTTTACCAAGATTTACTTCCAACTGCAGTCATTCCAGTCTCTGCCTTCTGAGTAACTTGGATTACAGGTGTGAACCCCTGTGTCCAGCCTTAATTTTTCTGGCTCCAAAAGGAAATCCCATCTCCATCAGCAGGAGCTCCCCAGGTCTCTCCTGTAGCCCCTGGAAGCCTCTGTTATATTTCCTGACCCTGAATTTCCCAGTTCTGCACATCTCATACACATAGAACCATACTTGCAGCCGCATGTGGCTGGCATCTTACGCTGTGCATAGCGTCCTCAAGGTGTTACTGTTAGCCCCTCACTCATGGCTAGAAGCATTCCATCATGTGGAAGACCACGTTTGCTTAGCCACTTGGCCGTGGGTGGACCTGTGGCCTCCAGGAGTGCAGTGTTGCCAGCACGCAGAACCAGGCTTCTGTGCCTCTGTTTTACAGACACCAACTTTGTGCTGGGCAGCTACAAGACCGAGCAGTGCCCGAAGCCACCACGCCTGTGCCGTCAGGGCTATGCATGCCCCCATTACCACAATAGCAGGGACCGCCGACGGAACCCTGGGAGGTTCCAGTACAGGTGAGCCCAGGGACTGTGGCTGGCAGGACCCTAACCCACTGCACAGCTGTTCCACCCAATTGGGACCCTCTCTGGCATGTGTGCATGTGTGTTGCTGCGGCCAGTGGCCTGGCTGCTCTCAGACTCCTGTGCCAACCTCCACCTGGAAGGTACAGTGGAGTGGCTGCTCCTCTGTGTCCCTCCTCTGACCTGTGCACCCCATGCCAGGGGATGGGGCATATTTTCCAAGTCTGTTATCCAGTGCTGCCCGCTCTTCGGGTTCTCACAGTGAGGGGTCCCTGTTTAGCACTGCCAACCCTTAGAGTGGAAGCAAAGTGAAGACCTGAGTGTGTGTTCAGGTGTGTGTGGAGACAGAGCTGGGGCACAGGTCTCTCTGCCATCACTCATAGTGACTGCTACACTTTCCTCTGGCTGGGAGCCCTCTGTTAGGCAGTGCTGACCACTGCTGGGATTCCCGTACCTGACTGAGACCCTGTTTGCTCCCACTTGTACCTCTGGTCATGATGACCATGCCTGGGGTGTAAGGACCTGTGGCCGTCTAGCTCAGCTGAGTAGTCGTGGCCCCTCTGGCATTACTGGGATCTGAGATTGATTCTGTCTTCATGGCTGGCAGCCGGGGCACTGCATTCTAGGGGCCGAGAGTCCTGGGGATGACCACGCTCCCTCCTCCTGGGCTCTAACCAGCATCGGGATTCAGACCCTACCAGGCTTGTGCTGTTTGTCATTTTAGTGCTTCTTTCCTGGGTATTTTTGGGGCTGCAAATTAGGAGTCTTTGAGTCCTAGCTGCCACCTGTCCTTCTGAGAAGATCAAGGAGTTTTCTCTTTGAAGGGACAGAAAGTTTATGTGTGTGTGTGTATAAATAAGTATTTATATATTATATGTTTATATATATGAAGAGTCAAATTCGATTAAGTAATAGCCAGGAAGCATAGGAAGAGTGGGGGATACTGGTAACTTAGAAAGTTTGATTAGGATTTTCAAATCATAGGATCAAAGGTCTCAGACCCTGCTTTGCAGCAGCTGCACATGGCAAAGCCTCACACTGGCCCTTGGTCACTGTTCCCCTAGGTGTTTTCCCCATGGCATGGGTAGCTCTGACCCAGACCCCTAGAATGCTACGAAGAGTGGACGCAGGGCTCCTGACCTTTATTCTGCCTCCAGATGGGCATTTGCTCTGCTTTCCTGGGTCCTCCTGAGGAGGGTCACAGTCACCACACAGTGTTTTGCCTTTACCCCCTGTGGCCTGATCCAGCTTCTGAGAGCCCAGGGTACACAGGAAGGATACGTGTTGTGACTCTCTTTGTGCCCAGGTCCACACCCTGCCCCAGCGTGAAGCACGGTGATGAATGGGGTGAGCCCTCGCGGTGTGATGGCGGGGACAATTGTCAGTATTGCCATTCCCGCACGGAGCAACAGTTCCACCCTGAGGTAGGCACCAGGGCTGGGCCGGCTGGATGGTTGGGGTCATTTGTAGCCTGGGAGAGGGTGGGGCTGGGTTCTATTGTCCTTGCTGTGTCTGAGGGTCCTCACTGCCACTCTGGGGTTCAGTGGCTTATTGAAAGAGCTCGCGGGACTTGGCGAAGGCCTCTGGTCACAGCAGGGTCATTATACTGAGAAACATTTTAAAGCCAGCCAAGGGACAGGCATGGGGTCTGTGGGGGCCTCCCAGGAGAGAGGACAGCTCTCCCTTTCCCCACATGCCACGTGACTTCACACAGGAAGTACTGCCGGCTGGGGACACTACCTGGATGCCTGTGCATTGCTTGAGTAACTGCTGTATACCAGATGCTGAATTAGGTACCTCTTTGAGTGTCATGGCCAGCAGGCTCTACAGAGAGAGGTTCAGGTGCAGGGGACAGTGCTGTACATAACTAACAGGAAAAGGTTTATCCTGCCTCACGGTTCTGGAGGTTCTGTCCGTGGTCAGCTGGCCCATCGCTTTGGGCCTGTGTGAGGCACCCATCATATTAGGAGTCACAGTGGAACAAAACCGTGCTCCTGTGGCCAGGAGCAAAAGACAGGAGGAGGAGGGGACCAGGGTCTCACAACCCTTGAGGTCATGCCCTGCCCCCATCTAAGTATGTCCTCTAGTCCCCACCTCTTAAAGGTTCCACAACCTCCCAGTGCTGGAAGCAGGTCTCCAATCTGCAGCCAGCAGAGTCCACGTGCTGATTGGGAGCTTGCTGCTGTGCACTGTGGCAGCACCAGCTCTGTTCTCCCAGAAACCCAGCTCTAATCCAGCCTCAATACTCTGTTTCATTTTTCTTTTCTAGATCTACAAATCTACAAAATGTAACGACATGCGCCAAACTGGCTACTGCCCTCGGGGACCTTTCTGTGCTTTTGCACATGTAGAAAGTGAGTAGATAGTGTCATGACAGCCCATCTCAGCTGCCAGGTGCAGAGGTGTCCCATTCAGTGACTCTGTGGATGTTCACAGACATTTTGGGTCGTCTAGAGTGCACTTTGAGGACCAGGCAAGTGGTAGGGGCTGCACACTGTAGCCCAGGCACCAGGAACACGTAGATGTATTTGGCGTCTGCATTTGAACTCCTAGATGGGTGGGGTTAATGCCACGTAGGCTTGGCTTCCTAGGCTGGACAACTCCCACTAGTCTGGGCCATGCAGAGCCCAGAGAGGCCTTTGCCTGCAGGCCTGTTGGGATCCTCTCCTATCTTGTGGGGACCCATGACCTGCTGTATAGCTCCTCACGTACATCTCACCCTGAGCCTGCTGTCCTGCTGGGGCTGAGTAGCACCATCTCTGTGAAGATTCTGTCCACCCGAGCCGTGGAAGACCCCAGAGTGCTTTCAAGCAGGCGTGGCCAGCGGGCCTGAGCACCTAGTGCTTCCTGTTGAGCATGTGGGCCCATGACAGGGGCCGCTCCTCCTGCTCCCCAGGCTGTCTACCCAGCTTAGAGTTGGGCTCACAGTTTTGTAAGTGTAGTTGCAAACTCAAATTTTACTTTATTTATTTATTCTAGTGGGACTGGGTGGGGTTTGAACTAAGGGCTTCATAGTTGCAAAGTGGGCGCTCTACTGTTTGAGCCACAACTCCATCCCATTTTGCTCTGGTTATTTTGGAGATTGGGGTCTTGAGTATTTGCCTGGGCTGACCTTGAACCTCCATTCTTCCGATCTCAGTCTCCCCAGTAGTTGAGATTACAAGAGTGAGTCACCAGCGCCTGGCTACTTTCTGTTCTTTATTGACAGTAATAGGGTTTGGACTCAGGACCTCATGCTTGCTAAAGCAGATGCTCTAGCATTTGAGCCACATTCCCAACCCACCTTTCTATTCTTGGTCACATTTAAACAAGACTAAAATCTAGAGACTTGAATCTAAAATCTGAGGTGCCTCTCTCGGCCGGTCTCCCATCCTGTTGAAGGGTCATTATTAAAAGACTGGCATCTGCTCTGAGCACTAACTCACCTGGGTCTGACAATACCACACATGTGTCACAGCCAGTGACCTCTTGATGCCATCTGCTCTTCTTTCTTGGCAGAGAGTCTGGGACTAACAAATGATTGGGGCTGCCGTGATTTCAACTCCTCCAACAGCACCTCAGCCCACAGCGGCCAGCCTGGAAATGTAAGTGGACGTCACTTAGTAGCACTGTTAGGACAGATGAGGTGGTGTGTGGGTGATGTGGTTGAAGGCAGTTTGCCTGTCAGGGTTTGCAGGTCCCAGAAGAATCTGGAAAAATCCTGGCTACATTTTCTATTGGGCTGGAGCAGGGCGAGCAGCTTGAGCACTGGCCAGTGTGTCCTTGCCTTGGCAGGTGCAGATGCCCTGCCCTCCTTGTCTTTGCAGAACTCCCCTGGGTTGTGTTGGGACCTGGGACCTGGTTGGGTGGGAGTTACCAGCCAACAGTGTGGTGTGGTGGGATGTCCCCAGCCCATGTCACCCCAACACACCAGGCTTTGAATGTGGTCATGAGCTGTCTGATGGTACATGACAGAGAATGACAGACAAGGCTTGCTTCTGGCTTTCAGACCTAGAAAGAGATCATAGCCTTGCTGCAGTGACCCTGCAGTGGTGACTAGCTGTGAGGGCAGAATTTTAACTGATCTTCAAATCAGAGCTGTTTCTAAGAACTGTTCCAGTAACGTCAAAATGTCCCTGAACTCATTTAGCAAAGCCATACTGCTGGGTTCTCACACTTGTGGGTGTGATTACACTCTCTGGCCAAGCCCAGTTGAGTACAGTTGTGTAAGGTGGATCCCAGGGCTGGTGGGCAGGTCTCCGAGTCTCCAGAAGTCTCTTTGCTCACATCCTGGAGTACAGATTGTGTATCCTGGCCACACGGAGGGAGGAGAGGGCTTCTCGCGCACTGCTGCTCTTTCTCCCACTCTGCTCGAAGATGGTCTCCTTTGGCTGGAGAAGAGAGGTTCTGAATCCACCGCCTCCTTGTCAGTGGAGATCTTGTTGCATCTGGGTTAGACACCAGTCACGGATCACCAGTGCTTTTTTGTAATTTACTCCTGCCCCACTGGGGTCCACATTGAGGGAGACCCTGAGGGGTCCATCTTCTCAAGTGTGGGGTGGGCCTGGGCCTGAGGCACCTGTCCTGGATTTAAATTTCTCATTTGTGAGGAGGTTTGGGAGGTGCTATCTTTAGTGCATGCTCTCGCTGTGGTGCCTGGGCCCCGCCCTGCACTTTGGGCACCTGGAGCAGGCCGCTTCACGGGGCCGTGAAGGTTCTCAGGAACCTGTGTGGCCTTCACAAAACCCTCTGCATGTCTCACTGCATGTGGCACTGCCTTCCAGGGAAGCCCAGCTGGGCCACTCTTGGAGATGGTTACCCTCCTTTTCAGTATAGCACCATTTGGACCAGGCAGGCACCTGGGGTCCAGCTCCAGCCACAGCTTTAGCCAAGACTGCTCCCATCATGGTCCCTCAGTTCATGTATATGTCTAAGTCCCACTCCTCATGTGATTGACTCAGCTGTCCTCGGGCACTTTTGGTGTTGGGCAGCCACCAGCTCTGTGCCTGGAGACCTAGCAGTGGCCTGCGTTGTTGTTGCAAGTGTGTGGAGGTCATGCCCTGCCATTACACCTAACCCAAAGTCAGAGACTACACCCAAGTGTCAGGTAGACTTGGGAGAAGGACCCTGCCTTGAGGAAGTGATGTGAATGCTGCCTCTGCCTTGTGAGATGTCATCACTTAGTGTTTTCTAAATCCTGAGCAAAGCCTAGGTCTGTGTGCTGTCAGCTGGTATTTGCTCCCTGCCATTTCCCAGCCTGAGCAGTTTTCTGTTGCAGGCCAAGCGGAGAGACTCACCTGCTGAAAGTAGCCAGAAAACCAGCGAGCCTGACGGCAAGCAGGTACGATCCTAGGGTGGATGGCGCGGCCTATGAATAGGATATTTTTTTTCTTGAATATTCTTGGTCTTGCTCACTCTTGACTGATATGCTTAATATCTGTTTGTTGTATAATTATCTTTTTACCTGTATCCATGTGTCCCTTGTTTTATTGTTTAAAAATATTTGTGTCTGGAGGTGGTAGAGCGTCTGCTTTGTGAGCATGAAGACCCAGATTCAAAACCCCAGTCCCACCCAAAGGGGGAAAAAAATACATATATATATTTGTGTCCGATGTTGGAAACAAAACCCTAGCATTTTCCCTGCAGGGGACACAGGGTACATTTAGAGATGCCCTGTAGGAGTCAGTGATGGCCACTGTAACAAAGCACCACGGTGGGAAGACTTAAACACACAGGTTTATTTCTCACAGTCCAGAGCCTTGGAGGTCTGACATCAGAGTGTGGGCAGGGCTGCTTGCTCCTGAGGCCTACATCCTGGTCTTCTCACTGTGTCCTCACATGGCGCCTCTATGCGTGTCTGGGTCCTAATCTCTTCTTATAAGGACACCAGCCTATTGGATTAGGGCCATCCCAGTGACCTTATCTTAACCTAATTATGTCTGTAAAGACCCTGTGATTACATCTCGATGTCCTGGGAGTGAGAACTCTGACGTGGATTTGGGGGACACCATTCAGCCCTAAGTCCTGTCCTCATGAGCCTGGCTTGGTCTCCCATTCAAGGAGGTTCCGTGTGTGTGTCAGGTTCCCATTTTGCTCTTCCAGGGGTTATAGTGGGAGCTCTCATGCCCCAGTCCTGGAGCTTCTCCCATACACGACCCAGCTTCCATATGTTGTTTCAAACCAAGTTGCCTGTTCTGAGAAACAGGTTTTTCTCCTCAATACTGCTTCCCTAAGGACTCAGAGTAACTCCTTTGCTATAAAAAGCAGTAGGCCTGGCTGGCTTGTGATGGCTTCTGTAGTTCTGCCACTCAGGAGGCTGCGGCAGAAGGGTTTCGAGTTTGAGGCCAACCTGGGCTACAAAGTGGTCTAGGCCCTGTCCAAAAACCAGTAACAGCAAGAATCAGAAACATGAAGTGCGAGGAAGTGATACCTGCAACACATTGTGTCAGTCTTAGGGCTGTGAGAAGGGTCTAGAGAAGTGGGAGCAGAATAGACTCCCAGGTCAACGAAGGGACTGTGCTGCCAGCCCCAGGATGGGGCAGATGGACCGCAGCTACTCTAGGTGAAGCCACTATAACTTTCTGGGCTGCATCATGTCACCCACTTCTCCAGGACACACCTGGAAGAGGTGTGTTCCTTGCAGCCCAGTTGGCCTCCATGAACTGTCAGCAGTTCTGCCTAGGCACTGGCACCGTTATGGTCCGGTTCATCTCTAACCCGGTTCTTGCTTGTACCCAGGACAACATCTGTTCCCACCTTAGAGCTGGCCCCCAAGGGAAACCAGGCTGGGGAGCAAGAATGGGAGCCTCAGACCAGTGTGTGGTTCCTTGACTGTCCGTGGCTTCTGTTTGGTTAGGAGGCACAATGTACCCTGGCAGAAGCAATGCCAAGGGCATGGCTCTGATGTTGACTTCCATGGATGGTGATGCATAGACTGTTGCTCCCTGGAGCCCTCCCTGCCTATCTTTTCTGGCCCTGCCATAGCTGGGCTGGGTTTACCTCTCTGTGACCCTTGTCTCTTCCATGTCACCTGCAGGTCCTGGTGTTCCTGTCCCCCATCACTGGGCCTTCTTGCAGGCAGGGCCTTGGCTATTGAGTTGGATTGGGCCCAGGAATACCCATCTAGAGTTTGATCCTTGATTAATCTGGCCCATGCCCTAGTCACCACCCCCTTCCTGACTGTCCATTGCCTGGGCAGCTCTGTCTGTCTGTCCCCCTTCCCACCCCGACCAAGCCATCCACCCAGGGCCTGTATTTGGGGCCACATTGGTCAGCACAACTTGCAGAGCTGTCTCAATACTGGTGAGTCCAAAATTGCTCCAGGGCTGAGATGTGACAGCCAACCGCCCTCCTCCCACATGGCCCTGGCGTGTTCCCTTGAGGTTTCTAGCGACCACGGAGACACTGTCTGTGGTGCATCCAGACCCAGTTCTCTGAGGTTCACCCCTGCAGCCTGTCAGGCTGCAAGGGGCTGAGTGCACTCATCCCACATCGTCCCCAGGCGTGTTTCCCTCAGGCTTCCAGAGGTTATGGAGTTGCTGTCCACAGTGCACTCAGACCCAGTTCTCCCCTGCTTCCCCCACCCCCAAGAGACTGCAAGGGACTGGGTGCCCCATGTCAGGCCGCTACAATGTTGCCCCTCAGCCTGGGACACAGGACACTCGGGTCAGAAGGGCAGCTGGGCAGAGTTGTGATTTCAAGCACCCTGCACAGCTTGTTTCTCAGCTGGCATATGGGCTCTTCAGATTGTCACCTTGGATCCCAAGTTACCCTCAGGTGTCCCTGCACTGGCAGACATCACTGTTTCCAGCCTGGCAGGGACTCAGGCAGATGGCGAAGCTTCCAGACCTCAGGTTTGCCGGTAGTTTCCTGGATGTGACACCAAAAGCACAGGCAGCCAAAGGGGGCATGTGAACTTAAGCATAACGACCAAGGTTTTGCCAGGCATGGTGGCCACACCTCTAACCTCAGCGCTTAGGAAGCAGAGGCAGGAAGGTTGTGAGTTCAAGGCCAGCCTGGGCTACATAGTGAGATGCTATCTCAAAAGAAAAAAAATGGTCAGAGCTTTTGTACATCAGAGGACACCATCACATGACAACACCCAGAGCAGGAGAAAATACTCCAGGTCAGGTATCTGATAATGTGTTTATGTCCAGAATACATTAAGAACTCCTACAACTTAACTAAAAAACAAAAGCTCAGTCTGATTTGATTTAAAAAATGGCAAAGGACCTGAATAAACATTTCTCCAGAGAAGACGTATGACTGGCCAATAAGCATGCACTCAAAGAGATATCCTACACCCTCAGGTGTCGGGGTGCAGTGAACCCGCACTGAAATCCTGCCTCACACTCACAAAGACAGGCAGGCCTCGCAAGAGGTAGTGAGACTGGAACTTTGTGCACCACTTCTGGGAACATAAAATGACACAGCCATTGGAACAGTGTGGAAGTTCCTCAAAAAATTAGACAGAAAAGGTAATTATAGACAGAATGACCATGTGAGCCAGCAATTCCACTTCCTGGAGCAGGGACTGGAACAGGTATTTGTACACTGTTTTCACATCAGTGCAGTTTTCAGTACTGAAATGTGCAAGCAACTCCCAAGGTCCACTGATGACGAGTAGCCGAAGGTGGCTTGTCCACAAAGTGGAATTTCTCCGCTTTCAAAGGAAAGAAATGTTGACGTGTCACGATACAAGACTGTATGAGTCAGCTTGGACTGTCCTAAGAACACAGACCAGAGGGCATAAGTAACCAAATGTATTTCCTTAGGGTTCTAGAGGCTCGACGTCCAGGACCAAGATGTGTACAGGGTTGGTTTCTCTCTCCTTGGCTTACAGATGGTGTCTTCACACGGTCATCCCTCTCTTGCATCTTGGGTGTCTCTTCCTTCCCTTACAAAGATGATAGTCATATAGGGATGCCCCAGTCTTTGAATTCATTTTGCTTTAACTCCTCCTTACCCTGTGAGCAGTAGTCACGTTGGGGTTAGGGTTTCAACACAGGACTTTGAGGTAAGGATACAATTCAGTCCAAGATAAAGACGTTAATGCTAAATTGTAGTAATTCTTAACTACTAAATACTTCATAAGTACGCCAGCCACACAAAGACAAATCCTGTAGGATCCTTAACCTTAGCCAGACTCACAGAGACTGAGAGTAGAGTTTGGTTGCCAGGGGTGGGGAAGGACAATGAGGAGGAGTTGGTGCTTTGTGGGGACAGAGCTCTGGAGACCAGTGGTGCTGATGTTCACACAACACTGACATTGTAATTACTAAGGCACACTTAAGAATGGGTAAGATGGTAATTTTTATCTGATGTGTATTTTGCCACAAGAAAGAAAATCAACAGAAAAAGGCAGGCAGGCAAAGCTGGTGTCAGGACGCAGTGGTGTGGTCCCCAGCGGCTCTTCTGGTCCTGGCCTGCTATGCCTGGTTCTCCTTTTAATGAGGAATGAGGACCCACTCTCAACCCCTCATGGTGGTACGTCTGTGACCATTGGACCCCAGGGGAAAAGGCCTGGCCTGTAGGTGTCATTATTGCTTTTGAGGGCCACATGGTCTTCTGACATCCTCTGGAGCGTCCTTTTCTGCTCTTCTGGGGTGAAGTCAGTGTGTGCCTCACTCCACCATGCCAAGGCAGGGTTGCTTTGGCCCCTTTGGCTCATGGTCCGAAGTGGACTGATGGGGAGGTCTGTAGTATGGAGTATCCCCTTGTACACACACCTGGGAAGGAAGGAGGTGGGTTGCAGTGCCCCATGTAGGGTTGTGGTGTGACGGGGGATCTCTGTGTCTACATGAGACTTCAATGTAGAAGTAGGGCCACAGTGTCCAGGCGGGGCCTCAATGTCCCTGGCCTAGGTGGAGTCTAGCTTCTCAAGCTACTATAGTCAGGGTGTGGGGCCTGAGGTCATCTGTTCACGTGAGGGGCTGGCCTGCTCTATGCCTGGCCCTGGAGTGTTGAGCGGCCCCCCTCGCAGGGGCATCAGGCCCTGCCTTATTAAAGACTCAGAGTGACAGTCACGTCTCTTCCCCGCCCCCCCCAGCACACAAACCTGAGGCAGTGTGAGCCTGCTCTGTGGAGCCAAGGACTGCATGTGATTTCTGAGCCCTTTGAGGATGACACACTCTTCTTTGAGAGGAGGTGCCTGGGGTCCTGATGAGGCTGCAGAGCCGGATTCAGGTGAAGACTGAGGTTCGTAGTGGACGTGTGGAGGCCTTGGAAGTGACAGTGATCCAGAACAGTGGCTTCTAAATGGCCTTATAGTTGGTCAGGACTTGATGTCTGAGGAGTCCTGGGGTGGACCTCAGTTCATGTGGGCTGTGGACTTGACTAGGCACCTGGCTGGGCCCACTGGCAGGAGAGGCTGAGGAGACAGCACAGGAATGCCTTGGGCCATCCATACCTGGTGCCTGCGTGCTAGTGATGCCTGTCCCGCCTCTGAGCTGTTGAGTTCCAGCTGTGACGATCGGGTCAGTTACTGAGGGCTGATCACCCTGTGCCATTTCCTCAGCCTGTGGCCCATGGCTGTGTCCGTGGCTGGTAGAGAATGCCAGTCCTCTCTTTGGTCCAGGTGTCTGTGTCTTTCTTGGGTGTGGAGTCACAGGCACCTTTGTGGGGGCCATCCATACACAGAGGGCTGCCCACTTCTGCCCCATAAGGAGTCTGTGTTCCCACCTACACATTGGAGCAGGGACCTGGTGCCCTGGTGATGGCTGTCCCAGGACTTGTCTGCCATGTTTCCAGGCTTTTCTCTAGAATGTGGCCAGGAGCCCCTTTCCAGGCTTAGCACCTGGATTTGATGTGGTTGTCCTTAGTGCTGTGCTGGGCTGTTGGTGGGTCCCCCGGGTCCTCACGGGAGTTCCTGCCATCCCTGAATGCTCTCCTTAGAGGAAATTCACCTTTGGGAGGGAACAGCAGTATGGCTTGTATGGCTTTGCCCAGGGCTCAGAGAAGAAAGCTGTTCCACAGGCAAGTGTGTTGGAGTTGGACCCCATCTCCCTGTGCATGGCACTCTGAGAGGGCCTCTCCAGACTTGTGCAGTTGGCTCTGTACTAGGATAGGAGAGAAAGGTCAGAGAAGCAAATCTGTCATTCACGGCACAGCACTGGAGCTCACGTGCTGGTTCTGCTACTGTGAGATACATGTTGAAGATTTGGATTTGCTTATTTTTGGGGTTCATTTGGTGTTTTTGTTTTTTGGTAGTACAGGAGTTTGAACTTAGGGCCTTGCACTTGCTACAGGTCCTCTACCACTTGAACCAGTCTGCACGCCTTTTGTTTTTGTTTTGTGGTACAGGGGTTTGAACTCAGGGCCTCATGCTTGCTAGACAGGCACTCTATCATTTGAGCTCTCCACCAGTCCTTTTTTCATTGATTGTTTTTGAAATAAGGTCTTGAGTTTGTGGCCAGGCATGCTTGGTTCAGCATATTTGTGCTTCCCCATGTAGCTAGGATGACAGGCATGTGCCGTGTGCCATTGTGCCCAGGTATTGGTTGAGATGATGGGGGTCTTGCTAACTTTTTGCCAAGGCTGGCCTCAAACTGTGATCCTCCTGATCTTTGCCTTTGAAGTAGTTAGGATTAGACATGAGCCACTGTGCCCTGCTACACTGAGGATTTTGTGATGGACAGTTTTTCTTAACAAGTGAAACCAGCCCTCTTCTGGTCCACCGATGAGGCAGTGTTTCCTGATTGCTTGGAAGCAAAGTCCAGACTGCACTGTTTCCCTGCAGATTCCACAGTGAGCTGTGACTAGCCAAGCTTCTGACTTGTGATGTGTAGGGGCCTCACAGCTGCCCTGTGAGCTGTGGCTTTGCAGCTCAGTCCTGTTTGTTGTTTTTGTCATGGACGGTGCCCTCCACATTACCAGGAACTATTCATGTGGCTTCTTTTTATCTATTATCAAATGGAGATGAGGCAGCTTGCCCCCATTTTCAGGGAGAGTCCACCTGGAGGCAGCTGGGGAGGGATAACATCTGCACCTGGTAGATTGATTTTTCTGGAAAGACATCTGCTTTTGGGCATCACTTCCTGCATAGCAACTCAGCAGATACTTTTCAGATGCTTTGGCTGCCCACCTGAGTGACCACAGCCTGTGGCACTGCTGGTCACAGTCATAGATCAGGTCACTCTACAGTATCGGAAAAGCTGGCTCTTCCAGCAGAGGTTGCTCTGGGGAGGGAGTCAGCCAGCCAGTCCGTCTGTGGTACCTGACCCTGTAGTCACTGCTACGTCATGCTGCTGCCTCTCCGTGAGGGCCCTTGCTCATGTTGTTTGTGTTTTTGAACAGAACCACCTCGCTGTGTTTGCAGTGGTTCACCCACTGGCCCCCAGCGTAAGCTCCAGTGTGGGGTCCAGCCTGGCGTCCAGTGCTGGCTCAGGTAGCTCCTCCCCCACGGCTCTGCCTGCCCTCCCTGCCCGCGCTGTCCCACTTGACCCGGCTGGCAACACCGTGGAGGCGGTCCTGGGTAAGTCACTTCCTCTTCTTTCCTGCGCCTCCTTTGCACACATGTAACTCTTCAGCAATGCTCTCCTCTGCAGAAGGGCCAGGTGTGCAGTTCTGGTTACCTGTCACCTTGGTTGTGTTGTATAAACAAGCCCTGGCTCACAAGACATGCTGGCCCATGGGTGCCATGGGTGCAGGGGATGAAGAGACCATAGCTGTGGCTCAGCAGCATGGGCCTCTACAGAACCAGGGTGGGGTGCCTTCTGGCCCAGACCCACTAGAAAATGGGGAGACTAAAAAAGAAATGAAAACCAAGAGTTATGGGGCCTAGGGAACCGGAAGATGGGGGTGACAAGGGTCGGGTGGGGGACGTAGGATGAAGCTTGGAACTTCAGGCACAGCTGTCAGAACCTTGTACACCATCTTGGGGGGTGGTGCTTTGGTGGCTGTGATTCATGGAGGTTTTGGGCTCTGAGGACTGATGTGATGGTGGCTGGGGTGGCCTGTCAGGGTTCTGGCCAGGAGCCCAGAGTCTGGGCAGGAAGGACCTCACAAAGACCAGAGGGGGGCAGAGCTAGTGGGCAGTGGGGACACTAGTGTACCTGTGGCTTGCTTTGTTCACACAGATGTCAGTGAGTGACAGGTAGGACACTCAGGCCTTGCAGCCTGTGGTGACCAGCACCCAGCTGACTTGAGCCTGCGTCTCTGTCCGGACAGCAAGAACCACAGTGAAGGCTGTAATTCATGAAGGCAGAGACACAAGACTGGGAGGACACAGCCTTTGAGCCTGGGCAGCACCTGCTGTGCGGGACCCAGAGCAAGGTGAATACATGAGTCAGCCAGGCAGCTGGCCCTGTAGGGTTTCCTGCTCAGATGGGTAAGAGGGCCCCCACAGTGCCCACACACTGCCGGCTCTGTTCTGCCCTGGAGCTCTGTTGACTTCCAGGCTGTGAACCCAACTTCCTGTCCCCTTCTGTACTCTGGTCAGTTTTGAAAACCATCTCCTCCAGGGCCCTCCACTCAGGAGTAAGTGCGATTTAGAAATGGCTCCCATTGGACCTCTAAAGGAGGACATTTCTCAGGTAGTGGGCACTTTGCGAGTGGCATTGGCATGTATGTTTTCTTTTCATCACAACCAACCGATGTTTTATTTCTACCCCAAATTGGGGACAAGTGTGTTGCTCCTGTTGAGCCATAGATGCTACTTGAAGATGATAGCTTTAATACAAAGTCACCTTCATAAAGCCTTACCTAAGGTCTAAGATACACCCTCAAATGCACATGTCCTAGCAGGTTGGAGGGAGGTCAGGCATTCAGCCAGGTTGCACAGTGGCTAGAATACATGGTAGTCAACAACCCACGAGGGTTTTTGGCCTCTGAGCAGGTTCTTGTCCCTTCTCCAGAGCTGAGATAACTGTTCAGGAGCCACTTTCTGAATCGTGTGTCCCACACCACTCGTGTAGGTAGCAGGGTGGGTGTTCAACAAGGGCAGAGTCTGGCTATCTGGAAGGACTTAGGCAGAGGAAACCTGATGACGGTGTTGTGAGCACATGCACAGAGTTTTTTTACCTGCTGGGAAATAAGCCAAAAAGTCATTGGCATGAGTGGCATGTTTTAGATTGGTTTTTATAGATAAGAACAGATACTGTCTTTTAAAATAAGGGTTCTGTTCCCCAGTGTTAAAGTAGTAAGGATGGAGCGTAGCAGAAAAGTATTAGGGAAATTAAATCCATGCCCCCAGGCATGTGAGGCCACATTGGAGTCTGCTCCATCTGCGTGAAAAGTAGAACTAGGTGCCCAAGTGTACCACAAGCATTGCTGGATGCTTTACAGACTTACAGGCATTGGCATATTTGCTGGTACTTCACTGGCCATCTTTGCAGTGCGTTCTCTCTCTGGCATAAACAGCCAAAGGTAAGAGTTCGAGGACGTTTTCTGTTTTGTTTTTGACCTTCTAAAAATTGAACCAAAGGCCTTACACGTCCTTGGAGGATGGTTTTCAGCATCACTGTCTTAATTTGCAGTGTATTTTGGTTGCTGCAGTGGTTGAAATAGTGAGCTTTTGCCATGGAGTGCCATGACCACTGCCCTGAGGTTAGCTGTAAAGTCGTATACTGATAAGGACCTCTTTCAGGAGCTGAGGTATCCTCAGAACTACCCTGGTGCGGGAGGATCCTATGGGGCTGTCTTCCCACCGCTGAGGACCCCTTGTTCCGCAGGCTCAGGGGCAGCCTGACCCAGAGTGCCGTCCCCCCTACCTTTACTCTGGCCCACATGTTTACATTATTGTTCTAAAGGGTTCTGGGCTAAGGAGATGCAGACTGAACGGTAATTGCATTGCGTCGCAAGTTCCTTCACATTCTATGATTAGTTATGCATTAGAGGAAGACAGCAAGTACACTGTACGTTACCGTGCCGTTGCCAGGTGGATTCTGTCTCTCAGGGCTTTAGCATATCAGAGCCACTGCACAGAGTTCATTTTTCCTTTGCCTTCTGCTTCACCCGAATAAATGGTGGTGCTAGCGTAGTTAGGCTGAGGCACGCAGATGCTGGAGGACTCATCACGCTCCAGTCCAGCCAGCGGCTGGCTACCCTGCGCTTTCTGCGTGAAGACCTTCCTTACCTCCCCCAAAGGGGACTTGGCCGGCGAGCGCGCCCACCGCTCCGGAACTGAGTGCGTCCTTGCCTGCTTACGCACACCTGGTTGACCGGGTCAGCGGGGACTGGGAGCAAAGCGGATTGCGTTACGCTGGGCGGGCGAGGGCGGTGCCGCACCACGTGGGGTCGTGGCCTGGCTTTGTGCTGGGGGCGGTATGGGGGCGGGGTCACACCATGGGTATGGCGGGGCGGCCTGGGGCGTGGCTACGCGCTGGGGGCGGTACGAGGGCGGGGCCACGTCACGCGGACGGGAGGGGCGGTCTGGGGCGTGGCTACGCGCTGGGGGCGGGGTCACACCGCGCTCGCGGGCGGGCGGGCGGGGGTAGGCGCGGTCCATGCTAGAATCCGCAGCTGCTGCGGCGCCGGGCGGCCGGGGACCGTGAGTCAGCATTGGTGGAGCGGCGGACCCCGGCACTCGTAAAGCTGCGGGGCGCTGTTACTCTGCGCTTTGGAGCGGGTCATGTCCCCCGCTACCTTCTCCGCAGGTGCGCGACTCTCTGCGCATCCCCCTAGGCGCCTGTCCGGGTCCTGTCTTCCCCCACCCCCCACCCCTGCCCCTGCCCCTGCCCCTGCCCCTCGCAGGTGCTCCTAGTACCTGTTTGTCCCCGTCCGTGACCCTCCAGGTCAGCACCAGGTTTCTCGAACTGCCGAGCGAGGTGAACGCACCCGTCCTCGCACTCCCTTCCAAGAACCTGCCGCTGTTGGGGCTCTGCAGGGCCGGGTTGGCGGCGGCCCCGGCGTGCCTGTCCCGAGCGCTGCCTGCACTGCCGAGGTTCGCGCTCAGGTGAGCAGATTGCACCCGGGGATCAGGGGCGGGGCTGCCGCCTGCACTTAACCAGGGTGGGTGCGGGGAGGAGTCTGGTACTGGGAGGTTCTGCGTCCTGCCTGTAACTTTTCGCGGTCAGTGTGTCCCCGACTCCAGGAGACGCAGCTCCTTCCGAATGTGCTGTGTCACGTTGGAATCTGGCTGTGCCAGGCCATTACTCAGCAGCTCTGACATCCAGGCGGCTCCTGGTAGTTTGACTGGTTCTGGGTCAGGTGGCACAGTTTATGTAAGGAGGCTCACCTGGATTTCCAGCCTTTTTAAAAGTTGGTTCTTCCTGTAAGCTGTTTCACATCTGCGTCTGACCTTGGGATAATCGAGGTGAGGCAGGAGAGAAGTTGCTGATGACAAGGTGGGCCAGGGCACATCTGTGAGCCCCTAGAGCCGCCCAAAAGAGTTGTGGAGCCCTTTTCTGGGTTAAAATCTGGTGCCGGCTCCTTCTCATCTTTCCGAACTATTGGCTCTGAAGGAGGGCTGGTGACGCTGGAGGCTGAGGTCCCCTGGACACTCCCTCTGTAGGTGACATGCTGGTTCCTCTGCAGGGACTCACCCCTGGTCTTTATCTGCACCTGGGAACACCTTTGTGCTGAGTCACATGGCACCTGGATTGAATCATCCAGGGAAGAGAAATTCTCCATTTGTTCTTTCCTACTCCAAAGAGAGTTTTTGGAAGTCTGCCGGGAGTAAGGCATGGAGAGCCGCAGAGCTGTCCTTACCTGATCCCTTGGCTTTAGGTACAGAGGGCTAAGTCCAGGCTGCCAGGTCCAGCTGGCCAGCATGTCCAGGGCAGTGACCCACTTGCTCCAGGACAGCCATGAAGGATGGGCTTGGGCCACAGTCCTGGGGCAGGGCAGGTGTGCAGTGTGGAAGGTCCAGAGCTGACTAGCACTGTCTAGTCACACCTGTCCAGGCACACCTGGACAGCCAAGCAGGACTTTTGGGACTGGACTCAGGGCTTGCTCAGCAGAAGCCTGGGAGGTGCTGCTCTCAGCTGTGAGACCAGCAGGACCATTGAGATAGGGGCTCAGGCTTAGTCTTTGTTCTTCTTGTGAGGGCAGGGCCTTGGGACTTGACAGAATTATCACCATAGAAAGATCACTGCTGCAGGCTCTGGGAAGGCTGAAGACGTGGCTGAAAGATGGACAGGGGTGGCAAAGGTTGGTTTGGGTCTTAGTTATGTGGGGTGAGTGGAGCAGCAGGATCCCACAAAGGCTCTGCTCAGCAAGCCACTCTGGAGGCAGGGACCCTGCAGTGCACCTGCTTTTGAGAGACCACAGGCTTCTCCTGGCAGGAGGGAGGGATGTGACCCATGCTGGAGGATGTCTGACCAGATCGTGGAGGAGGTAGGGCTTTAGAACATGGTGGTGGTCATGCAGCTGGCCACAGGAGAGACTGCCAGGCTCAGGAGGTGGGTGGGGATGCAGAGACAAGGGCCCAGGAGGAAGGGGGTGCTTTGACCAGAGAAAGGGCTGGAGGCCAAATGGGAAAAATGAGGCTTCAGGGAGGGGAGCAAGAGTTTGGGAGAAATGGGGTGCAGAGCTGCTTCAGGTAGTATGGGGGTCTGTCTGGTTTGAGTGTGGCATGCACTCAGCAGGGGTTAGACAGATGTGTGTGTAGAAGGAGTATTGAGAAGACTGGTTTTGAGTGATTCTCTCCCACCTCCATCCCCGGATCACTAGACGAAGGGTCTGCCTCTGAACTGGGATACCAACAGCCCTAAGAATGATTCCTATAAATCCATCTTGATGAGTAAATGAGTTTATTAAGGGTCACTTACAGCGTGGAGATGACTGGAGGCCTGCATTCACCCAAAATCATCAACACCTCTCCCTGCCATCCTATTTCATATGGCTCAGTGTACACACAGCAGAATTAATGCAAACCTGGGCTTAGAGCGCCACCTACTGTTGTTAAAGCAGCTGAGATGACTACAGGCTCAGGTGCCATGTAGCCTTGCTCTTGTGACTTTGCTGGTCTCTGAAAACACTGTGGGACCATGGAGGCTTGTTTTGCTGCAATCTGGCGAGTAGAACATTTAAATGTGACTGCTGCCAGATGGAGTTACAATGGCTAGGATTTGGAGGACAAGTCTCAATACAGCTGGACCTGGGGTCTGTGGGGAAGGATGTGATGGAGAAACGTCTCCAGGGGGACCCCTTTGTTTCTGGTTGAATTGTGTGCCCCCCCAAAAAAAAGATTTGTCTTCAGTTCAAAGCCTTAGCCCCTGTGGATGTGGCCTCATTTGGAAATGGGATGCTCAGAGATGTCATCAAGTTATTATGAGGTCATTAGAGTGACCCTGATGTAGTGATTCAGGTGTCCTTATAAGGAGGAGAAATGTGGACACACACACAGAGAGCAGGCCATTGTCAGTGGAGACAGACTGGAGCCATGTGGCCACAAGCCCAGGAAAACCTAGAGCCCCCAAGGCAATGGAAGAGCCTGGAGGGACCCTCCCCTGGAGCCTCTGGAGGGACCCTTGGTTTTGGACTTCAGGACTCAACACTGGGAGGATAAATTCCTAAAGCTTGAAGCATCCCAGTGTGTGGTCCTCTGTTAACCACAGATCCAGGACACCCACAGTCCTCTTCTGTGGGGTGTGAGGGAGTGGTGTCTCATGGGGTAGAAATGCTCCAGACACACAGCCTAGGGAGGGGAGCCCATCACCGGGAAGCATCCTCTGCGCTTGGCCTCCGATAGCCAGGGCCTCCGAGACTCTTTGTCTATCTCTTTTCTTGTCAGAACTTTTTCTTTTGTTAGTTGTCGCCTTGGTTCCGATCCTTTTTCATGGTCTGAGGATGTCTGGGATTACAGAAGCTCTGGGGCAATCGTGGTAGTCATCTGTGGACTGGGGACACCATCTTTCCTGTTCCTTATCTTCTCATCTCTTTCCTAACGCTGCACTTAACAGGACAGAGGACTGAGTGACTCAGTGCTGCCATCCAGGGATGGCCTGTGTCTCTTCCCTGACACCTGTCCGTGAGGGCTTTGGCCTCCACCATGGCCATGTCAGACAACACCCTGAGCCCTGTCATCCTGCAGGGCGGCAAGATGGAAGCTGGTGGCTGGGGAACCACTGCCTTGGGTCTCAGCTGGGATGCCCCACTTCTCATCCACCTCTTTTCTGAATAAGGCCTTCGCAAATCCTCTAAAGATTCATTGGCCTAGGAGTGGGTCTTTGCCGGGTGCTGCCTGTGCATTCAGATGGGAAGAACTCTGGCCATCCTGGTCATGTAGCACAATGGGGAGGGTGGTTTTCTGCCTGGCCTCAGGGCCCCAGTACTTCCCCTCAAGGCTGGAATTGAAACAAACACATTCTCCACATAGCTGGCTGCTGAAGAGCTGGGACTAGGCTGTGTTCCATTGGTGGCTCTGGGAACAAGTTCAGAAGCAGGAAATATGCCGCAAACCATGTACCAGCTCAGGCCGTGTGCATGACCCCATGTGGTCATGGGGCTGACACTATACCTGCCTCTTGGGATTCAGGAGCATTTGGCCATCGCTGTGGGGCCACTGGGCCACCAGGCATCAGGTGAGGGATGCTCCGTGGCTGGTTTTTGTGGTTTCCATGGGGCTGAGTGGTGCTCTCTAGTCCTAGGGATGAGAACAGAGATTGAAAGAGACAGCGTGTCTGACCAGGACTTCCTGTTGGGTCTGGACCCCAGATATGTCCCATACACGGGTCCCCACAGTCTGAGGTGTGGCTGGGACTCCCGCTCAGCAACAGTCTTCCCAGCGTCTCACCCAGCTGTGGTGATGGGTCTTTCATTCCCATCCCAGGTTGTTCCTGTCCCCGTGGCAGCTCCTTCCACCTCCATCACTTGACTCCTGAGTCCAGAATTTCTGACAGTCTCGGCCCCAGCTCTGTTCCCTGGCCTCTGCCACCATGTCCTTGACTCTCCACCTGTCACTTGGGGTGACCCTGTACCCCCTGGGCTCACTGTGGGCTCTCTATCTAGATTTTCATCCTGGCTGGTGCTCGCAATGTTCTATACTGTGCTGGGGGCCAAGACTCAACCTGGGCAGTAGGAGTGCTGGCACCTCCTTCCCTCCCTCCAGATGCTGCTTATCTCTGAGCGGTAATGGTGCTGCCTGAACAGTGAATTTACTGTTGGACAGAGCACAGGGGACTTGGTGCACTAGGCAGTTGGAGGGGCGGGCAAAGGCTCAACAAGCCTAGTGCTGACCCAGCACAAGTCTGACAACAGTCGCTGATGCAGTCACCCTCCCCCAGAGAGACCCTTGGTCCTGGCAAGGGCAGAGGAGAAGAGAGCTGGAGCATCTTAAAGTGGGATGCGACACCTTGGAGACCAAGGGAGCCTGCACCCAGCAAGGCAGACAGGGTTAGACCACACAGATTGCACGGGGATGTACTGGAGAGAACCAGGGGAGAAAGTTGTGGGTGCAACATAGTCCTGTGCTGTGTGCTCATTGGACAGAATTCTCCCACATATGTGGCCCTGACTGGACTAAGAAGGTGGTGTCACCTGTGGGGTATGCTCCAGGACCTCCTGTGGCCCCAGCTGTGTCCCTGGCCCTCTGTCCCCTACACCTTCCCAGAGATGATTGCAGTGCTGTGGCTGTGGGAGTTTGGGGTATGTTTGGTGGATGGCACCCTCATCTCAGCCTCCCCAGGGCAGCTTCTGAAGGCCAGGGAGGAAGCCCTGGGTTGCTGTCTGTGGCTGAGAGGGCACACACAGCTTGGAGGGAGGGTACAGGGTAGGCTGCTTTGAGGAGATGCAGCAGCCTCCTAGGTCAGCAGCCCTGCAGGGGGGCTGCCCCTTGTCCTGAAGGAAAGGGCCAGTGACAACTTTGGAGGTGGGACCACCCCTGACGTCCTCTGTTCAGTACCTCTGTCCATTCAACAGGTGTTATTGGGAGCACCAGGGTCCCAAGGGAAGTGACAGCCTTGGCTCTGAGGCTGGCTTGGCCAGGTGTAGGAAACCAGCGCAGGGCCTTGCACAGTTCCCAGGGTGGAAAGAGCAGCCTCTGTGCCATCTTCCTGAGTGGTACACACGTCTCTGTCCCAACTGCCCTGTTTTCTTTCTCTTTTTTTTGAGACTGTCTCCCTATGTAGTCCATACCAGCTTCAAACTTCCATCCTTTCTGCCTCAGCCTCCTGAGTGCTGGGATTGCAGGTGTGTACCCTCACATCCAGCTCACTGCTTTTTGATGAAGGAGCTTCTGTGTTTCTTCTGCCATGGGAGGAGGTCCTGATTCTCATTCAGCCATCAAGATGTCAGGATTCATTGTCTTGGTACTTGGCCCAAAATGACCTGTGAACCACTTGTTCATTAAAATCACCCTACTGGGAAACTTTTAGCAGTAGGATGTATTTACTTGGTCAAATTTTTATACACAGAAGTTAAAACAGAGGAAGCACATCTGTGGACAGAGCCAGCTTGCTGAGCCTTGGGTCAGGGGAGGCTGCTTGGCCTAAATGCCCTTGCTGTGGAAGAGAGAGCAGTCTCATTGGCTGTACCCAGGGCTGCAGCTGGGGTGGTGGCTGACACTTGTTCCCAGGCCCCCCGGCCACCCCAATGCCCTTGGGCTCACTGGCCTGCCTAGGCAGGGTATCCAGCTGTGTCTGGGCTCTGAGCTTCCTCCTCAGTGGAAGTTGGGTGTGTATGCTGATCGAGTCACATGTGGGTAACTTCAGGCTTGGTCTCACAGGTTCTGCCTTAGACCTGCGTCTTAGTGACATAAACATCGCATCCTTAGATAAAGACCTGGAAGAGCAGGACAGCCGTGACCCTGGAATAACAGGTGAGGATGCTGAACTCCAGCTGCTCTTGAAACTCCACCCATGCTGAACTGACCCTCTCATTCCCTGCTCCCTGGCATCTTCCTCCTGCTGCTGCTGCCCATGCAGGGCCAGCTGCCTCAGTTTACCTCCATTGCAGCAAAGCGGCCCCTACAGACACACATGGGGCCCTGCTGAAGGAAACACAAGACACTACATTTTAACTGCTGTGTTGCATGAAGATGAATGTATTAACATTATAGGCTAACTCATTTCCTTCATCCCAAAAGTTCATTTTTTTTCTCTGATATCGAAAGAAACCGTTTTAGCTGGGCACTGGTGGCTCACTTCTGTAATCCTAGTTACTTGGGAGGCGGAGATCAGGAGGATTGTGATTCAAGGCCAGCCTGGGCAACAAAAGCAAGACCCTATCTCTAAAATACCTAACACAAAAAAACTGGTGGAGTACCTCAAGTGGTAGAGAGCCTGCCTAGTAGCAAGAGACCTTGAGTTCCAATCCCAGGACTGTTATAAAAAAGAAATAAACAAAAGAAATCACTTCAGGGGACCCTAAAAGCTGTGGGGGCTCTGTACCAGAGGGTATCTGGCTTCTGCTAGGACCCTCACCAAGACTTCCCTTGCTTAAATGCTCTGTGGTGGGCTGAGATGAGGTGGGCCAGCTGGGGAGAGCCTGCCAGCCTGGTCCCTCAGGTATCCCCAGTGTCTGTCTACTGTGACTGCTGACCCCATGAGCTCATGGCAGGTGTTTCCATGGCAGAGGGCCTTACCAGCCATCGCTGCTGCCTGCCTCTCACTCAGCCTCCTTCCTCCATCAGGTCCCAGGTCGCTGGTGGGCTCAGCCCCTGTCACCATCCCAGGCTCCCTGCCCCGCTCACCATCCCTGCACTCGTCCTCATCCCTGTCCACCTCACCACTCAGCTCGCTTTCCCAGTCCCTGTCTGGGCCACTCGTCTCTTCTGCCATGACGCCCCCCCAGCAGCTGCCGCTGCCCCTCCGATCGGAGCCGGCTACGCTGGGCTCTGCAGCCTCATCCTACAGTTCATTAGGTGAGATCCTGGGTGGGGCCCTCCCTGCTAGCTCTGGTTCTGGAACACAGTCCAAGTGTCCTTGACTGCAGGGAGTCTCTCCCCTGTGGGCTCCGTCCCCCCAACCCCTGCTGCACAGTTGAGTGAAAGCACTGAGCACTGTCCCCGAGAGGGTTGTTCGGCTAGGAGCTGAGCAAGACTCAAGGCTTCCGCTTGTTTTTTCTGTGCCATCTGGGACTCACTTGAAGCCTCTTCAGGGTCTTCACTGGGCTATCCCAGACCAAGGTGGCTCTGTTGCACCCTTGTGCATGTCAGCACAGTGCTGGGTGCATGCTGTGAGAGGAGTGATGTGACAGACCAGTAGGGACCAGAAACAGCACCACTGCCTGCTGTGCTCGTTTATCCATGAAGAGAAGCTGTTCATCTTACGTAATCTCATGTTGTGAAAGAATGCACGTCACGTGTGTCAGTCTTAATGTGTAATGCTGCATGTGTGGCAACAGGCATCACTCGCAAAAAGAAAAACCGTGGGGCCTCTGAGGTCTGTGGAGAGCTTTGAGAATTCTGCCTCCTGTGCAGCCACAAAAGCTTTGAATTTTTTTTTTTTCCTGTTCATATTCCCCAGGACCTGGTAGAAGGATCTGGGGTGAGTGTCACTGTCAGCCTGTGCCAGCCCCTAGGAGCCTCTTCCTGAGCTGGCTTGACCACACAGGAGGAAGCTGGTGGGGGAACTGGGCTCCTGCAGTCATGAGCTAGTGACCCAGAGGACAGGGTCCTATTCGGGGTGGTCAAGATGCGAGAGGCAGGAATGCACCAGAAACCCTCGGTACGCCGGAGGCTATCACCCCTCTCTCCCCTGTACTCAGGTTTGAACGGCGTTCCTGGGAGCATCTGGGACTTTGTTTCTGGCAGCTTCTCTCCCAGCCCATCCCCCATCCTGAACACTGGCCCCACAGGCTCTTCAAGTGCAAGTCCAAATGGCGCTGAGCTGGCACGGGTCCGGCGGCAGCTGGATGAGGCCAGGAGGAAGATCAGGCAGTGGGAAGAGTCTTGGCAGCAGGTGAAGCAGGTGCGTGAGTGGGGAGGGGCCTGGCCACGCAGGTGAGACAGACTGTGCGTGGGCGGGGAGGCTGGCCATGCGGGTGACATAGGGGAGTCCAGAGGGCCAGCCCTGGCCGCCTCCTGCATGGTCCCTTGGATTTCAGGCCTGCGATGCTTGGCAGCGAGAGGCTCAGGAGGCCAAGGAGCGTGCCCGTGTGGCTGACAGTGACCGGCAGCTGGCCTTGCAGAGGAAGGAGGAGGTGGAGGCCCAGGTGAAGCAGCTGCAGGAAGAGCTCGAGGGCCTGGGCTTGTCGTCCTCACTAACGGGGCTGCGGAGCTGTGGTGACATCGGCACCATCCCCCTACCCAAGCTGCACTCCCTGCAGAACCAGCTGCGCCTGGACTTGGAAGCTGTTGATGGGGTGAGTCATGGGGGCCAGTGGCAGTTTTGAGGGGCTGTCCCCTGGGGAGGGAAGATGGGAGCCTGGCTGGTGAGAAGCCCAAGACTTGGCCCAGCTCTGGTTCTCCTTCCTTTACCTGGGCCTTTCTCTCTGACTTCTGGTGTGGCCATTGGCTCTACACCCTGGGCACCTCCTCTCCTCTCCCCTCAGACTGGCCTCTGCTTTTCCTTTCTGGAATTTTCCTTGTTTGCCCTCTGCCTGCCAGCAGGCATGAGAGTGCCCTCTGTAAAGGTGGCCCTGTTCCATTTCAGGAAAGTTAGAACCACACATCCCACTGCCATGGATGCATCTGGGGCATCTTGTGGAAGTGACCGTCCAGGGCTTTGGCTACCTCCTTTCATCTTCGATCTATACCAGATCAACCTGGTGCCTCTGGAGGGTTCTGCAGCCCTGCCTTTACGGGCACTGCTGCTAAACAGAGCCAAGGGCCAGCTGCCACTTGTGCTTCTGGCTTTCCCTCCAAGGTGCAGCCTCCTGGCCCTGACCACTCTTGGCTGATGGATACCACTTAGCCCACATCTTGGGCACCCAGCTGGCCTTTGGCCAGTCCTGGTCCTGCTTGGCTGACCCCTTCCCTGTGGCTGGGATGGCTCTACCTCAGGAGCCAACCCTCTGTTGGGAGTCTCCAGGGAAAGTGTTTACTGCTCCTGGCTGCTTCTCCTCACAGGGTCTCTGGCCTACTGTCAGCCTTGGCTCTGATGCTGTGAGGTCCCCCTGACTGCTGCTGTAGCATGTGTCCTGCCATCCTGGAGCTCCGTTCTCTATCTGGCAGGTAGCCTCAGACTCCGAGCCCTGCCAACCACCTCTTTCCTGCAGGTGATCTTCCAGCTCCGTGCCAAGCAGTGTGTGGCCTGCCGGGAGCGGGCCCATGGCACCGCCCTACGGCCCTGTCAGCACCGTGTCCTGTGTGAGCCATGTGCAGCCAGTGCTCCTGAATGCCCCTACTGCAAAGGCCAGCCCCTGCCATGGTGACCAGAGCCAGGCCCCACTTCCTCCTGGTGAGCATCGTGCAGAGGCCACAGTGTGCCACATGCCACCACAGCATCTACTCACTGCTGGCGTGACCGATGTCAGGACATGAGCTTGTGCCCACTGTCCACCTGACAGCCTTCGAATTACTTTTCCTTACCACGTCCCGCTAGCAGTTTCAAGGTGTTCTCAAACTCCTTAAAAGCTCCACCGAACCTACCTGCCTGTCTTCAGGGGGCTCAGCACCTCAGAGACCTGGGCAGGTGGAGCACTGCTGGTGCACCCCAGTCCTGACGCTGCTGTGGCCGGGTTATGGGGAGGCTGGGCCTCAACCAAGCACTTTGTAAACCGAGGAACTTAGTTAGATGTTACAAATTATAAGCTGCTTTCTAGGTTCGTGTTTTTTAATATGCGATAACATGAAGCTTTATATGTGTACTGTGAACTTGAAGTTTCATATCAGTTTATTGTTAACTCATAGTAAATATTAGATTTCATATTCTGAAGCTACTTAAGAAGTGAGAGCATTTATCTAGTAGTGAGAAGACTTAGGATTTTTACACTTTCAAATTAAGTGCAAACAAATTGTATTTATAAGCAGAGTGATTATTGAAAGACATATACATGTAGATGTTTTTATGAAAGGAACTAATTTTCCTAAACGTGCACATGCATTGGAGTTTTATATTCCAGTATCGTGAAATGATATTGAGAGCTCTATCATGCATTTATGTGATCCGTGGCCACTTTTTCTAAGTGCCTATGCCTTGCAAAAGAAGTGAAGGAAATGGTTCACTGGGTTTTATTTTCTCCCATGAAGACAATTTGATGCTAATGAAAAATGCAACAGAAGGAACCCTGTATTAGAGGATTTGAGTTCACTTTGGAAGCAGCTGTGTCTGGGAACTTAGATCTGTAACTGGCAATGGTGCTTTGTAACTTCTCAGACGTCTGGGCCATCCCAACTGCGCTAAGCGCGGTGGCGAGCTGTGGTGCGGAGACGTCTGGGCTCTCCCACACCTCTAACCCCCCGCGCCCCTTTCTGACCCTGGAGATGCTGTAGTAGCAGTGTATGGGATCCAGGGCAACAGCTTTAGCCGACATTTGGCACCTGACTTGTACGTCCAGTTACCAGCGTTCATCCATGGGACCAGCGAGGTGCCTCAGTGGTCTGGTGCGCTCAGCTCAGCTGTGGTCCTCCACAGCCTGGCCTCAGGCCCACGGCAAGAATACTGCAGAGAGTGGTCCAGTGCGATGACTTCAGCCCTCACTGTCAGAACTGGGACTGTCTCTGGAAATCTGGGGAGAAGACATCTGTATCCACACAGACCCTGACCTGGCAGTTGTTGGGTGCGCTGGTCAGGGCAAGCTCAGTTCCACCTGGAAGTGGACGTCAGGTTTCTCCTCCCCTGTGGCTTTGCCAAAGACTTTTAATAGCATTTTTTAAAGTGCAAAGTGACTAGGTAAACATTTTTATCAGTGACCAAATTAGAATGTATTTAATAATATAGTAGGAGGTTTAAAAGCATTTTTTAATATAAGACAGATAGCAAAGTTGTCATTTGAAAGGAAGTGGATCCAGGATGTCCCGCAGCTCCCCCGCTGCTAAAGGTGACTATTGACTTGGGTTTAGTGACTCTTCGGTTTTTAATTATAGTGACTTATTAGCTCAGTACCTAGGAATCACGTATATTTTGTGCCACTGTTACCACTGTTGAAGATTATTTTTATTAGTATTTATGCACTTGTTGCCCAGGTCAGGCCTTGGGGTCTTTTCTGGGCTGACAGGACAATGTTTATTATTGTTAACTAGCCTAGACCTTTTCAAGTTGCAATGACAGCTAAGCTTTAGGTCTGTCTGTGAAGCTTCTCTGGCCAGTTCCTTCTGCAAAACTAGCCTAGAGCGTGGTGACATCTGGGGAGAGAAGTGGCAGTGCTCAGTGGGGTCCCACGCTGGTGCAGCAGAGTCTGTGGGGGAGACCAAAGAACTGCCCAGGAACGAGTCAGTGTGGATGACCCCCGTACACTGTGGGGCTCCTCCCCACCCTCCTGTGGGCTGTGGTCTGAGGCCTCTGAATAGATCCTGGGTGAACAGGGCCGAGGCTGTGTGGGCAAGTGGCTCTGCGTTGTTCTTGTTGTCTTTTGACTTTGTAGTGTTAAATATTAGCAGTAAATTATAGCGTGGCAAGTTGCGTGTAACTGTGGTCAGCAGACCATCCGGTTGTGGACGCTTCATGTGGATTAATTTATGGAAGCCCCACATGTATGCTTGTTTTGAGCATTTAGATGAGAATGTTACATGAATGGAATTTTCTTAACCCAGAAGGTCGTATTTATAATTCATAATCATTTACTTGTAGTGAATTGTTTAACACTTGTTTAAATTTTTTTACACTATAGCATTTATGCAATGGTTTACAGACTTCATGGAATTATTTTTATCAGTATGGGAATTAAAACTTTGAATCTTTACTTTGTCTGGGTCTCTGAATTCAACAACTGGTCAGCAGGGCCTGTGAGTGACCCTGTCTTCCTGATACAGGACACCACAGGCCGATTCTGTTCTTCCACCCCTTGCAGCCACACCAGGTTACAAAATGTTCCCACGCTGTCCAGGACGGTCTTGAGGCTGCTCCGACGTCCTGGCTGTGGGGGACTGTTGGCCCAGGTGCTCAGAACGGGAGGTTTCTGCCAAAATCACCAGGTTGTGGTTCAGTAAGGAGGATTCAAGGCAATTCAGGCTCTCACCCCAGCCAGGTCAACCTACCTGTGGGCTGTGAGTGGGGGATTCCATGCTGTCCTAGCAGCCTGGTCAGCCTTCGTACCTCTTCTGCCAGTTCTGAGTGTGCCTACAACAGGAGTTCCAGAGCGGGTTAGGCCCCTGAAGGGAGCTGCAGGCCCAGGGACCCTCTCCTGACATTACCTTTCTACAGTTTTCCAGGGTCTCCAACCCCTGGCCTTTAGGTCCTCCTTCCTGCTGAGTGGGCTGGTTTTCTCCCGGGGCCTTTAAGTAGCCAGCATCCTCAAAAAGCGCCCTCAGCAACTTTTCATAGCCCTGGAGGTGGAGGCAGCACAGAGAGCACCTGGTGGGGCCGGCTACATCGCCCCCCTCCCAGCTGAGCGTGTACTCACCTGGGGAGTAATCAGCTCATCAGCCAGGTCCTGCTCCACCTGGTCCCAGCGCTGCTGCAGGGCCTCAGGCAGAGTCGGGTACACTAGGGACCAACACAGTGAGACCTCACAGAACCCCATGCTACACCCTTGCCACCCTCAGCCCCACCTTGAGTCCCACCTAACAAAGAGTGGGGGTGGCAGACCAGGGGTGTCTCGAAGGTCAGTGCGTAGGCACAGGTGCTTGGCTCAGACACATGGGCCAGCCGGTTTCTCCTTCCACAGGCGAGTTCCACCTGGAAAGGGAGCCTCAATTTGGGCTAAGGGGGCCCAGATTCTATGCACACACCCACCCCCCCAGTCCCCTCCCTCAGTCGCACCTTGCTTTGCCGGCTCCGGGAACGACAGGAGTCCCCATCGCTCATCCACATGCCGGCAAAGGTGTTGTTGGTGATCTCCCACTCGTGCCAGATGCTGGGGAAGTGGCAGGGTGGTGAGCTGGGGCGAGGCAGCAGAGCCACTGCCGCCTGCCCGCCCCCACTCACCCAAGGATCCCACTGTAGGCATTCCAGCGGAAGGTCTGCTCGTGCTGGGTTACATTGTGGAATGGGCAGAACTCGTACTTGTACCTGGGGGCACAGGGGTGTCAGGCAGTCCCCAGGCACTGCCCGTCCCGCCTACTCCATCCACACTTACATGGACTCCACCAGACTGAAGCACTTGCCAGAGAGTCTGAAGAGATGCGGGGGCCCTGGGGAGGAGAGCACCAGTGAGGCCAGTGCAGAGGCCATCAGCTTTCTGCACCAGGCAGAAACCAACACCCCTCAAAGCCAGGGACCATTTACTGAGAAGCCAAGGTGGGCAGAAGAAGAGCCTCTGCCTGGCAGCTCCGGGCTCATTTCCAGAGTCAGGAACCACCAGTCACCAGCTGATCCAACTTGGCTGGGACACAGCCAAAAGTTTCCAGTCAGCAAAAAGCCATCCCATCTGCTGTGGAGGGGGAGGTCCTCAGCTGCAAGTCTGTCTGGTGCTACCCAAAGCACTGGTCTCTGCCTAGTTCAGCGCTGAGCAGAGACCACAGAACCCAGGACAGGCCCAAGACCCCCCGGGTGAGGCTCCAGGAAATTAAGGCATGTGTGCTGGATTTGAGAGTGGAAGGCACAAGAGGACAGAAGAACCTGACTGGCCTCAATGATCAGAACCAGTCTGCAAAGACTGGCAAAGCTTTCTGTTTAAAAAAAAAAGATACCACAGGCATACAAAAAAAATAGGAAAACATGTTCCACTCCCAGGTCAAAGAGGCAAAAACCAGCCAACAGATACATTCAGGAAAACTGCCTTTCAAAAATGGGGGTTGGGGGAGTAATTGCTCAGTGATCGAGTGTGCTTATGTATTCTGCAGCTCTGGTATTTGTGCATAGTTGTTGTGAACTGTCCCTTTCTTGTCTTACGACGTCTTTTGACAGTGTTTTGTCTGATGTGCGGAGCAGGTTATGAGAAGCCTATGAGAACTTGACATAGCACAGCTGTCTATGCAGCTCTAAGCTCTGCAGGCTTAGTTAACACAGCCCCAGCTGCAGAAGGGGCGAGGGCAAAATGCAGCACAGCTGCTTTTCCTGAGAGGTTTACGCTCGAGAGCAGCGATCGCAGGTTCCTCCTGTTCCCAATAACTACAGTGTCACACCCTGCAGAACTGTTGCTCCACCTCCCTGTTTGCCACTGTATATAATAAACTTGCTGGAGGTGGACAGGCTGTTGTGTATCTCCATCCAAGTGCCCAGCCCACCTGACCCCAGCTTTCCTGTCACTCCCAGTTAGGTTTCTAGGACAAACTCATGCAGGCCGGGAGAGTCTGATACTAGTATACCTGCCTCAGCTCTAGACACTTTCAACCTGTTGGGAGCAAAAGATAGTCTCTCAGGGTCGCATCTACTTCCATCATTTTTAAAAGACCCGTTTAGCCAGTCTACACCTTCCGAATGGAGGTTGGATCTGTTTATACTTAGATAGTTACTGATAAGGACTTAGCGAAGACAAGCATACGGTGGCACAGTGTTGTCAGTGCATCTTGTAGCTTCTTTGTCCCTCATTTCTTTAGTGTCAACCTTTTTTGTTTTCTTTTATTCCAGTAGTCTCCCCACCCACAGGTCTTGTGTTGTTCAGGCTGTTTAGAACTCCTGGACTCAAGCAGTCCTCCTGCCTCACTCTGGAGTAGCTGAGGCTACAGGCAAAAACCACTGTGCCTGGCTCCCGCAACAGTGGATGGGACCCAGGGCCCCTGGCATGCCGGGCAAGTACTCTACTACTGAGCCCACCCCAGCGGTGCAACTGGCTTTCAGTAGCATGTTTTGATTCTCCTCCTTTGACATTCTGTTGCTGTTTTCTTTGGTGCTACCATGGGGATTTAAAAACCTAATTTAAATTTACATCAAAACAAGTGTAATCACCTAGAAAAACTCCTGTGCTGTTCCACCTGTCCAACTCTGTTATTTATATCACAAATCACATCTCTACACCATGTGTTCATTGGCACAGGTGTAGTTTTTATGCATTGGTCTTTTAAATGCAGATTTACAACTGGCAGAGTGGCTCAAGCAGTAAGAGCACCTGCCTAGCAAGTGTGAGACTGAGTTCAAACCTTGGTACAGCCAGAAAAAAAAAAAAAAAGTACTGTTAAATGTAGATTTACAAACCAGAGACAAGACAGTGTGGACTTTTTCACTTGCCGGTGTATCTCCCTTAGCAGAGACCTTCACCCAGTTACTGTCTGGTGTCCATGCCTGTAGTTCAATGCCCCATTGGGCATAACTGTCACAGGCTGCATTATATAGGAGTGTCCCCTCCCTCTTCTGGAGGGATGCTGGGGATTGAACCCAAAGCTTCGAACATAAAATTTTGGAGCTCTAATGTCTTGTAGCTGCCCCTAAGAGACTCCCTTTAGTGCCAAAGACAGGTTAAAGGGAAGGAAAAATGTACCTAGAAAACAACCAGAATAGTGCTGGGGCAGCTGTACCAACTTCAAACAAAACAGACTAAGTCAAAAGCTGTTACAAAAAAAGGACATATATGCACAAACATCAGAGCTCTAAAATATACAAAACAAACAGTGACAGAACTAAAGGAAAAAAATTCTCTTCCACAAATACGTGGAGGTGTCATAACCCCCTTTTAGCAACAGACAGAACCACCGTGGGGAAGAACACAGAGCAGCAGCACTACAAACCAACTGGACCCAATGGTCATACATAGAACACCCCAGTAGCAGAATACATCACAAAAAACTGACCACACAAAGTATCTCCTCTGATCACAAAGGAGTCAACAGAAGGAAAAGTGGGAAACTCATAAATATACATTCTTAGCCCATAGGTCAAAAAACCTACAACCTACCAAAATTTATTGGATGTATCAAAAGAGGTGATAAGATGGAAATGCATAACTGTAAATGCTTACATTCGAAAACTTCAACAACCTAACTCCTTGTAAAGAACAGAGAAAGAAAAGTGAATTAAGTCAACAGGAAGAAGGAAGAACACAGTACACATTAGCAAGCCTGGTGTGGTGGGGCACACATAGAAGACCCAGCAGAGGAAAGCAGAGGCCAGCCTGGGTTACATAGTGGATTCTGTTTATTAATAAATAACAAGCAAGGGCTGGTGGATCCTCCTGATCTCTGCCTCCCGAGTAGCTAGGATTAGGCATGAACCACCAACACTTAGCTGATTTAACGTTTTTAAGGCAACAGTACTACTCAAAATGACACAAATTCAAGGCAATCCCTATCAGAATTTTAATGACATATTTTACAGAAACAGAAATTTACCTATTCTCTAAATGAAATGGAATCTCAAAAGACCCCAAATAAAAACAATTTTGAAAAAGAAGAACAAAATTAGAAGAAAACGTTGATTTCTAAACAATGTGGTACTGGCATAAAGACATCTATAGCCAGGCATGGTGGGGCACACCTTTAATATCAGCACTTGGAAGGTGGAGGCAAGATAACCGAGTGTTTGAGACTAGCCTGGGCTACACAGCAAGACTGTCTCAAAAAAACAAAAACAAAAACAAAACAGGGCTGGGATGCACTTCAGTGGTAAAGTGCTTATCCAAGGCTCTGTGTTTGATCACCAACACTGGGGGGGAGGGCACAAACTCACTTGAGAGCCAGATATGGTGGAGCACACCTGTAATTCCAGCACTCGGGAAACTGAAGCAGAAAGTTCCCAAAATTGAAGCCAGCCTGAGCTACATGGTGAGACTGTCTCAAAAATCAAAAAACAAACCCAAACCAAAAGACTATCAAAACACTGAAAAGGCAACCCACAGAATGGGAGAAAATGTCTGCCAACCACATCTGATAACAGATTAAAACGAAGAATATACAAAGAATTCCTACAACCCAACAGCAGAACCACCAATGTAAAATAGGAAAGGACTGAAAGAAAAGCATTTTTGTGAAGCAGCTATACAAATGGCCCATAGGTGAAGCAAGGCAATGCACACCGAAAGTAGAATGAGATAGCCAGCACTTCACTCCCAGGAGGATGGCTGCTGTTAGAAGGCATCAGTGTGGTGAAGCAGTGGAGAAACTGGACCCTGTGCTCTGCTAGGGGAGTATACAACGCCCAGCTGCTGGGAAGAGTCTCAAGAAGCTAAACTCCGAGCAACCATGTGACACTGTCGTACTCCTGGGAACTAGAGATGGAAACTCAACAGACATTGGCATGCCATGGTCACAGCAGCCAAGAGGGGACAGCACGCAGATGCAGACACGATGTGCTCCGTCTGCACAGGAGACACTACTCAGCCACAATGGAGTGGAGCACCTGCACCAACAGGCAAGAACTGTGAAGATGCCACATGCCACACACAGGACAGTACCCCAGAGTCCACGCGGGAGGGGTCCGTGCAAGATGGTTGGGGCTGGAGAAGCAGTTGTTTAATGGAGACAGTTTAACCTGGGATGGTGCAAAGTTCTGCAGAAGTACGGTGATGGCTGCACAGTACAGCAAATGCCACGGAACTGCATACTGAAAGATATTGTTAAGATGGCACATTTTTCTGGGAGTGGTAGCACAGCGGTGATCACAGCACTTAGGAGACTAAGGTAGGAGGAGGATGAGTTTTGAGGGCAACCTGGGCTACATGGCAAGATTGTCTCCAAAAAAAAAAAACCATCGTGGAAAATTATGGGGTTTTTTTGTTGTTGTTGTTGTTTCTGTACTGCTAAGGATGGAACCTGGGGCCTTGAGAGGGCCAGGCAAATGCTCTACGCAGCTGTGATCTGTTTTTATTGCAATAAAGCATATCACAGAAAACACAAGAGAACCAGCCTGAGGCAGGCCAAGGAGCACACAGCCCAGAAGAAAGGAAAGGGCACAGCACGACAGCCAGAGGCCCCATAGAACCAGAGCCTTCACCACTCAGATTCACAGCTCCGGAGACACTGCCAACAAAACCAATCCATGCTGGTGAAGACAAATGAGTGTTTTCTACCAAATGTCAAAGACCTTCCTCTGGGGGCACATCTGACTCACTGAACCTGGTGGCCCACCAAAATGGTTCCGGGTGTGGGATTCTGCAGGGCTGTGGTGGCAGCAGGGCTCTCTCTCCACACAAGTTCCGGGGCCTCTACAGGAGCAGGTTCTCCATGCTGCATCTGGCAGACACTGTTTTCCTTTCCTTTCCTCTCTCTAGCTCTCTCCGATATTACTTTTTCTATTAAAAATCAAAGTGAATACATTTGCAGTATTGGATGAGTGTGCCCACTCAGCCTGTCTTATTCAGTCCCTGCCCCAGGAAAGCAGAAAACAGTACCACTGTGCCCTGCCTGGTGTTGACCTGTGCTTGCCTTACTGTTCCCCCAACATCTGGCTCATCTGTGGGAATGTCCCCTCCCAGAACAACAGGGAGACCAAGATAATGGGATTCTCCTACTCACTACCATCTGAGAGCACAGGAAGCCCCTAGTTCCTCCTCTCCCAACACTCTCCCCCTCTAGAAAACTTGGCCTTTGTATCTGGTCAGGGCTCTGACCTCCACCCCATCATACCCACTGTCAGAGCCCTGGGGTGCTTGGGTCTGTCCCCTCCATCCTGATCCCAAGGGCTCTACCCACAAGGGTCAATGGTGGCAAGAAGCAGACTTCCAGAAAGCCCTCTTCACATGCTGCCTGTTCACCATGTGCTCCCACTGCAATGGGAGTGAGCAGCTATGTCCATCAGGAATGTCTGTTCCCAGCCCCCAGCAGTGTCATCCAGTGGAAAGAATAGGTGGATGTGACCATGGCTGGGCCTGACTGGCTACCTGTTGGAGGATGCCCTGTATCTTCGAGGGTGCCAGCTATGGGCTCCTCCCTCCTTCAGGGCACCCATGCCACAAGATACCAGGCTTGGAACACCTCAGGTTGTGGCCACCAAGTTCTAGAGTGCAGCCTCCAACCATCCATGGTCCTGGTACTGGTCACTACTAAGCCTTCTTCAGCAACCATGTCCCAATCTCTATGGGATTCCCCCACCCCAGACTCAGCAATCAGCCTTATGAGGTCCATGCCAATGGCCCAGCTTCACCTGATTTTGCAGATGTCTTCTCCAATTCCCTTGACCTAGATAAAGCAGGACACACCTGGGATGGACTCCTCAACGCCTCCCCCCATGCTCACCACCACTGCCTGCAGGGACCCTCCGCTGGGCTCATTTACATGGCCATCCACCTGTGGGAGGTGCAGATAGTAGAATCTTGAATTTGAGGCCAGCCTCATCTATACATCAAAGCAAAAAAAAAAAAAAGGAGGGGGGCAAAGGATGGAGCTCAGTAGTGGAGTGCTTGCCTAGCATTGTCTGGTTTGGCTATAGTGTAGGCAGGATGGAGGAAATGCTGGGTTAACTTCCCTTCGAGGAGGCAAAACAATAAATCCCCTAATAGGCTACATCTGTACCAACAAGTGACAAAATGAACCACCCCTGAACCAGTAATTACACTTGGGCAGCCCGTGAGCAGCTGTCAAACCATTCTGGCGCCATTCAGTAACTCCCCTACTTGACAAAACCTCACGTCCCAACAGCTTCCAGGCTGTTAGCCCTTGGTCAGCCTGGCCGCCTAACGCTTCCAAACACTACCTTTCTGCTCATCGTTGTTTGGCCGCACCTTGGGCAGCGTCGTAACTTTAGACGGTATACTCAAGGACAATCCCCCAGCACCGCAAAGAAAAAACGTTCTGGCACATTCTCGAGCACTTAAACATCCATAAGGTTCTCCATCGATACCACCTCCCCTCCTTACTTCAGGGCTTTCCCCGGACTCCTCCGACAGCCTCCGGAGCGGAGACACCGGCCGCCTCGGTCAGCACCCGGGCCAGCTCCCACCTCCCGCTAGCGGCTGGGCGCTGGACTCACCAGACACCGGCGAAGGCTCCCTCTTGGGCTGAAGGCGAGTGGTCTGGGGCAGGAACGGGTTGTTCAGCCTATGGGACACAGCAGGTCAGGGGACCCAGACCAGGTCGCGCCCGGCCCCGAGGCGCCCGCCTGCGAGGCACTCACCCGAACGTGTTGGGTTCCTCCACCACCTTCATTTTTGCAGCTCCTGCCAGCGAGAACCCTGCGGGGAAGGAAGTAGTGAGGCGCGGGCGGGGACGCGGGGACGCGAGACCGCCACGGCGGAGGAGAGCGAGCGCAGGACCACTGACCGCGCACGCAGTTCCGAGCAGCAGCAGGAACCCGGCGAGCCGCACAGCCATCTCGCAACCGCGCGGTTACGTGAGCGCCAGCCGAGTCACGTGGGAGGCGGAAACAGGAAATGGCGTCACGCGAACGACCGGAACCGGGCGTTTGGCGCATGCGCAGACTGCCACCAGGCGTTCCTGGGGCTAAGGGGCGTGACTCGGGCTCAGGGACCCTGCTCTTAGCCATGGGTCGCAAGAGGGCAGCTCGCGGGCTGGGGACGGAGGGTGGCCGCGCTCGGCGTTCCCCCGGCCGATCCCTGGAGGCTTTCTCCGAGGAGGTGGGCGCCGCGTTGCGCGGTGAGTGGCTAGTGATCGCGTCGGGCATCGGGTCGCGCGGGAGCCCGTGCTGAAGCTCGGGACCCTTCTCTCTCCCTGCAGCGTCCATGGAGCCAGAGGCGGCCGAGGATGAGGGTGGCCCGGGCAGGGCGGCGCTGCCTTGCCCGCTGGCCATGTGGGAACTGGGCCATTGCGACCCCCGGCGCTGCACGGGCCGCAAGTTGGCCCGCCTGGGCCTGGTGCGCTGCCTGCGCCTAGGCCACAGGTTCGGCGGTCTCGTGCTCAGCCCCATGGGCACCCAGTACTTATCCGCCGCAGACAGGTAGGCGCGGGAGGCCTGCGGGCACTGGCTGGGGAGGGAGTGGAGGCGCAGTCCCCACTGTCTCATCTTAGTAAGCCGCCCCGTGTCCAGTGCATCGTTCTTCTTCTGTGTGTGGAACTGGGGTTTGAACTCAGGGCTTCGTGCTCTGGGCACTCTACCGCTTGAGACACACCTCCAGTCCGTTTTGCTTTGGTTAACTTGGAGATGGAGTCTCGAGAACTGTTTGCCCCTGGTGGCCTCCAACCACGATCTTCCGAATCTCACCCTCTCAGATACCTAAGATTACAGGCGTGAGCCACTGGCACATCATTCTCTTAAGGACTGAGTTGTGTGCCATACCAGCCCATCCTTCATGTGAGCAGAGTATATATGTATCATTTCTCCCCTAAATGCTTCATAGCCTTAGTGATAGTAATATCCAAGGACATCGCTCACTTGAGACTATCACCAAAGTGGTGCTGGCCTCCAGAACCTACTTTACACTGTCCCTGGCAGACAGCTGGTGGCCCAGTCTGGGGTTGCTGTCATAGATTGCTCTTGGGCCAGACTGGAGGAGACACCCTTTGGGAAGATGCGAAGCAGCCATTTGAGGCTACTGCCCTACCTGGTAGCCGCCAACCCTGTGAACTATGGCCGGCCCTGCAGACTTTCCTGTGTGGAGGCTTTTGCTGCTGCCTTCTGCATCCTAGGTGAGTTTGGGGCATGATAGCAGCCTGGCCCAGCTGCCTGGTGGTCTGTCTGTGCTCCCAAGACTGTGGTTTCTCCTAGCAGACCCTTGGAGGGGGGTGAGCAGTATATAGGGCAACTATCAGCACAGGTCAGGGCTCAATCCCAACTTCTACTTAGAGCCTTGTAGAGGTGGAGGTGAAATGGGCCAGCTACCCTTGTAGGTGGTATGTGAGTGGTCACTGTCCCAGCAGCACTGCCCCCAGAAACCTCCTCCCCGACATCCTGAAGTCCAAGATGAGGCCCATAATGGAGACCTACGGGAGTACAGGAAACAGCAGTACCATCCAGTAGCCAGGGTGATAGGGTGCCCTCTCTAGAGAGAACATTGACACCTTTGGGTTTTTTGTTCACCTTCAGGCTTTTCAGATCTTGCTGTCATTTTGCTGCAAAAGTTTAAGTGGGGCAAGGGTTTCCTGGACCTGAACCGCCACCTTCTGGAAAAGTATGCAGCCTGCAGTAGCCCAGAGGAAGTGCTGCAGGCAGAACAGGAGTTCTTAGCCAGCGCCCAGGACAGGCCTGAGGAGGAGATTGGTGAGACTTGGCGTGGATGGGTGCTCCTGGGGTGGGGACTTGACTCTGCCCTGGGGTCACTTGGTCACCTTCCTCTCTTCTTCCCTTGGTTCAGACCCCTTTGATGTGGATTCAGGGCGAGAGTTTGCAAACCCCAACAGGCCTGTGACCAGCACCCGGTAAGTCCTGGGGGTTCCAGGTTTTATGATGGCACAGAGCTGGGTGCTGCTTGAGCCCTTGGCTCCTGATGCCTTGTGGGGGTAGTAGCTGCAGTGTAAAGTGGGCACCCACAGCAGAGGGTTGTGCTCAAAGAGTGCAGGGAATAAGAAAGATATGTCCTCAGCTTGGGGGCTTTTGTGCTCAGTGCCACAGAGGGTTGCCTTGGACTAGCCAAGGATGACACCATGAGGAACATGTCTCTCCCAGGCTGCCCAAGGAAACAGATGACAGTGACAAGTCTGAGGAACAAGAGTCTGGCACTGAGGATGGAGGAGGCAGCAGCTGCTCTGAGGAGGAGGAGACTCTGGAAAGAGAAGCTGAGGCCAAGGCCCCAGCTGAGACTTGGAAAGGAATCAAGAAACGGCAGAGAGACTGAAGGTTGCAGACATAACGTTGTTAAAGCTGGGATACAGAAGTCAAGGCAGCGGCAAAATGTGGGGATGGGCAGGCCTGGCAGCACAAGCCTGCTGCAAGGCTGGGCTCCCTCTGAACGCTGTGGCATCCTTGCTTAGGGTGCCACCTTGGGATTCTCAATGAACCTACAGACTGAGAAGGAGCCCTGGCATGAGTCTGTTTCTTTGCACTTGGCTTGAGGGTGAGGGTAGGGCTGGGGGTGGTGGTGGGCTCTGCCTGGGTGGGTCTGGGCTGAGGGTATGTCTGGTATGGTCATATGTTCATGAAAGGACAGCTGACTGGCTGGCATGGAACCCTACCCTGCTCTCCCATCTGTGGTGATGTCCCTAACTTCATAGTGACCCCAGGGAAAACTTCTCCCAGGCCTAAGAGCCAGGTTGGGACTGGAATCTGTGCAATCCTGCTTATCTGCTGTGGATGGGGTGCCCAGAGCCAGGAGAGCCACACAGCAGATCCTCACCCTCCATCTGTGACCTAGCAACTGCTTCCCTCCAAAGTTTGGGTCATCTGAACTTAATCTCCAGCTTTCCTGCCTCTCCCAGGGAGACAGAGTAGAGCTTCTTCTTTCAAGAGGTGCTCTCCAGAGTGGCACTGCTGATGTGTGGGTACAGGATAGTCTTTGTTGAGGGGCTGACTGATCATTGTAGGGTGTGCGCAGTATGCCTGGCCTCCACCCTCCGGAAATAGTACACCTTCAACCTTCACTTTCCAGCTGTGACTACCAAAAGTGTCTCCAGACACTGCCTAATGGCCTCTGGGGAGCAAGAGTCCACTGAGACCAGCTGCTTCTATTTGGGCTGGGGCACAAGGGGTTCACCAGAGACACAGCCAGGACAGACAAAGTCACAAGGTCCAGCCACAGCACACAGGTCATGCACAGGGAAGGGGCTTCTGTGAGCCCTGGCTGCACAAAGCAGGCACCTCGGGGAAGTGGGGAAAGGCCCGTCCACGGTCAGCAGGGCACTCAGGGGTCAGACTCCATGCACTTCTCCAGCTCCTTGAGTTTCTTGACAAACTCCTGCGCCTCCTTGTTGTTACGGCCTTCCAGCATCCGCAGTGCTGACTTCACTGTAAGTGGGTGGGCATGAGGGAGCCAGGCCAGGCCCACCACTCCACAAGCCTCTTCCCCCCACACCCCTGAGCCCCTGCCCAGATACACTCACCCTGGGCTCTGGGCCGGCGCAGGTGCAGTGTGGTGGGCTGCCCAGCCCTCACACTCCCTCCCACCTGGGGCCTTGCGAGGCCACTGATGCTACCGAGGCCAAGAGCTGCCTCCCCGGCAAAGTCGTTGGTGGACAGCCAGTCATGATCCATGACCGTGAACAGCACACAGGCCCCACGGCGGCGGCACGGTTCTGCAGGCACAGAGCTGCACACGGGGCACCCCAGTCGGGAGCCTGCCATAGCCAGGTGGCACAGGCGGAGGGAGGGAGATGGGGTTCAGGGGGACACTCACAAGTGGAAGAGCTCGTCATACACTGGGTGCAGCGTCCGGGCCTTCACCTGAGTCCTTTGACTTCGGACCAGCGGGAAGAGGTGTGGTGGGCCCAGCTCCACAATCACAAAGGGGTCACTCAGACCTGCAGGGCACATCTGTGAGCAAGCTACCTCCCCACCCCGGCCCGCACCGGCCGCCCACCCCGCAGCTGCACCTTACCATTGGTATCCAGAGGGAGCAGGTCTGCAGCGTGCAGCACTTCCACAGCCAGCCGCTGCTCAGCTGCCTCATAATGGCAGCGGACACTCAGGCGACCAAACCGGTTCTGCTCCAAAGACCTCTGCAGAAGAGGTCAGTGAGCAGAGTGTGGCTTTGGATGGGACCGTGTGTGGACACCAACTGCCCTACCTGCTTGAGTTTGTCCAAGTAAAACTGCTCAATGCACTCGCGGGTAGAGCATTTGTGCAGCCGAAGCTCCTCTTCCAGCCTCTGTGAGGAAAGGGGCAAGTCAACATTAGCCATGTGGCAGTGTCTATGGTACCTCCTCATGGCCACCTGGTTTCACGAGTAAGGACATCTGCAAGACAGCAGACTGGACTCAACCCCCAGAGGGCGGGGCCTCACCTTGTAGCTTCCATCCCTAAGGCTCTCCAGGGGCAGGCCTTGACCCTCAGCGTGGAAGAAACTGACCAGTGCCTGGAGCAGGGAAAGAAGGGCCTGACTTGAGCCCAGGACATGGAGCCCAAGCAGCATCAGGTCTCAGGAGCCAGGGCCAAGCTGCTTCTCACACCTAGGGTGCCTCAGATGTCCCCAGGAAGCCTGGGGAAATACCTGAGGCCAGACTGCTGTGTTAAACAGTGACACAGTGCTGCTGGGCCACAGGGAGGAAGAGCTGCCAGTGAAGCCCTGGACACGAAGCCAGGAAGAGGCTGCAAATCCTAGCAGGCTGCCAGGTAGAGAGGGTCCTGGTGAGCTCCTAAAAGCCCTACCTCCAGTGTGAAGTGGAAGCGCCCATAGAAGTCAGCAGAGACGTCGCTGTTCGTGCCCAGTGCCTGCAGAATGGCCTGCAAGAGCAGCTCCCAAAGGGCCTCCAGCACCCTGCAGGGATACAGTGTGGAGACTGTCCACTTGGATCCACCCTGTCTACCCTGCCCACCCCACCCACTCAGCTGGTACCGGCTCAGGTTCTCCTTCACCAGTGAGGCACTCAGCAGGGCCAGCTTCTCATCCAGGTACTTCATGAGTGGGGCCACAGCCTGCAGGGTGTTATGGCAGCTGAGCCTGGGCCTGGCCTGCCCCATGTGAGCACACACCCACACTCTCCCTGCCTGTCCCAGGCACTCACCTCGTCATTCTGAATGGAGTCAGGAGACAGGCTGATGTGCTGCACGTACTTCCTGATGTCAGCCACCATCTGAGGAAAGGGCACTGCTCAGCACAAGGGTAGCGGACACCAGGGACTGCTCCCCCATGCCCAGGTCCCAGGCCCTGCTCTCCTGCCCACCTTGGAGGTCAGGTGTGCAGTCACAGTGCGGGCCTCGCGCTGTAGATCCTCATCCAGGGCTTGTGTGCAGCTGAGCAGGGGACGGGGCAGCACTCCCTCCAGCCCAAAGGCCCCCTCTGGCCACACCAGGCCCCTCAGTGCCTGCCCTGAAGCCCTGCGCACCAGCTCCACGTTGTTGAGCACCACACAGAGCTGGGAGGTGCATCTGGGTCAGATGGGTGGCAGCTAGGGGAGTATGGGCGTCTGCCTAGCCCCCAGCCCCAGCCACTCACCGGCTCGCTCATTGCCTCCCCAGCAGCCCCAGACTGGGTGTCCACCTTCTTCCGCAGGAGCTCCGTGTAGAAGAGGACAGTCTCACACATGTCCTGGGGTGGGAGATGGAGGCTGAGAACTTCAGCCCCTCCCCTGCCCGACTGTCCTTTGGGTCTGCACCCCTAACCCCCTTGCCAGTGCACCTGGCTGAGCTGGGTGCCCAGCCCCTGGGCCTGGGCAGGGTCAGGCCAGGCAAGGCGGACCCAGAGCTCCTGGATGTGGCTGAGGCACAGGCTGGCAGTGGCTGCAGAGCTGCTGTGTTTGGAGGTGGCATCCACAGACTCCAGCTAGAAAGGCAGGAGGGCAGCATTAAGGAAGCATGGGATAAGTCGCGGCCTAGCCCTGGCATAAATTTTGTAGCAGGATTACACAACCTGAGTGAGTACTCACTGTGTCCACATCCACAGCTCCCTGAAGGCGCCACTTGGCCTGGTCACGCAGGACCTGTAGCCAGAGCTTCACAGCTGGCAGGAATGGGGTGTGGATGCCAGCAAGAGCCAGGGAGCGGCTATCCCTGCAGTGGGAGTTGTCAGAGCTCCTCCCAACTCAGACACCCTGACCCAGCAGGCCTAAGGGGGACCTGACAGAGTCTTCCCCATAGGCTCTTGGGCTGCAGTCCCGTTAGCCCATTTGGGGGAGGCAGGGGAACAGGTGGGGATGCATCCAGGGATGCTCACCGGCCAGGGATGCAGCTCCAGAAGCGCTGGATATCAGCCAGGGTAAGGTAGAGCTCGAAGAGCCCTGAAGCCACCTCCAGGTTCATCTTGGGGCTCAGCTCCTCCGTCAGCACCCAGGCCTCCTCAGCCACCTGCCCAAGACAGCAGAATCAGGCCACCACCAACAGGAAACCAGGGTCCCTCATGCCCAAGTGGCTTCTCTCTGTTTCCCCATGCCTGGTAGGTACCCAGGGTCAGGGACCCTCCTCACCAGACGCTCCAGTTGCCGGAAGGTAAGGGTGAAGAAGTCCACCTTGAGGATGCTGCAAAGGACACATGTTAGCCACCTGCTCCCTGCCACCCTGCCCCTGTGCCAGGCCCAATGTCAGCACCAAGGGTCAGAGCCTACCCGTGGAAGAGGCTGGCATAGATGCCATAGCAGGATTGCAGGTCCTCATAAATGATGTCCGCTAGCTCAACGAGTCCACCCAGGCGCTGTGGTGCCGGCTGCAAGGAAGTCTGGCTTGTACTGACCTCTTGCTTCACCTCCTGTGTCCCCCACACCCACATGTGCACCGAATCACACCTGCTCTCGGGGAGTCTTGGCGTTCAGGAGCTTGTCGTACCATTCCCGGTTGCCTCTCTACAAGGAAGCCAGCAAGGCAGCACGGTGCATTGGAGAGAAGAAGGGGAGATAGAGCAAGGGGCTATGGGAGGGCAATCCAGAGAAGGTCGGGGGCCAGCGGAGGGCCTCGGCAGGTCTGACACACCTTCAGGGCTGCAGCAATGTCCGTGTTCAGCTCCGTCTCAAAGGGGCATATCTCAAAGGAGGGCTGGAAGAGTTGCAGCTTGTCCAGACACCTGTGGAAGGCAGAAGCTGATGGGGGACAGCCCCCACTCCAACCCCCCACCCCATCCCAACCCCTGCTGGCAGCTGCACCCACTTCAGTAGCAGCTCCAAGCGGTACACGGCTGTACTGTTGGTGGCAGGAAAGTAATCTCGGAGCTGGCGCAACAGCCGAAGCCCAAACTCAGAGAAGGCAGAGAAGCTGTCAGCCAGGCTCTCCTCCTGGAGGGGAGGTACAGGGCTCTTCAAAGCCAAAGATACTGGTACTCACAGCTCCCTGATGCTGATAAACACTTTCTCTGCCTCCAAAGCAGCCCCCTCCCCACTGTGCAGCCTACGCACTCTTTCCTAAAGCCCCACGGTGGCCTCCCCTACTGATCTCAGTCTTGCTTCCACCACTCCCTCCATCACTGCACCTGTGAACCTCAGGGCCCTTGCATCTCTGCCCCCTCTGCCCTATCTTGCCACTGCCCACTCCTTCCTGTTGCTTAGACCCTCACTGCCTCACAGTGGCTTTGCACTCAGTCCAGTCTGACACACCCATGGCGTCCTTCTCCAGGTTATTCAAACACCATCCCCCACTTCCCTACTGCACAGAGCGTGCTGTCTCCCACATTACGTGCTGTGTTTCCAACCCCCCCCCCCGGAGAACAGGACCCCGTCTTTCTGGCCCCTTCACCAACAGCAGACAGACCTGTGTCCTGTGCCCACCTGCTCCTGGGGCAGCAAGGCCGCCTCCTCCCAGTGTGCCTGCATGTCCTCCAGCAGCCCCAGCAGATAGCCATAGTCCAGCGTGCGGGTCTGATGGTGGCGGCTGCTGACCTGCCAGTGCCTGTGAGGACCCAGTTGGGGGGTCAAAGAGCATCTGGCCCCTCCCTGCCTGTAGGGACCCACCCCCGCAGCGCTGCTCCTCGCTCATCGACCCTGGCCCCGCCCACTCGGCAGTGCCACCACTCACAGCGCCATGTATGCCCCACCCACACCGACAGGCCCCGCCCACGTCCCGCCCACTCCCGGCAGCACCACCACTCAGCACCGCCCGCGCCGCCCCGCCCACTCACAGCACAGCCAGCTGCAAGGGCGACAGGTTGCTCTGGGCTCCGTGGAGGCAGAGGACCGTGGTCCCAGGCCCACTGAGCTCACCACACCAGCTGCTCGAATTGGGCTGGGGGAGGAGAACGGGGGGTGGGCGGAGCCCGTAGAGCCCCTCCATCCCCTGCTCAGGTCCCTGTCCAGCCGCCCCACGTTCCCAGGGGCGCCCACTACCTCCTCCACTCGGTGCTCGAATCGCAGCACACGGCTGAGCAGCAACAGGTAGGACAGGAAGCCCGATCGCCCACGCTGGCTCATGGCCGTGTCCCTCTGGAAGGCAGAGCCTGCCGGTCACCAGCTTTACCCGAGCCCTAGGGCAGGGGGGGCAGGGCTGGGTTTCCTACGGCTCCCCACCTGCGTAGTGATCAGCTTGAGGACCAGGTGGCAGTCTCCCTGTACACGGGAGGCGCTGGAGCGCGGTTCCAGCTTGAACCAGCGGTCTGCGCCGGCCACGGGCACCTCCTGGGGGTTGGGGAGGGGGTGTGAAAGTATCAGAGCTATGAGACTCCTTCCCCTTCCGCATTCCACACAGACCCAGTGGGATCCTGAGAAGGGCGTGCCCATCAGGTGCCCAAGCAGCCCTCCCCCAGCAGCCCAAGACAGGTGAGAGCCTCTAGGAGGATCACAGGACACAGCCCCTAGAGATGTTCCAGAAGGGCTGGGGCATCCCCGTGCACACTGGCTGCACATCACACCCCTCCCTTCCCACGCACCCGGACAGGGATATTGAGGCATCCCAGGAAGTCATCAGTGTGGTCCTCAGTGGGCCCTGCTGTCCCATTTGTACGGGCTGACTTGACAATCTGCTTGAAGTACCTAGGCATGACAGAGGGCTGTCACCCTGACAGTCCCTGGGAAACCACTGCCCTCTGGGCCCCTGTGGCCAAGCTGCAGGCACAAATCTGAGGCACAAGGGTCCCCACCCGGTGTACCTGCTCATGCCCTTCAGGCCGATGACTTCATTCAGCTTCCTGCATGCTTCTGCCAGGGACACATCATCGTCATGGTCCCTGTGGGGAAGGCTGGCTTGTCTGGAGCTCCTGGCCCAGAGTTCCCCTTACTCCCTCCCCTGCCCTTCGAGGCCAGGGACCTGTACCAGATGTCCAAGTGCAGTTGGTCTGTGCTGACATCCTCGATCTCACTACAGGGAGAACAGAGAGATGCCTGTGAAAGTACTGGGCAAAGGCTGGGGCAGGAGGAAGTTCGGAGACAACAGAGGGTGTCCGCAGCCCTAGACAGGCTTCTGGTTTCAAATTCTGACACTGCCACTGGTTACCAGCTATGAGGCTACAGGAGGCACAGCACTCCTCTGGAGCCTCAGTCTCCTCCTCTGGAAAATGGGCATGTGACCCCCCCCCAGAGGTCCCTGGGGCAGCAATAAAATCTGAGACTCAGGAGCTTTCACCTTGGGGGCACTTGGCCTCTGGGGTGGGAGGAATGGGGACTTACAATAGAAAGTGCTCCTTCCAGACAGGATTCAGAGTGCTGCTCTTGACCTCAGTGACCTGGATGCACTTGGCAGGCAGCGGGCCACTGCGCTTGCTGCCCTTTCGGAAGCTGAAGCGCTGCTCCTTCTGCCCGCTTGGCTCCCGAGGGGCACCCGAGGCCGGCAGGATGCCCAGCATGCAATAGGGGTCGCTGAAGCCTGAGACAGGGCAAGTGCCTCAGCCCCCAATCCCATGCTTGCCCTCCACTGCTGCCAGATCTGGACGCAACCAGAGTCCTCTGGCTGCCCACTCACCATTGGGGTCTTTCGCCAGAAGGTTCTTGGCACGCATGACCGAGACTTTCAGGGCGTATGTGGGGGCCTGCAGACAGACAGGTGCTGGGGGAGCTTGTGGACTAGGCAGCTTCAGCATGAATGTGATGATACCCCCTTGTCCCTGCCACATCAGTACTGCAGCTGGTCAGCCAGCGCTCGCCCAGGGGAGCTGCCGTCTTACCTTGGCCTTCTTCACGCGCGCAATGGCATCAGCGTGTTCCTCAGGGTTGGTGCCAAACACCTGTGGATGGTGGGAGGCAGGAGCCCAGGTGAGCTCTGGAGAAAAGCTGGCCACTGTTCTGGGCACCTCAAGAGTGCTCCAGTGGAGCGGCCAGCCTCAAACCTTAAGGGCATGCAGGAGTGGGGAATAAACCTCTTCCTCTGTCATGTGACGTAAGCTCACGCTGGGGGTGTGGGGCAGGTGGAGGAACTGTATAGACGGGGTGGTGTGCTGGCCAGGGACAAGGCCGTTTAGATGCACACAGGTGGGAAGGAAAGATGTCTGTCCATTCTCTTCTGGGTGTCTGTATGTCATTTCTAATCTTTGTGTCAGTCTGTCTCATGTCCTTTGCATGTGTCCAGGTGCCTTATCACCTCTCCACCCTCCTGGGTGCGTTTGTCACCTAAACGTTCGCCTGCACACACACGTTATCTGTATACGCATGCTTGCCTACGTGTGCGTTTTGTGTGGTGTTCTGGTGATGACGGTATCAGTGGGGTGTCTTGGCCGTCCCCAGAATGGGGTAGAGTGGGCAGGGCTGCTGGCTCACCTGCTGAAGATAACCCAGAAGGGCCTCTTCGTCGTCCACCTGGTCGGGGCCCATGGTGCCTGCCCGGTGGAGGACTGTGTATAAGGCCTCCTCATAAAGCATTTCCACCTGTGGGGAACAAGCTCTGAGTCCCCAGTCACAGGCGTGGGTTTTGGTCCCTGATGTCCACCCACTGCGTGCCCAGCTCCCAGCCCCAGGCAGCTCCTCCCACTGACGGAGCCCAGTCCCTAGTTCCTTCCTCAGTGTCTTTGTGCCTCTTGGGCCTCTGCTCCTCTTGCTCATCTTTGCTGCCCACCTGTCACAGGATCCCGGGCCCCACAACCCTAAAGAAAGGAGTTACAGTCCCTCCCTGGGACCAGCCCCCCTCACTAATTACCTCTTCCTGGGTCAGGGCTCTCAGGCCACGATTGGGGTCCACAGGCTCAGCGGGGGCTGGGGAGCCACTGCGCAAGAGGACCTGTGAGGGGTTGTGGGGTGAGGGTCTCTGAGGGCAGGGAGAGCCCTGGGCCTGTGACTGCTCCCAGAACCCCTGCTCCAGGGAGAAGGGGGTGAAGGCTGGCTGTGGACTGGGTAGATGGGGGCACTGAGAGATCTTCAGTGCTAGGCTGAGGCTCCAAGGCCCTGCAGGAGGGGTGTCCTCACCTCGGGGCATGGCAGGCCTTGTCTACCATCCCCCTTCTTCAGGATGAGGCGCATGTGAGCGAAGAACTCCACACCATCCCCAGGTTTCCTGAAAGAAGGGCCCCAGGTCATCTCTTGGCACGGCCTGGCACACACGACTCAAGGCACCAATGTGGAGGGTGGGACAGTGTGCTGTTCACTGTGCCCTCTACCTTGGGTCCAGGCCCTCTCAGTATCCCTTCCCACCTAGGTGGGCCAGTTCTGGGCAGCGGCTATGGGGAGTCCAGCAAGGAAAAGGAGGATACATGCAGGTGACTGGGAGGTCAGCCCTAGGGTACCCACCAGGCCCCTGTGGCAGGCTCCTGTGGGTCAGTGCTGCTGCTCTCAGGCTCCTGCTCTGCCTTTCGGCGGAAGGACGGGCACGCCTGCACCTGCCTGAGCACGCTGGTCTTAATCTCCATTAAGGTTGACATGGTGGGTCACCTGCAGTAGGAAACGCAGCCTTTATCATCCACTCTGCACCACTGAGGCCATGGGGGTGGGAGGTAGATGGGGGAAGGGGGCAGTGGGTGGGACTTCGTGGACTTCTTTTGCTACACCTGTTCCCTGCAGGGTGGCTTTAGGTGGCAAATGTCATGCAATGTGATGGCAGGTGCCGACTCAGAGCCGGTGATCCATCTGGGACCTGCTGGGATCCCACAGGGGAGGGGTGTGTTCTGCCATCCTCCCCACCCATTCAGGGCTGGAATCCCAGCCGAATCCAGACACAAGAAGCGACTGTCTCCTGGGGATTTGCCAAGGGAGCCAAGATGCCAGGGAGCAGTGCCCAGTGTCCACTGCGGGTCTGAGCAGCTGTCTGCCACCCAGGCCTTCTCTGAAGGAGGCTGAAACATCACCCTGGTGCCACACAAGAGCACAGTGAAATGGTACCTGGACATCAAAGAGGCCTGTAGCCTGGGCTTTCTGCCCAAGAGTCCAGCTGCCCACATGACCTGAATCCCCAGAAGGGAGTTGCCTATAGGGGCCCTCACCCACCGAGCACAACAGGAGCCTATATCCCATTCTTAGCCCAGGGGCCAGTCAGCAGGCCCAGGGGAACAGCACCCCTGCAAAGCAGGGCTTGCTCTCCACAGTCACCAAAAATGAGCACATGAAGTGTAAAGGCCGGGGGTGCGAAGTTAAGGCTCTCGCTCTCCGCCAGTCCATCACATCAATTACCCTCCTGTTGCTGTGGCAACCGAGCCACTCCGCTGCATCCTGCTTGGAGCAGCCAGAGCAGCCCAAATGAGTGGCCCTCCACCCAGGCGTGGAGCCCAGGCCTGGGCTGGTCCTGCTGAGGGCCCAGTGGAAGGCCCAGCCCCATTATTCTACTCTGAACCTGGGGGCTAGGGAGGCTTCAGCCCTAGGAGGGGGTTGGGACACAGAGGGGACAGAGTGGCAGTCCTGGCCCTGGACCAAACACTGGGGAGGACTCCTTCCCTGTCCAGGTGGCAGACCCAGGATTCCCTTGACAGTCCCTACTGTTGTTGTATCTGCTGGCCCACTTGTGTGAGGGAGGAAGGTTCGGTCAATGTCCACACCTGTGCACCCCGCTCAGCAGGGGCTGTTCACCTTGCAGACCCCAAGTCAAAGGGCAGGGTGACAGCTAGGATATGGTGGCCTCCTAAGCCCACTCTTCCACTGCACCAACTATCCCAGACACTTCCACTTCAGGTCATACAACAACCTCTGGCCCTGTGCTTTCCCTACACTGTCCCAGGGAAGTCCCCTCCCTCTCCTGAGGTGAAGTGTCTCACAGCCAGGCCATTTTATCACACAGCACCCACCCGTTGGACTCCCCACCCTAGTCCTGCTGGCTTCTGATTTATAGGATACACACTGCTTCTGCCATTTGAACTGGGTCTCCCTCTCTCTCTGAAGCCCATTCATCTAACATACACATCAACTCAAGCAAGGAGGGACACTATTTCCATTTCACAAAACAGAAAATGAACTCAACAGTGGGGTTCACTCCTTGCCCAGGACTTCAAGGGCAGTTAGTGGACAGAATGCCAGGTTAGACGCCTCTGCCCTGGGTGCCCAGCCAGGTTGCTGTGTTTACAGTGCTGCTGCTTCTTTGAACCACAAGCATAGCCTGGAGAACCCAGCCCAGGGCTCACCTGGCAGCTGGTGGCTCCAAACAGGTGTCAAGCCAGCTTCCTGGTGCCCATGGAACCTGTATGTGGTGGGGAGTGAGAGCACCCTGGGCCAATGCTTCACCCTGTCCTTAACACTCTAGCCAGGGTCCTGGGGAGACACCAGAGCTGAGGACCAGATGGTGCCTGAGTGGCTTTTTTTTTTAATTGGCAGTACTGGGGTTTGAACTCAGGGTCTCACATTTGCTAGGCAGCCACTCTACCACTTGACCCACTCTGTCAGCCCCTCAGCAATTCTTTATCCTATATGGGGCAGTGCTCAGGAGCCACAAATGATGCCTCACTGCCTTCAAACCTGTTTGTGCCTCCGGTGGACCTCCCCATAAATGTGAGGGTACTCATTGAGCATTGAGCTGCCACCCCACAGGTCCCTAGGGGGCCGGGAGTCACGCCCCCACAGCTAAGCAGAGAGGCTGCTCTCCCAGCACCCCAAGCCAGCAGAGCAGTGGCTGCTTGAGCTGTTGCCAGGGCAACCGCCAGCCGCATCTGTGTGTGACAGGGCCATCCATGGGGGCTCTTGATCCCAGAGACAAACATGACGCAGGAACTAAGCAGCTTGAGCTGCTGGGTTGGGGGGTGTCTTGAGGGGAACAAAATGTTTAAGAGAGGAAGGGGCACAGATGTCCCACCTTCACTGATCACTCAACACCTCACCTGTTAAGCCTTAGATCAGCCCGAGAGAGGGGCGCTCCCTCTCTCAAGAGGGAGGAAACAGGACTGGGGTTTAGGAACCTGCCCAAAGTCACAGAGCCAGCAGGTGGTAGCCTGGAATCCCTAGCTCTGGTGTGTAAGCATTACAGTCCTGTGATGTCCTGAGCTGGGGTTCAGCGGTCACCCCCAGTCTGTTGCTAGGATAGGGACAACAGCAGTATCTCAGTACTGGTGTCATATGCGGTGGCACGTCCTGGTGCCCAGAAACCACTCAAGTCCCCCGTGGAAACCCCAGGCCGTATAGGTAGCTGATAACCTTGCAACTGAGCAGCCCAGGCCCTGGTAGCCACCTGCCTTGGAGGTTTCTGACTGTGCCCTAGCCAGGGGTCTCATTCACAGCTGCCATTACCAGTGGGCATGTGACAAGTACCTCATGCATGTCAGTGACAAGCATAGGAAGCAGTGGCTATCTAGGGAACTGCAGCCCACACAAGGAAGGACTAGGCAGGGTGCAGGGACCCCCGCCCCCCATCTATCTAGTGGGCCCAGCTGTAACTCCATCCCCACCTCACTGTCTGACCCTCCTAGGCTTGGATAACAGCAGGAGGGATACCCTGCTCATGCTTGGCCACCAGGGCCAGAGACACAGCTCCCATTTGTCCACTGAGCAAAGGGCCAAGGAGCTTTTGAAATCCCAGCTGGGGGCTGAGCCAAAGCTACCAGCCCACCCCATTCCCTGGCCTCAGACCGGAAGCACTGGCCCACTGCACGGCCCAGGACTGGGGCAACCTGTGCAGAGCCAAGATGTGAACCCAGGACTCTCAAGCTGACCTGTCCCCTGCTAGGCTATTGGGAGACTTGGTGGCAGTGAGGCAGATAGGTCTGGGGGCAGCTGAGAAGAGAGCTGGGAAGGTCTTCCTGGTCCCCAGGTGATCATAAACACCTTTGGAGCTGGTGTGGGGGAGGATGCCCTAAGTGCATTTGGGTCCCTGGGGACAGGGAATTGACTGGTGTGGGGGTGGGATGGGATACATGGTCCCACAGTGGCTCTCCACAACCCAGCTTGGTCTCTGACTTTTTCTCCTCTCCCCATACAGCCCCCTCCTGACCGTTCTCCTCAAGTCCTCATGGATTCTGGGGTCTTTCTCCCCCTGACCTCAGTGGCTCTCCAGACTGTCTCCCTTGCCTAGGAGAAGCTTTTGGCCAAGTGCAGCTCACCTGGCCTTGCCTGCTACAAATGCAGGGGGAGGCCCTGGAATCTGCACTTCCAGGAGCTCTGTAGGTGGGCGCAAGGTTTTCTAAGGCCAGAGAGCAGCGGAAGCGGCTGCTTTATAGGAACCCGCGGAAGACTGGGATGCCCAATGTGTTCTTCTGCAGAGGCCCCTCTTACCTGCCTGACTCACCTGACTCCATCGACTGACGCCTCCCTCTTCCTTCTCTCCTGGGCGCCCTTTCTAGGTTGGGGCTGTGGGAACCCGCGGGATCCCCGCCCCCACATTTATTGGGGTCTCTTTCCCACTGGAAGGCGGGCAGTCCAAGGGGAGACTGCCGGGCTGGTGTGTGATATTCTACACACCCCCTCCTGGCCCCAAGACCCCAGCTCGGGCTGAAATTCTCTGGCGGCCATGGAGGGCTGGGGCTCGCTTGGTTGAGATTGGGGGGGATCCCACGAGAACTAGAGGAGGGTGGGGGGGACGGTGACGCTGCGGGAGCGGGGAACGTCTTCCTCCCTGCTAGCTTGGGGGGCGTAGCCAGCCTGGAAGGTTGCTGCAAAGCCCCGCGGGGCGTCTCCGGGGTCCTGTCCCTGTTCCCATCTGCAGCCTATGGGGAAGGGGGCCACCGGGGTCTAAGCCGGGTCCCTCCTTGACGACGGGGACGGGGATCGCTAGTGCCCGTGCTCCCCCGGCCACGAGGTCCGGCACTGCTCCACACCCCTGCGCTCCGCAGTGCGGACCCCGCCGCCGCGCCCGTTGCTGCGCGCTCGCTCCGAGGGGAGGGCGCGGGCTGGGGCAGCGGGAGAGAGGAGGCCTGGAGACCCCGCCCCTCCGAGCACGCACGGCCTCAGTTTCCCCACCCCGCGATCCTCAGGCCCGGTGGCGGCCGGACCGCAGGGACCCGGGGCCGAAGCCCGATGGGGGGGCGGAGGCATCTGTCTTGTCCATCGCGGTGGGCGCCAGGCCGAGCCCCGACGGCAGCCCGACGGCACCAGGCGGGAGTCCGCGGCACTCACCGTGCGCCGGAGCGCGGGGGGCCACGGGGTGGAGGGGGGAGGCTCCTGCGGGTGTCGCTGTCGCACGGACCGGGGACACCCAGGCACAGCGACCGCTCGCAGCCGCGCGCACCGGAGACTGAGCGCGGCGGAGCGGACGCGCGGCGGCGGGGGGCGCGGGCGGGCGGGGGCGGGGGCGGGGGCGGGGCCTGGGCCTGGCTGTGTTCGCCCGCAGGCTGCGCGCCGCCCCGCCCCCCCGGGCCGAGGGCCGGGCAGGGGTCCTTGTGCGCCCCCGCTGGCCAGAGAGCCCCTTCCCGCGGCGCGGGCTGTCAGTCAAGCCCACAGGTGGGCGCGGGGACAGAGCGGGCTCGGCGCGGCCGCTGGGCCCCCACCTGGCCTCTCTCGCCCTCTTACCCGGCGTGAGGGTGGGGGCGTCGGCGGGGTCTCCTCCCCGAGGCCCCAGGGAGGCCAGAGTCGCTGAAATCCACAATGACGTGCCTGGCAGCGGCGCAGAGTTCTCTGGAAGAACTGCGCAGCCATCTCCGCAGTTGCCCTCCCCACTCAGGGCCACCCCCTCCCACCTGCCTGGAGGGGCCTGGAGCGTGCGTTCAGCCGTTCTCAGAGGCCACAGTCCTCTTTAGGATGAACCTTGGACATCTCACCACGGCCCTGTCACCTGTGAGCGGGGGAGGCCCGGGTTAGGCCACAGTAGCTGGACCCTGCCAGTGCTCTTCCCAGTTCACCCTCCAGGCCCTCCTCTGGGCCCCCGTCCCACCCACCCTCTGCCACAGCCAGGGCTGCACCTCTGACAAGCTCCCTCTGCGGAATGTTCCCGGACCGCCCATGGAGCGCTGCTCCATGGTCCTGGACACTGAGGTTCTTGGACTTGCTCCAGGGGTTCATCTGGCTTTGGGGTCCAGTGGCCGCCTGGTTGGGATACTACTGAACACCTTGCTGCTGGGACAATTCCACTTAGGTTTGGAGTTTTTACTCCAGAGGACCCACACCTAACTGTGATTCCAGCCAGTGAGAAGATCCTGGAATTTCTCCATTTTGGGCTGAAGCAAGGACTGTGCCCTCTGGGGAGGCTGAGGCAACTGAGCTGAAGGAGGGCTGGAACAGGTTTCCCGAAGAACTCTGGGCAGGGGTGCTCATCTATACATCGCTGCTTTCCCTGCCCAGGGCTGTCCAGCTGTCCTCAACCCTGGGGACTAGAGAGGGAGCCCTGGGGAGGGGAGCAGCCTGGCCACATCCCCCGCCCAGCGATGACACACTGGGGTGGACATGGCCACCTGTTTAGACTTGTGGATTCCAGCTCACATCCTTGTGCGCCCTGTCTGCAGGGGACAGGAGACAGCAGAGTCCAGAAGGATGGCACAGTGTGCTCTTCAGGATACTCAGCCCTGAGCCCACCTGGTCCTGAGGTAGCCTGGCTAGGTAAATGGGCCCTGTGGGGGGCAAGGCGGTCAGGAAATGAGTCCATTGCTGGGACTGGGATGTGCAGTGAGCAGGTGAGGGGCCTGGCCCTGTGCCACATCTGCCCTTCCACAGGGGACGGGAGTTGGGGGCAGCCAGCAGACCTCCTTCCCAGGGTCTTGCGTCAGGTTCTGCCAACCTGTTGGAACAAACACGGCCTGGTTACCATGGTGATCATAATGGCTTTGGGGTGAAGCGATGAGCCAGTCGCTGCTGTAAACAGGAAGTTGGGGGCAGCTGCCAGGCTGTCAGGGAGGGGCCTCAGCCCCTAAAACTAACCCTCAGTTAGCTAGGGCTGGGTGACACTGTCACCACTCTTTTACAGGTAGGGAAACTGAGGTCCAGATATGGAAAAGGCCTTTGAGCCACACTGGGACCCAAGCCCAGTCCTGGGCCTCAGTTTCCCCAGGATCACATAATCCCCAGGGTTCTTCCTTCCCCGGATGTAGGGGTTGTTGAATGAATAAGTGACTTATTCCTCCAGACTAAGTCAGGCTGTCCTCAGTCAGTGCCTTGGCCCTACACACCCCTGCTCATCCCTCCACTGCCTCTGTTCCCCTCATCTGTTCAAAGAGGTAACAGCTGTACCCCTGAGGCTGTCAAGGTGACCTCAGTGGCCCAATTTCAGCCTGGGCTCAGAGTTAAGCTCCTCCCACTGCAAGGGAAGGCCGGATGGGCATCGGTGACCAGGGACTCTAGGCAGGGACCTACTTGCCCCAGGGCCAGACAACTGTGAGGGCTGCTGCGGGAATCTGTCTCCTGGTGGAAAAGAGTTGGCTCCAGGTGGGCGGTGTGGCCTAGGGACTGGCCTCCTGCCTGAGAGGCTGGCCCCTGGCCTTCTTTTCTTTTTTTGTGGTGGTACTGGTTTTTTGTTTTTAGTGGGACTAGGGTTTGAACTCAGGGCTTCATGCTTGAAAAGCAGGAGTTCTACTGCTTGAGCCACACCTCCAGTCCATTTTACCCTGGTTACTTTGGAGACAGGATCTTGAGAACTGTTTGTTTGGGCTGGCCTCAAAACTCCATCCTCCTTATCTCAGCCTCCCAAGTAGCTAGGATTATAGCTAGGATTATAGGTGTGAGCCACCGATGCCCTGCGGGGTTTGAACTTGGCCTTGTGCTTGCTAGGGCAGGTGCTCTACCACTTGACCCATGTCTCAGACCCAGGCCCTTGGCCTTAGACCAGTCACCTGAGTTCACACCGGATGCTCTGTGGGCATCCTGCAGCTAGGATGGGTACATGTAGAGCTGGTTCAGGCCTGGGCACCGCTGTGGGTGTGCAGTTCTTGAGCAGCCCTTGGTGGGGGCAGAGAAGCAGGGCCAGGACAGGGCCCTGCAAAGTGTAAAACAAAGACCACTGGAAGGACACAGCCCATGTGTGTGGACCCACTGTGGAGCAAAGGTTCCTGGTGTCTGTCCTCTGTCCTTTCATTAGCTCTGCTGGGGGCATGGAGTACCAGAGCCCACTGCTGTGCTCACCCTTTTGCCTGGGGCCTAGTGAGGGCAAAGGACCAGGGCTACATCAGGAGACAACTGGACATAGCACCATGCACTGGGCTCCTCCGGACCCATCGTTCTGTGTAGAACCAGGGCTAGGCTCTGGACCTGCCCTTTCCTCAGGTAGGAGCTCCACCCCCAGGGGTGGGAACTTGGCCTCCTCCAGAGGTGTCCTGGGGGCAGAGCCCAGCAAGGCCATGCCCAGCCTTGTGTATCCTGCAGCTTTCTTGGGCCATTTGCTCATTTTCTACAAGAGCTGGTATGTCAGCCTCTGGACAAATGGAGGAAGCTTTGGGTCAGGCCAGGGAACAGGCAGGACAGATGGTCTCATTGGCTCCAGCCCCTTCCCGCCCAATGGTTCAAAGCAGCCATTCAACCCCCCCTCCCCCATCCCCAAGATTCCATGGTTCCCTTAGATGCTTGGGTAGGATCAAGAGGCCTATGCCGGGTGCCAGTGGCTCACGTCTTAATCCTAGCTACTCAGAAGGCAGAGATAAGGAGGGTTGCAGTTTGAAGCCAGCCCAGGCAAACAGTTCTCAAGACCCTATCTCAAAAAAACACATCACAAAAAAGGGCTGGTGGAATGGCTCAAGGTGCAGGCCCTGAGTTCAAACCCCCATACTGTAAAACAAAACAAAACCAAAAAACCAAGAGGATTTGGAGGCCTTCAGAGGGGTCCCCAGTACTGACACTGTGGAATGCCCCCAGTCCCAGACCAGTATCAAGGTTTGCTGGGGACAGGCCCCCAAACCCAGCACTCCTGGGCCCCTCCTGTTGGAGCTGGCTCAGACCGGTTCCAGCAGGTCTAAGTCAGAGCTGCGCCCTCCAACCTGGCAACACGTAGTCATGGCAACCTCAAGGAAGGGCTTCCCACCAGAAGATCCAGATGTAGCCAGGAAGGGAGGGAGGCGTCTGCTGCTGGTCAGGGGACCCAAGTGTCCTGGGCCTCTCTTTGTAGGGGACAGGAGTCAGGACTTGTCAGGGCTTTGGCTAGTTCAGGAAAGCTAGGGGGACCAACACCAAGTCCCAGTCATTCCTGGAGTAAGACCTCCAGGCTGTGGCCAGGTCTTCTGTCCTCTGGAAGCCTGGTTGGTTCCAAGCCCTGGGATCTGGTCACTAAGGGAAGAGCAAATCCATCCTGCCTGTGATCAGCTTCCCTTGGGCACTGCCTGGAGTCCAGCTGGGCACAGCCAGTCCTGAACGCACAGGGATCCCAGGAGCCCTGTCAGGATCTGATCAGAGCACTCACTGTACCTCTGCCTGCGAGCACACTATTCCCTTCCCCAAGGAGAGAGGAGAGCAGCCTGGGGTCCTTGGGAGGACAGGACAGGAGGGGTAGATGAAATGTGAACAGGGACTCCACCTTGACTCGAGGGGCCATCACCTTCACTGGCCACTGAGGATCTGACACTGGTGTTGAGTCTAGTACAGAGAGCTCCTCAAAGCACCAGGATTGAGGCTGGGGCAGCCTCAGCCCAAGGGACTCACCACCCCCCCCCCCCCCACCTCCCCCCCTCCTACAAGCCCCAGTCCAGGTAAGAGAGGACAGGGCAGTAAAGGACACAACCTGAGTGCTGTAGTTTGTGGAAATGTTTTTAATTCGAGGATTCTTAGATACAGTGGTTAATTGCTTGCCCACAATCCCTTACTATTACGAGGCCTCATGCTGGGAACACCCTCCTCCCTCACCTTAAACACAAGATGATCACAGTTCATGTTCTCAGGTTACAAGAGTCACATCTTTGTTAAGCCAAGGACTGTGGTACAAAAGGAACATTTCATAGCTGGAATCACTACAGTTTGCTAGAAACATCAATTGCTTTAGAATACTTTTAACTATAAAATATATTGAATTTCCATATATTAACCATATACATGTGTAACTATTACTAAATGTAGTCAGTCATTACAAAATAAGACATTCTGGGAGCAGGCTACAAATATACACCCCGGCTGAACCCCTCCAGGTAAGGCCCTCTGCATTATAAATTGCAACCATTGATCTGAGAGCTTAGCTCTCGCACAGGATACATGGCTAAGCACACCAACAAGGCACTGGGCCCTCAGGCCACCCAGATGCTGCCAGCTCTAGGGAACACAAGTCCCTTCAACTGCAGATAGACTCCTGGCCAGTGACCTGGATGCCCGCAGCCAGCCCAGCCCTCCCTCACTTCTCTGTGGATCCCTGAAGGCACCAGCCCCCACCCCCTCAGTGTGCACTTGTGCCACTGGTGACCATTTCCCATACAAGGGCCCTCCAGGGTGGGAGGGCGTGGTTGGCTGCAGGCCTGGGTCTCAGGAACAAGTCTTCCGGGGACTGTGTTCACTGGGCCAGCTGTGTCCACTGCACCTATATAGGCCCTAGAGCTAGCTCAGGGTTGAGGCCACTGCTGGAGGGCAGCTTCACCTCAGACCAGGTCCAGCAAGCTGCAGGTTTAGCCCACATGGACAGCAGCACCTCAAGGTGTCCTATGCCAATACCACACAGAGCCACAAACAGCTGGAGGAAGTGCCTGCTGCCATCTGCAGGGCTGGTGGCAAGGCTGCTTCCTTAGCAGTTGGAGGACATGTTATCAAGAGGCCTGGGGGCAGCCACCTTGGCCAAGGAGATGCTTGGGCCCCTTGTGGAGCCTGTGGTGCAGTCAGCCAGCAGGGAGAGTAGACAGGCTGCCATGTCTGTAGCCCTCGCTTGGTCTCAGCCCTGATCTGGACTTAAGTCACTGTGTTCTTCCTGGTGTCACAGTGGCGCAGGCCCAACTTCCGACCTCATATGGATTCTGACGTCACCAGGTCTGCGTTCTGTCCAGTACTCTAGGGCCCAAAGGCCTGGGGTGTGGAGAACAAAGCCTCAGACACACACTTCTGTACAGTCTTATTTACAGAGAAGCAGGACAAGAGGGAGCACATGGGGCCTGGGTGCATCCTGAGCAGAGGCTGTGAAAAAGAGCTCGTGGCTACCACTCCTGGATCCCGGCCAGAGGCAGATATCCAGTGAGGGCTGCAGAGGAGTGAGGAGGCCCAGGGAGACCAAAGTGCCTCCTCACACTTTAATGAAGATAATGCAACAAAAACCTTTATATAAACAGTTTATTTACTCTAAACAGCAACACAGACAAAACGCCATATAAACACAAAGGAAGTGGTGCAGAATGGAGACGCTGGCTGACTTTGGATCTGAGGCTCATAGCAACAGCCCAGGTTTTGAAGAGAACGAATTAAGGTGGGGAGGGAAGGGCGAGTGTGATCGTTTTTCATACAGCCAGCTAGAGGCTACAGAGAGCACTGAATGGTGTGAAGCATGCCTGCATCCGAGAGGAAGGAACTAGCTCCTAGGGGCTTATCCAAGTATAAAAGTTTATCATTTTACAGCAGTTGAAATACTGACATCAATATTAAAATAAAAGCAAGTTTTACATAACAATCAAAAATACAAAAGACTGAAGGAAGAGACCCTGTATGAAAAACTGGGGCAATTCAGCGAATCGAGAACTGTGTGCCAGTGGTGGAAATGGAAAATGGCGCCCGCCCAACCCTCCCAGGCGACTAGTAATTGTACGGAGCGACTTAGATTTGCAAAAGGTTGTAAACAAGTTCTTGCCAAACCAATCCCTTCCTTTTTACGGTGCCACAGGGTTGCTGCTTATGAGGGCGCAAACTTCTTGGCTTGTGCTCGAACCCTTTTCTCATATTCCACTCTGTTTTGGCTGAGGAGGTCAAAAGAAAAAGATGCGTTAGGAGACATGACATGGCCTGCCTAGAGGCCTGTGTCCAAGAAGTGACTGAAGCCCACAGGTCTGCTCTGGGCAGGCTCTGATGCAGGATGGTGGTCTGAGGGTGGGAGGCAAACAGGTTGCATGGTGGCCATCGTAACAGGGAGGGTTAGCAGCCTCTACTGGGAGGCTTTGCGACCACCCCAATCTTTCAGGCACAGAATGGCCCCATGAATAGTGAGGAGAGCCTAGAACCAGAGGTAACTAGGGCTGTCTGCAATGTTGTCACCTGTGCTTAGTCCAGTCCTTTAAACAGTAAGGGCTTCACTTGTTGCCCAGGCTAGAATGCAGTGGTGTTCACGGGTGCCACCACACAACTGACCAGCACACACAGCTTGGCAGTCCCCTACTCCAGGTCACCATGGTGATACGGAACTTACTGCAGACACTGGGTTGGTATAGTTTGCCACAGCTTTGAGCTCCTGGGCTCAGGCAATGCTCCCACCTCAGTCACCTAAGTAGCTAGGACTACAGGCACTATTCTGCTTGGTGAGTCCAGTCTTAATCAGCTATGGGCACAAGCTGAGATTGCATTAGTAACTATAGAGAACAGACTGCTGACACCAGTTTTTGCTCATTTCTAAATACAGACAAGGCAAATGGCAGAGCGCCTAACAAGCATGAGGTTCTGAGTTCAAACCCAAGTACCACTAAGACAAACCTTTATGTGGCTGGTGGAGTGGCTCAAGTGATTGAGGCCCTGAGTTCAAACCCAGTACCAAAGAAAAACAAAACAAGAAACAAAACAAAACCCCAGAACAACAATAACAACCAAAAACAGACAAGGACTTTTTTTTTTTTTTGCAGTACTAGAGCTTGAACTCAGAGCTTTGCATTTTCTCAGCAGGTGCTCTACTACTTGAGCCACTCCACCTGCCAGACAAGGACTTCTAGTGGGTTTTCCATAAGGCTGCAGGCCCAGGGTAAATGTGTGGGAGGCAGACCTCATGCAGAGGCATGGTGGGCTGGCCTGCACTGCCCAGCTTCCAGTGAAACTGGCTTGCCAGGCAAACGCTATACCTGGGAGCAACAGACAGCCACTAGAAAGCAGCATGACCTTGAGGACTGGGAACTCGATGACATTTATGGAGCAGAGTTCCTTGAAGCAGCAGTTCTGGAGGTCAAAGCACACAGCAGGACCCTGTGCCACACCAGCTGCTGCACTGCCTGTGAGCCTGAGAACTCAGAGCACTCCCTAAGAAGCAGGCCAGGTCGGAGGGCTTAAGGCTGGGCTAGGGGTGTGGTACAAGTGGTAGAGCACCTGCCTAGCAAACTTGAAACCCTGAGTTCAATCCCAGTACCAACAAAAAAATACACAGCTCCCACACCAGTGGCTCACACCTATAATCCTAGCTACTCAGGAGGCAGAGGTCAGGAGGATCACGGTTCAAAGCCAGCCTCAGTCAAACAGTTTGAGAGAACCTATCTCGAAAAAATCCATCACACAAAAAAAAGGGCTGGTGGAGTGGCTAGAGGTGTAGGCCCCAAGTTCTAACCCCAGTACTGCCAAATAAAAACAAAACAAAACAAAACAACTCAGATGGGCCCCAGTGTCCAGAACCCAAGGAATCAAGGCAGAAGGCCCTGATGTGCACAACAGTCCAGAGGGGACTGGCATTGTAATGATGGCAGTGGGCCGCAGGGCAAAGGCCCAGTACAGGTGTCAGTCTGCTCAGGCCCTGGCCCAGCTCTAGCCCAGCCCACCAGGCAGCCAGCACAGAGGGAACCTGCCAACCCAGCTCACTGTTTACCAAGAGAGGGCCCTAGGACAAGTCACTGGCCAGGGCAGGCCTGGAAACTCAGGAAAAAAAGAGACCTGAAAAACATACCTCACAAAAGGCATCTTTAAGGCAGATGGTTGTAGCTGGTGGAGTGGCTCAAGCAGTAAGAGCACCTACCTACCAAGCATGAAGCTTTGAGTTCAAACCCCAGTGACACCAAAAAATAAAAAAAAAGGTGGCTGTTCATAAAGAATGAAGATAAGCACACTAAGTGAGCCACTGGAGCATGGAACCCCACATAACTGACCACTGCAGGTCTTGCTGCCGCTGTTTCTGGGCCCATGTTGGGATACAGGAACCAAAACCATCAGGCAGGCCCTGAAAATGCAGTGCCGGTTCAAAGCAGCAGAGTGCACAGCCAACCCAGCACTGCTCTACAGTGTGTGGACAGAGGCCCTGTCTTGTGGGCTCAACCTCCACGCATGCAACATGCCAGCTGTGACCATGACAACTTTATTCACAGAGGCAAGACTCCACAACCTGCCACAGCACCCTGCATGAGGGGCCAGGCCCAGCCCAGTCGGTGCATGTAACACTGTCAGCGCATGGCAGGCAATGTATGGAGGAAGCCAAATTCCTGGATCCCAGAGAGACTCGACCGGTGAGCCTGCGGTGTGGTTCAAGTGGTCCAGCGCCTGCCCCGCAAGCCCCAGTGTGTGTGGGTATGGGGGACTGGATGCTCCTCAGAGCCAGGCTTAGGAGCTAGGGCTGGGGATACAACATACCAGCACCAGGGTGGGGCTTGTGCCCAGGGAGAAGCACACCTCCCAAGACCTGGCACCTCCCAGAGGACACAGCACATGAGTTTTTGCTCCTGCTGATGAGCTCCAATTCAGAAAGCACCCCTTGGAAGGAGCAGGCCTTAGTGGGATGGGGGTAGGAGATTGAGACTGGGGTACTGGGGCTCTACTCCCCACCCTTGGTGGGGACTCAGATGAGAGTGTGTTGGTGTCTGAACTGCAGGAAGCAGTGGGGTCAGGGCCCCACACAGAGCAGCCCACAGGTGAGGGGGTCCAGGACACCAAAAGGGTGAGATATCTGATTGGGGCTGAGGGTTCTTCTTGTCGCTCACGGTTCTAGTTTGTCATTCACAGCCTGACCAAATCATGCCAGGTCTTCCTCCCTCAGCAGACATGGAAAGGGCCAAAGGCCCCTACTACAGCAGTACTACCTGGGGACAGAGTTGAAACCTAGGCCTGTGCTATTACGTTGTGGGCACACACTTTGGTGGGGCCTCCTCCTTTAGCTTCCATACCCAGGGCCTTCCCTTCTGAGATGACCACAGCTCACCAGGAACAAAGTAGCCATGAGAGCTCATGTTGCCTGATCTCTGCCTCCTAGTACCCAACCCAGCCATGCTCTGCCATGCCAGCTGTTTCTCCATTCTTACTCACTGTAAGCCTTTAGCACATGCACCTCTGCTGCCAACAGGGCCCGAGCCAGACATGGCACCATGTCTTTAATGCCTCCCCAGCAACATCTTATGGCCATCCAGATCCTCCTCTACACAATGCTGACCCCAGCTGCCACCCAGCAGGGCTGTGCCTCTGTTTCAGGGCCTCCCCTCCTGGTTGCTGTCCCCTGTTACCCTCCTGATAGGTGGTCTGGGCCACACTTCCAGGGAAGGAGGTGCAGCCAACAGCCAGTTACTACTAACCAGTAAATCGTGTAGGCCTCTGCTTGAGCTGGGTCTTGGATATTTGGTTCATTTAGAAGTTCCTGTATTCCTAATAAGATCTGTGCAAGAGACAAAAACACATACAACAAAACACAGGTGGTGGTGGTTTGAAAGGTGATCTCAGCCCGAGAACAGAAAACTGAGGTGGGTGGGCCCTGGGGCAGGGGTGGCCAGTCATACTGTACCTGTTTGATCGTGATGGCCGGCCTCCAGTCTTTGTCTTCCTCCAGGATGGACAGGCACACTGTACCCGAAGGGTATACATTTGGGTGAAATAGTGGTGGCTCAAATTTACCTGGAGGACAGGGAAAGGAGGACACACTTTGGGAGGCAGCTGTTGTTTCTTCCCTCAACACATTCCTTCCTGATACCTCCAGGGAAAAGACAAAGAAAAAACAAAACAAAACAAAACAAAAACCAAAAAGGAGGCTCTGAGGGGACAAGGAGAAAGGCAAGCGCACACCTCTTCCTTCTGTGGAACAAAGCCCAAGAGACTCAGCAGACAGGACCACAGACCCTCCCAGGACTCTGTCCTCAGGTGGGAACTCCCAGCAGCCAGAAGAAACCACTGAGGCAGACATCCTGAAGGTTTTCCTGGCACACAGCCCTCTCTCATCCAGGCTGGCCATCTTGCTTCATGATCACACAGGCTTCTAGGACCCCATGTTACTTCTTTACAGAAGAGCAGGAAACTCTGCCATAATCGGCCTCACCCAGAGACTGTTCCATGCAGGATGTACCTCATTTTCTCCTATCCAACTTTCTTTATTTTCAGATATTTAATTATACCTAGAACACTACAAATCCAAGTGAAGCCCAATAAATATCAAGAAATGAAAGGGGCTGGAGGTGTAGCTCAGTGGTAGAGCAGTTGCCTAGCATTCACGAGGCCCTGGATTCCATCCTCAGCACCGCAGGGGGGAAAAAAAAATTAAACAAGACATAAATACCCATTAGTGTTGACAGCGTCCCAGAAAACTCCCCTCTAACATTATCTGCCCTCTAACACCTGTAGAAGACTTCCTGGCCTGTCTATACTCAGTAGACCGAGGCTTGCTCTGTACAAGGACTCGCCAGTTCACATAGTGGGCCATGTGCACTGTGTCCCCCTAAGCATCAGGGCTGGACACAGCTTCTGGTGCAGGTGTGCGCCCTCATATGAAAGAGGCAAGTGCAAGCCTGAGCAGTCAGTCATATCCCCACATTCACTCCAGTAGGTCTTGGGCTCTGGGTGGCATCAGTGGGGTCACTGAGCTACAGCTGTTGCCTGTGCTACTCGCCAGCTGTTGCTCCAAGTCTTGTTCTGGCTCCCACCAGCCTGAAGGAGTTTCCACACGTTCCAGCCACAGCCCTCTAGATCCACATCCTGGAGGTCTTTCCCCACTCTGCTTGCCTTTCTGCTTTCTTATCTGAACCTTCTGGAAAACATGAGTGCCTAACTTTGGTTTACTCTGATTTGTCAGCCTTGTTTCTGACGCCCATCATGGTAACCTGCACGTGGAGAAGAGCACATGCACAAATGCAACCTCCCTTTTGCTGGCCCCTCACCAGAGCAGCGCCTGCTGCTGAGATGTATGAAGAACAGAGGTCCAAGGCCTTGCTGTCTGGCTGTGTGCTTGGTGCCACACTTGGAAGATTCACTCACAGGCCACATGCTTGCTTCCTTTGCTCTTGCTGGTCCCACTCCACGCTGTTAATGACACACGCTGTGCTGTCTCCTACTTCTGGCTGTCAAGAACAGCTGCCACTGGCTTCTTTTTTATTGTTGTTTGGAGTCCAGGGACTGAACTCAGGGCCTTGGGTTTGCTAGGCAGGAGCTCTACCTACTCCAACCCTTTTTGCTTTACTTTTTAGGTAGGTTCTTTTTGCCTGGGCTCAGTCTTGGACCTTGGTCCTCCTAGCTCCCTCCACCTCCTACATAGCTGGGGTTAGAGGCATGTACCACCATTCCTAGCTTGTTTATTGAGATGGGGTTTTGCTAACTTTTTGCCTGGGTTGGCCTTGAACTACGATCCTCCTGATCTCTGCCTTCCATGTGGCTGGGGTTACAGGCATGAGCCAGCATGCCCAACCCTGCCACTCTTATTGCCCCCACCTTTGTGAATACATGCATGCCTTTCTACTGGGTATTTCCTAGAGTGGAACTGCAGAAGTTTAGCTTCACTAGGCACAGCAAACAGCCCTTCAAAGGAAATGTCCCAAACTTATGCTCTGTCCAGCAAGTGAAGAAGCTGGTCTCACCTGTCCTTCTCATGGCTGTTTGCCTCCTTCTCCATCACCTAGAGTAGCTTCTGATGTATCAGAAGTGGTGAGAGGTGCACACCCCTCTCTCCTTGCTCACTGGTGTCTTCTGGTGAGGAACTGGTCTCAATTTCAGTGTTGTGCAATTGGCTGAACCCTACACAGCCAGAACTTGTTGTACTTCCTTGCCTGCCCCAAAGTCATGAAGACAGGCTCCTGTGCCTCCTCTAAAACCTGTTTGGCTCCCCATTCCTGTGGGTTCTCTCTACAATGCATTTGTCCATGGCGAAGGAGATACTCTTCTCTCATTGGGGCAGCAGTACCATCATGCACCAAGCAATGTGCAGGTGTAGTCTTTCTGGGCCGTCCATTCTATTTTGTGGTCTACCTGTCCATCTCAGCACCAATCCCACTGCATCTCAACCTGTGCCCTGAAGCAGGTATCAGTATCTCACTGGTGACAGTGGCCCATCCTGCTAATAGCTCTGGGCACTCTTCTCACCCTGAGACTCTCATACTTTGCATTTCCACATGCACTCTAGCACCCTGTTGACAAACTGGGATCCCACATGTGCAGCCAGCTGGGGGGTGGTTGTCTTCCTGACACTGTACCCTCAGGTCCACATGTGGCAGAGCTCACCAACTGTTGAGGTTGTCCTGGGCTTCTCTCAGAAATGCCAATCATTTCAGTGTACAGCTTTTAGTCTGCCTTTTATGGGACTCATTCCAAGGCATTTGATGCTGCTGTAAATGTTTCAATTTTACAGTGTTCATGTATTACAATTATTTGGTAATAAATTTCTGTACATTAACCTCTACCTCAGGAGCAACTGTGTTCTAATCCTTCCAGTCCTGTGTGACTCCTGATCCTTGCTTTGCTGCATTTGCTTGGGATTTTAGCATAACTCAAATGGAGTGATGACAGCAGCTGCATCTGTAGTTTTCTTACATTTTCTTCATCTTAATTTAACAAAATCACCAAGTAATAACTGCACAGGGCAAAACCAACACAAACAGCCAAGGATAATCCAAAACAGAACATGTCTCCATCTAGTAGGTCCACTTAACTTTTATGTTCTCTTGGAGGGCATTTATGATGGACAACACAGCTCCACTTAGGAACTCAAAGCAGAAGTTCACACCTGGCCTTTAGCCCACTGTATTGAATGTGACATTGTGACTGACCTCAACAGTGTGCATGCCTCAAGAGTGGAGGGACTTGGGTCCTTCCACGCCACTGAGTCTTGTTAAACTGCTATAAGATCATTTCACTGGCACCGCCATTTCAACAAGGCTTAGCTTTTTCTGTGACCTGAAGGTTTGAGTACTCCGTCCACCTGGTTGCACACATAGCCTACGGTTGGGTGTGAATAGGAACAAACAGGGCAGCTGCAGCCTGGATAAAGGTGGGATTCTTTCTTTTCCTTTGGTGTTTTGGATTGAACCCTGGGCCTAGCACACACTAACCACTTGCTGTGCTGAGCCACAGCCCAGCCCTCAGGTAAGCTGCTGAAGCCTGGTCCTTGTGCACACCTGTCCCTGGTACTCGTGGGCACCAAGTGCAGGTTCACATAGCTGATGACTACCAAGGGTCCAAGAGTGTCCAGATTAGCCAGGATCAGAGACCAAGCTCATCATATGCACCTCTACTCCCAGGGCTGGAAGCAAAGTCAAACCTACAGCCTGCACACTGGGATCAAAGCTGAACCCCAGCAGAGCGCCTTCATTCCTTATACCACCAGCACCTGTGCCAGCTGGTGGGGCAGTGCTGACACAGCCTTGGCTCTGGATGGCGTGAGGCTCTCTGAGAGGACCCTAGTCTCCCTGTAGAAACTTACATTTCGGTGGTGAGGATGGATAATCATCTTTGAAAAGCATCCGCAGTTTGAACAAGCCTCCTTCCCATGGAGTCTGTGGGGAAGGGAACTGAGGTTAGGGGTGTGGCTTGTCAAGACAGGCCCATAAAGAAGTCTCCATGATACCCAGGACCAGTGGGGGACACAGACCTGGCAGAGGCAAGCTCCCAAACTGCCCCACCCCCACAGTCCCTATCAGTGGGAATGGGGGACTCCTGTTGTGCCATGTAGGGGCTGGAAGGAGTCAGCTTTGGAGAAGACAGGCAGGACCTTCCAGACCTCTGGAGGGGTCGGGACTGCAGCTTGTGGGTTGTTTGTGAGCACCACAGAACTCAGGTACACAGAGCTGGGCCTAGCAACTTGTGCTTGACAGCATCATTACTTTTACTGCCTCAGATCCTGCCTGCTCAGGGATAGGGTGCTGCTTGACCTGACAGTCCTCCTCAGCCCACCTCCTGGGGCAGGGGTACTCTTGGCAGAGGCTGGGTACTTACCCTGCACTCCCACCTGGATATGAGGGGCAGGGAGCACGCTAGTGGAGGCTGGGCACCCACAACAAAACCTTGCACAAATGACCCCAAACTCTGTGACTGCCCAGGCCAGTCTACGTGAAGACGCTTTGTGCAGAAGACTGTCAGAAGAACCCTGCTGAGCCTGTCACCCACAGCTGGGAGAGATTTGGATCTATGTACATCCCAAAACCTTGGAGGTCACAAGAAGGAGCTACACATAGGAGACCCTCCCTCTCAGATGCCTCCCGTGTGCTTGGCGACGAGGACAGACTACTGGCTCTGGTCAGCCAAACGGGTGATGCCATGGGCTGTGTGAAAAGGACACACTGCCTGAGCGCCTCCAGAGCAGCTTGCATTTGGGCTGGCTCACCCTGCTCACACACCTTGTCACATCCTGGGGGACTGGCTAGAGCCCCAGTGCCAGTCAGTGCGCCAGGAGCTCCTCACCACGGACACTAGCCACCCCCCCATGGCCTGCCCTCCAACCCCATGCCCAGGGCTGTCCATGCCCCCAACAACACACCAGCCCATCCCTCTCTACCTGCTATGGTCTACTCCTGGCCTAGACAGAGATAGGGATGACATCTGGGAGGACTCAACCGTGAAGGTTGTGGTCACAGGAACCATGGACATCTGAACCTGGCAGTTCTGCCCCTGCGAGTCCCTTGCTAAAAATGATGTGCAGGTGTGAGCGGGCAGCAGCGCACTTACCCCCTTCTTTCCAGGGATGGCACACTCCCAGTTCATCAGGTTCATCGTGCCGTCGGGATTCTTTGTTGGGACAGCCACAAAGCCCTGAGAGAGAACAGCCACAAAAGCACATCAGCATCGTGGGCTGCTTTCACCAGCTTGGAACCTGCACGGCAGGGGCCGCAGAGCCAGTGGAGGATCATCCCCTGGGGGACACACAGAAACAAAGCTCTCCTTACAAATGGGTGGTCTTTTCTCCAAGCCTTTCTCTCCTGGGCGAGTCTGCTGAGGGCGATCCCCGACATATTCAAAGTCCCTGGAATAGACAGGGCAGAGTGAAGATTAGGAAAGGCCTTCTGGGCCCCTCTGTACCTCCCTACTCCCACCTGGCTGGATCAGGCAGACTGTTCCCAAGAAGCAGATGAGCAAGACAGAGCAGCCCACCAACCTCTAGCAAGTGGTCCTCCTGGTCTGCATTGTACCTCGGGCAGTCTCCAGGAAGAGCTCACCAGCAGCCTCCCAGAATACCTCCAGGAGGCAGGGAGGGAACCATCACCCGGTCTTTCCCCTGGCCTCCACTCCACAGTGAGGAGACAAGAGTTCAATTCAGAGGCCTGGCCACAGCTGCTGGGTGCAGTGGGAAGAGGGCCTCCCTGTACACAGAAGCCACCACTTCCCCAGCAGATACTGAGTGCACCTGTCCCCTCTCTTCTGTCGCAGGCTGCAACAGGCTAGAATGACCAGGACCCCTTCCACCAGACTCTCAGGAAAGGAAGAAGCTGGCAGGGATGCCCCCAGTGCTGGGATAGGGTGTAGCTCAGTAGCAGAATACTTGCCTAGCATGTGCAAGGCCCTGGTTCCACCCTCAGCACCACAATCCCCCCAACAAAAACAGTGCTAGATTGAGACTGGGGACAGGAACAGAACACTCCCCTCCCAGTGCACTAGATGTGGGGGGCTGCTGGGACCCTAACTTAGAATTAGAATCAGGACTCATACTGAGATTCAGTACTGGCTGGGAGGATGACCATTATGCTTGAGGGCAAGAGAGAAAAGCATCCCACGGTAGGAAGCAGGTAAAGTGCCTCACAGACAGGTCACTTCACAGGTCAGGCTCTCCAGCCTTCCTCACTGTCCTGCTGCCGCCCACCACATGCCTGCCAGCTCACGGTTACACATATGCCTTCAGGGTAGGTCGGAGCGAACACGTGTGGGGACCTATCTCAGCTTGCCTGGAGGGGCCCAGGCCTCGCATCCGTGCTGGTGAAGATGCACCTCCACCCTGGACCAACAGTTTGAAGCACCTGACCCTAACCCCACCTGGTGCCATATGGCCAAATTTGCCAAAGCATGTGGGTCTTCAGTCCAAAGAAGCATGGAGCTTTTCTTTGAAGTGGCTCACACAGAGTTGCCGGTGACAGGTCTCTCCTCTGCATCTTAGAGGGAAAACTCACTCCTGAGTCTGCCCTCTGCCCTCTATGCTGGGCTTGGAGGCCCTCATCTTCAGGTAAGACCTGCACCAGCCCAGCCTGTTCTCCAGTGCAGCCTCCACACAGCAGTGAGGCCAGACCACAAGTGGACCTCAGGAGGCGAAGGCATGAAGAATCCTCAGAATCCTCACCTGAGATGCAGCCTCCACTTAAGCCCAGGTCATTGATGCTGAGTGGGACCAGTGTTCCTGCTGCAGCCTTTGCAGCCCCTCCAGTTGGGCTCAGGCTGTCCACTTGGCCTGCAAGGCCATGGCTGCCTTTACAACCACATAGCATACTTCACCCAGCATAGGCCCAAAGCCCACCTGTCAGTCTACAAACCAAGTGTGGCAAACGGGTGCCTTGCTACCCTGAAGCACAGGTGTTCTCAAGGCAGCCCCTCCATCAGCATCACCTGGGGCTTGTTAGAAATGTAAACACACTGTGTCAGGCACCTGAGTAGGGTCCCGCACTGGGGGGGTCTATGTGGCTTGTGATGGCTCTTACACCAAGGAGCCAAGTGGAAGGGGGCTGCAAATGGCATCAGAGGCTCCAAGCAGTCTCTGACATTACCCCAAGAGCCCAGGTTTCAGGGAGTTGAGGGAGTGAGTCACTATAAACCATCCAAGTGGTACATGAGCGCTCAAGCCAACAGATAAAGGAGAAGGCAAATTCTCCCTTGAGAAGCTCAGGCCATCAGGGCAAGACTGTGACAGATGACCCTGTGGTCCCAGCTTCAGCACCTGCGCCCAAAGCACACGCTTTAAATGTTTAATCCTCAAGATTGAGTACACACAGACATACAAGACCTGAACCCAAACCAGACTGCCCTTTCCCACCACATGAGCCCAGAGCCCTGCTGTGCCTCCTCTTCCTTCAACAGTGAGGCAGAACCCTCTAGTAAAAGCGTGAGAGCTAGAGCTTCACCCTAAAGCACACCCCCCAGAACACAGCTGTCTGGAACATTCACCCCTGTAGAAAATATGGGCAGTAGTCTTCTAAGCAGAGGGGAAGTGAGACACGATTGCTGCCCATGGAGGCTTACTGATAAGGAAGAGTGGAGTGCCACCACACTTAGGATGGGCACTGGCATGTCAGGTGGGCTGGCCCGGGTGACACCGAGCAAAGTCATGAGAAACTTGGCAGACTACTTGTGTGTGGGGGGGGGGAGGGGAAACACGATTAACACAGGAGGACCTAGGGGCCAAAGGTCCAGAACTCATTTCTGTAAGTTTCTCAAACCCTTCACTTCAGTTGGCTCTTCTCAATGGACTGGTCCAACTGCATCCCCAGGGCCCTCAAAAATCAACACCACCCTCTCTACCCCAACCTCCCCGCAGAGGGTGCAGCATATTCTAGTTTCCCACTCTAGTTTCATTCTAGTTTTCCCAACTAAGAGTGGGCTCCCTGAGGGCAGGCAGCACACTGAGTAGCTACAACAGCTGTCCCATCCCCACCCAGGGAAAGCAAACAGTGCAGGCTGGCGAGGCTCTGCCACATTCAGACAGGCTGTCTAGGTTGGCAAGTGGCTGATTAAGTGACAGATCACCAGCATGTCCCAGCAGGACATGCCCCAAACTAGTGCTCCAGACTGAAGTCAAGACCACTGCCACAGGTGGGCAGGGATGGTGGAGAGGCTCTGACTGCTATGGGGAGCACTACCCAACACCTCTCTTGCTGAAGGCAGACACAAAGCTGTCCAGGGGGCCCTGAATTAGCATCCAACTGTGGTTGTCTAAGACACTGAGGGTGATCTTAAAAGAATTCCCCTGCTTCTTCCCAAGGCCAGGCTGCATCTGAAATGCCCCCCTGCCCCAAAGCAGCCTGACACCAGGGGGTGGGTCTGAGGAAGCTGCCTCACTGGTCCAGGCAAAAACCTCGTCCCCAAGAATGTCCTCCCACTCTTTCTGACCTGGAGTCCGTGAGAAAGCAGCTGATCTATCACGATATGGAAACATTCCAAATCCCACTAAAAATTAACAGAGAGCAACTTAATGATCAGTTGACTATTACCAGAAGCTTCAGAACCAGAAAATTTTATGGTGTAAAGACAAAATAACCCTAACTATCAGACACAAGCAAAGCACAAACACTGCTGAAACAGGAACCCAGAGCTGCTCTCACCCATCTCCAGGGCTCCAGCGGATGGGCTGTACCTGGCACAGGTAACACTATGGACTTCAGAGGTACATACTGACCCCATGAGCGTGTGCAAGGTAGCTTACCTACTCCCCCACAGTTGACTTACTAATGTGTAACATGGCTACCACTAATGGATAAACCTAAGCAGACCTCTCTCCCCTCTAACACATTCGACAAGCCCCAAACAGCCTGCACTCAGGAGGCCTGGCCACACCAGGTATATCGCAGAACCCCAGGCAGTTTCTGCAACGCGGTCCCAAAGACCGAGAGAGGCCAGACAAGGGCTGGACTGCAACCGCTCCAGAGGCCTAGGGAGAGAACCTCTTTGTAAGCAGATCAGGACACATTTCGGCTCCGTGCCCGTTTTCTGTTGGGTAGACAGAACACCTACCCATGAAGCCAACTTTCCTTAACAGTAAGTGACAGCGAAGGCTAGGGTCCACGCAGGAGCTAACAAAACCCAGCAGACAGAATCACCGAACCCGCGAACCGAGGCACTAAGTAGCCCCGACGATACAAACCACGCCAGCTGCTCTGTGACTCTGGCTGCCCGCAGGCCGCGACACGGCCGGCTGACCACGGCCTTACCTGCCTCTTGGCTCGCCCAACTTCCAGTACCCAGTACCGTCCAGCAGCCCCGCGGAGCCGGAGCGAAATCTGCTGCGGGCCGACGCAGAAGCCCAGGGAAACCGAGCTTACCCTGATGGCCAGCGGGATCCGCCCGCCTTGTGGATAGCGGCGGGGAACCGGGAGCCCCGAGGGCGGAAGAGCGGGAGGGAGGCGGCGGGCCGAGATCCGGGCGACGGCGAGGCCGCGGTGGGAGGGAGGCCGCGGGCAGGGAGACGAGAGGGAGGAGGGAGAGAGGCCGCGGCGGGCTCGGGGCTCCGCGGGTTCGGACCCGGCCACACCCGGCGGCCCCGCGGCCCGGCGGGAGACCGGCGGCGCGGAGCGGGGATAAAGGCGGCGGACCCGACAGCGGCTCACCTGGGCGGCCGCGGCCCGGCGCGTCGCGGCGGCAGAGGCGGCGGCGCTCCTTTGTCTCGGGACTTCCCTCCGCGCCCGCCGCGCGCAGCCCCGAGCGCAGGACCCAGGCGGGCGGGGCGGGGCGGGGCCTGAGCCGGACTGCCCGCCGCGCGCCTGCTCCGCGCGCCGCCGTCGCCACCCCGCGTCCAGCCCCGTCCGCGCCGACGCACGTCCCCCGCCGTCCGCGCCCCGCCGCCGCGCGCCCGCCGCTCGGGTCCGCCCGAGGAGCCCGGACCGGCGGCGCTTCTCCAGGCAGGCGGCGCTCTGGACGCCCGCACCCTTAAAGGAGCCGCGTCCTCTGTGCCAGGGAGCGTCTGCAAACTCTCCTTCGGGGTGCGCGCGTCCATTCGAGGACACGCGGAGCAGCCGTGCGGGAAGAGGGAGGACGAGATTCCCCAAGGACTGCCCCGATGCCCGGAGGGAACCTTTCTGGACATAGATCCCGGAGGTCTTCTTGGGGTCAGGGCTCGGGCTTGGGGAGCAAAAATCACTGAGGCCTAAGGATCCCAGAATCGTCGCAGGACGGTGACAATCCTCGGAGCATAGCGCGCTGTGAAACCCTTTACAATTGGCCACCTCAGGGTCCTGGGCGGGGCGTCCCTCGAATCTGTCCAATGAGAGGGCCCCATACAAAGGGCCGAACGTGCTCCCGACCGACGGGAGGAGAAGTATGGATGCTCCCTAACCCGCGGGCCGGCCCTGTGTGGGGGAGGGGAGCAGAGCCAGAGCCGTGGGGGAGGGGCGGCGGCCATGGTTGGGGAGGGAGGGGTAGCGGCCGGACACCCCCGTCCCGCCCGAACCTCGAGTCCACCGCGATCCCGCACGCGGTCTCTCCCGGTGCCGCCGGCACGTCCCCGTCCTGTCTCTGCCCGGTCTAGTTCCCCCAGCCCGGCCCCTGGGGTCCCCACTCCGTGGTCCAGGCGCCTCTTCACCGACGGGACTGGCGTCCAGCCCGGCCCCGCGCTCTCTGCGCCGGTGGGGTGACAGATGCCAGAGGCTTCCATGGGCTTAAGCTCTGGGGGTCAGGGGCTCAGGGGGTGGCTGGAGGACAAGGCGAGGAGGGCGGATATTGCCCGGGAATTGTGCTGGGATGGATAACCTTCATCCATCCATCCGTCCATCTGCCCATGCATTCTCCCCTCTTCTTTTTTCTCTTTACTCCCTCTTTTCTCTCCTTGCCATCTCCTTTTCTTTTTCCCTTCTCTCCCTCTCCCTCTTTTTCCTTCCTCAGTTTCTTCACTGAATAACTCTGAGGCTGTTGGATCCCTTTGTCCCTCGCCCAACCCTCTGGGTGCTCAGTGCATGGGTTCCAGCCATCCTCTTGAAGTTAAATCAGGATGGCCTGGCTGTAGTGATGGGGATCCTGGGAGGGCTGGCTCACCTAGGTAGAAAGCAGGTATTACAACTCTCCCAGACCAAGGTCCCAGGACTGTTAACTCCCGGGCCCCATGCTGACTCAGCACTGCCCTGGCCTGGGGTCTGTACCCGCAGGGGCTCCGCAGATCATCTGGGGCCTCTAGGCATTTGCATGTCCGCAGTTGAGCCTGGCCTGGTGCTTTCTGCCCAGTGCCAGTCATGGGCAGAAAGAGGGCAGGGCTGGTCAGGTGGGGGTGGCTTGAAGGGGTCATGAGGAGTGTAGTTTGAGGAGGCAAACTCCATGTGGCATATGGTTGTGAAGGAACTGAGTCTGATGGGGGTAGGAGGGCAAGGGAAGTTGCAGAAGGTTGTGGAACAAAAGCAAGACCAGCCCCTGCTTCCCACTCTGTGTGTGGTGAGCAGATGGAGGAGAGACACTTGCCTGCAGTCTTGAGTGCTGAATTCCAACTAGCACTGTGAACGTCCTGGTGGACAGAGAGGTGAGGTCCAAAGACCCTCTTGCTGGATGGAGTGTTGGGATTGGTTCGAAGGAAGGGGTCACTTGGCTTTAGAGTGGGGCAGGAGGCTATCTCAGTTCTGGGATCCTCAGGCCAGACACCCTCTGAGCAGCCTGCATCCCACCCAGCACACCATTCTCAGAGGTCTGTTGATTTGATTGGGGCCAGGTACTTCGGTACAAAGGAGAAACCAAGGCTTAGAAGGGGTGAAGGGCTTCACTGTGCAGAATCAGTGAAGATAAAATGGTGAGGAAGGATTCTGGGTGCTGTGCACAGCCCCCTTGAAAGAGGGATTAGTAAGTGTGGCACTGCCTGAAGTGAGAGGAAGGACCCGGCTCTCCTGGGTTCTCCTTCCTTGGCCTGTTGGGGACCGAACTCTGTATACAAAGGGTTGTAAGCAGGGGCCACTGTTTCTAGGGCTGGTTTCAAGAAAAGAAGATGTACAAGCAAAAGAATGAAGTTGGACTCTTACCTCACACCTTATATAAAAACTAGCCCAAAGTGGATCTAGCCAAGACCTAAAACAGAACTAAAACTATAAAACTCTTGAAAGAAAACAGAAAGCTTGACACTGTTTGGCAGTGATTTATTAGATAAGACACCAAAAGTACAAGCAACAAAAGCAAAATTAGACTAATTGGACTTTATCAAAATGAAAAACATGTGCATCAACATTATCAAGACAGTCAAAAGACGGCCCCCAGAACAGGAGAAAGTATTTGCAAATGTCTTTATACCTGCTAAGGGATCAATATCTAGAATATATATTTAAAAAATCTACAATCCAACAACAAAAGCAAGGCCTCCCCTCTCCACCCCGGGTCCAGACACCCTTTGCTTCCTCCCATTGAGGCCACACCCTCGACCTTCAGGGCCTCCTCTGCCCTGTGGCCCAGCCTAGCCAGGCAGAGGCTTTCAGAAGATGTGGTAGGTAGCTGTGGTCCTGATCCTGCTGTGCTGGGGACACCTCTCGAACACCCACCCTGTGTCCTTCGACTCTGTCCTAGCCCAGTAGGCACAGAGCTCACCTAGCATCCCAGACGAAGTGTAGGCAGCCTTAAGGTACAATGTCCCTGTCCTTCATGTCGGAGCAGGCAACCTGGTCAGTGGTCACCAGGCTCACTGAGCCCTCGCCAGTAGATAAGCAGAGAGTAGGTACAAAGTCCAGGATGCTCTCTGTTTGGACCATGACCTGAGCTTCGATTGTTTCTCTGCCCCATCCCTGAGGATGCCAAGTGCCAAATTGCCACTGTCCCCAAAGAGACCAGGCTGGGTGCTCAGAACCTGGCTGTGGTCTGGCCTCAGTTAGGTGTCCCCGTTTAACTGCTGGAATGTGGGGACAAGTCTCCAGTTCTGCTCGGGCCTGGTAACAGAGTGCTGAGAGATGAGAATGATAAGCGGCTGACCTGCCCCAGCTGCAGAGAACAAGGGACCGTCTGGTGGAGTTGTGATGCCCCCCCACTACTTTGTAGTCATTTAATATCTGTCTTGGAGCTAGAAGTCTTTGGCTATGAGCTTCCAAACTGATGGAAGACCCCAGGGACCAGGATGTGTGGAGCCTGGTCTCCTGGCTGCTCCAGGCTGGCTCTTCATTCATCCATTCGTTCACTGAGTGTATGTTGAGCCCAGGAAGGAGGGAGGCAAGCACTGGTCTGTGTTTGTTTTCTGGTGGAGAACACATTCACTGCCAGGGCTCGTCCAAGAGAATGGAAGAGAGCTGCACACTGCATGAACGACCAGGGTGCCCTACAGGTGCACAGGCCACACCCACCTCTGGAGCCTTGTGCTCCGCTTGTAGTCTTTTGGTCTAACTTCTTCCCAGAGGTCCTCAGACAGCAGATGTCTGATTGAGCCCATGTCCCTGCACACACGTCCACTTCTACATTCCTGTCTTTGCTCCTGTGGTCCTCTCGGCCTGCATGCTATCTCCTCAAGGCCAGTGGTAGGCTGGGAGCTCCTTGCTACCTCCCCTAGGTCCCAGCGCCCGGATCTCAGGCAGCTGGTGGAGCATTTGAGGATGCGGGAGGCTGGGTCTGCAGGGGAGAGTGCTGGAGACATGTGTGGGAGTCTTTGCTGAGCCAGTGTGTCTGAAGCTCTGGGCAGATGAGCCATTAGGAGAGGTAAGAAGGCTACGTTGGGGTTAAGAGGTGGCACCAAGAGTCCAGCAGAGGCACCTGGACACTGGTGAAGGAAATCAGGGAGGTTTGTTAAAGAAGGTGTCAGAGTTCAGGAGAACTTGAATGGACTCCAGCTGGACAAAGGTTGATAGGAATTCAAGCAATGCCCCTATGACCCATGTGTCCAGAATCCAAGGATGTTCAGAGTCTGCACGGGGACCCTCCAGGGGCCACAGCCTTGGCTCTCTGCCACCCTCTGATGGCTTTGTTGGGGGACATTAGTGCTTTGGGGAAAACACACTAGGGTGGGACTAGCTGGCTTGGGCTAGGCTCAGTGCTGAGCCAGCGGGGACCCCCTTCACAGACACCATGGGCCTGAGCCCAGAGCTGCATCTGCTGCGTGAGCTAAGGTCAGTTGTGTTGAGATGCCAAGTCGCGGGCACTAACTGGTATCTAAAATGCCCTGTGAGTGGCCCAGGGCTGTGGCTACTCCTCTCAGCCACACGGGGGGTGAGGAGGGGCCAAGGGTGGGGCTGCAAGTCAGACCTGTTTCCCCATACCTGAATGCCCTGCAGGTGAGGGCTGGGCTCCTGACTGACCTGATTTGTAGATCCACCCAGGCCAACCTCTTAAACTTAAGCTTCTTAGGTAGGTGTTAGGGCGTATGGAAGTGGTTCACGATTTTGTGCATATAAATGTGAGTGCATACACACACATGCATGGTACTGGCCTGCTCACCTGTAGGTGTTTTGGGGGTATATAATGTCCACAGCATCGACTAATCTATGGAGGCACAAGTAATTTGCCTTAAGAACCTGTTCTCTGGGTGGAGACTTCCTGTTAATCTTGTTCAGGTCTTGGTCCTCCCCAGGAGAATACCAGCTCCAGGATGGCTGGGCCATTTGTCTGTGTGCCCCACTGCCTGGCATTTGGGTGCTCAGTCCTTATTTGTTGACTGAGCAAGTAACTGAAGCCTCAATTGAACAGTGTGGACTGAGCTGGCCGAATAAGACAGATCTGGAGTGTATGAGAAAATGGACAATGTCCCTGCTCTCTGCACTGAGACTTACGTTAGAAATAAGAC